ACATGATGGTAAAATAAAAAGGAATCGCATTGAAGAGTACAATGGAAGTAAGCTTCCTACCGCACTGAGTAGAGAAGAAAGAATGTCCAAAAGAAGAGCAACAAAAAATTTGATAAAATAAACACGTAATCCACGGAGCTGAGTTTACAGTGCAGATCTCTTGAAGTATAAAAAAAAAATTATGAGCGTAATTGACCCAAATGAAATTGAGCAATTCGACAAATTAATAAATAGTTAAGATGAGATGTTTTGCCGAATCAACAAAAGGTATTGTTGAATCTGGTGGAGGATAATGTTGTAAATGAGTATTGACTACTGCTGTAATTGAGAATAAGTCTGAAGGAAATAATATAAGGCCTCAGCTATTCCAGTCAAAGGTGTCTACCGATTACTTTATTATTTAACACACAGGTTTAGCATGCACGATAGTGATTATATTTCATATGATGATATCACCATAATATGGGATACATCAGTGGATTATTATAAGCATAATTATAACTCATAAACACATTTACTTTCGATGTTAATACTTCATCGGGACTACACACATTTATATAATTAATCATACATTAATTATCTCAAGATCACGTTGCTCTGATTAAGGCTCAGATAGGATCGATTACCTGACCCCAGTCATATAATTTTCCCAATCCAAAACAATATAAATAGCAGTAGTAGTTCAGTGTAGGAACCTGGTCAAACTTTGATACAAAATCTTTCTCAATAAACAAAACCTACACAAGTTCTCACGAATCTTCGTTCCTAATTTCAAATCTTGAATTCTTCCTCTTAAAAACTTCTTCAACTTCAACCACCACAACAGTAAGGTAAATATAATATATTTTTAATAAAACACTTTTTTTTATAATAATCTCTCTAATGCGATTATTAATGCATGCATTGCGCTGTCTTGTTGCATCTTGTTGTATTGTGGAGTGGGCAGAGCAATGATGTTGCTTGTAGTTGTTTTGGATTTTTGATACCACCATGCTGGACCAGAAATCTCTTGCACAAGGTTGCGCAAGAATGTACTGACAAAGATAATCAACGAGTGCAGCATTTTCGGGATGATTGATGCACTCAGTGACGTTCCATCTTCTTCTTGCCTCATTCTCAGCAATGACAGAAGAGTCTCTGAACTTCAGGTTCCTTTTCCAGATCTTTCTATTAATCAATACCTAAATACTATTTGTTAGATCATTATTCACTGTGTTGGATCAAATATATTTACCAAGATCAAAGAGCCCATTTCCTGCTCAGGCATGGCTGGAACAGAGAGAGGAGATGAAGGGGCAAGGGCTGGCAAGCTTGCTGGCATACTCTCCTGCCGAGCAGCAGCACCAATGTTTCTTCTCTGGCCATCCATCAGCTGGCCTACCTTGCAGTTCATCCATGCAAGCTGCATAATAAAGCCCTGTAAGTCCAAGGACATCTGATTCAGGTGCTCATCACTGCTGGAAACAGGTACTTGCTGGGAGACAATTGCATGTCGTCCAACATAGCCAGCTATAACTTGGGAAAGAGAGGTACTCTCTCCACTGGAGGTAGATCTACGTCTAGTGTTTCTTGGTGTGCGTGGGGCCATTTTCTATATGAAATATTTTAAAATTGTAATAAATATATTTTCTACATTATTATTACTATTGTTATTTTCTGGTGGGTTACATATACTTATACATACAAAGTAAGATAAAAGTGGTGCAAGAGTAAGAAAGGGATTGTTATAAAATATCAAGTGAGAAATGTCTTTTCTTTTACCATCAACAGACTTCTTGCAACTGTGAAAATAATATGTGTTACTATTAGCTTTAGATATCTTGATTTGGTTCTTGGTGTATTTCTATTAGATTAAACAATACTTGGGTCTTCCGTTTTAATCCTCTATATTCTTTTTCGGTTTTTTCTTCTTTTTTCTCTTTTTTCTTTTTTTTCAGTTTTTTTTTCCGTTTTTTTTCTTTTGTTTCTTTTGTTTCTTTATTTTTCTTCCTCCTTTTATCCTTTTTCTTTTCTTTATTATTTTTGTTTTTATCAAAGGACTTGGGTAAGCAGTTAATATGTGATTGAATATGTTCATTATACTTACTCTCTGTTTATTTGCTTATATGCATTTCTAGCCCTGCTAATAATCTAATATTTTTAAGCATACTTCTTTACTTTTTGATAATGTTATTCATGCGGCTTGATATATCCCTGTCTTAAACAAAAGATAAAAAAAATTGAAAAGGTTTTGACTCTTTGTTAATTTGCTTTTTATTTTTTAAAAGGTATATGTCTTGCATGCAATTGTAAATGACTACTACAGTAATGTGCCTGGTAAGCATGAAAAAGGGTATAATATTTGTTTTTATACTAACTTCATTTTTTGTTGATATTATTTATTTGAATATATTAAAATATTAGCCTGGTTCTTCATTTTGTCTTCAAAATACTATCAATGCTGTTTATCTTGATAAGTTCATTTTTAATACTAATATTTATTTTTGTTATTCCAGACATTCTTTACAGCTATCTTTTATAAAACAAATACGACAAGCACAATGTTACCACACTTGTTTGTAAGTATGCATATTTTCTTGAAATAATAAAACTCGCCTTCTTTGATATTTTAATTAACTTTTTTTTTCTGTTTAGTCAATGATACAAGTCATGTTTCCAGCAGTCTGTTCAGCAGTATATCTAAAATACATTTTTATTTTTCGTATTATTAGACAATACCTTCTATTATATATTTTACGCCTTTATCAAGAATAGCCTAACTAATCTCACAATAATTGAGAGTTAGCTATAAAGTGTATTATTAAGTAATATAATCCAAGATTTTTTTTATAAAAATAAAAGCCCTGTTCATAAACTATTCTTCTAAAAATATTTATAAAGAAGTGTGAGAAAATTATTTTTGAGTCAATCAAATGAATATATTGTACTTTGTCTAAAATATAAGATCTAATAGAATTGCTTAAATTTGGAGTAAAGATATATTTTTTCTATCATAAAGAAATGTTTCTATCTGTCTTCTGTCTTTCTAAAGAAGAAGAAAATATAATGTTATATATAAAAAACTTTGTTTTTTTTTGCTTTAAGTTTCTCAGCCGGTATTATAAGGTAGAACTATATGACTTCATGAGCAGAATTCTTTCCACAGAACTATTGTATTCATTATTTAGGATAAAGAATAAATGCACACTAGACTCAAGATTGTTTAAATTACAGAGAAATTTAATTCTTTATATCAGTATTCTGCCTTCTTTCACATAGGGTAAACCGAGCAATTTTTGCAGTGTAATAATAGCTAGTTGACTTTTTCTCTTTTTTATTCAAAATAATAAACTAAAAATATAAAAACCAAACTTTGTGTATCTTTTGTTTGTTGGTTTTTTATTGGTTATTTTGAGAGTTATTTCTTCTGCATCCTCTTCTGGAGATTGCCCTCAACTAGCTGTTCTGTCTTATCTGGCATCTTAGCTGTCTTTGTTGCTTTCAAAGATCAGCTTGGAATTGTCTTGTTTAGGTGTTCATTAATGATCTCATTACCTCTGTCATTCTTTCTCTTCTCTGTCTCCCACGTTCTTGAGAAAGATCATGTGCAGATTGAATCTGCCTCACAGAACAATTGGCAGTTAGTGAAGCATTCTCCAAATTTACAGGTATCTTGTTAATAAATAGATCAAAATCCTCAACTTCTATCTTCACATCGTTATCATCATTTCCGTCTGAATAGGCATCAAAATTTTGTATTTTGTTTTCAAAATCATGAAGTGTCTTCGGGAATGTTTCTTGCATTGTCATCATTGTCCAAACAAAAGTTGTGAAGACAACAACAAGTAATGATAGTAAGAGCCATTTTATTGATACCCAAAAAGTACAGGTGTCTCAACAAAAAACAACATTTTTGCACAAGTAGGCCAAATGTATTTTCAATGTGATAGTGTGTTTTTGCATTTGGCTTGTTGAAAGCTTGTTGTTTAGGGTCTTCAGTTGCAATGAGATATAGTAGAAGCATATTTTCTATGATTGAAAATGCAGAATCTATATTAATAGAACATTAGATGAAAAGATATACGTTTGTTAAACAGAAGCTTTAACATAAAAAATTATCTGCGAGAATGATCACTGGAAAAATAAAATAAAATACTATAGTTTTAAGTAACGAGAAAGGTAGTGAAAATGTCAGGGTTTTTTTTCAGCTCAACCATTTTTTTTTATTTAAGTTGAGGTGTATTTTTGACGTATTCTATTGGTTTAAATGGACAATAAAAAAGTCATATTTTTTTGGCTTGCTATAAAATCACATCAAGTAAAGTATTTGTATTACTTGTTTCCTTTTTTATTTTATAATTCAAGCTATACACAATATGTTTTCCTCTACCCAAACCCACACCTTAGACTGTCACTGCATTAAATGTCACAACAGTCATCAGAAATCTTCTTATGCTGCAAAGCATACTGAGACTCGTTGTAATAAGAGAGCTAGAGTTGAAGGTACCAGAATATTTGAGAATAATATAATATATTCAGTGTTGGTTTTTTGTTTGCTGCATAATAATCATTTTAATTTTTTATTTTTTATTTTTTATTTATGTTGTTTATTTTTAAACTTTTAATGAAACACAGTCGCAATGAGAAACATGGATGTAGATACTGAGAGTAAGAATTTTTTTATTTGAAAGCAGAAAAAAAAACTAATTAACTATTATATTCCATATTTGTAGTAATCCTGACCTCTCATTCCAATTCTGTGGAAGCAATGGACGGTCAGGCCAACTCATCTTTTTTGGATGCTGCCTCAATCTTTGACAATGACAGAGACAACAATAATTTCGATGACAATGTTGAAGATGAAGTCAATGAGATCAAGATTGAGGACTTCAACAGTGAAGGTCAGTGTGAGATACATAAAGAAAACTAAAAGAAAAAGAGAGTAAAAGAAAAATCAAGTGTTAACTTTTTTTTTAATTTTTCACAGACCCTTTTGCTGCTCCTGATATGTCCAAAAATGAAGTCCATCAATTCATAGCCATTTTTACGGTACTGTTTGCTTCACGTCATGTTGTTGATAAGGGTGCTGCTGTCTTGATTGAGTTTATCAACAACCTGCTGAGAATCTATGACCAAGATTTTCAATTACCAACCAGTCTTGCTGGTTTACAAAAAATGACAGGATTTTCTGCTATTACAAAAGGCATCAAGAAATTTGTGATGTGCCAAGACTGTCATACAGTATATCAGGATATTGTATCTGCTCCTTCTCAATGTGTTCCCTCAAAACTTGGTGCCAGGCCTGCATGCAACTGTAATTTGACAAAGTCCATATCTTTCTGTGCCTTGGTTGCAAAGTGTGAATATGTCTACCAATCCATTAAAAATACATTGAGAGTTTTCTTCCGTCACCCTAGTTTTGAAGCCAAGATTTTTCAATGGAATAAGGAGTTGAAGCTGGTAGCTACTCTGTGCGATGTCTATGATGGTGTGATGTAGAAGGAGTTGAAGGGCAATAATGATATATCATTTGTGTCAGACGCATGCTCACTAATGTTAACACTTAACATTGACTGGTTCCAACCATTTGATGGCGTTACTCACTCCTCTGATGCTATCTATCTGGCCATCAACAACTTGCCCCATGATAAAAGATTCAAGCCAGAGAACATTATCCTTGTTGGTCTTATGCCTGGTCCAAAGGAGCTAAAAACCGATGAGATCAATGGTTACTTGAAGCCATTGATTGATGATCTGAAGCAGCTGTACGTTGGCATGCGAATTCCTACACACGAATTCCCAAATGGTGTCTGTGTTCGTGCTGCGCTACTAATGGTTGCATGTGATATCCCAGTTGCCAGAAAGACAAGTGGATTCACAGCGCATAACAGCACATGTGCTTGCTACAGGTGCAGTTGGCAGTTTACTGGGTTAGAAAGCAGCAACCAGATTGATTTCTGTGGATTTGATTATTCTCGTTGGAATATCTGCAGTGGTGCAGAGAGCAGGTTGCATGCTGAGGAGTGGAAGGATGCAAGTACACTCTCAGAAAGGCATCAGCTGGAAATCGAAAATGGTGCTCAATGTTTGCAGCTGCAACGCCTTGGATACTTTGATCTAGTACGTGGAACAATCATTGATCCCATACATAATCTTTTTCTGGGGACGCCTAATAGATTAATGGATTGGTGGATAGATGAGAAGACAATTGGACCTGAAGAGTTTGCTTTGATGAAGAAAATTGCAGAGACAATGATACTGCCCAGAGATTACACCACACTGACAACCAAAATTGGAAAGGGCTTCAGCTACATGAAAGCGGACGAGTGGAAATCATGGGTGCTAGTTTATTCTCCTGTCTTGTTGCATAGTATTCTCCCCCCAATACAATTTAAGAACTGGATGTATTTTGTTAATGCATGCCAATACTACGTAAAGCTCAGCATTATGTTTGATGAGATCACCACTGCCCACAGTCTGTTAGAAACGTTTTGTAATGCATGCAACGTAGACTATACTGCTACTATTCTCACCTGCAATATGCACCTACACCTCCATCTTCACGAATGCATTCGTGATTTTGGACTAGTTATGGTTATTGGCTCTTTGGGTTTGAGCAATACAATGGTATTTTAAAGAATTTCAAGACAAATGGAAAAGACGGTTTTGAGGCGACCTACATGAAAAATTTTGTTCAGAATGCGTATAAGGGTGATTATGTCAATGCTGTTCTTAAAAGTTCTAGCCAGATCCCCTTCATTCACACTTTGTCTAAACTTGTTACAACCTCTATACCTGCCACCACAGTCACCACTCTCTCCAGTCGCCCATTCAGATTGCAAGCATTCGTTCAAGACTACACTGATCCTTATAATCCACCCAAGGGTAATGAGTCTCTTCCTCCTTCTACATTCCCTCTAAAATACAAAAAGTCATCAGTAATGGATGATTCCGACCATCTCCATTTACTTGAATATTACCAAGTCGCTTACAACCTCCCAGACCTTGCCAGCTATCAGGACACGTCCTATAATCGCCCAGCACTTGACAATCAAATCATCAAATTGAAGTCAATTGACATTCTTGGTCAACACTATTGAGGAACAAACAACAGCACAATCAGTCGTGGATCACTTGTTCAGGCAAAGTTTGTTGGTAGTAATGGAAACATTATACTTGGATTTGCTGGACAAATTCAGTATCTTTTTACACACTCCTTCCAACTTCCACCCACGCACAATCTCCATCTGACTCGCATGGTTCATGATCATCAACATGTATTCGCATTTATCAAGTGGTTTTGTACTTCCTCTGATAGGTTGCGTGAGGATGACGGTGTTGAATTTTGTTTGCCCATGTTCTCTCCTGATAGCTACCATAGCATTATATCTGTACATTGCATCTTATTAGAGGTTGCTACAGCTATCATTACAAAAATTATATGATTTCATTGAGTAGAAAGTATGCAAATATTGAGTTTAAAGCCGCGATTTCTGTGTGGTTTTAGGAATGTTACCCGTGATATATCTAGTATACTTATACCAGGTAGATAGAAGTTTAAGATCATGAAGTAAGTATTGTTTCACTGAGTCACAATAACCCTTCTTAGTCCGTCAATTGTATTTGAATAGAAATAATGAGCGTATACTCCATGCTCTTGATATATGAAGTCATTATATTTCATTTTAGATCATCATTTAATCTAAAAAAAAACCAGATATAGATACTGCTTTCGCATCTATACTTTCCCTATATTTTTCTGTATATTTTTTCTCTAGTTATATAATACAAATTTGTGGGAAAGTGTATTTTATCATATAAAATCTATAGGAAAGCATTCATTTTAAGCCAATAAAAATACTTCTTTAGTGGGTAAACTTTCCCCTTATTTCATTGCATATTTATTCTTTGTTTTATAACACAAATTTGTGGACAATTATATATTTATTATAGAAAATTTGTGGGAAATCATTCATTTTTGAATCGGACATAAATACTTCTTTAGCAGGATCACTTTCCCCTTTTTTCACTGTATATTAATTTATGGTTTTATAGCACAAATTTGTGGGAAAGTATATTTCTTAGCATTTCACATTTGGGAAACCATACATTTTAAAGAAGCAGTTTTGTATTATTTTGAGTGAAATTTTTTTTTGTTTTGTTTATTTTGATATTTGAAAAAGAATATTTTCTTGATGAGCATTCTAGTTTTTTTGGTACATTCATTTTGTAAAACTATTGATTATAACAATACTTTCTACCATATACTATTGAATCATTATTGTTTAAAGCACTTATGCTATTACCTACTTGAAGAGATAGTTGACTATATAATACAAGAAAAGAAAGATATATATATTAGATGATATCATTGAAAATAAAAATATAAGAAAATTGATACTTACGGGCTTGATACAATTGTCATAAACTAATAATTGACAGCTAGTAAACACTACGAGATTAAAGCTCTTGGTACGCTAATTGCTACCAAAAGATATCATATTTAGTATTGTTTATAATGAGTGTATAGAGGATTTACTTGTTAAAAAAAACTTACCAGATATTATTGTTCTAAGAGAATAATACTTGAACCTAATTAAATAATATTCACAAAGAAAGACGGATATAAAAGCAAAGTTAGAATACATGTATTTTGTAAAAACACATTACAATATGAGATGTGAATATTATTGCGGGTGACATCAAAAGAATATAATAGTATCTATATTGTTGACATTATTAGTAAATTATAAATACTTAAATAAACATGTATTTATTGACATGTCTCCAGTTAGATACTTTATCAAAAAAAAAAGAAATACATAACTTGTCAAACTGTTGGAAGACAAAAAGTGGTGAGTAAAAAGTAAAACATCAAAATAAAACAAAGAAGCAAAAAAAGGAAAATGTTTTACCATAAATTTGTGTCAAAAAGTACAAAAGAGAAAAGAAAGAAAGAAAAATAGCTTGACTTCAAATATATAAATTCCAAAGAAAAGTAGCAGATAAATAATGTTTCAAAAAAAAGGCAGTTCATTTACCCAAAGATATATACTTCTCCGAATTGAAACATATGTAGTTGGAATAATTACTATAGTTGAAAATTTGTAATAAATAGGGCTTTGACTTTACTTAATTGACCTCTCTCAATCACCTTCTTTATTTGTATGTATAAATTCAACAGAAACTGTGTCAAGCTTATTTCATTAGCTAACATATATTAATATTTGATTCTATATAGAGAATGAACAACTTCATCTCTAACAGTCCCTATGAGAATAACATTGTGTATGCAGCTATTGCATGTAACATTATGCCCAACAACAGCACTGGTCTGGCATTGGTTATATATACACCTACCATGAGACCGGCAGGTAGTCATGTTGATGGTAATGTGGCCAATCCAGTTCTGGCAAGGCTGGCCACTCTTCATGCTCAGATGAAGAGTCTTACTGACCAAATTGCAAGCATGGCCACTGGTATCACCAAGTCCAATGATACCACAACTCGTCTTCAGGAGACAGTAGCAAATATTGTTTCTGGTCAAACTGTTGTCCAGAATACTGCTTCCAGATACAATGTTACATCAGGCGTTGAAGCAGTCACTGGTCTTTCATCATTGATGGAAGACGATTATGTGCCTGGAAAGAGACACCCAGCAATCTTGGTAAGATTTGATTTGAGAATAATGGCCAAGACATCTAACACTTTTCTCATAGAAATTGATCAATGGGTATCTGAAAAAGTAGAACTTCAGCAGTAGTGACCAAAGAAAAGTAGTTGCAAATGCCGCAAAGTCAGGATGGGTTTTTACAAGCTACTTTACAGGTGGCTATAACCACGGTCTTGCACTGGCTCTAACTGCGTATCTGCGGAGCCAACCCCAATCTGCTGGCATACTTACAAGTGACCTTGCATGCATGGTAAAAAACCATTTTTGCAATCAGGTCTGTGAGTCCTGCAGAATGCCTTCATCTGCAAACAGAAAAAGAACTGCATCAAGAAGACATCAGCGTGGTTTGTTAGTAAGTGTCTAATTAGATATGTATATATATATTATTTGATACTCACTGTTATTTTTTAAATGTATGTACAGCTTTTTTGCCAGCGTTCCATGGCTTACCTTGAAAACAAAGAAGCCATTGATATGGTCACGAAAAGAGACAATTGTGCTCATGTCCTTCAAAAGGCAGTAATGTCTGATGATGAGACAGACGATGAGGCAACTAGATCGGCCAGCAGTAAACGCCTGAAGGTTCATCGCCCTAGCTGGAGAAGTGATGAGGTAATATACTTAGAGATCAATTGATATATGAAAAATAATTAATGTGAAAAAAACATAGCTTCAAATGCTCTTAGAAAGTCCTGACGATTATGCTGTAACAAAAGGACAGCAAAGATCACTGAAACTTATCCCTTGTACCAGGGTTACATGTGACGCAGATGTTCTCAATGATTTAAAAGTCCCACTAGCTCAATGGACCATTAAAGATTAATAAATAAATACAAATTTTCTCTTCATCTTATTCTTTCAAACCATTTTTTTTAATAATAATAAATAAATATAATTCATCTCTTCATCATCTCATTTGTAGAAAGTAAAGATTTTTAATAATAGCAAAATAATATAGTTATTCTCCTCATCTTATTCATTCGAAGCAAAGGACTTTAATAGTAATACAAAATAATTTCTCTCTTCATCATCTTATTCATTTGAAGCAAATGACTTTAAAAATGACAATATGAAATACTTTTTCTCTTCATCATCTCATTTGTATAAAGCAAATATTTTTAATAATAATAATAATAGTAATAATAAATAAAGATATATATATGTTTTTTTTGTTTATGCATAAATTTTTCTATATAAAGCAGCAATGAGCATATGGGTATTACCGGTGGCAGTTGTATGTACACCAATGGCAGCAGGCATCAATATGCGGTGAACAGGTAAGATGTTTTGAAAATCGCTTCTTGTAAACGAAAATTCGCTCATCTCCACAAACTGCTCACTTCTTGTATCCTGGCTAGACGTTCTATACCACCTGACGTATGCAAATGTATGTCTGTCCGCTTGGTACGTAACTGGGTTGATGATATTGCTGACAAAAAGATATTGGATCTGACCAGTAAACGCACTCATTCCACAATCATTGTTTTTATGAAACATTGCTTGTATGATTGAATCACGTCGAACTACACCATTGCTGCCTTTATATACTTGGCCAAGAAGATTGATGGACTGCATCTTCTGAATCATGTTGTTTACAAATAATTGGCCAAATATCGCATCTTGGTAATCTCTCAACAAAGTATTGCTGTATGCCGTATGGTAGAACTCGAGCAGAAGGGCATACTCGTCTTCTTTCATCAGAACAAACTCATCAAGACTGAGAGGGAAGGCAGAAGGAGGCAATGGCTCGTTGCCTTTGACATTGTTGATGTTCACTTCAGCGGAATCAAGGAAGGTCTTCAGATTGAAACCAGAAGAAGTGGTTGACAAGTACGGCGCAGCAGGAACAATAGTGGTAGTGGTAGTGGCAGTGACAGTGACAAGAGTCAGAAATGAATCAACAAGCTCATATATCAAAGAGACTTGAGAGGGGGTCTAGAGAGATTGCATTGTTGTACGGAAAAGATCTATCTTGCGCGTGTCCTCAAGGTATCTTCACATGAACGTGCTTTCAAATCCATCTTTGTTATTTGTAGCATAGTTTTTTAATATGCCATTATATCTCTCAAAGCTGAAGAGCCAGTACCTGTACACAGAGCCAAAGCAAAGGATGGTTTCTTTGAGATGCAGATCTAGATGCATGTTGGGCGATATGAAATCCTTCCCAAACCTAACCTGACAATTTTGACCAAACGACTCCAAAAAATCATGCGCATGTGACAAGTCTTCAACAGTTATACTTGGTCTTGCCAAGTACTTGCACGCGTAAACAAACTCCATCCAGTCACAGAAGTCTTCTGATGGTAAACAACCAGCCAGGAGAACAGAAGAGTAAACCAAACACCAGGACTTCCATTCGTCTGCCTTCATGAATAGAAAGCTCTTTCTAATTTTGTTACGCAATGGAGTGATGCCAAGAGGAATTATCATACTGTCTGCGTATTGCTGCATTTCGGCCAGGTGCTCGCTGGTAATAAGACCCTCTTCTCTCCATTTCTTCATCATTCTTTTTGCCGTGCCAAGAAAGAGGTTATGCATCGGATCTATAATGGTACACTCAACTGCATTGAAATATTGAAGCCGATGGAGCTCTGACCAGCAGACACCATTCTCTTTCTCTAATCTTGCTCTTTCAGCATTGCTACCAGCTTGTCTCCATCTCTCTGCATTTCTTTTGTTCTCTTCATCAGTGTTGAAAATCCAATTGGAGAATATGAAACCGGAATGGTCCATACCCCTGCCATCTGAATGATGAGAAAACCAGTGGTTGCATACATGACATGTGTTAGTACTGGCATGCGATGTAAATCCACATGTTTTCCTTGCAGCTGGGATGTCACAAGCAACGAGAAGAATTGCGGCATGGACCAAGGTACCGGAAGGACACTCGTTTGTTGGAATAGCGACACCAGAATACAATTGGTTTAGCTTGGTTACAAGAGGGCGAAGATAATGGTTTATCTGACTTGTTTTGGCTCCGCTTGGACCTGACATAAGTCTCACAAGGACGATGTTCCCCTTCTTGTATCTTTCCTCCCTGGGCAGATTGTTTACAGACAAGTAGATTGCGCCACAAGAGTAAGTAACCCCATCAAAGGACTGGAACCAATCAATGTTAAGTGTCAGCATGATGGAACGTTCATGTGCTACGAATTGTTGACCAGTATTATCTTTCAATGATTTCCATTTTGCCCCATCGTATACATCGAACAGAGTTCCTAGTACTTGTTGTCGGAATCTCCAGAGGTTAATTGATCTCTCAAATCCAGAACGCAAAAAGAAGATGGACAATGCTGATGTTATCAAGTTGTACATGTAGACCTTTCTTGATCTATCCAAGCTATTGGGGGCTTCCAAAAACAAATTGTTTTCACATGTGTTTCTGGACAACTTTCTAAAGTCATAACACTGGGGAATGGACTCGGATACTGACTCGGAAAATATCTTATGGCATTTGCCACATGCTACAAAGCGATGGATGCCTGCAGTCAATGTGCTTAGACCTGTCAATGAATTCAAACGCTTCAGACTCAACGGCAGACAGAATGATTGTCCAAAGTGTGCCAGCACCTCATTGATAAACTTGATAAAGATAGCACCACCAGAATTGACCACATATTTGGATATAAAATATGCAGCAAAGGATGCGATGAAAGTGTGGGTTGGATCTGCTGGCATTTCATGGCTAAACAATTGTTCTATTGCATAGTTGTATTAATATCCAAAATATATTTCAAGGTATTTCTCTTATCTGCTTTTTATACTAATCTTCAATGTTTTCAGATTTGTTATTGAATTCATAAGGGTTGGACAAATTCTCATCGTTAGAACTGGGTAAGTTGTGAACAACTATAGTAGAAAGAGTTGAATAATTAGAATTATAAGAGCTTATAAAACTTGCAAAAAAAATATAATTACATTCAAGATCTTCAGAAATATTTGTCTCAGCATCAATCTCCATGTTATTAGTATTGTCATTCACCATGTCTACTGCTTCTGCAGGTAACACTGTACTATATAAATGTGTTAAATTATTGTGTAAAGTAAAATGTTAAGATAGCTTTATACATACAAGATTGTCTTTGGAAATTTCTTTCTACATGATCTGCAAAATGTCTATGGCGTGTCTGGGAAGAGACCATAACAGAGTATCTGCCATTTGGAGAGCATACTGAGCAACTGCCTTCAACTTGGTTATTAGGCATTTTAGGAATTGGGTTGCGTTTATGAAATTTGCAAAAAAGGGAAATTATTCAGTAACATAGTTTATTTTTATAGACTTTTCTATTTTAATATCAGAGTCTATATCGTAGCTAGAAATCCTTAAATCAGGTATCCAATCGGTAATCCCTTTCAACATATTTCCTCAATATTATACTGATTGGTTCACATTTTTGTCAACCATGTCATATTACATCACTCTCTATAAATGTAAAACCGATATATTCGAACAAAATGTTTCAGTTTTACATTTTCTTTTAAAAATTTTATATATATACAGAATATCTGCGAAATAAAACCTCATTTATCTATGTCTTTATATATTTACAATTCTATAACCACAATAGCATTTACAAAAATTACAAAAGTCAAAGTAATAAAAGCATATAATTAAACTTCTTTTTATAGTCTTTAAAATATAATCGGTCTAGTCTTAATATCAAAGTAAAAGTTTTTTTTATCGGTTGGCGACAGGGCAAAGCACTGGTCAAAATAAATGTCGAAAGGTATAGCATATACTATATCTAATTGAATTGGCCCAATTAAATTGTTGTCACCAAAAGTAAAAAACCCTGTGGAGTTGAAATATTATCAAAATTTCCCTTTGATTCAACCAAAGTTTCTCAAGGAAAAATCATATAATTTTTGTAGTTTACTATTGCGACAAGTAGAAATGTTAGCAAAATGCTGGTAATTTCATTGTCAAAGAAGCTATATGCTTAAATAATAAATAAAGTAAACTTTTACATTTCTTTTTCTTTAACAAAAAAACAGAATGCGTATTTCTGATATATATATTGATAGTATTTTGTATGTGAAAAGTAATATACAGATAAAAAGAGAGAGACAATTTTTGTTTATTTAGTACCCATCTCTAAGGGCCCACTGAGGAAGTTTGGAGGTTATGTCATCTGGGACTGCTGTATTAGACACACTGGTGAAAACCCTCTCTTTCATTTGAAAAGCACTTGACCCCATTGCTTCAATAACATACTTATCAACAAGTTTAATAAGAGTATTGAACTAAAATGATTTTGTTAATACTTCACTTTATATTTTTTATAATAAGACATAATTATTAATATAAAATAATATACCTCGTCACTTCTCCATCCTGGCCGAACAATCTTGACGATGCTCTTTGTGCGATTCTCAAAGTCTTCATCTGCAGATTCTCCATTGGACATTGCTGCCATTTGCATTGTGAAGTCACAATCTCTCTTCATTTGTAGATCAATTGCTTCTTTGTTGTCTGTGTATACAAGTAAACGGCGAGTATGATTCTAATAGTAGTTTTTTTGTATTAGTATTTTTAAAATTCTCAAGACTAAACTATATTATTTTGAAATTATTTATTTAGAGATTACACTTACATCTCTGGCACGTCCTGCCCTTCTCGAACGAGTGTTTGTTGCTTATATTTTCTCTTTGGTTTTTCTTGCTTTTGAAACCTGGCTGATGAAGTTTTTGTGCAGTCTTGCTCTGAAGTTTGCCTCTCTAAATCCCTTATGGATACACTTGCGCTTCAAGTTTTCAAGAAGTCGCACCACCAACTCCTTGTTTGGCGACTTATAAAAGAAAACATTTGTATTCCATCTGGGCTTACTCTCATTTGCCAGGATATCAACTTGATTTATTGTTTTCAGCTTGGGATCCCACATGAGATTACGAATATGGGCCTGATAGAATATATGAGAAAATACATTGATAAAATTTTGCACACATTGATACTGACATAAACATCATTAGAGGCCTTCTTGCTAAACTCATATGGAGCGTTGAAGGCAGGCTGAGAAACATTAGCCATTGTATTGGTAGGGGAAACGAGGGGGGCCCTGCTTAAACTGTCAATATCAGTGATTGTCTCAATGCTGCTGGTGGCAAGAACATTAATTCTGCTATTCATGTTTAGCAATTTATCTTCAACAGTGCCGATTTGTTCTTGTACAATTGACATATCAGCTGCCATGTTATTTCCCATGGCTGTCATATTAGTTTTCAAAGTGGAAAGAATTTCTATCAATTGTTCGTTTGTAATCTCAATGGGACGAAGAGCAAGTTGACGTCTTTGAATAGTCATTGTCTACAGAATATAATGAAAGATAAAAATGTAACTGTTAATTTTAGATTACATTATTATTGATATTATTATACAATTGAATTGAATTGAATTAAAAATAAATTATATCAAATTTACATACTTAAATTATTTGAAATAAAATGGGTTGATATGTGTGTGTTTGAGTATGAGTGCAATAAGTAGCAAGAAAGCAGGAGAAAGAGTAAATAAATTGTATAAAACATATGGTTTATATAGATATTCAGCATATCTTTAATATATAAGGCTCTATTAATACTTCTTGTAATTACTGAGATGCAAATTGGCTTTCATACTGTTTTAGAACCCAATTGATCAAATCAGTCTAGTCTTTTGTTTCAAACGAACTTTTCTTTTTTCTTTTTTCTTTCTTTTTTTTGTTGTTGTTCCTGTTTCTCTTTTTTTCTGCTCTTTACATTTGCTATTAGTCTTTTCTTTGTTTCTCTATGTCTGCAACTTCTATTATATTTGTGAACTATTTGTATAAGACATGTTCTTTCTAAAAAGTCTTCTTTATAGAAAATAAAAGAATTTATTTATTCTGTTGCCATAAACACACTCTTCGTTGCTGTCTCCACCCATTTTTCTATTTATTTATTAGTTTTTTTTTATTCTGCTTTTTTAAAGTACTTTTTTTATATATCTAAAAAGGAATTAGTTATTTCTGTTGCCATAGACACTTGCTTTCTCTTTTCTTTTTATGTCTTTCTTTCTCTTTTACTCTTTTACTTGCAAATGTTTCTGATAAGGCGCTTTTTTTCTTTATTTTTCTTTATTAGTAATTTCTTCAAATATAGCTGAGTAATAACAGATGTTTCTGCTATCATAGTCACTTGCGCATCGTTTCCTTCTGATGCGTTCTCTTTGTAATGGCCATCCGGATTAGCCAAGATTAGTAAATATACTTCATTCTATTATCTCATAAAAGTATCCTGATTTTTTCCTTTCTTTTTTATAGGACATATCACCAAAAATATTTTATACAGCTAAACCCAACCACCAACATGGTAATATTTTTATCTATTTATTTATTATATTTCTTTTTAATATTAATCAAACTGAATTCAATTTTTACTATAGATGAACAATCATCTCCAAAACATGTCATAGATCAAAAGCTTCTATCTCATGCTGCTGTTATTGATATGATAAGACTTTTTTGTTCTTTTACTATCTTTATATGTATCATTATATTATTTATGCTGTTTATTAATAATTATATTACCCAATTCACAAAAATTAATTTTTCTAATCATTTTCATAGTCAAAGGAATCATAATGCCGTAGCTTTACTTGTAATATTTTATTGTTTGGTCTTTGTACTGGATAATTCCAATGTAAGTATTAACGGTTTATAAGATTTGAAATATTCAACACATACGCATACCCATTACTAACGATTTATCTATTCCCAAAGAGTACTGCTTGTACCTCAAAAAAAATGTATTGAGCAGCTCATTTTTTTTCAGATATTTCTTTTTTATAGAAACATTTTTATCCCAAATATAACAAATCAATCAAGCAAGAAGTAGCTAGAGATATAGAATAGTATTATTAGATCTGAAACCTAGAAACATTCTATTATTTCCAATAAAAATAAAAGCGTAAACCATTACCAACCTAATAAGAATGGGAAACCAAATAAATAAAGAACATATTACTGGTCTATAATTTTAAAGACACCTTTTTTTGTTGCTGATGATCAAACTTCTTAACAATAAACTAGCTTAAAGGTTACCTTTATGCTACTTTTAATCTTCATAATATGTCGGTGCCTGACCTTTATGGTTCCATATAAAGAATATCAAAATAGATACGCAGTTTTAAAAAACTTTCTTTTTATATATCATGTCAGATAAGTATATCTAAAGTGCTAACAAACCTTACCTGCGGCACCTCCCACCTACAATTCTGCTAGTTGACTCTAGTCATTCCACTATCTGTGAAGGTCACCTTCAGCATAAGTGGAAAAAAATCAACTAATTTAAATATGGAAATTACACTACAGTATACCCCATTTTTAAACTACCTTTTTTTTATTTTTCCAGTGTATAAGACAATTAAATTCATACCAATAAAAAGTATCTTTTATTCTCTCTTTGATTTTATGTATACTCCTTGATCCCCAGTGGGTTTGACCTTTTGACTTTGTTATAGTAAAAGGAAAATCAAACCCAGATCAGAAACGTCAACATAGTAAGTGCATGTCGGACCTTTTTGTCAAGTCTCAATCTAGTATTTCTTTTCTGGCACTTGTAACTAAGTCGCAGAATCAATACCACCAGAGATTGTCAAGTTTATGAATAGTTTAGATAAGAATAAAGATACTTTTTATTAAATATATTTCTTGACTATTTATACAAATTGATACTTGATTTCTAGCTAAAAGAATAGCTACGTTAATATGTCTTAGATGCCTGTTGTCCAGTAATATCTACTACAAGTATATTCACAATCTTAAACATCTAAAACATATATGAAAGACCAATTGGCAAAGTCAAGATCTTTTATCCTAAAAAGTCAACTCTTACTGGTTGCTTATAACTACCGATTTTGTTCACCGATGTCAACTCTGACATTTTCAATTTACAAGTTTTGGGCAGAAAGTTATGAGTATCAAAAATACTTAAAATTTCTTCCACAGTGTATACAAAAAAGTGAAACGTGGAGAAGCTGGGCGTCGATCCCAGTGCCTCTCGCATGCTAAGCGAGCGCTCTACCATTTGAGCTACATCCCCCACTGCTCTTTCGCTTAAGCATTTTATTTGCCTGGTTCCAACATTTTATTTTTGACGAATCCACATATAAAGTGTATCCATCCATCAATATCTTTACGCAAAACGATCCATCCATCACGAAAAACGTACCTCCCATTGCCAAAAGTAGTGCAGTCCTTGTCCTTGGTATCCCAGCTGTCAGCAAAAAAAATTTCAGCTCAATTAGACAACATCACGCCATCTGCATTCTCAATCCCAATGGCCAATTTGCAAATCGGCAACATGCAGGGATTGCCAACTGAGCTTACCTCATTCCTGACAACATTGCAGGCACAAATCATGAATGTGCAAAACAGAACCGACCAGTTGGAGCGACTTGCAGCAGAGAATGCAAGACTAACCACTGAATTAGACCATGCTAGAACAACAATTGCTAATCTGCAGAAGCAATTAGGATCTCAGAGTGCACCTGAAAAAAACTTTTCAGAAATTTCACTTTCGAACCCAGCCGGCGCAGTAGGTGCTCCTGACAAAAACAAAGAACCAGGTCTGGAAGCCTCCACTTGGGCTACTAAAGCCAGTGTTTCTCTTCCTGTAACTGCCCCAAAAATGTCTACTGTTCCCTCTGCTCGCCGTATTGCAGCTTCTGTTCGTATGTTTGCTCTTCCCTCTGGTCCTTCAGGTTATGAATATGTTTATATTCCAAGATCAAGACGCCTTAAGCACAAAGAAGTCCGTTCCTCTCTCCGCACTCTTGGTGTGGATTCTTCTCGACTTTTGGACATTAACTTCCCAGCCAGAGGTGTCATTGGCATCCTTGTTCATGTCCAGTATGCTGATACATTTAAGGCCAAACTGACAACTGCTTCTGTTGAGATTTTGGACGCATTTGATCCACTTGATCCTGATAATGTTGCTGATCCCAAGTATGCATCTCTGTCCACTCATGAACTTGCCAACACTGCTGCCATGCTTCACCATGATAGATGTCTCCAAGCCCTACAGTTCTTGCGCCCACACGTTGCTATCCCAGTTGGTCACTTCTTTTGTGAGGAAGGGTGGATCAGTGAAGATGAAATACCAACACGTACTACTCTTACCAATGCTACTGGCGGGTCTTTGTTCAAACGTCAGCGCAGCTCATCAGTCACTATGTCTGAATGAGTAATCTCAATATCGGATTATGGAATGCCAATGGCCTGCAACCCAGAGCCATTCAAGATACCCTTCAACACTGTCAGTCCTTACATATGCTCTTCATTACAGAAACATGGCTTCTCTCTCCCTCACATCTTCCCACATCATGGTCACAAATTCACTTGTATGGGTCTCCTGTAGCTGGCACCTATAGGGGCTCTATGGGTGTTTCTGTTCTCATATCACCTCACTGTCCTTATGCCGTCACTCAAATACCTATGCCCTCCAAATATGCTCTGGCTGTCAAAATTGGCTCACTCAGAATTGTATGCTTATATCTTCCACCAAATATGCCCACTCATGATGTCCTACATGTACTCTCTTCCATTCCTTTAACACATGATACCATTCTTTGTGGTGACTTCAATGCAAGACTTGGCTCTGTTACTGGTGACTATGCATCAAATTGTCGTGGACTGGCACTATGTTCTTGGATAGAAGAGAGATCTCTATCAGTTGTAAATGCAGATCTTGCACCTTGCATACCAACATATATTTCTTTCCGCAACAACTATGAAATCAGCAGTATTATTGACCTCTTTATAACTAATATGCCACTCATCAATCCTTCTCTTCATATTGCTACTGACTTGTCTCTTGGATCAGATCATCGCCTTTTATCACTTTCCTTTACCTATGATCTACAGCACTCTACCAATATGCCACCACCATTACGCAAGACATGGAACCTCTCACGCCTCAATGAACCTGATGTCCATGCTCTTTATGCTCATACCTTCAATCAAAACTCGACCTCCCTCCTTTCCACCTTGCAAGACATTGTACAGAATCCACCACTCACTAGACCCAACATTGATGCTATCACTGATGAGTTCAATTTACTCATTTATGACTCATTAAATAGCTCAATTGGACATCGACCCTCTCGCCCAAATCATTGGAAATCCTTCTGGAATGTAGCTTTGCAAACAGCAGCAGATCGTCGTAACCAATGTTACAAAAAAGCAGATCGTCGTAACCAATGTTACAAAAAATGGCGCCTAGCAATAGGTATTGACAAAGTTGTTTGGTGGACTAAACACAAGCATGCACAGGCCGAATTCCGATCTCAGGTTCAGCAAGCAAAACGTCAGTCTTGGCATGTCTTTTGTCAGTCTATGGAACGTGACTTCAGCAAAGCAACATCAAAGATAAAGCAGTTAAAACGCCGTAGACAGCCACAACATACTTTCCAGCACGATGATGGACCAGCCGTAGCAGCAGCAACAATGTGTGACTATTTGGCAACAGTATATAGTGGACATATACTTCCAGCAACCCGACCACCAGCACCAATGACCACTTGTAACAGTGTGCCTTTTGCCTCTGATGACTCTCCCTTTACCTCACCAATTGTAGAGGAATTCATGCAATTTATGCCTAACCGCAAGGCACCAGGACCAGACCATATCAGAGCTGAAATGCTAAAACCTGTAAAAACACATGCCTCACCCATTCTTACTTTATTATTTACAGTCTGCTGGCAATGGTCATATGTTCCAAGTTTGTGGCGCCAAGCCCAGGTCTTCCCAATCTTCAAGAAGGGTAGTCCAACTGACCCGGCAAACTACCGACCAATCTCCTTGACCTCTGTACTGCGTAAGCTTTTTGAGATGTGTATAGCCCCCCAGTTGCACAAGTACTCTCCTCCTTTGGATGTGGCTCAAGGTGGTTTTCGTCCTCGCCGTGGTGCTTTGGATCAAGCTCTCTGTCTCCATGATCTGATGAAAGCCTATTATCACCGTCATAAGCACTACCCTGTTGTTGCATTTCTGGATATCAAGGCTGCCTATGATACAGTGGATCGACGAATCATCTGGCATGCTTTACAAAAACGTTGCACTCCACCGGCACTTTTGGGTCTCTTGGTTAACATGTTTGACAATGTCTCTATCTGTGTCCTTTTGGGTAACTTTTCTTCACACTCGTTCTCACCTGCCACTGGGGTTCTCCAAGGTTCTGTCCTCAGTCCACATCTGTATTCAATATATATCAACTCCCTGCCCCCATTGCTCCGCACAGTTGCTCACTCACAAACTACAACCCATGTTCCATCACCCTCTCCTACCTCATTGGATGCATATAATGCTCTTCTTGCTCCTTCAGGTGTAGATGGCTTTGGACATATTCATTTCTCAACACCCATCAATTCTCTGCTCTTTGCCGATGATGTAGCTATTTTTGGTTCTCTTTCAGACGTTCAGGCCATGCTAGACCTTGCTGCAGACCACTCTCTTACTCTTGGATATCGATGGAGCCCCACCAAATGTGAAGTTATATATCCCAAAACACGTGCAAGCTCGCCAGTTTCTCTTCTTTTATATGGTCAAGTTCTCCCTGCCACTGACCTGTTTATTTATCTGGGTGTTCCTTTTGCCAATAAGGGTATTTCTTCCAAGTCCATTGCCACTCATAGACGTTCTGGTACACTCGCTACAATGGCAACCCTAAACTCTGTTGGTGCTTGTCGTTCTGGTTTTTCTCTGCTGCTCAGTTCACGATTGTATAAGACCTTTGTCCGCCCAAAGTTTGAATATGGTTTGGCGATCTCCACTCTACTGAAACAAGATATCAAAGTGCTGGAGTCCATTCAAGATAAGTGTCTTCGCATGATTGTTGGGGGGCATGCCACGTCCTCTACAATTGTGTTAAAGCACATCTGCAATCTGCCAAGTATGAAGTTTCGTGCTGATGCTCTTATGGCCAAGTTCTGTATAAGATCACGCTTTTTGCCAGCCCAGTGCCTTCTGTCTCTTTTGCACCATCATCATACCGTCTATTCTTCACTTGTCTCCTTGGGAAAAACCCATCTTCTGTCCAATCTCCCTCCAACACTCAAACTTCGAAGCCCTAGTGCTGTAAAAAATCATTTTGAAAGCATTAGAGAAGCTGGATTTGCAATCTTTCTCCAGTCCAATACGCAAGTTCTCATTCAAGCATGCCGCCCAGTTCTTGGAGTTGATCCAATCTTGTTTTTGCCAGCCTCACGTGTGGAACGTAGCCGTTTGATTCGTTGGAGAATGGGGTGGTTACCAGGCAAACCAAAGGAATGTCCTTGTGGATCAGATCACACCTCACGCCGCCATTTGTTGGATTGCCCACTTGTTCCTATGGCACTATTTGAACAGTTGCCTCAACCTGACCAAGATCAGATACACAGAATTGATTTTGCCATCACATCCTTGCCTTTGTCATCTCAAGAACCGCGACCTGCTTACTGGATACCACTGCTGACTATTCTCTGGCACATAGATGTTATATGTAATCCTGATGGTGACTATTCACATGAGACTGAACATGGTGCTCTTTGGATATAATTTAGACTTTTTCTTTTCTTTCATAGCTCTTCACTTTTCATTGTTCTTTACTCCCTTTATCTCTCTTCTTTCTCTTTTGTTCTTTGCTGTCTGAAAAGTTCTTTGTTCTGCAATTCTGTCTCCTCCCTTTCACTGTTACAACTATTTTCACAGCTGCAAAGTGGAGAGCAGATTCAGCCATTGAAGCTAGTATGATTTGATCTTCTCTTTCCCCTCTCTTTTTTTTGTCTTTTGTGATCCCTTGGGACTTTTTTATATCTTCTTTTTGTACTTTGGAGGCTATATGATCTATAGATCGCCAGCATTATCTCCTTTAATAAAATATAATCTTTAACCTGAGCTACATCCCCCATCTCTCTTTCACGTAAGCTACTGTTACACAAAACATAACAAAAAAAATTGGTTGCATCCATACAAAAGCTTCATCAATCCGTCCTACATCTTGTTCAAAACGTTACATCCATTGTCAAAAACATTGCATCCATTACCACTGTTGCCTTATCTATCAGCAGAAAAAATTTCAGCCGATTCCGACAACTCTTCATTTTTGCGATCTCAAATGTCAACATTGCTGCCATCCTCTGTCATGCAGGGAATGTCACCCGATCTCGCCTCATTTCTGGGGAACATGCAGGCCCAATTCATGTCACTACAACAACGTACCAATGAACTTGAATCTCTTGCCGCAACTAATGCTAGATTAACTGCTCAATTAGTTAATGCGGAAAAGCTAATTGCTGATCTCAGATCTCAATTAGCATCTCAGGGCAATTGCCAAATTACAACAAATGCATCAACATCATCTGCACCAACCACACCCAAGGAGCCTGGCACTGAGGCTTCTACATGGGCTACAACTGCTGCTGCTGCTCACAACTCTGTTGTTGTTCCTACTGCTCTTTCTGTTTGCAAGACTCCAAGACCTCCTTCTGTTCGCCAGGTTGCTGCTTCTGCTAGAATGTTTGCCATTCCCACTGGTCTCAAAGGATATCAATATGTGTATATCCCACGTTCACGTCGTCTCACACATAGAGAAGTGCGCAACTCTTTGAAAACACTTGGTGTTGATACTGGCCGCATCTTGGATATCAATTTTCCTGCCAAAGATGTAGTTGGCATCCTAGTTCACAACCAGTATGCTGAGAAATTCCAGACCACTCTGACCACAGTTGCCATTGAGATCTTAGATGCGTTTGACCCTTTGGATCCCAAAAACATTGCAGATCCCAAATATAAGTCTCTTTCTGATTCAGAGCTAGAAGAAGTTGCTGCTGAACTTCATTCTGATCGTTGTATGAAGGCTCTCAAGTACCTTCGTCCTCATGTTGCTGTTCCTGTTGGTCATTTCTTTTGTGATCAAGGCTGGATCTCTAAGGAAGATATTCCTGTCCATTCTGTTTCTGGTCCTGGTGCTGGTATTCATGATTTCCAATCACCATCTCGTCGTACCTCTGTTGCAATGTCTGAATGAGTGAAATCTCATTAGGACTTTGGAATGCTAATGGTCTGCAGCCTCGTGCAATTTATGATGTTCTTCAACACTGTCACTCTCTACATATGCTTTTTATCACTGAAACATGGCTTCTTCCCCCATCTCGTCTCCCCACTTCTTGGTCCCAGATTCATCTTTATGGTTCACCTGTAGCTGGCAACTACAGAGGTTCTATGGGTGTTTCTGTTCTTATTTCTCCATCTTGTCCTTATCCTGTCACTCAGATTCCTATGTCATCTAATTATGCTTTAGCCATCAAGATTGGTTCCCTCAGAATTGTATGCCTGTACTTACCGCCCTCTATGTCCACCCATGATGCTCTTGCAGTTCTCTCATCCATTCCTTTGACCAATGACACTATTATCTGTGGGGATTTTAATTCACGTTTGGGTTCACTTACTGGTGACTATGTGGTATTTCAGGTACGAAACAATAGAAAAATAAAATATTTGATAATAGAGACGTATAGAAATACTTTGAGACTGTATATAAGTTGTCTTTATTCATAAATAAAAAGTGTCCCTTTTTATAAGAAAACACAATCTGCTCTTGTCATTACGTCTTAGTTTCTTAAGGCTTTCTTCCTTTACTATATTTGGTTATTAGAGTGTATTTACTGCTTAACTAGTGTCGGTGTTACAATTATGACATCAAGTCATAAATCGTACTTCTTTAGCTCTTAGCTATTCTTTTCTCTTTTATACTAGAGCTTTAGGACTTCCTACTAAATTAGCTCCATATCGATCTGACACAGTTTACCCGGCAGTATGATATAATTATCTTAACAATCTTTAAGATATTATCTACAGTACTAACTGTAATAATTATTGGGCTGATTACTTAATCGTTTATATATATTTTATACTGACAAGATGATAGCTACTATGCTATCCCAATATGAATATGTTCTTATATGTGATAAATCCAACATCCGAGTGTCTGGATCACCACATTATCCCCACCCAGGTATTAACTAAATACCGTTCAAGTACTCTATGCAATTCTTCTGATCAGCTTGTTCTTTTTTTTTTTTTTTTTTTTTTTTTTTTTATTTTAAACGAGTACTGTGGTGCTCAAATAACTCTTTATTTAGACCTTACTGCGTTTCTTCTTTTGATAAGCTGTCTTTGCATAATTCTTCCTTTTAGTACCTGAATTTTCTTTAGGTGCGGAATATGCAACTTTCATATCCTTTAATAATTTCTTATTGGCCTTATTGATGTCTTTGATACCTTCTGGAGCTTCACCAATTCTTTGCCAGTATTCCTTTATGAACTTAGGATCGGTAAAATGATCCTCTGGCTCCCAGGTATCGTGAGACTCATCATAATCCAACCATTTGCATCTATACAAATAATTGTTCTTGTCATCTTTTATGTGCCCAATAATTGCTTCGACTTCAAAAAAGTCATTCTTTTGCTCTAATACCTTGTCAGAAACTTTTTTCAATAAAGAAGGAGGATAATTCCTTGGTTCTAAAAATCCCTTTTCATTTTTCAATACATAAGTATTGGCAGCAGTCTTTCTAACAACAGTGTAGAATCCCTTATACTTCGGATCTAATTTATTCTGTTTTTCTGTCACCAAAATCATTACCGTGGTTCCTGGAACCAGATCTATCATTTTGTGACTTCCATCAAAGCGTCCCTTTTGCTTTTCTGTGACATGCTTTACGTGTTCAAACACGGCAGGGTAGACTATCTCAGTCATTCTTTTAATTTTTTCTTGCAACTCTTTCTGAATCTGTTCAGCAGTTGCACTATCCTTTTCTTTACTAAAATCGACAAAGTCATTTGGATTCCTTCCAAACATTAATGAGAATGGCGTACTCTTAGTCCTAGCATTATACTTGCTATTCAAAAACAACTGCGCAGATGGCACCTTCTGATCCCAATCAGCGACATTACCAACTATTTGTTTTTTAATGGTGTTCACTGCCGACTGGACAGCTCTTTCACTTGCACCATTAGCTCTAGGATGGTACTGCGAAATCAACGCATGTTCAAAACCAACATTCTCTTTTATACATGTCATCAGCGAGTTCACAAACTCCCGTCCACAATCACTCTGCAACTTTCTTATCGGACCCCATGTACTAATGACGTCCAGTACTTGTAACGCAATCGTAGCTGCCCTTTTATCAGGTATGGCACGCAATACATAAAATTTGCTTGCGATGTCTATCATCACTAACAAGTACTCATTTCCTCTAGTCGACGTTGTAAATGGCCCAGCCAGATCTATTCCCCAACTGTCACCAGGAAGTGTTGCAGTCACAGGTCTTAAAGGATTATAACCTTTTCTTGTGATATTATGACGTTGACACTGTATACACGATTGTATAAGATCATTTGCTTGACTCTTCAAGCTGGTCCAATAGATACCTTTTCTCTTTAAGGCATGTAGTATAGCTTCTACACCAAAATGACCTTTCAAATGTTCTTCAACTAATAACTTATTCCTTTCATTTTCTGTGGGAGGAGTAAAGTACTCACCACTCAAGATGTCTGGTAGCGGTTCCATAGTGACAGCACTATTTCTCATGATGGATCTAACCACACTATCCCCACCCAGTTCATTTGATAATGTTTCAGTCTCTTCAGATAAACGTGACAACGCATCAGGAAGCACATTCGAAACACCAGGCAAATGAACGATCTTAAAGTCATACTGTAAAATCGTGTCCATCCATGCGATCATCATCAGATTCGCAACACGTTGGGTGTGAAGATATGTCAATGCCTTGTGATCCGTGTACAAGGTAAAGTGAGAACCATAGACATACTTGTGAAAACGCTTGAGTGCAAATACTAACGCTAGTAATTCTCTTTTGGTCGCAGAATACTTTCTTTCACTTTGGGATAAGCTCTTAGCCACGAAAGAAATATATTTTTTCTTGCCATCCTTGACTTGATACAACACTGCACCAATACCAGTAAGAGATGCATCACAGCTGATACTAAAAGGAGAGTTCATATCTGGGTACGACAACACCAGATCACTCAAAAGTGCTTTTTTCAAGTTATTAAATGCAGTTTGATGCTTATCTGTCCATAAATGGGTAATCGACTTTTCATTTCTCAATGAATCTAGTGGCGACATAATGGAAGATACATTCGGAATCAACGTTCTAAAATAGTTGATCAACCCACAATAACTTTGGATATCTTTACCCGTCTTTGGTTGAGGAAATTCAAGAACATTAACAAGTTTTCTGCGGTCCATTGTAATTCCTTCAGGTGAAATATGAAAACCAAGCAAATAAATTTCTTTCTGAAAGAAATGACATTTTTTCGGATTCAACTTCAAATTGACCCTTGTTAATCTCTCAATCACTTGCTTCAAGTGTTCCTTGTGTTCCTCGAACGTTTTGCTTGCACAAACAATGTCATCCACAAAAAACCGTACAAAAGATAGTCCTTCCAAAGCTATACTCATAGTTCTTTGAAATTGTGAACTGACATGCTTTATACCAAACACTGTACCAATAGGTTTGTACTGTACACCACGCCATGTGAAACTAAGTTTGTGTGTGTCCTTTGGGTTCAACCTCAAAGAATTAAACGCAGATTTCAAATCCAGAGTGGAATAAATATTCGCACCCTTTAAATCTTCAAACAATTCACCAATCAATGGCAAAGGCATACGATCAATTGACTTCAACAGGCAATTAATTAATCTGGGATCATGGCAAACGCGATATCCAGTAATTTCTCCTTTACCGTTTGTCTTCTTGACAACAGTCAAAGGCGTATTCCATTGTGTGTTTGCAGACGCTCTTTCAATTATACCATTGTCCAGCCATTCTTTCACCTGTTCATCCACTACACCTTGCATCTTGTAAGGAATGGGATAAGGGCTTCTGAACGCCGTAGCATTTTCTGGGGTGTCCAAACATACAACACTTTCAGGTATAGTACAAAACGAACCCTTAGGAATATCTTGATTGTCTTTAATGAACGGTCGAATATAATCCATAGCATTCTCAAACTGTTTGGGACCTACAGCCGGATTATTTTCCTTTCGTTCATTTTCTCTCTCAATGGATTCAAGAAGATCACTCTTATTGTTGAAGCGTCTATCGGCTTCTCTACGTTCCTCACTTGAATCAGCATCATCATATGATAAAGGTAAACCATAAATACCAATACCAAGAGAAGACATATAATCAGTACCAATACTGAAATCATACTCATGACTATTAGTTAAATTCATCACTTCAAACTCGCGTTGAATAGTCTTACTATTGCAAGTTACACTGATCACACAAGTACCGATTCTTTTAATCTGGGTATTGCTATCAGCCAAACGAATAAAATACTTATGAACATTGTTTTTGTTCAACAAATCTTTATTAATGTGATTGATGTAACTAATGGCTATTCCATTCTTCAAGCAAAAATTCTTGTCCACCGAACTGAACGTGGCCCCACAGTCCAACAAGGAGATGATTCTAATGGAATTATTTGCCAAAATAGGAAAGGTAATATTAGTGCTCATGTTCTTAAAATCTCTTTTAATAACCATGTCTTTAAGATTGTACTTACAATCTAATGCCATCTTGGCCAGAGCACTAGTGTTGTCTTGGTACTCTGACCAAGACAACGAGGGACTCCCCTCAACCACAGTGGAAGCTCTTGCTGGTCTACCAGCAGAGGAGCGGACTGCCATCCTTGACACCTTTGTCAAGTACTTCTCCCGTTCCGGACAGGAGTGTCCCTTAACCCAGGGAGCCTTGCATGAGAAACAGATGCCATCCTTCATCGCCTTCTTGAAGTCCCATGCCTTCTTGGGAGACTGAGAACCACGCTCGCGAGAGAAAGACCTTTTCTTTCCCTTGTTGGAACCAGCAGAGAGAGAGGACGCACCATTGTGAGCAGCAAACGAACTCCAGGAGGACGCGGCAGTACCATTGGCAGGATTATGTAACAAAGCAGTGGAGTCACTTGTTGACACACTCACCAACGAGATGATGTCCTCAATCTTTGAGGGCATCTTGGTGCCATAGTTGGCTGACAAAGGAATGAGACAAGCTTCCCGGACTTCCGGACGCAGATTCCACCAGAAGCAGAGAACCAATTGAACACCATCGTCCAACGAGGCCTGGCGGCGGAACTTTTGGAATTTGGCACCAAAAAAACGAGCGGATTCTCCTTTGCCTTGTTTCATGCACCAGACACGACCCATGTTCAGGAACTTATGGAACGGCGTGTCATAGTGATCTAGAAGAATACTTTCGGCCTTCTTCCAGTTGTAGGCCTTGCCTTTGAGCTTGTCCTCAAACCAAGAACGTTCTTCCTTGTTCAAACAAGTGGGCAACAGACGTTCCCAGCAGGAATCCAAGGACAGAGAGTGTGCTTCCAGGACTGTGGTAAACTCCTGGCAGAAGTCATACACCGAATCGAACACATCGCGGTTGGCCTTCACCAGAGGACCCTCAGAACGAAGCTGGAGAAAAGGTAGGTTACTGGGAACCAGAGTGCTTCTCTTGTCATGAGGCTTAGACGCAGGAGCAGTGGAAGCCTTGAGGTCCTTGAGGATTTGCTCAGCCTCAGCAAACAGTACTTGTGCTTCCTTGGCACCCTTGGAAGCAGACTTGGCAGCAGTAGAGGTGGGATCCCTCTTGGAAACACCCAAGTAGTGGCCTAGAGCGGCATAGTAGTTGCCCTTCTTAGTGTTGAGGTCCTCCTCAGCAGAAGCCAGCAACATTTCCACGGTGGCCACAAGGTTGTTGTTAACTCTGACTCCAGAGTTACCCAAATAGATGCGAGGAGAATTGGCACCCTCATAACCAGAACGGCCAGCATCGGAACCAGAAGAACCTTCTTCAGAATCAAAGGCACTGTCCTCAGAACACAAGGGAGTCATCACGGTATCACCATCGTGGTCGGCAGAACCAGCAGCAGAAGGAGGAGTAATGACACCAGAGTTGACACGGGCGGTTTCTTCACCAGAAACAATAGTAGAGTTGACAGCGGATTGTTGAGACATTTCGAGAATTCAAAGTAAAAAATGTGGTATTTCAGGTACGAAACAATAGAAAAATAAAATATTTGATAATAGAGACGTATAGAAATACTTTGAGACTGTATATAAGTTGTCTTTATTCATAAATAAAAAGTGTCCCTTTTTATAAGAAAACACAATCTGCTCTTGTCATTACGTCTTAGTTTCTTAAGGCTTTCTTCCTTTACTATATTTGGTTATTAGAGTGTATTTACTGCTTAACTAGTGTCGGTGTTACAATTATGACATCAAGTCATAAATCGTACTTCTTTAGCTCTTAGCTATTCTTTTCTCTTTTATACTAGAGCTTTAGGACTTCCTACTAAATTAGCTCCATATCGATCTGACACAGTTTACCCGGCAGTATGATATAATTATCTTAACAATCTTTAAGATATTATCTACAGTACTAACTGTAATAATTATTGGGCTGATTACTTAATCGTTTATATATATTTTATACTGACAAGATGATAGCTACTATGCTATCCCAATATGAATATGTTCTTATATGTGATAAATCCAACATCCGAGTGTCTGGATCACCACAGACTATGCTACTAACACTCGAGGTCTTGCTCTTTGTCAATGGTTAGAAGAACGTGCTCTTACTGTTGTCAATGGCCAGCTCTCACCATGCATACCTACATTCATTTCATTCCGCCAAAATGTGGAGATAAGCAGTATCATTGATCTGTTTATCACTAATATGTCCCTCACCAATGCCACTCTCAACATTCATACCGACCTCTCACTCAACTCTGACCACCGTCTGCTTTCACTTTCATTTACATATGCCATCAATCCAACATCACATGCACCACCACCATCTCGCAAAACATGGAACCTCTCACGTCTTCAAGAACCTGATGTTCTCAAACTATATGCCCACACATTTGTCACTAATTCCACCAACCTCAAATCCACTTTGCAATCGACCTTCGAACACCCTCCTTCCTCACGTCCACCAATTGATGCACTAACTGATGAATTCAACTCACTCATTTATAATTCTTTAAGTAGCTCAATTGGCAACCGTCCTCCCCGTCCTTCCCACTGGAAAAAATTCTGGAATCCAGTACTTCAAGCAGCTGCAGAGCACCGCAATTTCTGCTACAAGAAATGGCGCCGTGCATGTGGTATAGACAGAATTCATTGGTGGGATAAGCATCTCAAAGCGCAGGCAGAATTCCGACATCAAGTGCAATTATCTAAGCGCCAATCATGGCATGCTTTCTGCAAATCAATGGAACAAGACTTTTCCAAAGCAACATCAAAGATCAAGCTACTCAAACGCCGACGGCAGCCTCAGCACATGTTTCAACATAGTGATGGACCAGCAACAGCAGCAACAATTATGTGTGAGCATCTTGCATCTGTATACAGTGGCAGTATCCTCCCAGATCAGCGTCCTCCTCCTCCTCTTCACAGTACTAGTCTGCCTTTTGCCTCTGCCAACTCGCCATTTGTTTCTTCAGTGGTAGAGGGATGCATGCAATTTATGCCTAACCGCAAGGCACCAGGCCCAGATCACATCAGAGCAGAAATGTTGAAAGTAATTCGACCACAAATTGCTCCACTACTCTCACTCTTGTTCACCATCTGTTGGCAATGGTCATATGTACCTGTTATTTGGCGTCAGACTCAAGTTTTTCCCATTTACAAAAAGGGAGATCCATCAATTGCTGCTAACTATCGACCTATTTCACTAACTTCTGTTGTGCGGAAACTGATGGAAATGTGTATTTCTCCAGTGCTTCACAAGTTTTCCCCTCCTCTGGATGTTGCTCAGGGTGGTTTCCGTCCTAGACGTGGTGCCATGGACCAAGCTCTCTGTCTGCATGACCTCATGAAAGCACACTTCCACCGCCATCACCATTATCCTGTTGTTGCATTCTTAGACATAAAGGCAGCTTATGATACAGTAGACCGACGAGTCATTTGGGATGCTCTTGCTAGACGTCACACACCACCAGCTTTACTTGGACTTCTTGTCAATATGTTTGATAATGTCTCTATATCTGTTCTTCTTGGCAACTTCTCTTCTCATTCTTTTTCTCCCACCACAGGCGTCCTTCAAGGTTCCGTTCTCAGTCCACATTTGTATTCAATCTATATCAACTCCCTGCCACCAATACTCCGCACAGTTGCATCACCACTCACCTCAACACATATCCCATCAACCTCTCCTTCCTCATTGGATGCTTACAATTCTCTTCTTGCCCCATCAGATGTGAATGACTTTCAACACATTCACTTGCCTACTGCCATTAACAGTCTTCTTTTTGCTGATGATGTTGCTATCTTTGGCTCTGTCACTGATGTTCAGAGTATGCTTGACCTTGCTGCCCAACACTCCTTCCAGCTTGGCTACCATTGGAGTCCTTCAAAATGTGCTGTACTCTATCCTCCTTCACGATCTTTACCACGTTCTACTATCTCTCTGTATGGCGAGTTGCTTCCTGCAGTAAATGAGTTTATATACTTGGGTATACCTTTCTGTAACAAAGGCATCTTTGGACCGTCTGTTGTCACTCATCGTCGTTCTGGAGCATTGGCTGCTATGGCAACTCTTACTGCTGTTGGTGCATGTAGATCTGGTTTCAGTTTGCTCTTAAGTTCACGTCTGTTCAAAACCTTTATACGACCAAAATTCGAGTATGGTCTTGCAATCACATGTCTTTTGCAAAAAGATGTTTTACTTCTAGAGAAAATTCAAGATAAATGCTTGCGAATGATTGTTGGTGGCCATGCAACTTCATCTACTGCAGTCTTGAAACATATCTGCAACCTGCCCAGTATGGCTTTTCGCGTTGACATTCTCAAAACAAAATTTTGTCTTCGGGCACACACTCTTCCTTCTGGTTGTCTTCTCTCTCTGCTCCATTCTCATCATCTCCAAGCATCAACACTATCCACTCTTCACACAAACCCTCTTTTTGCCAGCATTCCCCCTGATCTTAATTGCTCCAGCCGCATAAAACTATCCAAGCACTTTGAGTCTTTTAGACAAGAAAAGTTTGCTCACTTTCGTCTCACCAACACTAAGATTCTCATCCAAGCTTGCCATCCTCTTCTTGAAGTTGATCCTGTATTGTTTCTTCCTGCTACACGCATAGAACGTGGCCGTCTAGTACGTTGGAGAATGGGCTGGTTGCCTGGTAAGCCAAAGGAGTGTGCATGTGGCTTTGATCATACTTCAAGACGCCATCTCCAATTCTGCATCACAATCCCATCTCAGCTGTTCTCTCAACTTCCAGCACCACCCACAGATGAAGACAACATCATTGACTTTGCTATATCAGCACTACCAATCTCGTCTACACATCCAAGCCCTCTATATTGGAAAGCTCTTCTTACAATACTATGGCATATTGACATGCTATGCAATCCTAATGGCAACTACACACATGAAACCAATCATGGTTCTCTCTGGCACTAGCTCTAATAATTTAATATCTGTTTTCTTTTACTTCTTTTCTTCTTATTTTTGTCTTCTCATTCATGAAATGTTTCTAGATCTGCAACTCTGTCTCCTCTCTTTCACTGTTACAACTTTTTACACAGCTGCAAAGTGGAGAGCAGGTTCAGTCTTTTAGCTTAGTATTGTTTATTTCTCTTCTTCTATTCATTTTTTTTTGTCTTTTGTGATCCTTTTGGACTTTTTTTTATCTTTTTCTTTTCACTGCAAAAGGAGGGCCAATTCAGTATACTAAATCTTGACCAAATACTGTCTGAATGAATAAAATTCAGCATGAATTCGATCGGAATTTATGATGCCAATTTTTTAAAATTCGTGAGCTAAATGAATACAATTAGTATACTGAATTTTAGGAACGCAAAAAGAAAAAGTGTGATATACTTTTATGTGATATATTTTGGTCGTGAAAATATAGACGCACTTTTATCAGACCGCAGATTTTTCATTTTATATTGGTTTTGGGGTTTTTTTTTAAATACAGCACATAACATTCAACATCTTTTTATTACTATATATGGGTTGTTAAAGAAGAGATTTGGTCAAGATTTGGTCAAGATTTAGTCAAGATTTAGAGGTTTATGGGTCATTTTAAAGGTTTTTATTGGTTTAAAAAAATTTTCTTATTGTTTCTAGCTGTTTCTATTCGTCTACATCACTAATCGTCTTCTGTTGCAATTGGGTAGAAACATCACACTCGATGCCGTCATTTATTTTAGTGGATACTATGTTATTCCTTTCGAACATCCATTGGTCCACCCCTGGTGCAATCGACCCCTACTGTATTCCATTGCTTGCTGCGGCACGCCTTCTTGGCCTGTTTGTTTACTTTTATAAAAAATAATTATAGGGTGGATTAGAAAGAATGTTCTAGGTATATTTATTTGAGAGCGACAGATTATTTAAAAAATATGAATGTACTTACAATAAAGTTAAACATGAGAACAGATGGATGTCTTTAACATAAAGATAGATATATCAACGTTTTAGTTAAATGTCTCAATTATAGTAATATTGTCTATAAAAATAATAACTTTTGTTAATACGATGCAAAGTAAATAAGACTATGGTTTGCTTACCAGACAGTTCAGAAAACAGAAGAGTTGACAAACACAAAATACAATGACATTGTCTATAAAATATAATCTTTTATTAGAATGAAATAAAGAGTATCAGACTATTTTTTGCTTACCAATTATTCAATACAATAGAAGATGCAGCATGCGGAAAATGGAGATATTATCTATAAAATAATTTCTTTTCATTAGAATTACATACAAAGAAGTAGAATGATTATTTACTTACTTGTCTGTCTGTAGAGAATAAGAGTCGGTGTATAATCAAAAAAAGAGGACCGAGATAAAGACCAGTGACTATAGAGTGTATGGTATACATAAGAAAAATAATAAATACAAGTTGTATCTTGAAGGTGCACGTTAATACTTATACAACATACCATTTTGTAAACCCTCCCAAGGTATATGTCTTTGTTAACGGGCCAGAAAAATCTAAGCAGAATAATTAATACATAAATCGTGAATAAATATTCAAGTATATTTTTATTACCTTTTTATCATTATTTTTGAGGCAGTTAAGAAGGACTTGGTGGTTTAAAGCATAGTGTATCATGCTAGAATAAAAACAACAAGATGATTAGGTCTTGAAACTTTGATGTGAGTTGATGCTTACCATGTTAGACATTAAGAAAGAAGTAAAGAAGAAGAAAGAAAAAATTAAAAAAAAAAATGGGGGAAATTCAAAATTATAATTTTATGACCGTTGACCCTGAGAAACTGATAGAATCAATGGAGCAAATTGAAAGTCATTCAACCCATCCCAATTGAGACAAGACATTACGTACTAAACCATAATCTCTCACATCTTTGTAATAGATGTAAGCTATTACAAATGCCTTTCCAAGTCGGCTTATAAAGAAAAGTATAATATAGAGAGCAAAATGCTATAAAGAGCATCATCAGAAAAATAATCTTTTGGTGCCTTACTTTCCACCTTTACGTATGTTTTGATTTATTTTATTATTTTAAAGAAACCCGACTCTAATTATTAAAGTATTCACATTGTTTCCATTTCTTTCATTAGCCTTAAATATCTCAATTCATGTCTTCTAATACGCAGCAATCCAAAAAAACGAAAAAGACGACTACAAAAAAGTCTGTTCAACAAACCACTGGGACAGCAGCAAGCACAAGACAACGGGAAATTCTTCCCAGCTTGACAGTTAGCGCAGAGCTAGATGGTACTGTCCTGTCCACTTTGTCCACCATGAGCACCCGACTGAATGAATCTCATTCACTTCTGGAGAAGGTCTACCACAACATGGGAGCAACCAATGGCCAGAATAACAATTCGAACCATAGTCCCATCGGTCAGGCTCTTACTACAGGAGAATATATAAAGTACCGCCTTCCAACGGTTTTGGTAGGATATATACTAGTAATAGAATATTGCAAAGTTACTTACATTATATTTTGCAGAGATTGATCCGTTCTCAAACACGAGCAGTTCTGGCAACAATGCCATTGACAGTCAATGAGGGCGCCTTCTCGACATCCAACCGTCCCATTGCTGATGTAGTGCAGAGCTACACACATCAGCAAGCTGAAGTAAAGTCTGTTTCGTCTGCAGTTGTGGAAGAGAAAACCCGAAGACATATTTTGTATATGCTTCAAAGGGCAAAAGCTTTGCCAGAAAAGATAGCTCGACAAAATCGGATTTCTCGACGCCGGTCCAGAAAGAGAAACGTAAGTATAGTCAACAGTTTTTGTGTAAACTATTTTAACTTTTTTTTTCAGATTCTTGCAGACTACAAGGCAATTCACTTAGCTGACAAGGCAAACCTTGAGTCTAAGTTTGGTGAGACTGTCGTTGACCTTCTGGACTATGACATGTTGTCTGATATTGAGTCAGATGAGGAGAAAAATAAAACTAGATATACTCCTAGAAATAGACATCTCTTGGTAAGGCTCTCATGATAAAAGTTATTTTTTTTAATACTTCTAACTCAAAAGTATTTATATTATAATGCAGGTGGATGAATACTTTACTGTTTTGAAGAAACAGAGACTTGCTAACAAGGGACCAGACGTCATTGGCAATTCTGTCTATCTAATTATTTTGAGAAACACTGAGTTATCGAATGAGAAAAAGGCACATGTTGCTGCTTGGATTCACACACGCCAACAATAAATCGTTATTTTGTTTACAAAGTGCATATAGTACTTTAATGATTTTTATTGATTGTGTTGAATAATGTGGGGTGAAGTGGTAAAATATAATCAGGCGGTATTGTCAAGATGAGAAGCAATTAATATATAAATAAAAGGAAAAAGAAAAAGACAAAATCAAAAATCAAAATAATAAATTATTTATTTTATTTTATTTTATTTTATTTTATTTTAAAGCCAATTAATAAAAAATATATATATACAAAGCAATTATTTAATTATATAACCCTGATTGTTTTATCCTCGTTTTTTTTTATTGGAAATTATAATACCGATATTAGCAAGAATATGTAATAAAGGCAAAGAAAATGGTAAATGTCGGGTATTAAATATACAAGTTTTTTTGTCTTTTATATTATTGATAAAAGCAAGAGAAATAAATAATGGTTTTTACTATTTGTTAATAGTTAAAAAAAACTGGTAATATAATTTACTATTGCTCTTTTAAATACTTAATAAAGAAGTAATGTTAAAACTAAATAAGAATACAGAGATAAATAAAGCTAAACCTTTTTACAGTCAAAAAAACTTCTATTATAATTATTTATACTGGTAACCTAAATAGTTGTTATTTATTTTTTTATGTGACTACTTTTCTAGGCAGTGGAATAACCAGGTGCTTTTGCATCCCACTCTGCATTTTATGCGTAGTCAACGCAAAGCACGAATGCAGACGATGCACTGGAACAATGCACAAAGCATCTTCTTCCATAAATCCCTTGTCTCACAACTGCAGACCTTGATCAGCTAATGGCTGATGACTACTTGAATGGTAGGCGGGAAACCATTTAATGAATGCGAATGTTGACACTCTTTTGACTCCACCGATCTTGATGGTATGAGTAAATAAATACTCTATTTGACCAGGGAATTCAGATACATCGTCATTTGTTCTCTCAAGAAACAATACCCTCACAAAAGACCCGCGCTTCTTCTTTTCACCACTGCAGTACTCTTGCCCCAGCAACGAAATCTTCTTCACCTTTTGAATCCGATTGTTCACAAATACATCCTCACCAATTGGGATTCTCCCTACCACACAGAAGGAAACACTTGTACTCCGGTAAGCCTTGACATAGAATTCAAATAACCACTGATAGTGATCATCCTTCATCATAGTCAAAGGCTGCAACTTGATTGGCAATGTGGTCGGGGGCAAGGCCTCACTTCCGGTGACATTGTACCATGGATTTGTAGCAGCTTGCTGGAACATTGCTAAGCTAAATGGCAATGCAGGAGGGTGGCCAGCATCCAAATTCAAGGGAGAAGAGCTGTCGGAATTTGATTTTACTTGGGCAACCCCCTCAAGGAACTCTATCAGTGGTGATGAAAGATTGGTAGAATACGCTCGAAGAAAGCTACCAATGAATGCTTTCTCCAGGAAGACTCTCATGAAGGTGACCTCAAGACCATTGCGACGGTTCGTCTTGATGTTCTTCAACTTGCCGTTGTATCTCTCGAAGCTATACAGTCAGAATGCGTATACCGGACCAAAATTAAGCATTGACTCACGCAAGTGCATATGCAAGTGCATATTTGGCGTGATGCTGCTCTCTCCATAAAGAGTCTCACACTCTTTTCCGAATTCTCCAAGGAGCTGGTGTGCGCTGTCAATTTCTGAATATGTGACTGAAGGACCGGTCAACTTTCGGCATGCTTTTACAAAGAGAGTCCAGTTTTTGTAGTCGTCTTCAGGCAAAGCGTCTTTTAGTATCACCAACGAATAAATCAGACACCACGATCGCCACTCGTCTGCCTTCATATATGGGAAACCAGATTCGATCTTTGTTGATAAAACGGCATACCCAGGAGGAACAAGAATACCATCGGCAAGACGTTGCATACGGACGAGAACAGCAGTTGGGAGATACCTCAGGTCTTTCCAAACACTGATCATACGCTTTGCTGTCCCAAGAAACAAATTGTGCATGGGATCAACAATTGTGCATCGGACGGGATCAAAGTAGTGTAGGCGATGCAACTCGGAAAAACAGGTGCCATGCTGCTTCTCCAAAACAGCTCTCTCTGCATCAGATTCTGCGCAGAACCACATCTCAGCTTCGGTTGCATTTTCCTCTTTTGTTCAGGAGACCCAGTTCTCATGATCGAATCCAGAATAATTGATCTTACTTGTTCCAGCAACAACAGTGAAATGACGCTTGCATATGTGACAGGCGTTTGTACTTGCAAATCCTGTAAATCCAGCAGTCTTTCTTGCAGCAGGTATGTCGCAAGCAACACACATAAGAGCAGCGCGGATACTAGTACCATTGGGGAACTCTGGAGTTTTCATAGTTATGCCGCCGTATAACTCTACCAGCTCGTCTACCAGAGGTTCCAAGAAGTTGTTCATCTGGTCGATCTTCGCTTCCTTTGGACCAGGCATGACACTGACAAGGATAATGTTTTCTGGCTTCATTCTTTCTTCCCTAGGCAGGTTGTTCATTGACAGGTACAAGGCCCCACTTGCATGTGTACGACCCTCGAACGGTTGAAACCAATCCACATTCAATGTCAACATCAAAGAATGGTCGTGATTCACAAAAGGCTCGTCATCTTCATCAAGGAGCTCAGACCACATTGCACCATCATAGATGTCCAACAAGGTACTGTTTACGGTTTCCCTTGATCTCCATTGAACGATTTGATGCTCGAACCCAGGTTTGGCGAAATGCTGTGCCAATGCATTCTTGAGCGAGTTGTATGGAAAAACCATGAGAGGGACGGCGCGATCAGCTTCGGTGTCAGAGAAAAGAGGATTTCCGCAGTATGTTGGTGGTGTGGTTGTGAATTTTTCGAATGTGCAATTTGGTTGGCGATTGCCTGGTAGGTAAATTGCAAAGCACTTGTTGCAGACGGTGTATTTGACGATGCTTTTTGTCATGAAATTGAAGCCGGTCATAGTCTTTAATGCATCAATGGTGAGTGGGAGATCGGTATCCTTATCAAAGGCAACAAGAAGATGGCAGAAGAATTTCAACATAGCAGTTCCACCTGCTTGAACCAAGTAAAACGCCTGAAAGATAACGCCAAATAGAGCCATGAATTGGCTTGTTTGAGACATTTCATGAATTTTCAAAGAAGCAACTACAAAGGCAAGTATTTCTGTTAATTATTTGTAACACAATTTATGTATATTTCTTTTTTAAATGTATGCATACCGGAAGCAACCATGTCTTCAAAATCTTCAACACCGGCAACCTCAACTTCGCTCTCATCTTCAGACTCATTGCTTGAATCAGGATCGTCATTGTCAGAAGCCAATGATGTTGTCTCGACATCAGACTCTTCGAATTGAAAAATCTCGTCTTCTCTCAAAAAAGGTACACTCTGTACGGTAGTTTCGGCTGATACAATAGAATAATTGTCTTCATCTATAGTAAAACCAGACTATTAGCTATCTAAATTATGATTTATTAAAAAGAAATTTTATACTCACAATCAATCGATGTTTCAGATACATCTACCATCTCAACGTCTGTCTCTTCTTCGACAACTTCTGTATTAACTGATAATTAACAAAAAAAATATTAGATTACAATTTATCCAGTAATGCACGTACTACTCAAATGTCATTTACCTCGATTTTTTGGGCCAATGTCTAATAACTTATCAGCATTATTATGACGCTTAAAGGTCTGTGCATTTTGCAAAATTCCGCCAATTGCATTTTTGGTACATGATGAACATGTACACATAGCAGTGTAGGTTTTAGTTGTAGAATTCATAACAGTAAGAATAATATTAATAATAATAAAATAATAAAGAGGTGTATACTATATTTTATTTTCATCTTTTATATGTCTCTTATTTTTGTCATTAATAATGAGTTGATATATCTTGTTCACTATGTCATTGACTACATTGAGCTTACCGTCCCTATTAGTAAGAATTACAAATGGATTTTGATGCAGTGATCTTTTCTTAAAAAAAGTGTGCCTGATTATTAATGGGGCTTCAATTTAATAATCACTGATATAATGGCGTAGTTTTTCTCTTCCGCGTTTTTTTAACATGACATCAATTCTCGCTCATTTTGGCAAGTGGCCTTTTTTGGATTTTCTTTTTCTTGTATTTTTTATGACATCAATTCTTGCTCTTTTTTTCAATTTTTTTTGATATACTTTCTTATTAAAAATAAGTCATATATCATACATTATTATATTCTAATAAAATTCAGTATTTTTTGCAATGCAATAAAAATATTATTGAGTCTAAATTAGGTGCATCTGTAACAACAAGTTTTTCCTTCCAGAAAAATAATTAAATACTACATTTAACATTTAATATTTTATTTTTATTTTTTATTTTTCTGCCAAGTCAATCGAAATATATATTTTTTAAGACAATTGTGCGATTTATTGCCTAATTAATAAATATTTGTGTTTGTATCTGTGTTTATTTAATATAATCAGAAAAAATTGCGAATTCCCATCTCAAGAAAAAAATATATTGAAAAACGATGGTGTTTGAAATATTTTTCCAAATTTTGCCAAAATTCAAAAAATAAAATTCGACCAAATCCACCCTCCTTTTGCAGTGTTTGTACTTGGGAGGCTATATGATCTATAGATCGCCAGCAATATCTCCTTAATAAAAATAATCTTTAATCTGAGCTACATCCCCCACTGCTCTTTCGCTTAAGCGTTTTATTTGCCTGGTTCCAAAATTTTATTTTTGACGAATCCACATATAAAGTGTATTCATCCATCAACATCTTTACGCAAAACGATCCATCCATCACGAAAAACGTACCTCCCATTGCCAAAAGTAGTGCAGTCCTTGTCCTTGGTATCCCAGCTGTCAGCAAAAAAAAAATTCAGCTCAATCAGACAACATCACGCCATCTGCATTCTCAATCCCAATGGCCAATTTGCAAATCGGCAACATGCAGGGATTACCAACCGAGCTTACCTCATTCCTGACGACATTGCAGGCACAAATCATGAATGTGCAAAACAGAACCGACCAGTTGGAGCGACTTGCAGCAGAGAATGCAAGACTAACCACTGAATTAGACCATGCTAGAACAACAATTGCTAATCTGCAGAAGCAATTAGGATCTCAGAGTGCACCTGAAAAAAACTTTTCAGAAATTTCATTTTCGAACCCAGCCGGCGCAGTACACCACAGCAGATTTTTTTGTGTAATCTTGTTCCTTAAAAGGATTCTTGTATATGGGGCGAATTTTGCCCATAACAGGAAATTCATTTTTTTGGGGGACTGAAAAGTGGGAGGATGGGGGGACTACTCTCGGCCAATAGATTTCGATTAAAAAATGTACTGCACAATTTCAAAAATGGTTCAAATTTTTAATTTGTTTCAAATAATTTTGGGTTGTAAAAAATTTATTTTTTATTTTCGAAAAAAATTAGGCTAAAAAAAAGCTAGACTGGACCATAAAATCCACAGGCAGTAGCACACCAGTATATTCGTACCACTAGAAACACTAGTAGTATAACTGTTTGTACTTATGCCTGTAAATTACGTGATTGGTTTGCTGCAAACTACTATGCCTAGCTAATTCAAGAGACCCGGTGCCAGAAATTCCAATAAACCCAAAGAGCATAAAGATTTGAATTTCGAGAAAAGCTAAAGCAGAAGAACTAATAATTAGTAATTAAACTTAGTTATATATATTTAACAGAATTTTACCTTTGACTCTATTAAGGCATTTGCAATAAAAGGCAGCCAAATCTCTGCAAGTGAGGAGTAAATAGTTAGTCTTCTGTTGCTTTGTAAGAGGAACATGTAGTTATTACCTCTTTATTGATTTACCGAGATGATGAAAAACTAATTTATAAACTAGAATTGTATGATTAATAAACACAATGACATAAAAAACTTTGATAGCATAAATACCTTTGAGCTTACGGTCTTTAAGCAAAATTCTGCTTCTATAAATACTATAAGCATACTGGAATATCTTACAAATGGAAGCTCATGCAAATAATAAATATTTTGTGGAAAAGTAAAATGAAAAAGAAGACAAAAACACGCGATATTTTCTTAAAAGAAAAGAAGTAAAAAAAATTCTAATTGGTCCGCTGACATTAAATATCGATCTTTCCACATTTTATAAATTCAATTATTTTCGCAAAGTCATTTTCCCCCCTTTGTTTTTACAATCAATTTACTATTATGCAAAAGAATACAAGACAAGAAACATATAAAATCGTTAAGACTCGCCCCCCTAAAAGGCAAGGCGAACTTAACTTTAGCATCAATTCAGGTGTTTTTGCCTGCTCTGAATGCGAAAAAGAGTTCGAAAAGCCTTGGTTACTGAAAAGGCATTCGAAGGTTCACCATATAAGTAATCAAATGGCAACCAATACTGTACTCGACGAACCCAAGCAGGCCGAATTGATAGTCGAGAACACTATTCCGGATGCTAATGCATTTGATTACTCGAGTGACGAAGATGACTCCTCCAGTATCGGGGATGAAGAAGACAACATTATAGACGAGGAAAACGATATTGTCGATAATTTCTTTGATATTGAAATGAACAGTAATCCAGTTTTCAACGCGTTCTCTGACATGTTTTCTTCTGCTGCTGCTGCTGATGAGGTATCAATGACCGATGATGACTCTGAGATCCCGGAAGAAGTCTTTGAGACAATTGGCGCTGTAAATGACCCTACAAGCTGTTATCCTTTTCGCGATCTTCAAACCATGATCCTTTTCGCTTTTATCGATGGGGATAATGACATGATCTCCCAGCGAATGTTGAAGAAGATACTGCTTGCGATGAACTTGATCATTAAGATCCAGCAAGAAACTCCCATAGGAAGAACATTTAAGTTACCTCATTTGGATGCTCTTTTAAATTATCAGGCAAGAAAGAAGTCCAAGATGCCTGTCTTTCCTTCACAAAGAATATCAGTACCTGGATCAAATGGGAACGCATTCGCCCACATTAACCTTCTGTCCGACCACTTGAGATTTCTTATGGCAAACCCAAAGAAATCCAAGTTGATCTCGTCCATGCCCAATCGTACCCCAAACCAATCGATCTGTTTGGAACAAGGTGAAAAGTGGAGAACCCACCATCTCTTTCAGCAGCCTATGCACACTGTAAATGGTATAGATGTCTGGTTTGGAAACATCGTTTACTTGAAGACAAACGATTGCAGCATCCGCTTTTTGGTTGAATCGTTCCACACGGCAAATAAAAACATTTTTGCGAGAGGGTATCTGGTCAGAGCGATTTCGATTGTATGCTATGGCGTTGAGGTTGCTGTTACCGATCTTAGAGTAGAGCAGATCTCTCACGTTGACACCACTCCTGTTGAAAGATATCACTACTACAGTATCTCAAGTAGCCTTACCAGATTGAGTCCTGCTCATGACTTTCTTCTTTTTGGAGTTCATCCAATGAAGAAGCCTATGCCTCTTTCTGTTTTGCCCGGTAATGTAGATCGCGATGCAGTGTTTTACAAAGTTAGGATTGTTTCAATCATCCTTTTTACAGACGACACTTCCGGCAATCGTTCAAAGCAGTACAATCCGTTTGAAAGCTGGTTAATGAGATGCGCTGCCTTGCCTTTTAAGGATCGAAATTCGATAGCAAACATCCAGTTTCTTTCTACAATCCCTAAGAAAGATGGTGCAAATGGTATGTCTCTTCTGCCAGCAATCGTTGATGACTTTAAGAAACTCGAGAAAGGTGTAAAAATGTTCTCCGCTGAAGACAATGAGTATGTTCTGGTTGTTGCTCCCATCCTTTGGATTGAGGCTGACACGCCATGTCATTCGGAACTTTGCGGATTGCTTGGGCCGGCCACCACATTTCCTTGCAGAAGATGCTACATCGAACTTAGACGTGCAAAAGACTTTGTGAAGGACTTGTCCTACTTCTGTGAGTGCCATGAGAGACGAACTCGAGAGCACTATGTTCTTGCAAACTCGTTACCTGGCAGAGACACTGAGATCCCAAATGCTCCGAAAATTGGAATGAACACGCCTGCAAACGAGATAAGCTTTAGAGATCGTTCGACTGGCCGCTTATTAGAATTGCAGTCGTTTGATCCAGAAAAGGATACACCAGTGGAAATCCTCCACACGATACTTCTTGGTGTTGCAAAGTATATGGTAATTGACTTGGTTAAGGTCGTGCTTAAGAATGATATAGCCACAATAGCAAGACTTTCAGAATTCTTGACAGATTACACGCGATCAACTGGTCTATCAAGAAAGTTCACCCGAAACTTGAGACATAGTGGTTCATTCCTTGGTAGAGATTTCAAGGTTCTGCTTCAAATACTTCCTGTAATTCTGATTACAGAATTCTCTGGAAATCATGAGCTAGACCTTGTAATACCATGCTTTGTTGAACTTGGCCGATTGTGTTCTCTGGTATTCGTTCGTCAGGTGACATCAGACTTTGATAACTATATTATCAGAGTAGATAATGCAGTGAAGCGCTTGATCAGAGCATTATTTGACTACGATAAAGGAACCAAGAACGAGCTCCACAAGGCATATTGCACCAAGCCGAAAGTTCATTACTTGACACATCTCAAGGAAGATATAATTCGTTTTGGCCCAGCCCTCAATTATGAAACAGAAAAGGGCGAACAGTTCAATAAGCATATTCGCGAACATCTGTTTCATACGAATCGCCAAAACACTTCCAGGGATGTTTGCCTAAAGTTTGCAAAGCAGGTAGCATTGCAACATGTAATTGACGGCGGGTCGTGGATTAATAGCTCTGGCAACCGAGAGAAGTCTGGAACTGGAATAGAGAGGTTCATTAAGGACAACAATGAATCTTTGTTCTATTACACCTTCTTTGGCGGCTCGAGAGAGCTAAAGGACAACAACGACACTGGAGATATTGAAGATGACGCCGTCCAAAACAACAGTTTTGGCGCGTTTGTTTTTAAAGATGATCCAATCTCTCGCCCTCGTATAGGACTTGTCTCAGGCTCTGTTGTTAAGTTTCTTAGCATTGTTCCTCGTACGGATAATGACAGAAACAATAACTATGCCAAGGCTGTAATGACAGATGAGCATTCTGATGTTGCTAACATGAATCTCGTTTGTAAGTTAGATTTGCACATTTTCCGCAACCCATTTTACATTGTAAATTTGAGCAAGTTCGGTTCCTACTGGTTCATTTTCAATAATATTCTTTTTGATGAATAAAATGATGCTACTTCTTTATTATTATTATAATTATTATTTGAACCTTCTGTTTTCTTCTTCTCAACATCAATTTTTTTGCGTAATTTCTGTGAAGTCATTTTTTGGTTACTCAAACCAACCCCCAACTTTCCTTAATAAATCCTTTGTCTCACTTGAACACTTTCTGACTTCCCTAACAGTTTTTTTTCTTACTTTAAAAGCCCACAAGTAGTACTGAACTTAATTTTATCCTTTATTCGGATGAAAAAAATTGAGTACGAAAACAAATTACAATATTTTGGCCTCTAAGCCAATCATATTGCTTAGGTGCCAATTTTCACCCAAAATGATAACAAAAATCTCTGGTGGTGTAGTTGCTCCTGACAAAAACAAAGAACCAGGTCTGGAAGTCTCCACTTGGGCTACTAAAGCCAGTGTTTCTCTTCCTGTAACTGCCCCAAAAATGTCTACTGTTCTCTCTGCTCGCCGTATTGCAGCTTCTGTTTGTATGTTTGCTCTTCTCTCTGGTCCTTCAGGTTATGAATATGTTTATATTCCAAGATCAAGACGCCTTAAGCACAAAGAAGTCCGTTCCTCTCTCTGCACTCTTGGTGTGGATTCTTCTCGACTTTTGGACATTAACTTCCCAGCCAGAGGTGTCATTGGCATCCTTGTTCATGTCCAGTATGCTGATACATTTAAGGCCAAACTGACAACTGCTTCCGTTGAGATTTTGGACGCATTTGATCCACTTGACCCTGATAATGTTGCTGATCCCAAGTATGCATCTCTGTCCACTCATGAACTTGCCAACACTGCTGCCATGCTTCACCGTGATAGATGTCTCCAAGCCCTACAGTTCTTGCGCCCACACGTTGCTATCCCAGTTGGTCACTTCTTTTGTGAGGAAGGGTGGATCAGTGAAGATGAAATACCAACACGTACTACTCTTACCAATGCCACTGGTGGGTCTTTGTTCAAACGTCAGCGCAGCTCATCAGTCACTATGTCTGAATGAGTAATCTCAATATCGGATTATGGAATGCCAATGGCCTGCAACCCAGAGCCATTCAAGATACCCTTCAACACTGTCAGTCCTTACATATGCTCTTCATTACAGAAACATGGCTTCTCTCTCCCTCACATCTTCCCACATCATGGTCACAAATTCACTTGTATGGTTCTCCTGTAGCTGGCACCTATAGGGGCTCTATGGGTGTTTCTGTTCTCATATCACCTCACTGTCCTTATGCTGTCACTCAAATACCTATGCCCTCCAAATATGCTCTGGCTGTCAAAATTGGCTCACTCAGAATTGTATGCTTATATCTTCCACCAAATATGCCCACTCATGATGTCCTACATGTACTCTCTTCCATTTCTTTAACACATGATACCATTCTTTGTGGTGACTTCAATGCAAGACTTGGCTCTGTTACTGGTGACTATGCATCAAATTCTCGTGGACTGGCACTATGTTCTTGGATAGAAGAGAGATCTCTATCAGTTGTAAATGCAGATCTTGCACCTTGCATACCAACATATATTTCTTTCTGCAACAACTATGAAATCAGCAGTATTATTGACCTCTTTATAACTAATATGCCACTCATCAATCCTTCTCTTCATATTGCTACTGACTTGTCCCTTGGATCAGATCATCGCCTTTTATCACTTTCCTTTACCTATGATCTACAGCACTCTACCAATATGCCACCACCATTACGCAAGACATGGAACCTCTCACGCCTCAATGAACCTGATGTCCATGCTCTTTATGCTCATATCTTCACTCAAAACTCAACCTCCATCCTTTCCACCTTGCAAGAAATTGTACTGAATCCGCCACTCACCAAACCTGACATTGATGCTATAACTGATAAGTTCAATTCACTCATTTACAACTCACTAAATAGCTCAATTGGACATCGACCCTCTCACCCCAACCATTGGAAATCCTTCTGGAATGTGGCATTACAAACAGCAGCAGATCATCGTAACCAATGTTACAAAAAATGGCGCCTAGCAATAGGTATTGACAAAGTTGTTTGGTGGACTAAACACAAGCATGCACAGGCCGAATTCCAATCCCAAGTTCAGCAAGCCAAACGCCAGTCTTGGCATGTGTTTTGTCAGTCTATGGAACGTGATTTCAGCAAAGCAACGTCAAAAATAAAACAGTTAAAACACTGTAGACAGCCACAACATACCTTCCAGCATGACGATGGACCAGCCGTAGCAGCAGCAACAATGTGTGACCATTTGGCAACAGTATATAGTGGACATATACTTCCAGCAACCCGACCACCAGCACCAACAACGACTTATAACAGTGTGCCTTTTGCCTCTGATGACTCTCCATTTAACTCATCAATTGTGGAGGAATTCATGCAATTTATGCCTAACCGCAAGGCACCAGAGCCTGATCATATCAGAGCTGAAATGCTAAAACCTATCAAATCACTTATTTCACCTGTTCTTGCTTTGTTATTTACAGTTTGCTGGCAATGGTCATATGTCCCAAGTCTTTGGCGCCAAGCACAAGTTTTCCCCATCTTCAAGAAGGGTAGTCCAACAGATCTGGCTAACTACTGGCCAATCTCCTTGACTTCTGTACTGCGTAAGCTTTTTGAGATGTGTATAGCCCCCCAGTTGCACAAGTACTCTCCTCCTTTGGATGTGGCTCAAGGTGATTTTCGTCCTTGCTGTGGTGCTTTGGATCAAGTTCTCTGTCTCCATGATCTGATGAAAGCCTATTATTACCGTCATAAGCACTACCCTGTTGTTGCATTTCTGGATATCAAGGCTGCCTATGATACAGTAGATTGACGAATCATCTGGCATGCTTTACAACAACGTGGCACTCCACCAGCCCTTTTGGGTCTCTTAGTTAACATGTTTGACAATGTCTCCATCTCTGTCCTTCTGGATAAATTTTCTTCACACTCGTTCTCACCTGCTACTGGGGTTCTCCAAGGTTCTGTCCTCAGTCCACATTTGTATTTAATATATATCAACTCCCTGCCCCCGTTGCTCTGCACAGTTGCTCACTCACACACTACAACCTATGTTCCATCACCCTCTCCTACCTCATTGGATGCGTATAATGCTCTTCTTGCTCCTTCAGGTGTGGATGGCCTTGGACATATTCATTTCTCAACACCCATCAATTCTCTGCTCTTTGCCGACGATGTAGCTATTTTTGGTTCTCTTTCAGACGTTCAGACCATGCTAGACCTTGCTGCAGAACACTCTCTTACTCTTGGATATAGATGGAGCCCCACCAAATGTGAAGTTATATATCCCAAAACACGTGCAAGCTCGCCAGTTCCACTTCTTTTATATGGTCAAGTTCTCCCTGCCACTGACCTGTTTATTTATCTGGGTGTTCCTTTTGCCAATAAGGGTATTTCTTCCAAGTCTATTGCCACTCATAGACGTTCTGGTACACTTGCTACAATGGCAACACTAAACTCTGTTGGAGCTTGTCTTTCTGGTTTTTCTCAGCTGCTCAGTTCACAACTGTATAAAACTTTTGTTCGCTCAAAGTTTGAATATGGTTTGGCTATTTCCACTCTGCTGAAGCAAGATATTAAAGTTCTGGAGTCCATTCAAGATAAGTGTCTTCGCAGGATTGTTGGGGGGCATGCCACGTCCTCTACAATTGTGTTGAAGCACATCTGCAATCTGCCAAGTATGAAGTTTTGTGCAGATGTTCTTATAGCCAAATTTTGTATCAGATCACGCTTTCTGCCTGCCCAGTGCCTTTTGTCTCTTTTACACCGTCATCATACCATCTATTCTTCACTTGTCTCCCTGGGAAAAACCAACCTTCTGTCACATCTCCCTCCAACACTCAAACTCCAAAGCCCTAGTGCAGTAAAAAACCATTTTGAAAGCATTAGAGAAGCTGGATTTACAACCTTTCTCCAGTCCAATACACAAGTTCTCATTCAAGCATGCCACCCAGTTCTTGGAGTTGATCCAATTTTGTTTCTGCCAGCCTCACGTGTGGAACGTGGCCGTTTGATTCGTTGGAGAATGGGATGGTTGCCAGGCAAACCAAAGGAATGTCCTTGTGGATCTGATCACACCTCACGCCGCCATTTGTTGAATTGCCCACTTGTTCCTGCAACACTATTTGAACAGTTGCCTCAACCTGACCATGACCAGATACACAGAATTGATTTTGCCATCACATCCTTGCCTTTGCCATCTCAAGAACCACGACCTGTATACTGGATACCACTGATGACTATTCTCTGGCACATGGATGTTATATGTAATCCTGATGGTGACTATTCACATGAGACTGAACATGGTGCTCTTTGGATATAATTTAGAATTTTTCTTTTCTTTCATAGCTCTCCACTTTTCATTGTTCTTTACTCTCTTTATCTTTCTTCTTTCTCTTTTGTTCTTTGCTGTCTGAAAAGTTCTTTGTTCTGCAATTCTGTCTCCTCCCTTTCACTGTTACAACTATTTTCACAGCTGCAAAGCGGAGAGCAGGTTCAGCCATTGAAGCTAGTATGATTTGATCTTCTCTTTTCCCTCTTTTTTTTTTGTCTTTTGTGATCCCTTGGGACTTTTTTATATCTTCTTTTTGTACTTTGGAGGCTATATGATCTATAGATCGCCAGCAATATCTCCTTTAATAAAATATAATCTTTAACCTGAGCTACATCCCCATCTCTCTTTCATGTAAGCTACTGTTACACAAGACATAACAAAAAAATTGGTTGCATCCATACAAAAGCTTCATCAATCCGTCCTACATCTTGTTCAAAACGTTACATCCATTGTCAAAAACATTGCATCCATTACCACTGTTGCCTTATCTATCAGCAGAAAAAAATTTCAGCCGATTCCGACAACTTTTCATTTTTGCGATCTCAAATGTCAACATGGCTGCCATCCTCTGTCATGCAGAGAATGTCACCCGATCTCGCCTCATTTCTGGGGAACATGCAGGCCCAATTCATGTCACTACAACAACGTACCAATAAACTTGAATCTCTTGCCGCAACTAATGCTAGATTAACTGCTCAATTAGTTAATGCGGAAAAGCTAATTGCTGATTTCAGATCTGAATTAGCATCTCAGGGCAATTGCCAAATTACAACAAATGCATCAACATCATCTGCACCAACCACACCCAAGGAGCCTGGCACTGAGGCTTCTACATGGGCTACAACTGCTGCTGCTGCTCACAACTCTGTTGTTGTTCCTACTGCTCTTTCTGTTCGCAAGACTCCAAGACCTCCTTCTGTTCACCGGGTTGCTGCTTCTACTAGAATGTTTGCCATTCCCACTGGTCCCAAAGGATATCAATATGTGTATATCCCACGTTCACGTCGTCTCACACATAGAGAAGTGCGCAACTCTTTGAAAACACTTGGTGTTGATACTGGCCGCATCTTGGATATCAATTTTCCTGCCAAGGATGTAGTTGACATCCTAGTTCACAACCAGTATGCTGAGAAATTCCAGACCACTCTGACCACAGTTGCCATTGAGATCTTAGATGCGTTTGACCCTTTGGATCCCAAAAACATTGCAGATCCCAAATATAAGTCTCTTTCTGATTCAGAGCTAGAAGAAGTTGCTGCTGAACTTCATTCTGATCGCTGTCTGAAGGCTCTCAAGTACCTTCGTCCTCATGTTGCTGTTCCTGTTGGTCATTTCTTTTGTGATCAAGGCTGGATCTCTAAGGAAGATATTCCTGTCCATTCTGTTTCTGGTCCTGGTGCTGGTATTCATGATTTCCAATCACCATCTCGTCGTACCTCTGTTGCAATGTCTGAATGAGTGAAATCTCATTAGAACTTTGGAATGCTAATGGTCTGCAGCCTCGTGCAATTTATGATGTTCTTCAACACTGTCACTCTCTACATATGCTTTTTATCACTGAAACATGGCTTCTCCCCCCATCTCGTCTCCCCACTTCTTGGTCCCAGATTCATCTTTATGGTTCACCTGTAGCTGGCAACTACAGAGGTTCTATGAATGTTTCTGCTCTTATTTCTCTATCCTGTCCTTATCCTGTCACTCAGATTCCTATCTTATCTAACTATGCTTTGGCCATCAAGATTGCTTCCCTCAGAATTGTATGCCTGTACTTACCGCCCTCTATGTCCACCCATAATGCTCTTGCAGTTCTCACATCCATTTCTTTGACCAATGACACTATTATATGTGGCGATTTTAATTCACGTTTGGGTTCACTTACTGGTGACTATGCTACTAACACTCGAGGTCTTGCTTGTTGTGAATGAGTATTGATTACTGCTGAATCTGAGAGTAAGACTGAAGGATAAAATAATATCCTCAGCTATTCCAGTCAAACGGATCTCCCTTTATGATATTATCTAATACACAGATCATTATACACATAATTGATTATTTATTATTATCACCATGACATGGGATATACAAATACATATACATTATATATATGGCATCATTATATTTCATCTACATATTTCTTTTATTATACAAATACTTAATTGAGAGACTACAACTACAACTATCTAATATTATGAAACATTACCCGAGTATCTGGGTCGGAATACTAAAATATTACCAATAGCATAAATGCTCTTCTTTACCAAAACTCTTGGACTGATCTGACTGGAGAAGTATCATATCAATTGGTCTTTCCAGATCTTTCCAGAAGAACAATACTCCTGGAAGATGACTCATCGTGATAAAGATTACTTAAGCACACACTGAATTACAAATTAGAAAAACATATAAATATCAGTAGATAGTTCCGTGTAGAAAGACAATCAATTTATCATTCTTTACTTTTCTTTTGAAATAAACAACCTACACAAGTTCTCACGAATTCTTTCGTCTATATTATATTTTGCTTTATTTTCTCCCCACAACAAGGTGTAAAGAAAAAGTCTGTTTATATATTAAGAGAAGATTTGTGATTGCTTGTTATAATAAGACTATTATAAAAGTTAAAATCTCAAGAAACGAAATATAAATAGACATATTATAGTTCTAGAGTATATTTTTTATTATAGTATAGCAAACGAAAAAATCAATATAAAATAAACTATTTAGCTGAAGTATAAAATCAACATTTAGTTTTTTTTTTTAATTTTTTATTATTATTATTTTTGTTTTTTTTTATATTTTTTTTCTTATTTTTTTATTATTATTATTATTTTTGTTTTTATATTTTTTTCTTATTTTTTATTATTATTTTTTTTTATTTTGTTTTTTATTTTATTTTTTATTATTTTTTTATTATTTTTATTATTTTGTTTTTTATTTATTTATATTTTATTTTAATGCTTTTATTATATTTATAATAAATTAGCATTTCAAAACAATTGTGAATAAACATATTAATTTTTTTTAGATAAATTCTATTTTTTTTTAATATATATATATATATATATATATGATATTCGGCTAGGGTGGAAATATTTGATTTATTTTAATTTTTACCCACCTGTGCACTATACCAAATCCCGGCGGCCATCTAATCGTAGCATGATTCAATCTCCGAAAAATTCTAAAGACCGACAATGCGCCTCTAATGCCACTTTTCAGTTACTCTTCGTCATTAGCTATCGATAGAGCCAAGAAGCATACAAATACAATCAGTAGAAGTCGAGAAAAGTAGAATTATATGAATTTTATTTTTTGAATAAATATTGATTTCTCAAAAAAAAATAAGAAAAATAATAATATTATAAATGCCGACTGAAACCGATATTTTTTATTTATTTATTTATTTTTTGGTATCTTGCATGCCCTTTAACCGAGGTGACAGATTGTTCAAATAATCTCAATTACAAGAGGTATATATATATATTTGATATTCTTTATATTTTTTGTGGAGAGGTTGAAAAGTTGTAAAAAAATGTTTTCAATGCAGTCATTGGTGCAATGATTCCAGTTGAGGAATGAGGACGGGGGGTTGTTTTTTCAAGCAGAATAAACAAAAATAATACTTTTATTTATTTATTTATTTATTTATTTTATTTTTCTTCTGTGTGCATCTCTTTCAATAACCATACATATTCACATTAACTTGCCATGAAAGTTACAATTGAAATTACTACAATCATACACATGCGCACATGTACGCACACACATATTTTACCAAGAACATCTCTAAAAATATATTATATTTGTTAAAAGCGCAAGCTTTCACCAAGACCACGAGCAAGTTTTGATATGTATCAACTAGAAAACAATTACTCGCATTCTCTTTGTATGATAAAGCCACATTATTATGATTTTTTATTTTATATATTTTTTAGGCTCCCTGTAGTATATATCGGCAAAAATAGGAATAATCGATATATATATATTTGAAACGGTGAATAATAAGAAGAGTAGGCGTGTGCAGTGATGGTAACTAATTTTCGTTTGTCGGTATATACCTTGATCGAAAAATATACTTTTACTGTAAAGGTTTAATACTCATGAGAAAAAGGTGGTAAGAATAGCGTGTGTACTTATGGCTATTGTAGAAAGCATATGTACAAAAGAAAAGCTTCCATTTCATGTTAAATCGAGTAATGATAAAGGTGCGTTACATACCAGAAACGAAAGCCAATTTATTGGTGGGGCAAGCTTTTGTTTACAAATAAAGGGCTTTTATCCATTATATACGCTTGGGATAATTCACGGTGATTACAATCGTTCAAAAAATAAGACACAATATTCTTAACTAATATGAATTTTTATTGTGAAAAGAGTTTATTTTGAGTGATAATAGTATCCGTGATGGCACAATAAGTTAAACCTGTTTTGCAAAGAACTTAAGAATAAGTAGTTTCACCACAGAAAGTCAATCGGTTTTTTTTAAAAAGAAAGAGAACCAGAAAATCATAAAATTACAAGGAAGTAAAGTATAAGATTTTTCCACCCCTGGGAAAATATGTATGAACAGGCAGTACACATCGCAAGAGAGGTAGACGATTGGCTTATTCCCCGTATGACATAGCTCAATAAATAAATAAATAATATTTAAATTTTGAGCCACAACAATTAAACGATGTTTTTCCCCATTTTGATTCTTTGTGTAGATAGAATTTGGAACGATTACAAAACAGTAATAAAAATAAATAAGTTATACAACAATGGTAATGTATTTTAAGAGGTTAAAACCATCGACCACATGGAGGTCAAAGTGAGACTCCAATAACTCCCAAATATTTTCTCATTCACGTTTATTGTCAATCAAATTACCTTGGCCTCATCCCGCACACCAAAGGTATCAACCATTTTTTATTCTCATTATTGTTATTCTATATTTCATCTGTATCCTTCATCACGCGTTTTTTCACCCTTGACAAGAGTCGATGTATTTTGCTTGATGTTAAAAAATCATCTGTTTCTATAGGTGTTTCTATGTGTTCTCTAATCCTTTTTTAGGAATCAGAGATCTATTGCACTGAATTTAAAAAGAAAGAAAGAAAGAAAGAATGACAAAGAAATTGGATTGTCTAAAATTGCACCCAACTCAAATTAATTCTTGGTACAGTTGGCGTTTGTGTGCGTGGATAAACAATATAAAAGAAAGGAATAACTAATTGCCTTTCAATATTAGCAAAATCGTTGCTATTATGGTGGACGATGAGGACTGTAGTGGTATATGAGTTTTGGTTAGGTGCAACTGTACTAATATTATTTTGTTTTTTTCGGCAGTTGCTTTGTGTTGGCAGTTTAATTATTTTCATGAAAAATGATAAAATGGTAAGAAATATAAAAACCTATAAGTCCAGTGTTATTTGATTATGTACTGGATCCGATTGTTTTGCGTGAGTGCGGGTGTGTGCGCAGAATGGTATCCTTTGATGTACCATATTCATTTATTTACGACCAAAACCGATAATTTCTTATGTATACCCATCCGCCAACTAGTCGAAAAGTTTAGTAGCAGTACTCCTAATGATTTGCACCAGTGCTTATTTCCATGTCATGTAAGACACATTAGTATAGAAATACGCCTTTCTTTTTCTTTTTCTTTTTCTTCAGCAGCCACTTGAATGTAAAGTATATCGACCAACTCGGGTGCATCGAAAACTGTAAAATAAATATGAAACTTTTCTTGCTAATTGCCTTGTAAATATTTTCGCAATTACATTTACCGTTCTCTACAAGAGCCTATTTGAAAACAAAGATAATATTTCTTGCTTTAATTAGAACTGTGGAGGCTCAATTAGCATGAAAACAATATTCGACTGTATAAGTATAATTTCTTGAAGACGTCGAGTATATCTGACTCTGGGTATCACATACAAGTACTCTGTTTTTTTCTTCTTTAAAATTAAATACAATAGAAGCTGTTAATAAAATAAGTTAATATAAAGAGTACATAATGATAGAAAAAAACAAATAAGTATTTCTATACTGTCAAATATATACACGGTTATGTCGAGTACTATCGTGGTTACTATTTGATTTTTTGAATTCAAGACATTAGAGTTACAAAGTACTTGTGGCGTCCATTATAATATCTTGGGTTGGTAATATAAAACGAAACACACTGGTATCGAGAGCTATATCATTACGAGAGAGTAAAATGCGTACTTAGTGATGTACTTTGGCGTACTTTCCCTGCCTACTTTAAACTCGTGTTTTAATAATGATTATCGTGTATTTCCGTACTGTGGTAATTAATATTATATATATACATATATATATATATACCAACGCCTTTTTTGTTAAATATCGAAATTGAAAGGGTTGCTCTAACAAAAAGATCAGATGATTGACTGTCGAGACTTGACCGAAACTTACAAACAATTAGTGTGCTAGATGTACAATTAATAATGATATTTATAATATTATAATCAATCTTACTCACGGGTATTTTAATCAAGATTATTACACCCAAAAGTATTTTAATCAAAAATATTAAAGGCACCCAACAAGTGTTTTACTTTTATATTGAACATTATTTGAATAGCAGTTAAAGCATTGCTGCCACGAATCGTCACGCATCGATAGCTAGTTAAACCCTTATTGTCATTATATTAAAAGAGATATATAGAATTCAATTTGTAATTCTTACTAATAGAGACCGTAAGCTTAGTAGAGTTAATTACACTGATAATAGACTGATATATCTCAATAACCAAGACCAAAAAAAATCGTATAAAACATATTTTTTTTATTTTTATTATTGTAGATAAAGGTACTTCTTCTATTAGATTTCCTGAAACCGCCACACATAGTATACTTTTTTTTGCGAGAAGACAAACCTTTTCAATTCAAAGAAGAGTATGATACTGAGACACTACTATCGCCATTTGACAATAACTATCCGGATTAAAGTGAGGAGTCCAACAATGAGAATGAAGCTGACATTGTTGGTGTCATAGTATTTAAAGATACGATGGATTCAGGTATGCACCTATTGAACAAAGAAATATACATAAATCATATTACAGATAATAATGATACTTATCATAACACTTGCCTTTTTGTAATCCTATGTTTGAAAATGGATGACATTCATCAAGTCACTCAACTAATAGCTCTATTTGGTGTTGTCGTTTAAGTGTTTTATTTGGTTCAAGCAGGGAGGATCTATAATATTGAAATTATTCCAATACTTTCTTGTTACCTATGAGAAGGATACTGATCCACATGTCACCGTTGATGTATCGAAAATCATGTCTGGATTCGATCTTATGACAAAAACCGTCTTCAAGTACACCATCTGTGTCAAACGTGATGTCATATACTTACCAGAGTATCATCAATCCAACTGTTCCTCCGAGAAGCACATTCCACCCCATCTATCTATGACAGTAATTCTCTGTATGCCGGTCCAGCAATTGAGAAGCCAGTCCCTCTCATGGTATTTCCTTACAGCTTACTGAGAAAATATCTCGTCACAACATTTCCACAAAGTCAAGTCAGATGAGTAAATCGTGCACTAGGGGTCAAGCAAAACAATAGAAAGTACGATGACGGACGTATACGATGATGCAATTTAGACTGATATGCTCGGTGAAGCCGACGGGACCTTTGTAAATCATGCCAATTCTCTCATGTTGACATTGAATGTATATTGGTTTAAGCTGTTTGAAGGACGGATTTATACAGGTGGTGCTTTGTACTTACTTATCAGCAATTTCCCCAAGGAAGACCAAATGAGACCAGAAAATATTATCCTCGTTGATGTCATGCCTGGTCCAAAGGAAGTAGAGGACGACTAGATGGACGTATTTCTGGAAACATTTGTTGATGGGATGGTAGACTGTTATGGTGGTATAGCTGTGAGGACTACCAAGTTCCCTAATGGTACTACTGTCTATACTGCTATCATGTATGTCGCTTCCGAGATATCTGCTGCTAGAAATACTGCCGGATTCACAGAACATGGCATGTAAACACATATGGCTGTCATAAATTCAAATGATATATCCCCGTGATTACTGAATCAAGTAAGATCAATTACGTTTGGCGTGTCAATGAAAACTGGGAATCACGGACAGAAGAGATGATTTCCATATATGACAATATGTGGTTTTACACAGAATCAGATGTAGAAAGAGAAAATTTGGAGAAGCAGAACGGCATGCAGTTTTCAGAGTTGCATCGCTTACATGATTGTTGATCTCACGCACAATATATTTCTTGTGATAGCGAACCGTATGGCCAGTGTTTGAAATGCCTTTGTATTTTTCCGCTGCTGTTATTGCTCGTATACAACGCTTTGCTGATGATATTCCTCTTCCTCCTGAATATACCGTCTTATTCGAAAAAGTCACGCCTTAGTTCCTATATATGAAGGCAGGTGAGTGGCGATCGTTGTGTCTGGTGCATTTTCTGGTGGTGTTGAAGGAGTTTTTGCCCAAAAGTGATTACAATAACTAGACCAATCTTGCCAAGACATGCCGAAAGTTGAAAGGTTCATTGAACAAGTACTTACATATAGACTACGCAGGCCAGCCCCTTGGTAAATTTGGGGAATAATGTCAGAGTATTTACGAAAAAAAGGAGTAGCACACCAAATATGCATTTGTGTGAGTTGATGCTTGACTTTGGTCTGGTCTTTACATTTTGGATATATAACCTTAAGATACACAAGTATAAGTTAAAAAAAACATTAAGACAAACTACCGTAATGGTCTAGAGGTGACAGTAATGAGCGTTTTTCCGGAGAATGCGTTCACTGACACTTTTCTTCCTGTGTATTCCATCAATCTTCTGCTGCGTATAATAATATTTTCCTAAGGCGTCGCGCAAGTGCTATCTGAATCTCATCTACCGTGTCTTCAGTGTATTGATAATGATTATCCTCCTGCATTGCCATTCGACCTCCCGATGTTCCAGCAAGTCGTCAACAGCCTATGGTACAATGTAATCGGAACTAAGACGTCGCCACCAACTACCATGCCATTGAAGTTACAAAATTTGAATACGATGAAGTATGATTACTCTTAATGGCTATTCAAATTCTATGTCAAGGCTTACCAGAATACTTTTCTTTCTGCGGCGTGGGGAGTATTTCACTTGGTGAGAATGTGCTGGTAAACATTTGCATTCAGAAGATGAAGAATATTTCGTTGCTTGGCCAGGAGTTTTTTAGTGAACAGAAGAAATATCGCAGCTCAATTGTGCGGGTTATGTTTTTTTTTGGTAGGATAGTTGACGACATCTCTAAATTCCCTGGTCAGATTGAGTACATATTTACTTGTCATCAAGATTGGTAGAATCAAGTGTCAACGTTTGGTTTTTTAAAAAGATTTGCGACATGCCATTCTGTCAGAATTAAGCCGTTAGTTGGGTAAGGTCTGAATTTGTGGGTGAGTGGGTTTATTAAGAAGAGTATTGCGTGCATCATCCCGGTGCATCGTCTGCATTCGTATTTCGCGTTGACTACGCACAACATCCAGGGTGGGATCCAAAAGCGCCTAGTCATCCCACTGCCTAGAAAAGTAGTCACGAAAAAAAATAGAATGATTTATATTACTAATATAAATAATTATAGTAAGAGTTTTTTTGACTGCGAAAGGGTTTGCCTTTATTTATCTCTCTATTTTTCTTTTGTTTTAGCATTACTTCTTTATCAAATATTTAAAATTATATTGAATTCTATTATCAACGAATAGTAAAAACCGTTATTTATTTTTATTGTTTTTATCAAAAGTATGAAAGACAAAATACCTGTATATTTAATACCCAATGCCCACCATTTTCTTAGCTTTTATCAAAATAAACTTACAGAGAGCGATATTACAATTTCCAACGAAAAAAAACCGTGGATAAAACAATCAAGGTTATATAATTAAATAATTGTTTTGTATATATATATATTTCATTAATCGGCTGTAAAATAAAGTAAAATAAAATAAAATAACTATTTATTTATTACTTCCCATCTCGACATTACTACCGCATCATCTTTTATCGATTCAACCCACATCTTTCAAAACAATGAATAAAAATCAATAAAATACTATATACTCTGTACTTTTTTTATTATGCGGTGTGCTATTCCATGCAACAACACGCACCTTTCTCTCCTTCAAAAGTTCGACGTTTCTTGGAATAGCTGGACACTTGGAAAAGCTAATGACCTTTATTCTTTTTGATCATTTCTCCGTCCTTTTAACTTGCTAAAGTATTCTTTGATCTGTGTTATAATATCAACAATTAGGAATTCTAAATAAAAAAATGACACTCCTTTGTAAAAAGAAAAAAAATGTTAAAATTATTTAAACAAAAACCGTGGATTATACTTACTCTTATCTTTCTTGTTCGACAACGAGAAAACCGATTACGCCCAGCTAACTTTTCCGACATAGATTTTGCCCTGTGAATTTTATACGAAAGGTGTCTACGAGCTTTCTCTTCCACGACTGAAGACAAAACATACTCTACTTCAGGCTGCATATGGATGTAGCTCTGCACCATGCTAGCAATTGGACGGTTAGATATCGAGAAGGTACCCTCATCAATATTCAATGGCGTAGCTGTCATAACTGCTTGTGTTTGAGAACGGATCACACTGAAAAAAAGGGTGGAAATTACAATGCGCACAGTTGTTTGATAACAATTGAAAATGTGGGATAATTTTCCATGTTCACAAGTTGAAAACACAGCTTTACTGTATTCTATTGGCTTGGATATAACAAGCAACAAAAGTTATTCTATTTATTATTATAAAGACTCTTTCAATAAAGTACATGTAGCACTTGTTTCCCTTTTATTCCATCGGTAAAGAAACACATTTGTCGTGTCTTCTACAATGGAACGAAATTTTGAAGAGTGCCATTGCACTGAATGCATTAAAAGTGATGATGGGATACACTCTAGTACCAAAGATAATTTCCCATCGTTATAGCAAGAAAGCAGCCTTGAAAGATGCCGTTAGAAGTGAAATGGGTATGGCATTCAAGGTATAAAATTTGCGTTTTTATATGTTAATAGATTTTATATTTAACACAGGTGCGCAGACACATTTAATGAACGTTTATGCAGATTTTAAGTCATATTTATTTGAGTATAAAAAAACGACTCTCTTATTATATTCTATATTTGTAGCTATTGTAATCCATGAATATGGATCTGCGGAAGTTCATGCACGTCAGTCTGACTTACCCATCTTGGATATCTCCCCTATGTCATTTGACAATGTTTCTGTTGACAGTGAGGTCGATGAAAATTTCAATGAAATTGACGTTGAGCATGAGAGCAATGAGACTACCGAAGATATTGATGATATTAAAGTTGAAGAGGTAAACACTGAATGTTCGTATAAAAATTGAAGAAAAAACCTAAAAAAAAAGAGAAAAAAAGTGTTAGTTTTTTTTCTATTTTAAAGTAGATATGTTTTCAAACAGCAGTATGCCTGAGAATCATGTACACAGATTCATCGCAACATTTATTGTGTTATTCAAATTTTGCTACGTGGTCACCAACAACTTGCCTTTTAGTGGGTGTTTTAAAGCTGAGAACATTATTCTTGTAGGACTTTTGCCTGGTCCCAAGGAGCCCAAAACTGACGAAATAAATAACTATCTTGAGCCAATGGTAGATGAATTGATGCAGCTGTATCGTGGAGTAAGAGTCCCAACATTCGAGTTTCCTGCTGGCGAAGTGATTCGTGCTGCATTGATGATGGTTGCCTGCAACATCCCAGCTGTCAGAAAGACCAGCGGATTTACTGCATTGAGAAGCAAAATCGGCAGAAAATTTGCATTTATGAAAGCAGACGAGTGGAAATCGTGGGTGTTGGTGTATTCTCCTCTGGTATTGAAGTATGTGCTCCCATCCTTGCATTTCAATAACTGGATTTATTTTTTCTATTTATGTCGTCACCTCGTAATACCCAGCATTACATTTGATGATATTAATACCGCCCATAGACATCTCGAACAATTTTGTGAAAAATGCAACAAGATTTACACCGCCACAATCCTTACCTGTAACATGCACCTAAACCTCCGTCTTCGAGAAACTATTCTAGATTGTGGACCAGTGTACAGTTATTGACTCTTTATATTCGAGAGATACAATGGCCTACTCAAGAATATCAGTACAAACGGCAAGGACGGTTTTGAAGCCGCGTTTATGAGATGCTTTGTTGAAGATATATACAAAAGTGATTTTGTCAATTCTGCTCTTACATGTCCTACTCAAGCTCCCTTTCTTCCTGTCTTCTCCAAACTCGTCTGTTTATCCACACCTGTCCTAACCTTGTCATCTGCCTCCTCCACAATTGTTCAGCCACCATTGATTTTGTAAGCATTTGTAGATTCTTCTGAAACTACCAGAATTATTATCATTGGCAATGAACCTCTCCCGTCTACATCCTTCCCACTTTCAGTTAGTAAACCTTCTTCAATGGGTGATATTGATTATCCCTACTTGTTGCAATACTACAAACTTGCATACCTCACCCCCGATCTCGTCCATTATCAAAGTTCTGCCGCCTCTTTATTCTTTGCCAATGATCAGATTATAAAGTTGAAATCAATCAACAATATTGGCCAAGTGTACTAAGGCAATAATGGAACCACTGGCCGCGGATCATACGTGCAATCATTGTTTCTTGGCAGTGATAGAAGTACAGAAACAACCTTGACTTGTCAAATCAAGTATATCCATTCATTCCTTTACTCCTCTCCCAACATAGTCATATTATAAAACCAATTCCACTCATCATAATCAACATGTATTCGCGTTTGTCAACTGACTTCCTTTACTTGCAGATAAATTAAAAGAGAAAGACGGAGTTGCCATTTATGGTTCAACACCTTCGCCGTCAAATTATCATTCAATTTTGCCTATACATAGAATCTCTTTAGAAATAGCAATTGCTAATCATACAACAGGACTTGTCTAAAAAAACTGGTAATTGCCTTATCAAAAAAGCTTTACGCTTAACAAAAACAATAATAAATATTCTTTCTTTCTTTTTTAAAACAGAAAAAGAAAAATAAATGATGATAACAAAAAAGGACAGAACAAAATAATTACTACCTGTATATAAATCGTCAGCATTGAGTTTGTGAAGATGAGATAAACAAGAATTTTTATTATTTTTATTGTGACCTATCTCTTAGGGTCCACTGAGGGAAACATAACGCAACAACATCGGGAGCTGGTTTCTCAGACAGGCTGGTGAGATTTCTGTCCAACAACTGACGAATGTTGTTACCCAAGTTTGCTCCCACAATTTTATCAATGATGAAGATGAGGTTGTTAAACTAAAAACATAGCTATATATATTAGGGGGTTTCATTATCTCTTCGGATAGAAATTCAGATTAGGATTTGGATGGCGAGTTTTAAACCTGTAGCCAATGAAAACTATTATAAAATGGAAATTATTGAGTCCCCCTTTTTAATTAAACGTCTTATTCTTGTACCTGATATTTTATTATATACGATTATGTTAATATCTATCACTCATATTGAGAATTTTGCTTATTAAAGTTTGTATATAAATTAGAAATATGTAAGGCAGGCAAATGAATTGACAAATTCTTGCTTTAAGTATTTCAAGACGTCAAAATAAGCAATCCTCAATTTCAATCCAAGAGCTTTTTTCTTCAGGTTAAATCTACACATTTTAATCCTATTCAGGTTCTTCTAAGCCAATCATTTTACCATTTAAAAACCCCCTTTACGAATAATAATCTGGATTTCTATCCGAAGAGATAATGAAATCCCCTATTATATTTAAGTCTGCTATTACAGATATTTTAGATTTTATTATAGGATGTTTTTTTGCAGTGGTGCGATGTTAGGTATACCAGTATCTTTGGGTATTTACCTATTACCAGCTTTAGTTCGGTAGTCTTTTCACAATTGAGGCCAACACCCAAGATTCCATAGTTCATGCAGGGTTACTGGTATATATACCTCTTTGAGCATTTGCTTGGTGTCTGCTATATTTGTCTAGTCTTTTCATAGTCAAGGCTACTAATTGAGATTCCGCTGCTCATCTAGGGTAAAAGGTATATATGCTTTTTTTTTAATAGTTAATCATTGCTTGTTGAAATTGTCTAATAATTTTACAGTCAACGCTGATGATCAAGTTTCTGCTATTCGTCGAGGTAACAGGCGTACACCCTCCTTTGAATATCTTTCTGTCATCCATCATATTTATCTAGTCATACCATAGTCCACACCAAGGTTCAAGAGTTTAGTCTCCACCCAAGTTCACAGACATTCAAGTATAATTGCCCTTTTAGGACTGCCGGCTGCTATTGCCTATTGCTTTTAATATATAGGTCAAGGGATAAATTTCCTACTCTCAACCATGAGCCACAGGTATCACCGTTTATTTTGAACATTTATTTATTATCGATTACATTTGATTAGTATTTTAAATCCGAGTCCAACGATCAAGCTTCAGCTTTCCGGGAAGGGTTGAAGATATCCATGTATCTTTGATTTTTTTTAATATCGACTGAATTTCTCTGGCGTTTGCACATTCAAGCCCATTGATCAAGTCTTTGGTCATTATCAAGTTTCCACTCAACATTATTGGGTAAAGGTATATAAGATTCTTAGATTACTTTTTTACAGCCAATGACATTTATCAAGCGTTTTTAGAGTCCTGGTCAACGATCAAGATCCTGCTATTAATTCAACGTCTTAGATATATAAGTGTATTTAAATATTACTTTACTACTGATTCTATCTATTTAATCTTTTTTTTTCTTTTTCTTTTTTACATTCTATGCTAGCCCTCACGGCTCTAGTCTCCATCAAGGCTTATAGACATACAAGGTTTTTTTTTATTGGAATATGTTCTTACTATCAGTTTTAATTTTTCTAGTAATTTCACAGTTCACTAGCCTTCTTTTTGGAAGCGGAGCTCCCCCCCTCCCTGTGCCCCCCCACCGCACGCAAGTTTTATGTAATTCTTCCCTACAGAAAGTTCAAGTACTATATATCACAATTAATACTTTTATTTTATTTTATCTTTGTTAAAATATGTGTTTATATAATGAGTAGAAGCCACAGAATAAATTATTTTATTATAGTATTTAAGTCATAAATCAAATATATAAGTTTTTTTGGCTTAGTTTCTGGATAATACATCTTTGTATACTACATTGTTAGTATATACAATAGTTTGTGGCATATTTGGGTTATATGGAGTGTCAAGCATAATTTTGATTCCAGATGGTTTCCTAACCCGAGAAAGAGCAACATAAAGCTGACCATGTCCAGATACTAGTGCTGGAAGATACAGGCCAACACAATCAAGGGTTTGTCCTTGGGATTTATTAATTGTCATAGCAAAAGCTAGACGAGCAGGGAATTGACAGCGCTAAAAACTGATAGATGATGTTGATTCAGATGGACTGAGTTTGATTTTTGGAATAAGTGCAACTTTTCCAGCATGTGATCCCGTTACAATTGTAGCTTTTAGGACAAACCGCTCAAATGAGTTGCATATCAGACGTGTACCATTACAGAGACCATTCTTTGGATCAATTTTTCTTAAAAGCATGATAGGGCATCCTTTTTTGAGGCGAAGATTGTGAGGGGGCAGGGATCCAGGATTGATAGTATTTAAAGATTCAATTGAATATACTAATAGATAATCTTCACTATTGCCTCGATCAACACTCTTGAATTCATGGACTGCACCTGGAGATATATCATGAAGGATATTGTTGATTGTTGTAACATCATCATTTTTGGGTGTAAGTATTGCACGACAAATGAGGAAATCGGCACTTTCTGCATTTGCATTGAGATCAGGGAATACTGCATTAGCCAGGTTGAGTATATTACTGCCAGGGGTTAGCATTTCTTGAGGAATGGGTATGGTGTCTTCCCCGCCAGAACTGAGAATAGTACCCTCGCCAACTTTTAATAGAAATTCAGCAAAGTCTCTGAGTTCATTTGCTTCCTCTGGTGTAGTAGCTTGTGAAATACGCATATTGATTATCAACATTAATGGAGTAACGCATTGCCAATCACGGGCCTTATTTATACATTGCTCCACAATGTAATCTTTTGATGCTCTGGGAATTACAGAAAGAACTTGCCGGAAATTACCACCAAATACAACCAATTTTCCACCAAATTGTACTGCTTCGAGTAAGGGGTTTACGGCCTTCATAATGTCTTGCATTGAACGGTTGACTGCGTTAAATATATCCTTACTAATCATTGACGCCTCGTCCCAAATGATCAGTTTAGTTGCTCTGAGTAAATTGGCTATTTGCGAGTTGACTGGTATAGAGCACATAGAGTTATAATGTATTTCAAGTGGAATCTTGAATCTTGAATGTGCAGTTCGTCCACCATCAAGAAGCAATGCAGCAATACCACTGGTAGCAACTGCAAGAGAAAATTTTCCTTGTCGACGGACATGACACAAAAGAGCGTTAAATACAAATGTCTTGCCTGTCCCACCTGGTCCGTCTATAAAGAAGAGTCTCGGCGCAAGAGTAGCTGTGTTCAATGAACTGCAGATTTTGTCATATGCAATTTATTGATCAACATTGAAAGACAAAGTGTCTGGGTCTGGCATCAAAGCGGCTTCGGAGAAAAGATCTTCTTGTTCATGTATCAACGTCCTTAATCCATGTCTATGCTCTGTCTGATTTGACAATGTAGGTATTGGTGGAAGTGTAAACCTACTAAACGATGTTAGAGACAACGAACTTACGGAGAGGTGACTTTCGATGTCCCACAAACATCTGTTATACATCTCTTGCTTAGGCTCCAAGGACTGGTCTTGATGTTAAAGTCTTTCTGAATGTAAATAGTCTTCTATCATTGAATCTCGGTAGGAAATCCAAAGATAGAATGGATCAGATAGCCCACAGAAAACCAAAAAAATTGCAAATAGTTGTCTTAGTGAATATGGGAGCTCATATGATTTTTCCTCTTCCATGCATTCCTCCCATTCCTTGTCATCCATTAAGAGTTCTAAAGCATGACACGCAGCTTGATTTATTTCATATATTTTCCCCTCTACTGTCCGAAGATTCTGGAAGCTTGTAGCATCTGTAACATTAAGAAGCAGTATTCTTAAGAAATATTTTTCTGGGTCTCTTGGATATATGCTATATATTCTGCCAATTGTTCCTCTGTTAGATGTTTTGCGTATTGTCCTTTTTTTGTTTTTCTTTGACCAAACGAAGTGAGTTGGAAAATCTATAGACAGATATTCACGTGCTGTTATATTGTAAGTGTTATATGAGAACTACCCTGTCAATGTTATGTTTGTGTTTGTATTTGCGTTTGATAATTGATGTCGATTTGTAAAAGCATAGAAATATACTGGCTGAGAGTTTTCAAGATGAATTGCCAGTATTTGGTGGGTTGGGTGCTCTTGGCGCAGTTTAAATGAGAACATTCTCCAGCATGCTTCAGAGGCCAATACGTAGCAAGCATCCAGAAACTCATTGACTTCATTTACAGCTTCTTGATGAATATTAGTTATATTGATGTTGGTATTGGTGGTGGTTGTGGTACTGATACTGGCTGATTGAATTTTTGCCATAGCTCAATCATGGCCTTTGTACACATATTTGTATAGATATCTTACAGCTGATACAGAAGTGCAGATTTCAACATTGATGTGGGCATCATATTTTGCGCACAGATATAAATTGTGTGGAACCACCCATCTATTGTTCAGTGACGCTGAGCCTCTGACTACTGTTATACCATTATTTCTTCTTTTATACTTTGGATATCCAGATCCATCATCGACTATTTCATCACAAAAATCTTTTGGAAAATTATTTTTGCATTTACCATTTTCCATGCATGGTGCCTTTGGGTACCTTATACCACATGGACCATGTAGCATACTATGGCAGACAATTCTATAGGCCAAGGGTTTTGTGACTGAATCAGAAAATTCAGCAGAAACTATACGGTCATAGTCTTCTGTTGTCATTGGTTTTTCATGGCTAATAGGATCAGAAGAATGTGTGCATGGGGGAGTCCTCGTTTTTGAAACTCTATGACATAGATAAAGACTTTGACTTTCTCCAAAACACCTTTCTTTGTCAAGTCATTCATTAGCTCTTTAAGCTTCATATTGAAAACATGGGAGCAAAGATCTGGTCTGTCTGCTGCTTTTTGATCTACTAAAAGTGCATTTGTGATTTCAGGCCAATGCGTATTGCAGGTGAATGTGATGAAAAGGTCTGGTTTGCCAAAACAGCGTATTATACTCCTTGCATCCTGGTAGAGCTGACCCATGTGACGGGGGATACCAATAAAAGTAGAAGGAAGGAGGACACGTCTTCCAATGTTGGCAAAATTGTTATCCTCCAGGTTAATAGCATATTGTATTCCACTGTAAAGGTCTACTCGAAGGCAGCTCTGATTACCAGCAAGAAAGTCTCTTCTTCTATGTTCAATATTTGCATATATGTCTACAATAAATTGCTGGAAAAGTCGGCCAAAGAGATGGAGGAGATGGAGAGAATCGGGGCGGTACATAAGTCGGTTGGAATACCAATGCATAGCACTAACGGTTTTGCCTGACAAAGATTTTGATTCGATTGTCCATCCGTCCTCACCAGAAGGGAATAGCAAGACATAATGAAGAGCATTATATGATCTATGATACTCATTTATTTTTTGTAACTGGTTGGTTTGTGTGTGCAGTAGATGTCTCTAGAAGAACCCCTTTCATTATTCATAATTAGAATAGCAATCTCGTCAGCAGTTGGTGCATTATATCTTTGATCTTGGGGACCTTCAGCAACCAAGCATATAGCAACATCTTTTACATGTCCATTCTCATGTAATACTTGATCCATTGATCCGAACAGAGAAACAACAGGATTTGTCTCTATGAGAATCAATCGAATTTTCTCCAGAATATCTGCTTTCAAGTATGGAGCATGATGGTAATGGTGTTGGGCTTGCGATGCTGGATCATATATGTATACTTGAGCAAGTTGAGGGTGATCAATATCTTGTGCTCTTGATGGACGAATAGACCCAATTCTGTGATATACAGTGCCATGTATTCTGAAGCAGTACGCACCACCTTGGTTATTTGCCACAGAGTTGTCGATTTTAGCTCCCAACGATGTGAAGCTTAAGGTGCTGTTGTGGCCTCTAATTTTACTGAGAAAATGTTTTCCATCGGATGTCCTGTAATTTATAAGCTCAGAAATTCCAGGTGGTGTTGGCTCAAGAGAAGGAAGAACATATTTTCCCTTGCCACAGCACATGTTAAATTTCGATCTGCGGATAGGCGAATCAGTGTCCTTCTCTTTCAACCGCATCAATGCGCCACAAAATCTACAGGCAACATCCATATTCCCTCTGCTATCAATTTCTGGCTCAGAGATATTTTGGAGTCTGGAAATGTTGGCAACGTTCTGGTTTTGAGGATTCTGATTTTGTACCGGTATCTGTACATTGTCAGGACACATCAGGTTAGTTATTCGAAGATGATTTGTTCCCAAACAGCTTGGACAATGACGGGTAGCAGTGCTTTCATTTATTGTCATGATTTCTTCCTCATGCTCACTGGTAGGTTCTTCAGCAAGGATAATAGTTGGATCAACAACTGTGTCTACAATTATTTATTGCTCTTCAACTGGATCTATTCTTACTCTCGATGAAGCAGCTAAATATATGGATAGTAGATCAATTGAATTAGACTCTTATAATTCTTATTCTTTTTTTTTAATTCTTTAGTATTACATCCACTACTCTCTGCAGGAAAATCTTCTTCAATTGAAATATTCTCATTTGTTCTTTTCTGAGGGATATAAAGTGTATTTCGTTTCTTATACAAAGGACAAAGGACACTGGATTTACGACTATGACTCATAAGCTTGCATGAAGCACAACGTTTCTCAGTAGAAAACATTTTCGATTATTATTATTATTGAAATTTGAGGTTATAGATTATTATTGAATTTGAGGTTATAGATTATTTAAAAGATGTATAAGAAGTTCTTTGAAATTTGAAATTCTCTGCAGTTTTAATAAAATGGCCCCTTAAAAGATATCATGCATGCCTTTCTCCAAATGAAAATATATTGCCAGATTAAATTGCACGGCAGATGTCAGAACACAGTGCAAATAGCCTCATAAAGTAATTAGACTGAGTATTGTATGCTTATTTATCATGTCTTGTCTTGACTATATATTAGATTAAATGATATTTTATATGCTGAATATTAATTATTTATTTATTTTTAATTTTTAATTTATGTTTAGTATGAAGACTTATAAATATTTATATTAGGGGGTTTCACCAGCTTTGGATGTTGACTGTTGGATATAGCGGTAGTTTAAGCACCAGCCAATAATAATAAGTATCGAAAAAAGACTGGTGAAACCCCCTAATGACCCTTGGTTGATGTTTTCTCATATACGTCAAAATTCATATGTACAATACGCTTGATTAGAGTACCCATAAATATAGTGCCTATGCCCAAATTCCTCACAAGTAAGTTAGACTTCTATAATTTGGTATCAAGATAACTACTTTTATATAGATTGATTATGTTTTATTTTTGACTTTGCTTCTATATGAACTTCGCCATCAATCGTACATAAAGTACAAAATTTACAAAATTTCGGCTAAGTCACGACATCTAGAGTATCGAACTATTTTCTTAGATGCTTGGATGCTCGTTTTTCATTTTTTGAAGATTCGCTACAGCCAATCATTTTCGGAATTAAACTACCGCTATATCCAACAGTCAACATCCAAAGTTGGTGAAACCCCTATTATAATTATAATTAATTTTATATTTTTATATTTTTCTATGCTCTTAAGAAAAGTAATATGAAAATATAGTTAGAGAATAAAATTATAAATTCAAAGACAGACTCTAAGTCACGTGCTTGTATTCCAACTTTTTAAAGATATAGAAAAAGATAGAAAAAAAATAAGATAAAGACAAGAATGAATCCTTAGGGACCAGATATAATTATTTGATGTCGGACAGCAAGTCACAATTTGTGGTCTGGTAAAAGCAAAATGTTGTCTACAATCAGAGAACGTCGTCCCCCGAGGATTAGCAAACTTATAACGCACATGATAGGAGTAAGCACAATATACAGAATAATTGTATAATAGAGAGTAAAATATACAAACAAGATAATTAAGAGTATGGCTAGTTGATAAGATGTGCAATTGAAAAAAAAAACTGTGCGTACGTGTTGGCAGTGACAACGTTATTGATAAAAACAACGTTTTAATTCTTGAATGACCTTTTAAGCATACTTTTTGAAGTTTAACAAAAGCTCTACATATAACATAATATATTACTATATTTGCAGTTGAGAGTTTGAAGTGGGGGGCATATAAGGTTCTCAGACAGAAATGACAAGACAAGCACTTCAATTTAAGACACTGTAGACGCATGTGACTTTTGATTTACTACATGAACCTGTGCAAGCCAAAATTAGTATTTTTCTTTTTTTTCCCTCCTCGTCGTCTTCTTGTTCTTCATTTTGCTAGGTCTTTTTTTTCTTGCTCTTTTTCCTCAACTAGTTTTCTTAGCTCTCGAAAATTGCGCAAAACATGGTTGAAATTACAATAACAAAACGACGACGAGTAGAACCCACCCAAGCATGTTCTAATTTCGCGCCTGATTCCTCGGCACACTACCCTCTCGGATGTCTCTATTCCAGTTTAGCTTACAAACAGACACCTGAATGCCTATCGTCTGACAGTCAAGGTGCATTTGTAATTACATCACCTCAACCAAATCCAGCATCCATAGATGTAATCACCGGCGATGTGTTCTTGACGGAGTCTACGAAAACCACAGTATACAAAACACCAATGCGGATTGTAGAACAATACCATCAAAAGCATATCATCACACATGTAAAATGGCACCAAAATGGGACATTCCTAGCAACTGCAGACGAAATAGGAAAGATTGCAGTGTGGAATCTGGAGGTAGACAACATTAGATGTTAATTTTCTTTCCTATAAACTTATATTCTAAAAACAAAATAAATATAGGGATCAGTGGACCGTTGGTCATTAACATATGAAATCGATCTTCATCAACCTCTGGCTGCTCTAATTTGGCTTCGGTCTGAACGTTCGGTGAGTATTTGAACTGGACTTATTTCAGATATATGTCCTTACAATGAAAATACTAGCATACTGGCTCAGAAGAAATACGAAAAGATCGAGTATTGGGTCCGAGAAATCCATACGGTCAACTTGGATTTGTAGCGGTTACAGTTTATGGTGAAATTAGCGTGCACTATCAGCGCAACGGTGAGATATTTTCCACCTTTTCCACCATGTTGCCAAAATCAGGCAGACGAGAAATAGGAAGGCCAGATATGGGATGCTTTGGAATGGCTCTATCAGGTTTAGATGCGTGGCAGAGGATATCTCATGCTTCCATGGTATTTGATAAAGGTAAAAGAGAGAGAGAGAGAGAGAGAGAGAAGTAAAAGAGGAAGAATGACAAAAGCAACATAGAAATAAATTAATGCTGTAAACCAGATGGAACAATTTGTCTTGCAACGTATTATTCTTCGGTACAGCCCAAATATGTCCAATTGTATAAAATCAGCGTTAATTTCCCTATAAAAGGTTGTCAAGAAGGTATGGTATATTTTTGTGAGCAGGACTACGCTCATTATGCTATTATATATATTTTGGTTTTTCTTTGCAAGTTGATAATGATAATTATTTCCTACAGCTATTATATGTCAAACAATTACAAAATTAAGATTATCCCTTCCTCTACTGGAGAATCTTGCAAAAGAGATTTCTGATCCTGATTATGCCGTTACGCAAATATTGCTTTCACATAAAAACAATAATCTTCAGCTGTCAGTTGGGCTCGGAAAAAAGACAGGTATAGTAAGGTAAATGAGTCTTTATCAACTGGACTAAGTTTGTTTTGCTGTTTATTTTCTGAATATATATAGTAGACACATTTGACGCTTATTTCGGAAGGTGGCAGCTAAGAAGAGTGGGACAGGCACATAATATTACTTCTAGTAAAATTTCACACACAGATCGACAGGTAAGCTAATTTTTAATCTGTAGAGATATATATAGTAGGTTAACACAAAAAATATAATGCTTTAGGAACTAAGTTGTATTCAAGGGTTCGCTATAAAAGGCCGATTTATTACATCAATTTCATCCACAAACAATGGTGCCATTGCTCTTGGCCTATCTGATGGAAGTACACACTTAGAATATCGTACAAAAGGTGATTTCAGCTTGTTAAAAATTACACCCGATACGAAGGAAAATGATAAATCCTGTGGACCTGGATTTTGGGAGGTAACAAATCCCCAGCCGTTTAAAGAAAAGTGCTCAGGTAAATAAAAACACATACATAGTTTTGCGTGTACTGCTTTGTGTCTGAATGTTTTGGAAACTAGATACGATTTTAACTATTAAATTTTCACCGCATGAGACCCACATGCTGTACCTATTTTCATCCGGAAAACTGGGAATAGCACGCGTCACAGAAGAATACACCACTGTTGAATCTATGAAGAGTAATGATATTATAATATTTAAAATATGATTCTTATTGTATAGTATATATATAAAGAGAGAGAGAAAGGGGACTAACGAGGATAAATACAATAGATGCCATTTGTGTTATCGAACAAATGCTCAAATTGAGCTTACTTAATAATACGGATAAGCTTGATCTTACAACTGAGCTTGTACGGCTAGGTAAAGTGCCTGAACACAAAGGTAAATCACATACACACAGAGATTTACACAAAGCAATAAAAATGATAAGAGCAGTTTTTATGTTGTTATAGATACTCCTGAAAGGGTTGTTCTTGAAACTTTGGTTGCCTATGAGACCTATTGTAATCAGGGAGATATTCGAGTCTTTTCCTTTGAACGCAAAAAAGAGATCTTGGAAATCCCTGTTAAAAGATCCGAAGAGTGGTGTCCTACACAAATGGGTAATGCGTTTGGTCTTGCAATGAGCACATTCAGGTAAAACAAAACGAACCAAAAAATAGTCAGCTGTTATAGTAAACGTTTGGGGGTATCTAATTACTTTTTACTGCAGAATTATGCCAGAAAAACGTATACAGTATAAGAACCTTAGTAAAGCTATCCAGCTACCTGTGATTCTTGAATGCTTTGTAGCAAGTTGCACATCAGAAAGGAGTGTTGTTTCAGATATTCTTGGTGAGAATTAAAATAAAAAAATAAAATATAAAAAAAGAAGAGGCAAAAGCAAAAGTAAAGATGGATCTCTAGATCAAGTGATCAATCATAACAATGCTAATATTAAAACATGCTTTACAGAGAAATATTCTTTAGACACCAGGGTAAACCTATCCTTTTCACCAGGTAGGCTTAATAAAGTTTTTAGGCTTCAGTGTTCCTTAGATTACTAAATTATTTCCAGACGCTCTATGGTCACTAGTTCCACTTGCTACATGGACATTGGACTACATGAGGTGGCTACTTCAACAGTGGAGTGTCTTGTTTAATACAAGAAGGCCCAAATCATCTCGTAAGTTATATATATAAATTTTATTGAAAATTAAATCTAGGCACATATTCTTACACCGAAATGCACATATTAGCACTGGCAGATATTTCAGGTCGCCCAGTACATGCCGTATTGCTGATCCACAAGCCTTCTAGAATAGCATTGGGTCGTATCTTGACATTTATCCACCACTTTATTCATTTTATTATCTCATCCACATACGAACTTCCTCACATTCTCGAATCCCAATCTCTCCTTCAGCGCTTTGCCTCAAATTTGCTCCAGCATGCACCTGTTTCTATTAAAGACGTGCTTTCATTTCTCAAAGCTCTTGATAGTATTGAAAAGTCAGATATAGAACCAAGTTCGCGCGGTAAGCCTTTGTATTTATATTCATTTATATGTTTTGGGAATATGTAAATGCAGACTTATTTTGTTTTGTAATGATATTTAGGCTGGAATATCCTTTTATCCTCTCGTATTCCTCACAATCAAAAGGTTGAGTTGGAACGCATAACTGAAGAATACAAGGCAACATGTGCTCAGCCTGCAATCTACATGGAGACACATGCCGATTATCCAATGGACGTGATTCGTAAGCGACGGATAGACTTTTCTGCGCCTGTCCGGGCTTGTGTCAAGTAAGGGAATACAGTATAATAAATTAAGCCATGCTAAAAATAATTTCTCTTTTATTTTATTTTATTTAGTTGCCATCAGATGTCTTTACCAATGCACCCGAATGGTAAGCCTTCAGACCCTACGTCATTTGCATCTTGGTACCAAAGTATAGGAAACAGATGTCTATGCGGCGGCTTGTTTACTTGAGTTCTTCCTATTCGTCCCTTACCTCCCAAGTTAATCTATACTCCTATTAGAATTCACCTGAATTACTAAAGAGAAGTTTAAATCTTAATACACCAAAAATAAAGAAATATAAAATTTTAAATTTTAAATTTTAAATAAATTTGAATTTAAATTAAAAAAGGATTCGTGAAAAGATTTGACAGAATTGCCTCTTCTTCTTCTTCTTCTCCTTTCTTTTTGCTTCACCATCACTACTACCATGACCAAGAACAACCTCTCACCTTCCTGGAAAAAGCTTCTCAAGGCTCAGCTAACAGCAAACATCAAAGAGCAAGGTCCTTCTGCTGCTTATCTCTCTTTATCAACTGTTCGCCCTGACAACAATCCTGCAAATCGCGTTGTCGTGTTTCGCGGCTTTGCTGGTGAGAGCTACAAAGAAGAAACTGGCTGGGAAAGTGACCTTTTGACGATTACCTGCGACAAGAGATCTCCAAAAGTCCAGGAGATTGCAGCCAACCCTAATGTTGAAATCTGCTGGTGAGTATATACATGCTTATATGCTTTTAAATATCAAAACTATCAATATGAATATACGTTGAGGGTCTTACCTGACGTAATAAATTCAAATTATCAAACACACGAATATTAAGCACTTATTAAATAATATTCTGGGCGTCTTTTTTTTAAGGTTCATGGGTAGTACAAAGGAGCAGTTTCGTATTCGAGGCCGCATGCATGCCTTTGGAGATGGTCTCAACCCTTCCGAGAGTCTCAACTCGCACATTGGTCGAAAGCATCATGGTATGCCTTCTTTAGATGAAGAAAAGGAGGAAGACCATGAAACAGATTTCAGCGACCGGCTAAGTCAGGCCAGCAAGTCTTTCCTTAAACGCATTCGTTCTCTTAAGCACCACATTAAGCCAAACGCTCCATTCGATTGGCAGGCTGAGCGCCTCCGACAATGGTATGGGCTCACAGATCAGCTTCGAGCTACCTTTACATGGCCTGCTCCAGGTACTCCTAAAGAACCTGTTGAGGAAGAAGAGGCCACATTCCGTATAGAAACTCTGACTATCGAAGAGAGTGACGACAACGGCTGGTTTTCTCACCAGGATGCCGACAAACGGGCTTTATTGGAACGAGGTTATGAAAACTTCGTGGTTTTGTTTTTAGAGGTTACAGAGGTAGATCATAGTTATCTCGAAACTAGTGTGCGTACTATTTACCGGAAGGAAGATGATACCTGGAATGCTGTAGAGGTTAATCCCTAGAGTAATACAGAAATTTTATATTCTTCAGAGCTCCCACACACAAATATATATCTAAATAAAATTGAGTAAAAAGCTAAAGAAATAACATATGGAAAGATTGACAAAGTCATGAGGATTTATATCTGGATTTTGATATCATAGCTGTTTTACTTTCTCCAAATTTGATTTTTGAAGTATTCACAAAGTGAGGTGTTACCACACAAAAATGTGTTAATCGACCAACCTTGAAATTTTATTAGATATAGCAATACAAATATCGCATACTACTAGAATAAAGTGCTGTTTTAGTATAGCTTATACTCAAGAAATGCATACTATTTCTTCCGATATTTCGCACATAAAACAAAGCTAAATATCAAGTATAGAAGAATTTGTACATCTTTATTGATTTTGACCCTACCATTAATGATAGGAATAGAACTCAAATAAAATGAGCTTCTTGAAGGAAAAGCATGAATCCCAAGAGCTTTAAATGTCTACAAAAGGGAGCTTACTCAAAACTTTTTTAATATTCCTGAGCCCATTATTTGTTTAGATTTAAAGGTTCTCTTTTTTTTTGGAATCCAGGTCAAAATGTTCTACTAAAATCTCCCTTTTTTCCTTAGTAATAGCGTATAATCTTACATAGCCTATTGGTTTGTTGTCCCTACAAAGTGTTATTTTTATAAAAGCTGTCCAAAATCTCGTATCCCTAGTCCTTTTCTGGCTGGAAGATAATGAGCCCAACGATCTCATACGAGTTTTTACTGTCAAAGTATCAGTAAAAGCAACCAGGTAGACTTTTGAGATTCTTAGAACACTGCATTACCTAGTTTCTGATGTGCACATAATCACTGCAAATACTCTCACAATTACAAAATACATTTTTCTTGACGGGTTAAAACGCGACTCATCCTTTGAACTGAATTGATGTATCAATAAACATCTTTTTGTCAAGATGTTTTTTTTTCCTTAATCGACTGCAATACTGACTCCTCCAAATAACAGAAAGAAACAAGTATAAACCGCGAGCTTATTTCCTGGTACAGCAATATATATATATATTCATAACCTCTCCTACACCCTTATCTCCCTCTTAAACACTCACCAAATTGCTATGTACGAGAACACAAGAATCCACACCGCCTACATAGTGAATATCGATATTAGATTTGGCCAGCATCTCCGCCGAGAGATGAATGTCTTGCTCGATATAAAAAAAGACCGTGAGAGCTTACCGAATACCTTCGTGAACAAAGAGCAACTGAGGGACTAATTCAAAGAATGTTGACAGAACATATTTTTGAACCCGCCAGGATGTTCAAAAAGGATTGTCAACTCGCCAACTTGAAGATGCCTTCACCGAGGAGGAACACAGAAATACTTTCATGGCAATCTCTCCCATCTTTGTCGTCTATCCGGAAATATATGGGTTCCAAAAGAACTATATCTATTATGACTCAAACGAATCTCCGCACAGGCACTTCCTCACCTTTTCCCATATCGTCCGACTCCTAGAGCACCTTGGATATAGATACTTCAGCTGTTTTCCTCTTCGCCGATCCTGGTCACTATGCTACATACAAATCTACACTAGGATCCTGTCTCAGAAAATTTTGAGAAGAGCTTAGAGACTATCACTCAACAAACTAGAGCTGTGAGGAAGAGTGGTGGACTTGGACAAGAAGGCTTTCCATGGCTAACAAAACGGCGTGATGAAGTTCAGAGGAACAATCGAGACCGATGGTACAGACCTCTCCATTATTAAGCAGACCCAAGACACCGCCCAAGGACCAAATCCCAGAAGGGCTTCCACAATTGACACTGAAAGCATTCCCTACATCCATAACTTGCCTTCAAAACAACGTAAAAGAATCTGTGGACGTTGCGTCCTTATTGATCTCAGAAGAATAGATCTTTTGTACTGCATACACGAGAAATATTGTAAAAGAATCCCATGTGTTTTTTTTGCTGAGATATGGAAATCCCACAACCACAGCCAAATGTAAAAATATAGTAATTTTCTTGATAGATCCTAGTGGAAAATAAGTAAGTAAGAAATAAGCAGCAATACCAATGAACCAAAAAATCCGCCAATAATTCGACAACAATGATAAACATTAACAGTATATTGTTACGGGTATATCATGAATCGGCATTCTACGTATCCACAAATGTCCCAATATTATTTCTTTCTTTGTTTCTTTCTTTCTTGTGTGCATACAACTTTATTCTACTTTAAGATATTCTAATATATTCTAATATGCTTTTATATTATATTTACAGAGTCACCGACATATATCTGGTAGTAATCATGGTATAAAAGTCTTTTGCTCTTGTTAATTCACACCAATTGCTATAACACTGCCCTTGTACATAGCCTATTAGAAGCGAAACAGTGACGTTTTGAGTCTTACCTTTACTCTCGTTGTAATTTTTTTTTTAAAAAAAATAAAATAAAAATAAAATAAAATAAAATAAAAAAGAAACCTTGCCTTCCCTCTCTGACTATCTTCATTTTTCGTTTTCGTTTTTTTTTTTTTCGTTTTTTTTTACAATCCTTAATGGCCAGTCCATCTCTCAAGATTAAACTTCGACTCTCTAGAGTGAATCCAGAATCTCCAGGATCGAATTCGATTCAATCACCCGACGTACCTTCACCTTCTTTGTCTGCAATTGCAGGCCAAAAGCATCCCAAAGAAGATGAAGAGGTACCAGCCAGCAAACGACCAAGACCACGCGCCAAAAAGCCCGTACGAAAGAATGATTCGAATGACATGTAAAGTATATATATATTTGCTTAATTCCTAGAGTCTCATTGCGTTTTCTCATTGCAGACTTGATGATGATTCAGCTTTGGGGGATGACAGTAAGTATACAACTCATTCTGTGATTCTCGTTTTCCTTTTTTAAAAAAGAACTTTTTAATTATATATATCTAACATTAATATATTACAAGTTAAGGGTGATAAACAGTTGATAAGCCGATCTGGTGCATCTCGTAAAGACATTCTCAAGTTCAAAGATTTCAAGCCTCGTCGCTGGGTCAATTCTAATCTAGTGTTTCGCACTCTTGATGGTTCGTCCATCACATTGTCGGGCTGGCAAACAGGTAAGATGCATACTTTACTGGTTGATCTTATTGACATGGATTTTTTTAGAGGAGCAAATGACGATGAATGACAAACTTACCGAACCTACTACTGTTGCCGAGATTGATCAGCTCTTTTCATCCAATGGAGGAGAAAAAGACTTTAGACCTTTCTTATGCACCCAGCCTGGCTGCTCAAAATCTTTTACAACCTATGACCAACTTCAGACACACGAAACTAACATGCATGGAACAAAGAAGCTCATATGCGGCATCGACAACTGCCACAAAAGCTTTGTTACAACAGGTCAGCTAACAAAACATCGTAAGATGGTTCACTTTAGAGCAGCGCGGAAAGCAAAACTGGCAGCCGCAGCCGCAGCAGAGGCAGACAATGCACGCGAAGAGGGTTCTGATGGAGGTAGCCACGCACCTAATACGCCCAACGATACTATTCTGCATGTTAATGAAGAGGACGAAAAGACCCAGGATGAGGATAGTGTAGATATTGGAATCTCAGAGGACAACGCATAGTCTTTTATATATATATTATTTTTATTCTTATTCTTATTCTTATTGTTGTTTCTTCTTTTTGTATTGTGTTCCTACACCTTCATCGATTTTTCTTTTTCTTTCCTCTTGAACACGGCGTGCTCTATAGTGGCAGATTAAGTTTTATGCAGCACAAATATATATATACATATTTTTGGAGGCTTCTTACTGTTCTTTATCTGACAAGTGGTTACGGATTTCAGGATATGTGGGTAGAAGCAAAGGATCCTGAGCTGTAATATAAAGAAAATTCATAAGAAATTCTAGTACTATCCACTCAAAATAAAAATGTATGTGTGTGTTTTTTGTATACCTCTTGGAGATTCAAAGAAATACGGATGATTCAATGCTTGCCTGACAGTTAATCGAGAGCGAGGATTGTAGGTAAGTAGACCGGCTATTAAATGAATTGTGTGATCACTGTGCCGAGGAAACACAATCTTGATATTGTTGTAGCTATAAAAAGAATCAGTCATGATCCATTGATCCAATATTCACTTACTCTTGTTTAGGCAAGACCAGGGATTTAGCAAGCGGCAGTTTGGAAAATCCAGGCCAGATGGACTCGTTGGGAGTTCCTAGTAGCTTTACAATCATATCCAGTTCAGCCTGCTCAGTATTGCCAGGTAATATGGGTTTATGCTGTAGTAATTCTCCCATTATACATCCGGCTGACCACAGATCCACAGCAGTGGTATAATTTGTCTCCCCAAAGAGTAATTCTGGAGAGCGATACCAGAGTGTAACTACATTTGGTGTCATTGGCTTTGAAGGCAAACTTAGAGTGCGTGCCATGCCAAAGTCGGCTATAACGACAATTACCAAAGAAAAAAAAAGAGCGTACGTTGAGTTGTCTGATATATTCATAAGCAACGTAAAATTGTATTAATTACCGATCTTCAATAAGCCAGTAGATGTCAGTAATAAGTTGGACATCTTTAAATCTCTAGAAGATTAAAGTGTAAACTGTTAATATCTTTTAAACCACAAGAAGTTCAAGCTATGTACCTATGAATAATTGAATGGTCATGACAATATTCTAATCCTTTCAGCAATTGATGCATCAAACATTTGACTAAGTTTATATATATATAGTTGTTAGTGAGGTTGATCAAAATATTGTTTTTTATTGTTATTATTTATTGAAAGAATGTCTTTGATTTATTTACCTTCAGAGGCAGAGTAAGGTGTAGGCACCATATCTAATAATGTTCCGAGATCCTAGCAAGAACATTAATTGAATGTTACATTTAGTAGGTTTCTTACTTGTTCGCAGTACTCCATCACTAGGAAGATCGATTCTAGCTTTGGTCCGACTGCCACATCAGTCACATTAACAATGTTTGGGTGTTGCATGCGCTTTAGGATGCTGATCTCACGTAAACTAGAAATTGGCATTCCATCCGTCTCTCGTTCCATCCTAATCTTTTTCAGGGCTACGACCTGCCCAGATTTTGTGTCGATTACTCTACTAATTATCTAACGATTTGAGCTGTGTTCATGATTTTATCATATATCACGCACTAGACAACTCCGTATGTGCCCTCACCAACGCGGTTTAATTTTTGAAAGTCTTCGACGTCACGGCATTCTCCGTAAAAGGGCTTTTCTTTAAAGGATACTTTCTTTCCCCTTACAGACATCAACATGGTGTGTTTGGTGAGTGTGTCTGGCATCTTACTGCCATTCCAGTTTTCAAGAAGGGCGTTATTCTTCTCTCCCTTTCGCCCCCCAAATCTGCTTTTTTTTCTTTTTTTTTTAAATCCCAGGATTTCCACCCAGTCTTTTTTTATATAGAGAAAAAAGAGACCATGATCCCAAAACAACTGTGGTGATACTTTGTCGTGACTGTCATGTCAAACCATATGAAACAATATGCTGTGAATTACAAGATCCAGTCAACCAAAGGTGTATTGGAAAACAATGTATTATTATTATTTAGAAAATAAGACCACAATTGTTGTATTATGTATATATATATATAAGCCAGACTTTATATATCAAAATATCTGTAAATTGCCACAACTCTATACAATATTTACTATATCGAATTTTGGCTGCAATGCATCAGGCTAGAAGAGGGTTATGGGTTCGAGTTTGGACTAAGAAGTGGTATGAAGGTCTGAGCTATAAGCCTATCAATTAAGAGGGTTAATGAATCGGGTTATTGATAAGTTTCAACTTTTTGGCAAGCTTGGTTCACATCGCAGTTCATTACTATAGAGGTACTCAACACGATTTTGCATATAATTTGAAATTTCAAAAAATAAAAACCTTGCTTTCAAGAAAATTGCTACAAATACGCAAAATTTCCATTATTATGACTTTATTATAACAGTAATAGTAATAGTTACGGATCTTTAGAGACTAGGTATGATTATTGGACTTTTTATAACAAAAGTCTCACCTAGGTGGTCTGGTAAAATACATAAACTTCATAGCTAATACGATTTTGATGACTTGTGTTGATGTTTCTCTACCTCGATCTGCCGAGAAATTCCAAATATATTGGGGGTACTCAGCCAGATTGATCGCTCAATTTTTAAATTCAGAACGCAATATTATTGGACTAAAATTGTAATAGCGACGATTAAAATTTGATCGTCTTTTTGAAAGATCAAATTTCGATCAAAATTTGATCAAAAAACGTACGGCTCTTTGATTGGCTGAATCCTTACTTTTTTATATGCAATACGATACCGTTTTTATCTTTCTCCTTAATAAATGATAGAATTTACTGTCAACAAAGTCATGTAACACTTCTTTCACTCCGTATAACATGCCAAAATACAGTGCAAAGCAACAAACAGTTGCCGCCTTAAAGAAATCGCGTAAAATCAGAAAATTTGTAGCGAAGGAAAAAAAAAGTCTGGTACAATCTTTATCAACAAGCGCAGATGAGCTGTTGAAAAATATTTCAGAAGTCCTTGAAGAGGAAGTTGATGCAGAGTTGGAGAAGATAGCTGTTGTGGAGGATCTTGAGCAGAACCTTCAAGCCAACAGATACTTACACAAGGGTGGCAATACATTGCCAAAGCTTAAATCAAAGGAAGAAAAACTTGCTTTCCTCGAAGACCTAGATGCAGATGGGTTCAAAGAAGAAATCAGAATGTCCAAAAGCTCGTTTAATAAGCTGTACAAGATAATCAAAGACCATTCTTTATATAAGTCACCGAAAGGACATAAGCAGACTGATGTAAAGCTTCAATTAGCTTTGGTCTTGGAGAGACTAGGCTCAGACGGGAATGCTGTATCCTATAGCAGGCTTGCACGAAGATCTGGTGTCGGAGGTAAGTGTCTTTTAGTAAACTGACTTCCATTAATCTATATAAACATATAATCAATCCATTGAACTAATTATTTTAAACTTATTAGAGGGCAGTGTCTTAAACTTCACAGTTCGTTTCTTCAAGGTAATGCTATCAATGGAAAACATGTACGTTTTTTGGCCGTCAGAACTCGAGAAGACAGCAACGATAATCCCAAGCAATGAGAAACCATTCGGATTTCCTAATCTTGTTGGGTTTTTGGATGGGTGTCTGTTTAACTTGCAGCATACACCGTCGTGGAAAAAGCCAGAATTCTTTGGTCGTAAGCGCACATACTGTGTAAACACTCTTGGGGTATGCGACCATCAAAAAAAGATTCGTTATCTCTCTTGCGGATACTTCGGAAGCATGAACGATGCCAGGGTGTTTGAAGAATCGACCATGGGTAGCGACCCCAATAACTTCTTCTCTGGTGACCAGTATGTTTTAGCCGATGCTAGTTACATTCCCAAGACGTACGTTGTCCCTGTCATAAAGAAGCCAAAAAACAAGGAATTGTGTGATGCGGACAAAGCGTTCAATTCATACATAGCAATGATGAGGATAAAAATTGAGCATGCATTTGGGATTCTCAAAGCAAGATTCTGCTCTTTGAAGCGACTCCCAATTAAGATAAGAAGTCGAAAAGACATGAACATGGTCAATTCTTGGATCAGAGTTTGTGTCATTCTCCATAACTTTTTGATCGACCAGACAGATGACATGATGACAATGACGATGAAGATTTCATGGGAGAAAAGAGAAAAAGAAGAGATCGAAAGGATCAGCAGAGAAGGTGTGACTGGCACTGTAGATGACTATCCAGCAATGTCATTGTCAGATGAGAATGCTAAGCTCAAACGTATCCGTATCAAAGAAGAGATACTCATAAAAAACGGAGATGGGAACCTTCTTAAAAAAAGTAAAAAATAAAGAAATAAATTATCCCAAAAGTAGAAATGATGTATAACAGGTATTCTATGATAGTTGCTGTCATTATTAAATTGATAGTCTTTAACTACCATACGTTTTATTGTAAACGTTGTCAGTTTGCTCTTGCGCTTTTTCATATGACCAGTTTTGCACTTTGGCCAATTCTGCAACTACTTTCATCATGTTTTCGAATTTTCTGTGTATAAATTCGCGTTCTCGCTTAATGTGAAGATCGTCCTTAAGAACTTCTAGCTTTTCCCTATAAAGCCGTTCTACTTTTGCCTCTAGGGACACAGAAGACTCATTAAGTTGTCTCGTCACCTCTTCTCCCAACTCTTTATATTCGACGTCTACTCTTCTGCGTTTTCTAGAAGAGCTTGACTTAGGAGGAGGGGAGCAGAGTACAGACATGTTATCATTTTGGCTGTCATATTCCTCATTGTTGCTGCTATGACTGTTTTCAGCTGATTCTTCGTCCGTGTTGTCATCATCGCCATTGCTTTGCTCGCCGTCCTCGTCATGTATCCATTCCATTGGCTTTGTGGTATCACAAACCGCTGGAGAACCAGTCTTTCTATTGCCCATAACCTTTTCCATCTGAAAGAAAGCAGGGCAGATTTGATTCAATTCAGCTATTGTTATACAAATTACATTAAAACAAAGAGATCTAGAATTGGTATTATATAGATAGTATCAACTTACACTCTAAGCCTTCTTTTTCACTGGTAGAGCCTTCGTCGTTAGAATTATTTTTAATACTATTCTTCCAAACACGATAGGCTTCTCCATATTGTTTTGTCAAAAGATTGTTGAGCCTCGACTTTATTTGGGCTGTAGTTCGATAAACCCCTTGCTCCTGAAAATACTGGTTGCATTTATTCAGTATTGTAACCTTTGACGACTTGAACGTTCGTCCTTCCTTGTCACCGCCAAGATACATATTGAGGTTTTCTCCGCCGTTCATCAACATGAATTGCTGAAGTCTCTCCATAGAAGTCAGACCATCTTTACCACCATCATGTTTGTACCATGTCTTATATTCGTTTTTAATAGCATGATTATCTTCAGTGGATAAAGATATTTCGCTGTTAGAGTTAGACATGTTTTTTTTTCGTAATAAGGTGTGAAGCAGAAGAAAGATGTCAATTGTATGTTTCCTAGATTATATAGCAATTTTTTTGCATAATCTTTTATTAAATGACGTATAATCTTGGCATATGAATGTCATTAAAATTTTGGTCAAAATTTGATCGAAATTTGATCGAAATTTGATCGAAATTTGATCGAAATTTGATCTTTTGCCTTTTGGTGTCCTCAACTACAAATTGACATCATTGGCTAAGATTCACACAAGAATTTGAGCGATCAATCTGGCTGAGTACCCCCATTAAAGTAATCTGAAAAAAAAAACATTGAGCTATATATGTGAAATATATGCGCCAAATTGTTCTTCTTAATTATTTCTAACCTTGAAGGCCTGATATTAGATCTACTTTAGATTAGCTTTCTCGATTTAGGAGACATATAATACTAGGTCTGGTAAGAGAAAAAAAAACTACTCGACAAATGTCCAATAAAAGCAGGAATATTTCTGAATTCTGTTTGTCTTGCCGGGTAGACCAAAATATCGACTTACAACAGGTTGTTTGGCTAAATATTTCTTTTGCTTCCAAAGATGCGGATATCATACGATATTCCAGTTGTCAAAATCAAGCCAGACCACACTTTGTACAATGACTCACATTTAGAAGCTGGATTATCCTAGCTCACTGCCCAATTATTGCATCTTTTACTTGCATCAAGCAACTTTGGGATTTTTGTTGCGAATAATCTAAAAGAGGGTCTCACCAGTTCTCAATACTCGACATTTTGATGTAGTGGTATTTTAATAGACACCCAAAAAATATATTGTATCTCTCTCTGTGTGATGCAGCGGTGTCTATAGTCAGACATATGTCGCGGACATTAAGTCTTTTTTGGTATTTCTGGTGTAACTCTCACTAATCTGTTTCATTATTTGTTTTTTAATGTCTGTTCTGTGTACATGACGTACAGATATATATAAGAGGATATCTACTAGATATAATTTCTTTTTAAAGAAGGAGGGATGTATTTTTTTTGGATGTGGCAAATATGCTGTTCTAAATAGCATATACATATATATACACATATATTTAATGATCATTTTTGTGTTTCAAAAGTAAGTGTAATATTGAAATATCATTATACTAGACCAGACTGGAGCTACTCTACACTACTTTAGTGTTTGAATGTCATGCAAGTAAAAGCTTAAAGATAAAAGCTTTGGTTAAAGTGAATAATTAATTAGGAAATTAGATGTATATATATATATTACTCTATTTCAAGCTTACCATACATGGAATAACATTCATTCACTCATGTAATTTGTATTTAAATAAATAAATAAATAAATATTTGCGTTTGTAGTTGTTGTTGTTGCTAATATTGTGGTTATTTTAAAGGAATCAATACAAAGTCAAAAGTGAGTACAGAAAAAAAAATGAATGAAAGAACGCAAAAAATATATTTATATATTTATATATATATTCTGAGAAACGTTCGTTTTTCTTTCTTTCTTCTTTTTGTTCTCTTTCTCGGCAAACTTTATACTATGCGACATGCTTCAACTAGTTCCTCCCATAATAGTGCATGGCATTCACATCCAATGACCCATTCGGAATCCTCTGCCATTCCACCATACTTACCTCCCAACAAAGCCCCACCAACACCAGCAGTCGAACACCTTGGACTATTCGGACCGTGCGGTGGACTCCACTATCCTGTCAAAGACGAAAAGACCCTTGTCCTTCCAATCGAGATTAATCATGTCAAACCAGATACCCCACCCGAAGAACATGCGACAGATACTATACCCCTGTATTCAAATATCACACAAGAAAAAGTCTTTGACTGCTCAATGCCCTCAACCCACAAAAGAACCAGCATAGTCCAAGGAAAGGTTATATTGAGCGAACCTTGGGCAAGACGTTCAGAAGAAAAACAACAAAGAGACACGATTCGGTTGAGAGATCCTAGTATTACTAAAATGCCATCTTTTAATCTAAAATCAAGGCCAAGCCAATTATCTAAATTCTCTAAATACAACAGAGCTTCGTACAGTCTCACCAATCATCCAAACGCAATTGAACTCTATCGAGATATGGCAGAGAAAACAAACGATCCCCAAGTCCAGATCAATTATGCCAAATACCTTTTAGAGGTAGCAGCATTGTATGAAACATACCAAGATGAACCAGATAACGACAACAGATCGAAATCGAGTACCCATGCCGAGGCAAATCGACGAAAAAAGAAGCTACTAGAACAAGAGGGTGTTCGGTGGGTTAAAAAGCTAACCAAGAAGAACTTGGGTGAAGCAGCCTATATCCAGGCAGTCTGGATAGAAAAAGGCGAGTTTGGGTTTAAGAAGAACAACAGTAAAGCAATGCAGCTTTACCGGGTAGCAGCAAAGGATAAGATTCCAGAGGCCCTATATGCAGTTGCCAACGTCTCTGAAAAAGAAGGTCGATGGGCCGAAGCATTAACAGGCTACCAGGGTGCAGCTAAAAAAGGACTCGTTGAAGCGGTTTATGTAAGCTATAATTATCGTTATGTCATGTACATATGCATTTACACACACACACACATATATATATATATATATAAACAACGCGGTTTTTTTTCTGTATTTTACTATTATTAATTCTTAATATATATATTCATTTTTAAGCGTATGGCAAAGGCACACCTATTAGGAGAACTAAACCAAAACCCAGACATTCCAAAAGCACTTGAATTACTATTCAATTGCTCTCACAAAGCTACTGAAGCATGCCCAGAACCACCCTATCTAATCGCACTTTTACTCACCAACGACCACAAAATACGCGTGCCTGAAGAAACTATCCTTGCTTACGGAGGGCCTGGTATTGCGGTTGAATATTTTGAACAAGCGGCCAGTCTTGGACACCTTGAATCCTCTATAAAACTCGGAAAGATTTATGAATATGGGTACCATATGGCACCTGTTGATTACGCAAGATGTTTTGGATACTATGAATCTGCTGCCCGACGAAATAGCCCGGAAGCCATGCTCGGTCTTTCTTGCCTTGCAAATCAAGGAAATAGAGGACCAGGCGATAATGATCTGCATGGGCGATTAGGTCGTGATACCTCGGGATGGTTGGCCACAACTCCACCCAACGAAGATACCGCATTCTATTGGTGTCAATTGGCAGCCAAAAAACAATACCCAGAAGCCATGTTTTTGTTAGGGTGAGACAAAATATTTCATTTATTTATTTATGTGGAGTTGTTTTTTTTAATTATAAAAATAATGAAGTTAAATTGAAATATTAATACTAAAAGATATATATATATATGTATGTATGCATATTAGATGGTATTATGAAGCAGGTATTGGTGTATTAAGAGACTATGATCTTGCACAGGCATACTATCAAAAGGCGGCAAAGAAAGGCCATGAAGGCGCACGGATAAGATTACTAAAGACAAATTCTGTCACTCGGCAACAACATCAAGAGGTGACACGAGTAGGACGGACGGTCGGCGAAAAAGAACGAAAAGGAAGAAAATTTGGCTGTTTTTTCATGTAAAAATAAAATAAAATTAATAAAATTAAAAAAATTAAATTGGAATGAAGAATATGATGGTAATTCTCCTTCCTTTATAATTTTCAATGTATCAATAAAAGAAGACTATAATAAAATATATCAGAAACTACACAATTACTTATATGCCTTTGTCTGCTATATACAAACAAGGTAAATAGCTAGAGTATCTTCTTATATATGTATTGGTTGGTTAAATGTGTTATATTCTATACTATGGTAAAAAAGGGGTAATATACCAGGAGTCTTTTAAAAGTCTTTTTGGAGTCTTAAAGGTTGCTTAAAAGTTGAATTTTTATTACGCACTATATTTCCTATCCTTCTTTTTTTTTCACGTAAATTTTTCTCTTGGCCTTACAGTATTTCCACCTTAAATGGCGCGGTTAAAACTTATCAGTAGTCATAATATCATATCGCAGCTAGTGAATGATATGTTGAAGTTTCAAGTCAACAGCAAGATCTTTATCGGACAAACGATACTCGCACTGTAATGAAGCCATGTCTTTTGAATAGTTTTTATTGGTACATCTTCAGTGATGTATAAATATTATTAATGGATAAAGAAATGAAGATCGGCTATAATACTACCTTGGAATACCATGGGAGGTTACATTTGAGCGTTTGAGTGTGAAACTATAGACAAAAGTTGGGAACACAAAGGGTAGTGCTTGGGCGTATCAATTGTATCCATCAAACAAACATTGAATTTATGTTTTCCAAAAGAGATATTTTGTCTTTACATCCTTGATTGGCTGGAGGCATACCTATAGTATCTTGATCTTCTTACAGTAGAATTCTCGTCCATGTATTGCAACCGACCTCCTCTTCTTCTAAGGTCAACACAGACACAAAGAGCCTCAACTATTTTGTAGTATTTTGATGAGAAATCATAACTGTTGAAAGTCTCCTTCAAGTCAAAGATGCTAACTATCCTGAATATTGGGTTCTTGGAGTAGTGTTTTAAGTTTGTTTCAAGATAGAGATCAAGATACCATATGTCTGAATTGTTTATCTAAACTTCATCGCACCGTTCTCTTGGTCTCATAAATTCTTTGCTGTCTAGGCCCGCTATTACCCCCCAAAAAAGTCTAACTTGTTCAAGACAACTTTCGCAAACTTTCTAAAGTATGACATTACAATATAACCAACATGGTTAATATAAAATCATATGATGGATTAGAATATTGACAGTTATTGTTATCCAATAAGGTTTCAAGATAAGCACAAATTGATGGAATCTTGCTATCAAAGAAGGCCAACGATTCTTAATTGTACAAGAGAATCTTATGATGTATTATTCAATAGAAATGGAATTATAAAAGAATATATATATCGGTTGTGTAAATGAAGCCTTGTATCCGCAAGAGAGTGGAGATACAAGATTATCCATAAAAGTAAAAAGGGTTAAAGAAAGACAAAGACAAAGACAAAGACAAAAACAAAAACAAAAACAAAAGTAAGTTCTATACAAAGAGTTATTCTCTTGCCCTCTCCCTTTAGAATCGCCTTTGTAAAAATACTCTTGAAAATATCACTTTCAAAATCGCCCTTTTTGGTTTTTTTTTTGTAAAAGAAAATCTGTAGTGTTAGGTATGCTTAGATGCCTTCTTCTTTCCTTTCCGGGATGTAGATGGGGCATTGATGTATTGCAGAACTTGGTCAATAGGCAATTCACCTCTGGGTACTTGAGGGGCAGGTGCTGCTGTAGGTGTAGGTTGGGCAACAGAGGTCTCGGCTACTTTGATTTGGTCAAGTGCACGCTGTGCGGTCAAGAGCGCATTCGAAGTCAATTCTCTCAACCAAGTATCACTCTCCTTTGTACGAGGATCTTCAGGACCCAGCTACAAGACCAAAAAATAAAGAGTCAGAGTCAGAGCCAGAGTCAGCGATACATATGTATGTATATTGATATATCACAACCGTTTCTCAATCTTTATTTACTATTACTATTTTATCTTATTCAACTTTTACCTTTGCTTCAAATACAGCATGGGCTACCTTCTCAGCCTCTAATGCCTTTGCAAAATCACCCTGGAGAGTGTATGCTTTGGCCAGAACATGGTAACCAGTGGCAGTGACAACGTGCTCCTTGCCAAGAACATTCTCCTGTGTTGCACATGCTCTCTCAAAGAATATGGCACTTGTAGGGTAATCACGCAAAGATTGCAACATCACGCCAGCATTGTTCTATAAGCATACAAAAAGACCCACAAAAAATCAGTATTTTGTCTTCCTTTTTTTCATTTTCCTTCAAGTTATATACATGTAATACTTACATCGGCAGTAGCAGAGTCTGGGTGACCAGGACCAAACAAAAGATCCCAGTAGTAAAGGGCATGTTTCAAGTAACGGAGAGCAAGCTTTGTACGACCAGCGGCATGCTCAAACAAACCAAGGTTGAGCTATAAGATGATATATATATAAACAAAACAAAAATCGGTTAGTAACGTAAAGTTGTTTACAAAACAATGATTAAGCATTACATAGTGGTGAACAGTCTCGGGATGGTCAACTCCATTAGTGCGCTCGGCAGCGATAACTGCTTTACGTTGAAGGTCAAGGGCAGCCTCACGATCCTCGCTGTGGTGGTAAATCATAGCAAGAGTGGCATAGCACTTGCTGGTCTCGGGGTGCAAAAAACCGTAAGTCTGCTCGTGGAGAGTAAGGGATTCCAACAAAAGTTCTAATCCAAGCTGACGATGACCCTGAGCAAGACTCATTTTACCAGCCTCAAAGGTTTCTTCAGCGAAAACACTCTAAATAAGAAAATGCAATTAAATACAATATAAGGCGAGATGGGATGAGATGAGATGAGAATTGTTCCATGACATAAAGATGCTGAATAAATAAAAGTAAAAATAATAAAGGATAGGAAATAACTACATACGCGTGCTGAAGCCTGTTTAACAGTAGGCATAACATTAAGAATGTCATCGGGAACAAAGGTAGTTGTGCGCTCCTTGGAGACTTCCTTAACGACAGTCTGCTTCTTGGGTGCCTTCTTGTATTTGTTGTTCTGCTTTTGACGAGCAGCGTTGGCAGACTCGGCAGCAGCAGTTTCGGCGGCCTTTGCTGCAACTTCCTCCTCGGTGTAGGCCTGGAAACGGTAATCACGGGCTTCGACCTGGAGACCAGTGCGGAGACAGATCTCACGGAGAGTGGGGAGGGGCTGGATGACAGACAAAAAGTCGTCCTGGAGGCTGTAACGGAAGCGGATGGCGATCTGCTCCTTCAAGAGGGCCTTGAGAGAGGCAGGAGTCAACTGAGCCCATGCGACATCGTCCTTGGACTGACCAGCAGCCAGTGTGGGAATAGGCTTAGGGTTGAACTCGTAGCCAAACAAACAGTTGAGGTAGTGGGAAACACAAGCGCTCGATTCCTCGAGAGTGCAGCCGAACAAGAAGGTGCGCAACAGACGCTTGCTGCAACGAATGACCATTTCCTGAATGGCCAGGCGCAAGATGTGCTCAATGCGCTTGTCTTCGCTGACGGCAACAAGGCTGGCAACCTTTCCGAGATAACGCATGTTGATACCACGACGATGCATAGCCTTGGTAAGAGCATCGCCATCCAAAGGAGAGATGGCATAGGAAGCAAAGTCAAGAACAAGACTGGAGATAATCTCTTCGTTGAGGAACTTGCTGGCCTCACGCACAATTTCTTCTTGCTGCTTTAGATCGTTGGTGCCAGTGCTGGCTTGCTTGGCGTCAGTAAAGACGTCAGGGTTGAAGTTGAGCTGGAACTCATTCACATCAATCTTTACATCTTCCTCAACCTCTACTTCCTCTCCCTCTTTCTTTTCCTTTTCGTCTTCCTTTTTTTCCTTTTGTTCATCCTTCTTGTCCTCGGTCTTTGCCTCCAGAGCACGCTCCTTCTTAACTTCATCAGTCTTGACCTTAACCCATGCTCTAAACTTGTGCTCCCAGAACAAGCTCATCAGCTCGGGTCTTAACAAAGTCATCTTGTGAGGATAGATGGGCAAACCATCCGAAGGCTTCTCGACGCACATGGTCTCCTGGAAGCCAATATCGACTGGGTTGATGCGGTAGAGATCGAGCAAATAGCGACGACCATCAGCACCCAAAAGACCCTTTGTCTCGAGCGAGGTGAAAAGGTTGACTTCGTTGTTCTTGTCATCGAGCAAGGTGTGTTCGGCCAAATGGAGAGACTTTGCGATGTCCTTGTTGATAGCCTCGTGGAAGGACTTGTCAGAGGCGATCTGGACGCCATTGTCAACCGAACCGTACACAATAGAACTCTCATCCTGACGACGGAAGATACCAGGCACGATGCTCTGGGCAACCATGCGCACACCCTTGTAGTCCACAATCACACTTCCGAGAGTATAAAGACCCTCTGAATCAATGCTGTTGAGGATTTTGACACCCTCGAGATCTTTACCTGTGGCTACGTGAGCAGCCTCGTCTGCGCCAAGCGACTCAAAGGTACCACGACCATCGTTTCCCTTGCTAAAGAAGATGTTGTTGTAGACATACATATGAGAGTCTTCTGACTCGAGAGGGTTGAGGGCCATGACGGCGCCGTTGACAACAGCCATGGCACCCTTGACAGCAGCCTCGGTGAACTCAGACTGGACCTTTGTGATCAAGCGTTCGCGCAATACACGTTCCTGGAGGTTAGTCTTGGGCAATTCACGGTGGGACTGCAATTCGTCATTCCAGTCGCGCAGGGACTCGACAGCGTCGATTCCAAAGTTGAGGTAAGGTTCTGCAGTGCGCGAGGGGTCGTAGATCTGCTTGGGAGTCTGTACAGCCCAAGGATGGCTGGGGAAAAAGGTGTTCACGGGAAGAACCTCGAGCATGTGATGCTGAGTGATGAAATCCTGAAGCTTCACAAATTGGGTGGCGAACTGGGGGGAAACATGCTGGAGCAAGGTGATGAGCGAGTGAGCAGCCATGGTCTTGTGAGAAGGACCTTCTCTGGGAGTAGGATCAAACTTGTTGTTAGATGAGTTGCTGACAAAGAAACCTCTGGTGTTGGCAGTGATGTGGATTGTCTCGTTCTCAAGAGTGGTGACAGCAATGTAAAGAAGATCGCCCTTGAGACGTTGTGGGTGGGGGACTGGGTTCCATCCAGAGAGTGTGAGGCTCTTGAGGCACTGAGGAGCCAGACGCTGGAAGCTGCTGGGAACAAAGCGAGAGAGCTGAGAACGAGCATGGAGATCGGTGTTGGTAAAAGCGTGTTCTGGGATTGGTGCATCCGAGAAGAGGTCCTCCATCTTACGCTCTCCCTCGACAATCAACTCCTCGTCTTAAGATGATATTAGATATCATTATATACTTCTTTTTTTATGTATAGCTCTAATTGCTCCTATATAGAAAACAAGGTTTTGTTTTACTCACCGATTTCTCCAGTGACAGCAGTGAGGAAAGAAATTGCGGGATCGATACCGATTGCAGCAGGATTAGGCTTGTAAGGACCGCCCAAAAGATCGCGGAGACGGTTGATGTGCAAACGAACATCACGTTCGGTGTAAGAGTCTGTGTTGAATATTATTATTTTTGCACATGTCAGCCAAACAAAAAAAAATCCCATTTCCGGTTCTCAATTATTCTAATATTTTTCTTTACCTTCAACGAGTTCCAATTCACATTCAGGTGTGATACCTTCGATCTCACCCAACTCGTTAAAGTCATTCACACGCTTGCCCTTGAAAGCCAAGTAAAAACAAGAATGAGCGCAGGTCTCGGGGGACTCCATAATCGACTGCTTGATGTCATGCATAGCTTCGCGAGGACTAGCCTATAATCACACATACACATACACACACACACACACAAATAAAATAAAATAAAATAGAATCTTAATATCCGATCTCTAAAGAAACAATTATATATATATATATATTTCTTACTGTGGTCTTGATATCACCAGCTTGCCCGGGCAACTTGATAGTGATCTGGTAAGTCTCCTCAACCACTGTTCCTTCAGTTAGACCTGATTTTGAAGAAGATATGGCAGAGGGCCCATGTTGAAGGGTTCAGAGCCAAGTTGTAAAGACTTACTCTCTTCATTGGCTGCGAGATCTTGCTCATCGACCTGAGGCTCGGTTGAAGCGACGTTTGTTGGTTCGTGTGTCTCTGACATTTTCTAGCGGTTTCGTCAGTAAGGTCTTGGAACAAGAAAGGATGGTGTACAGAAGAGGCTTTTCGGCTTTATATTGTGGTCTATTGGATGTGTGTGTGTTTGGTTTCTTCTTTTTACCTGCTGTTACACGCTAACAATAATGTAAGGAGAGAAAGGAGACAGAAACAAAAACAAAAGACAGGTTGAGTTCGCAGTTTAGAGCGGGGGTGTTGTGTCCCGCTCCCACCCCCCCTTCCTTCCCTCCGTCTGTCTGTCTTATTTTCCACTTTTCTGGAATAAAAAAACTTATGGCATATGTCTGTCTGTCTGTCTGTCTATATGGGATTGGATATGTGCGGGGTTGGCTATAAGTTTTAGACTTTGGTGGCTTATTTATGAGTCAAATTTCAGGCTATGATTTTCATTTTTGAAGGGTAAAAGTTCAAATTCAACGCTGAAAGTTAAGGCTTGATGTAATAATATTATTATTATTAATATTTATTATTTATTTTGACTTTACCGAAACCATTAAAAGGTGCTTAAAGAAAAGTGAATTGTTGGAGTGAGCCAAATAAACGTATTTAAGCCAATATCCATACCATCAAAAGTTTGTGTTATCTTGACTGCCCTTTTCTTGTACTTCAACTATTTTATATATGAACCAAATTTAAAAATAAGAATTTGAAGTATATACCATTTGGTCAAATGCAGTGATTTTAATTGAACCATAATAAATCACCGTCAAATTTGCCTATTTATCTTTTGGCAACTCACAGCACCATATTGTACCAAATCTTTTGTATTCAAAATCCTACTTATACCCTGATAATTATATATATTTATTTGAAGGAGATGTTTCAATTTAACTTCACTTTAAGTGTGGCTTTATACCCGGAGTCCAATAAATTACATCCGGTTCCTGACGATCCATAGTTTATCCACACCAGGAAACATTCATTTCGTGCTCTTAACATCGCTAATAAATGTTATAAGATCTGTTTAATAGCCATATATAAGCTTTTCTTTAGTCCAATTTAAGAACTGTTCGGCAGTAGGTTCTTGAAACCCGATAGAATTTTGTAGTTTGACAGATTTTCTTTGCCTTTTCTATCACAACCTTTTCATGATGATCTTAACTGCGAGCAATTGGATTTATCTAGGCATTTTTGGCTGCATGGCTCACACCGATATATGTAAAGCAAAGGAATTAAAAGGACTGGTTACAATTTATCTTGAATAGCCAGAAGATATCTATTGTCTATTTATGATCTTACTAATGGACACCACTGTGGATGATCTAAAAACCAAATAAAAATTACTAGACTCTGGGGTCAAATCACTTTTCACAAGTCTGATATACCGTAAGAAAAAATAAAATTAAAAAGAAAATGGTCGTTTCTGAATAAGTGGCATTCTTTCTTGTTTTTTCCTTTGATTTTTCTCTTGGATCCAACCAACACACACACACACTGATATATATATTATATATTATGTATGCATTAACTTTTTTGTTATAGACTTTGGGTGTCGATAATTTAACCCTTCTGTCAATTTCGACTCCATAATGTCAAGCCAATAAACTCCTCTTTATATGTACATATGTATACATTTTGATTTTTTGTCCTGATTGACCTATTCCTTATCATCAAGACCATTTCCTTTTTGCTGTTGTTCAAATCTCTTGATGATTCATTAGACTGTTTTCATGCTGACATGTTAATAGCTATTGTAATCTTGGCTTGGAAATCGTTCTATCAACTGAATGTACAGCACTTTAAGGATTTAGTTTTATAATTACAGTGGAATAATCTTTTGTGTAGATATCGTTGTTGATCTTGATGAGTATTATGAAGAAGAAAATATGATTTCCAATATGTATATATATATATATATATTTCTTTTCTTTTTTCTTTTGTATTATAGACACTGTGTATGTAATTGTGCAAGTGTGTGCGCTTGAACTTGAAGGATCTGTAATAGCTGTGATTGGCTGACGGACGAAAATTTTTTCTTCATTTTTTTTGAGTCTCCTGTTTGGAACGAAAAAAGAGGGTATAAAAGCCTCCAGCCGCCACTGTTTTGATCGGCCTCTTTCCAACTTTTTACTCATCATCATGTCTTTCCGTCCCTCCCGTGGTTGTTACAAGTGTGGTGAACGCAAGTAGATTTCCGTTTATTTTTCTTTCTTTCTTTCTATTATGCTACACAGTATTCCAGTTTACTTTGCCTCTACATTGCAACGATTCTTTTCTCTTGCTTTGTTATCTGGCTTTTCTTTGGATTAATCGCCTGTCATCAAAAGCGGTCATAAAAGTCTGTTGATTGAAGCACTGTTTACATTGTTGTTATTGTTGTCATTGTTGCTGTTACTGTCATAATTCAACCTTCTCTTATTTAATGTATTTATTTTAAATAAACATACAAAAAAATGGAGATGGTAGTAGTGGCGATGTATATAATAAAAATTATAAAGGTTATAAGAAACAAGAAAAAAAGAAAAAAAAAGCTTACCATGTTATGTTGATTATCTGTTGCAGACGGCCACCAGGCCAAGGACTGCCAGAAGTCGGAGTCAGTTTGGTAAGCCAACTTTACCACTCACTTGCCCATACAAATAATATATATATATATATATGAGATAAACAATAAAGACCAATAAATATATATATGACATACAATCAGAAAGTCTTATTAAAGTTTCCCTTTTTTTTGTTATATTATTATCATCGTTATCATACTATAGCTACAACTGCAACCAGGAAGGTCATTTGAGCAAGGACTGGTAAGATTTCTTTCAACAATATTCTTACTTGATATTTTTGAATTATAAAAAACAAATTGCGCTTGACACGGATTTGGTTCAATGCAATACAAGTCATATCGTATACCATAAAACTCATCATAATAAAATCAAATTACTTTCTATAGCGCCGAGCCCCGCGCCGAGAAGTCTTGCTACAAGTGCAACCAGATCGGTCACTTGGTAAGTATTGCTAGTTATTATCAGATTACATTTCTCTTTCTTCTTGGAACGCGTCTTATTAAAACTGTGTTGTATTAGTCCCGTGACTGCCCCGAAGCTGGTTCCGATGCTGGACCTTCTTGCTACAACGTAAGTATATATTCGTGTCTGTGCTTGTATTATGCTTGTAGTGTAATAGGGTGTTGGTTTCTTTCTTGTGCATTTTTACTGATCCTTATTGCTTTCTTGTTGTTGTTTTGTTATAGTGTGGCAAGACCGGCCACATCTCCCGCAACTGCACTGAGGAGTCTAGCCAAGGTGGAAACACTCGCTCCTATGGTGGTTACAACAGCGCTCCCAAGACCTGCTACAACTGTGGTGGTGTTGGTCACATGAGCCGTGAGTGCCCTACCTCTGGTTCCCAGGGCGGTAACCAGAGCCAGAAGTGCTACAACTGTGGTGTAAGTATAAGGAAGAAAATGAAAGATAGAAAGAAAGAAAACAAAACAAAAATCAGACAATATGTCATATATATGGTTATTTCTTGCTTCTTGTGTATCTGACGTTATATTGCTGTTATATATGTATATAGAACTTTGGTCACGTCTCCAGAGACTGCGAGCAGCCCCAGCAGGCTAAGGTTTGCTACAAGTGCCAGCAGCCCGGTCACATTGTAAGTATAAAGAAGATTTTTTTTTTCATTCAATTACTATATACACATACATATTTCCATCAAAAACTTGCAATTTCCTTTGTGTGTGTGTGTGTGTTTGCGTGTGTGTGCGCGTGCGTGTGTATTGGCTTATACTTGAATTAATAATTAACCTCTTCTATTCAATTAGTCCCGCGACTGCCCCCAGGACGCCTAAGTTCCCTTTTCCTAGGAAACAAATTTGCCCTTTAAGACTTTATTCTTTTAGCTAAAGTGCTCTCTCTTTCTCTCCTATCAAAACTTTACCTCTGTCCTCTTCGTCTTCTTTTTTTTTTATATATTTCGCTCAGACATGATTATTATAAAGTATTTTATGCAACTATCTGCGCCTACTCATAAAAGAAAAAATGGAAAAGGAAATTTTAGTTTTTGGAAATTATTTTTATTACAAAGAGAAGAGCAATTGAATGTGCCTTAAATTTTGGACTGTACTTCTTCTACAAAACAATTTAATTATGTATGTGTTCATATGCGTCACAATTAATGACGTAATGCAACCTGAAGATTTAGCATTCCACCATATTACACATCTTCATTTCATACCAAATATTACTTTATTTTATTTTAACCATGTCTACTTGGGAATCTACTGGGATTAAGTATGTGAAACAAAAGAAATAAAATAAAATTAAAATAAAATAAAAAATTATCAGATATCTCAAATACGTCAGTATCTGTGCTCGTGCCCTTCGTAATGGCTTGAAAGATGATCTCCGTGCTAATGCTCAACGTTTGAATGAGAATGGTCCCAAATTTACAAAGTGGGAGGCAGGACGTCTAAAGGAGCAGGTACTGTTTCTCTCTCTCTCTGTGTGTGTATGTGTTTGGGAGTAGCTATATACAATAATGGGAATTCTAACCGTTTTGTATAGAAATATATCACAACTCCCAAACTCCAATAATTTATGTAATTTAAATAAGGAATCTTAAGAAGAGATCAAAACAAGGTTGTTTATTCAATATGTACGATGGCAATAAGGATTATGAGGGTGTAAGAAAAAAAATAATGAAAGACCAAAGAAAGAAAGCAACCCCACAAATTCCACCAGAATATTCTAGTATCCGGAATGAATGCGTTTCAATTTACTAGGCAAGACAAAGACTATAAAAAGAACAAGAAAAAGCAACTTATACAAAAAAAATAAAAATAAAAATAAATAATAAATAAATTAAAGAAATAAATAAATAAATAAAAACGGTAATTATAATAAGTAATAAAATGGAACAAAGATGATTTACATGACACCTACACGCGATGTCTTTTTTGCGACCAATGTCTTGATGCTTTTCCACATTCGGCCAACCACACCTTTCCGCTTTGGGTCGGAAGATCGGTCCTTGAGCGCAGAAATAGGAGTAGAATCACGGCAGCTCGGTTCGGAAGCAAAGGATTCCTGACCGGTCGGAACGGAAGATGAGGAGGAGGAGGGTGAGAGGGAGAATGATGACGTTGGCAAGGAGGACGAAGACGACGACGACGACGACGACGATGAGGAGTTGTGCACAAACACTGGGGCCGAGACATCATCAAGGTCCGATTTGAAAGCCCTTTCTTTAGAGTACGATCGGCGGATGTTTGTCGGGCCTCTTCCTCCTCCTCCTCCTCCTGCTCCTGCTCCTGCTCCTGCTGCTTGTTTGCAGGACTGAGTTGTGGCAAACGAGAACGTATCGGCCGGAACACTCGAAATTTTGGTTTCTTTGGTAGAGTAGAGTTTAGGGCTCAAGTTGAACCGGACAGAGTGTGTTTCTACGTTACCAACGCGTCCCATACCATCATTTGCATTTTCACCCTCCCCTGTTTCGTTCTCGTTCTCAATCGTGGGTTCTTTAGTCGAATGATGAGTCGGTAGTGGTGGAGAGGGTGCGGAAGTTTCAACTGCTATAGGCAGTTTTGTTTTGGTAGCATGGTCATCAGCAGGGGTATCATCATTATCATCAGTGTCTGCAGCAATAATATACTCGGTCACAGTATTGGATTCTACTACTTCTGCTTCTGCTTCTGCTTCTGCTGCTGCCTCTAGTTCAGCTTCGTCCATCAATTCTTTCATATCTGCCACGAGTTCTTCAATAGCGAGAATGTTGGAATCCTTATATTCAATGATAATCTCTTTTTCTTTTTCCTTTTCATTGGGCGTTGTATTGTTGGTGTCTTGGGTAGTCAATAGGTCAGTAGGTTGATCTACCACAGAAGTAATAGCGGCAGTCTCTGGTGTTTCCATAGATTCAGTAGTCTTAGTGGGCGGAATAGTCTCCGCAAAGTAGTCTTTCCGAGAAGTTCCACCAGAATTGTGTTTAGTAGCAGTAAACGGGTCGGATGATTTGTAAGCCAGTCGGGTGAATTGCATAGTTTTGGATGTGGGTGTGGGTGGAGGAGATGGTTTGGGAGGACCGATAATAACAGAAACAGGATCCTTTTGTTTTGAAAAGGTGGATTTGCCGGACATGCCCGACAGTCCGAGTCTGGTAGGAAGACCGGTGCCTCCAAACACGAATGGAGTTATTGAAGGTTTTGGATCAGCCGGCACAGGCACAGGTTCAGGTTCAGGTTCAGGTGCAGGTGCAAATATAGATGCAGATGCAGATGTAGATGTAGGTGTAGGAGTAGAAATGGGGCTGACTGTATTTGTTTTAAGAAAATTGGGTCTAAGCTTCTTGTTGATTCTTTTACGAAGCCTCTTTACAGCTCCTCGGCTGATCCCACTTGTCTCGTATTTTCCAGAGCTACCAAAAGTTGTTGCTGCTATTGAGTCTGATGGTTCTGGCGTTGAAGGGTTTAGGAGAGCCCTCAAGGACCGCACCGTACTACGTTGGACTGGATTTGATATGGACGAATGACATCGTTGGTCTTCTTCAAGCGGGTCGTTCCGGCTGGATGCTTTGGACCAAAGAGATTGGTAAGTGCTTTGGTGGTCTAGAAGGCTTCCAGAAGAGTTTTTTGTGTGGTCTGACAACTGAATGGATATCGAGTGGCGTGGTGGTGGCGATATGCGTGCAACATCGCGTGGATCAGCCTCTGCAACAGGCAAGAAGTGGCAATCGTTGTGGAATGGGAACGCAATCGGGCGGGGACACGAATACACAAGGTCCGGTGTACGGGATGGTCGTTGAGTGAGCGGTTTTGGTGGCAAAAAATCGAAAACACTCTGGGGCTGTTTTTGGGCTGGCGCTGGTGTGGATTGTTTCTGCCTTGGTGGGTTGGTAGAGTAGTATCCACTATCCGTACTTGATGTGCTCTCTCCAAGATGAAAAGTCTTGTAGAGATCTGAAGGCTTCCCAAGTGCCGATAAATGCCCTTGCCCCCAATTTATATTTGAATTGGGAAAGTTCATTGAAGGAAAACAAAAAGTGAAAGGAGGGGTAGTCAACAGCTGTCACTGGACTGACTGATTGGCTAATTGGTTGATTGGCTGGTTTGGTCGTAGTGGAGAGGGCCGCCTTTTTCTTCTTGGTCTTGGTCTTGGTCTTGGTCTTGGTCTTGGCCTTGGTCCCCCCTTATTCTGTCTTTTTTTTTATATCGTTGATAAATAAATGAATAAAGAAAGAAGCTGATATTGCAAAGGCTGGTTATTTCGACCACACTCTTCTTTGCAGATTTTTTCTTATATATAAAAGAATATATAAATATAAATATATATAAATATATATTAAGTGGTTTGGTTTGAATTCTCGTCTTATTCTTCGTTTTGTGGTATGTAAAATAAAGTAAAACAAAAGTAAAAGTAAAAGGAGAAAGAAAGAGAAGAAAAGGAAAAAAGGCCAAGATTGGGTACAAGAATGAGTCTTACTTTTTAGGACGTGACATGCTTTGAGCCAAAAACAGAACCAAAAGTCTGTGCAATTTGGACGAACTTTCTCTCTTGTGCTTGTAGTACAAACTACAAGCACCTGTTTCCATTTCAGCAGACAACGAAAGAAAGAAGAAAGGAAAAATAAAGTAAAGAAGAATTGAAACAGCTTTGAGTTTTGTGTATTTGGTATTTATATATACTTCCTGCTCTGGTTTTGCTTTGTATTATAAACATGGCTCGAAACCGAATATAAGGAATTCAAATCTTTAATTTATGACCCAAAAATTTCACCTGTGATTTCCAGGCAACAGTAGTAAAAGCCAAAAAGAAATGACCAAGAGAGGGAAATTTCGGGGGATTACAAAATATATATAGTGAATTGGTAGTACTAATCATGTCCTTTTTTTAAAAATATATATATATATATAAATATTTTACACATTGAGTGAATATATATATTTGGTTTTGACCTTTTAAAAGAAGCCGATTTTTCATTACTGTTGCCATGGTTATTGTTATTGCTATCCGGATCATTAATTGTTATCATACATTTTTTCTTCTTTTTCTACAGAAGCATCTGAGGTGTACCAAAATTAAAGACCACAAATTATGAGGTCAGGCCATTGAACATCACAGTAATCGTGGTTAGACCTGAAGCACAATAACCCAAAAGGAACTAATTATTCACCACGCATCAACCGTGACAATAATAATAGTAATAATAATAATAATAATAATAATAATAATAATCAAAGTTATCACACCCTTTCTTAAAGCACAATCCATTTGATTCTTCCACGTGATACATATATCTTTCCAATGAATTTACACCTAATTTTTATATGTGCATTTGTACAAGTAGATATAGCCAAAACATACGTTCAATAAAGACTACATTAGAGTAAAAGGTAGAAACCGAATGGCTCATTTTATCCAGGCTTTATACCGAATATATAACTTTATTCAACTTTTACCACACACCCACTCTCTTTCACAACACCATCTCAAGTGTGGCTTGATATTCAGAAAGTAGCAATTTTATCTGGTCCCTAACGACTCCTATATATAAATAAATGATGCTCTCTCTTGTGTAATGGTTCTTCTGCCTCGCCTGTCATTTATCTAAAAGACTTATTCATTTAATACCATCATATAATGTAAATCATTTGTTTTTTTTTCTATTAGACCAAAGCTTCTCAATTACATACGCTTTTGCTACACAGCTGTTAGTCATAGAGATACTTCTCTGTCATGTTGACCACACAAGCAATCGTCAATTGCTTTATTCTCTTTCGCCAATGAAATATATTTTGTATGTCTAGATTTTCATTAAGCTCTTTCTCAGGCCTCTTTTCTTTCACTTATTCATTTATTCATTCATTCTTAAATAATAAGGAGTAATACTTGATTAATAAATTTAATTTAATTTAATTAAATTATTGGCAAGTTTATTATATATCGTCTGTTTTTTTTTCAACGCATAAAATACGCCATACTTTGGGTGTCTTTCTTGGGCTATCTAATATATATGTATATATAATTGCGATGAAGGTTTCAATTTCTCTCCTTTTTTTCTTGCCGCTTTATCTACTTTTACAATACCATGATACGTTGCATTCGAACCACCTATTTGCCGTATATTACCCATTTACAAACCTTTCTTTTCTTTATTATTTCCTGTCGTAAAAATATTGTGCCTCTCTGATTATATACTTGAATATTTCTAGCATCCCTTCCAGCTCTTATTATTTTCTTACCAGATGACTTACAGCTGTTAGATAGAATTGTGTTTGTTGAGGGAGAGAGGGAAGATGAAGATTGACTGTGCATTGATACTGTCATGACAACATATGATTACAAACATAAGTCTCAGCTCTTTTCAGGTGATATATGTTTCATGGTCGTCCAAGTATACATATAAAATGAAATAAAAGTCGAATAACCAAAACTGAATGAATTAATGACTGAATGAACAATAGAGAAATAATTATGATAATGTATACGATTATAAGAAAAGAAAGATTATAGGTAGATGGCCACAGACAATGTTTACATGACATTCAAATTGTTAAAACTAGACTGGCATTGACATTCACTCCAAATATATGTTGTACAATGACTAATAAACTGGTCTCTATATCTTTTGGTTAGTTTAATAAGCAATTACAGATGCTCATTAGCAATTGTACCAATTAATTTGCTTTATATATATATATATATATCAATCGAAAATAGACTTTTAGCTTATAATATAGAACCCCTTAGAAGAAGAAAATAATTAACTAACTTTAGTCGTATGATATAGATAAAGAGAGTTGTTGAAAGAAGTGAACATGTTTGCTTTGAAAAAAAAAGAGTCATAATATTGAAAAAGCATTAATAAAAGTATGAGTACAATAAGGTAGGGGATTCCCCTCCTTATTATTATTGTTTTTTTCTTGTCTTTAATTAAAATGTGACTAGAGGTGGCCATAGTAAGACACGAGCAGCAGAAACAGCAGAAGACACATCACATATCTATCTAATTATTTAATTATTTACTCTATTTTGAATACGAAGAAGCCATTAAATAGGTCAGCGTCATCCAGGCTGTGACGAAATAAAATAAATAAATAGATAATAGTAAAAGGTATCAATCATTCTGTCAATCAGCCAGTCAATCATTCAATCAATTGACAATTTTTATATGAATTCTGTATGCTGTTTTGAATAATTTATATATCTATTTCTATCAATATATCTCTACCTATGTTATCTATGCTACTGTGATATTTGCTCATTCTCGCTCCAAAATCCTCTTTTACTTTGGATATTAAGGTCACGATACAAGTCACGGGTCAGGTTCAACCAACTTAAAAAATAAAATAAGATAGAGAAAGAGCGGCATAACTAAAGAGAGATAGAAATTGTAACTTGGCGTTCTTGTATTTTCTCTCTCTCTCTCTTTATTTTATTTTATTTTGCTCCTTTTTTTTCTCTCTCTCTTCCTTTCTTTCTTTCTTTCCTTTTTTCTTCCATTTTTTTTTGCTTCTTTGCTTGCGTCATCTTACAGACCTGTCGATGCTATGGAGAAATCTATGCCAAATATCGCTCGCTTCTTTTCTACACTGAAGAACAGCTTGCTTGAACCCAACGGAGCTCGGTCCGCTTATGCACAGATGGACCAAGAATCGGAGAATGAAGACGAGTATACGTCCCACAGTTTATTCTATTCTCTTCAACAGGATCAGATGGGAATCGATAGCATGCCATTGACAGAATCGAATGCATATTCGGACACAAGTCAACTCATATTCGACCAAGAAGAGCTTATGGGAGAACCATCTGCACTAAATCTATCTACCTTGTCTGCCTCTCGACTAAACAAATCTGACTACGAAGAAAGTCCAGTGAGTAAAGATTTATAGGCGTATAGATTTATGCAAGCGCAGTGAAGATTTACTTGTGTATCAGAAACCATCCGCTATTTATCTAGACGTACCATCCACCGCAATAGCACCCATCACAGCACCTCTATCGGAGTCTTTACTTCCAACAACAGCTGCGGTAAAGAAACCAAAAATAAAATAAAATAAAATAAAATAAAATAAATATAATTGATCGTTATTCAAACCATGAGATTATTTATTTTCTTTATGTTATTTCAACAGATACCTCCTGGAATCACAACTATAAAAACAGAAAAGAAGTACAAAGATCCATTGTTTGGTCTGGCTTACTGTCTTTTAATCATCGTCTATGTCTTATCAGGCATTTTACTTGTTTGCACGACCGACGTGAGTATAAATTATATATATTAATTATAATCCCAAAAATAATCAATAAAAAAAAATCTATAGAGCCATGCACTAGAAAAAGCAGCCAAAGGAACCACATTTAAGGCCATATCTGATAGTGCAGGCATTCTTACCCTCATGGTCTTTACAACTCTCTTGGTTGGCATTTGTTGGTTTCATGTCCTTCGCAAATTTACAAAGGTAATAATAATAACGATAAAAGATATATATATAAAAATGTCTATCTAATCAATTGAATTGTATTAAATCTGTCTTGTTATCAAACTAGGCGATTGTGTGGGGAACAGTAACATGCGTCCCGATAATATTTGTAGGGCTGTTTATATGGGCACTGGTAGAATCATTCCAAAGCTATTATTATTATGGCAACCAGCCTTCTGCACAAGACTCAGGGTAAGAAAAAAAATCTTAAGAAAAAAGAAGGAACATATAGACGGATGAATAGATATAGAAGTCATTGTTATTGTCATTGTCATTGTCATTGACTATACCATAATGAACAGCAGAAATATATATATATATATATTCTTATTGCTGGTGATATTGTGCTATGTTGTTGTTTGGTCCATGCGAACAAGCAGGGACTTAAAACAATACTAACAAACACTCATTTTTTTTCTAAAAAAATAATTGATCAGATTGACAATCATGTCCTTTATCCCATTAATTATCAGTCTTTTTTACATGAAGCTTGTATTTAGTGGTCGTCATCGTATCAATAAAACAGTTGCAGTAATAGAGGTAAAGATATATATATATATATGTGTGTGTGTGTATTGAATTGTGTGTTGTATCCATAGTTGGCATGCGAGATATTGAAATCCAATCCTGGTATCCTATTGGTATCTTTAATTCTCCTGGTTGTCTTTATTAGTTTCTCTGCACTTTGGCTATTATTTTTTAGTCGTCTATGGCTACTAGGCCACATAGAAAAGTCTGGATCAAAATCAGGTAAAAAAAAATCTATATAAATTAATGTTAACAGCTATTAAACATTTTTCTTTACTTTGAATTCTTTATTATTATTATTGTTCTAGAGGCTATATGGGTTGTCAATGATCATGTGAATATGCTGGTTGTATTTTATTTGTTCATATACATGTGGACAGCAGCAGTATTGATCAACATGCAAAGGTAGATATTTATATACATATACATATAAGAAAATCAGTAATACAAATAATTTAAGTGATAATAATAATTGCAATTATTACTGTGATATGTGATATGGGATTTAGATTTGTACTCTCTGCCGTCACTGCCCAATGGTACTTTCACAGGTAAACAAGAAATTCATCGTCTATTTATTCATATATATACCTATTGTTTTACTAATAATAATAATAATAATAATAATATTGTCCTTTTTTAAAAAAAAATCCTTAGACATGAACCTGCAACAACAAATAGCGAAAAGGCTTGGAAGAGTGCCCTGATAAGAGGATCAACAACCTCATTAGGAACACTTGCATTTGGTGGGCTTGTTCTCACCCTTGTACAGAGCATGCATCTCCTTGCCCAATATATGAAAAAGGTAAGTTAGATTATCTTAGCTTAGCTTATGGGTTATACAAAAAAGCCAAGAAGATAGAAATGATTCCAACATAAACATAAACATATATCTATATGATTTGCTTATAATGACTTGATATCTATTTTTCTTCTTCTAAATAAATAAATAAAAAGTATGTCAAGAAAAGCAGACCATTCGTGTGGATTGTTTCGATTCTGCTTGCATATCTCGAAGCCATTGTCAGCCAAATCAATCACTACACCATAAGTCTTGCAGGAATCACAGGCGAAAGTTTCTGCTCTTCAGCAAGATCAGGTACAAAGATGTTTAGAAGGAACCTTTTGTCAGGACTATTGGGTGGTAAGCATGCTCTCTTCGTCTTCTTCTTTGTTGCTGTCACTATGTCATAAAGATCACTTTTACTTTATTTTATTAATATATATAACCATGACAACAAATTAATCGTTCTTATATATTTTATAGATTTGTTGACAAAGTTAATTCTGTACATTGGTGCCTTGGTTATCTCTCTTGTGTCAGGACTTGGAACCTATGTTTTTGCAACCCACAGTCTTCATTCGCCGCATGGATACATAATTGGTATGCTGGCTGCCATTGTGCCAATGTACATATCACAGTTCTTTTCCTATACCATGATGAGCATGTAAGTTCCCCTTTCTTAGAAAATACAAGAGAGAAATTGGGTGAATGGAGAATTAATTAATCAAGACCATCAAATTAATATTATCGTTATATCTATATCTATTATGATTATTAGTGTTGATGCTTCATTCCTTTGCTATGCTATTGATCTCGACACGGGGATGGTGCACTTATCCAGCGCTCACAACGTATTCTCTGGCTTTGACTAAGAGATTGTTTAGTAATATTATTATCTAAAGTTTGGAGATTATCTCTCATATATTTATATTCCTTCAATTCATCCTATCCTATCCTATCCTATCCTATCTTTTTTTTTCTCTTATCACAAATCCTCTTTATTTGTTATCGAAAATGATATCATATACGTACATTTTCACTTCATCTTACACTATAAATATGCAAATCAATCATTACTACCAATACATACATACATACATACATACATACATACATACAAAAATATATACAAATATATATATATATATATATTCAAGCATTCTAATAATTGTAATAATATATGAAAAAGCTTTTATATGATAGTCAAATTCAATGTCTTTTTTTTTTATTGTTAGACGACTGAAATAATATGAAGAATTTATATATCAATTAACATATATACTATAAAGAAAAAAGGGCGGTTTTAGTGAGGTTTTTGCAAGTTTTTCAGGGTTTAGTGTGTTTTAGAGTGAATTTTTAATTAAGCACTAATCTCTCTCTCTCTCTCTCTCTCTCTCTGTTTCTACTATTATTGTAGTTCAAAAAGTAAAATAATGTTCGAAAATCAATAATTACTTGGGCTTTCTTCTTTCCGTCTAGGCCTTGCCTTTTATCTGAATGCGGGTCAATATCTACAAAAAAACGTATAATTCTTGTCAAACGAGTAATCATTGAAGAAAATGATATTTTAATGGACTTTTACAAAGGCAAGCGGTCTATCTCAGCCAATATATATGTCTATAGGCAATTAAAGAAGATACGGATTACATATGTAGAAATAAAATATAATAAATTCGAAGGACTTGTAACTTTGACATGTCTAACATATACTTAGTTTAGGATGCTCTAAACTTTTATTATTATCCTGAGACCTAGTTCAAGTATATATATATGGTTTTTAATCCAGAAAGCCATTTTAGACGCATATTGTATGCTGGACTGCTTATCAGGCTGCAAAATTTGGGTCAAGGAACAAATATGACCTACAGGATTACTAACATTTTAATTTGAACTTAAAGTCGTTGCCACCAAAAAAAGTAATGATTGTGTTTGCTTTTTTTTGGCTATAAAAGTTACGAGATCGGTTTTGTAAAATCTGGGTCTTGATAGCGAAAGTTACGACTCCGGAGATTTAAATCCTGACATTTTTTACAGTGATAATTAAATATATACTGTGAGGGTATATATTTTGTAGCCAAGACTTTGGATAAGTGCATCTTGGTGTTGGTGTTGGTGGTGTATATGTAATATAAACTCTCCGGTGATAAGGAGGTCAAATGCCTTTTCTTAGATTAGATGAAATGTATATTATATATATCTTATAGAACTTATTTATAATACTGTACCTCATAATCTTGATGGTCAAAATGACAGCAGTATATAAGATTATATATATATATTATATTATATTATTAGTTGATGATTAAATGTACTAGCTCGGTCAATAGTGATTATTGATTATTTGGGGTTTTTTTTATATTTACATTTTAAAATAAAAAAAATGACATAAGGGAGGACATTGAACAGTCTATTTCGGATATATACATGACGCAATAAAAGTCCATTTTAATTTTTTTTTGCTCTATACAGTTAACAGTAGCAATACAAAGTAATAGCAGTAGCAGTAGCAGTAGCGGCAGCAGTAGCATTAGTGTATCTAATATAAAAACTCAGTACAAAAGAAGTCTGTGAGCCCATAATTTTTTGTTTTAATTTTTTTTTTCATTTCCTTGCACCTTTGCTAATATCCAACTACCATGTCTGAACACACTCAACCCATTCAGCCCACTCAGTTTGATCAATTTGATCAACCTACTCAATCTACTCAATCCACTCAACCCACTCAATTTGATCAATTCACACAACCCACACATACTGTCCAACCTGTTCACACTGTCCAGCCCGTCCAACCTGTCCAGCCCGTCCAACCTGCTCACACTGTTCAGCTCGTCCAACCTGTTGAACCCACACATACTGTCCAGCATGATCAGAAGAATACTGTCAAGATGGTCGAGGACGATCATCAGGTCCAAGCTGGTTCCCATTCTCAATCGCTTAACCCAAACGTTATCATCAACAGTGCACTTGATGGCTTTGCTGAACTAAGTTCAAAAATCAATCCATTCGCACAGAAAATCGGAAAGAGTCTTGGACAAGCCAAACAGGTAAGCCTTTTTAAATATATAATGTATATATATATATAATATATAAGAGAGAGAGAGAGAGCGTATGTGTGTGTGACAATGATCTACAATTGAATTGTGTGTGGGACTATGCAAGTGTGTACAAACGTGAAGGTGCACAAGTGTTTGTATGCTGATCATTTTTCTACTTTTGTATAATAGTACGCACAAGAGAAGTTGGGTACAGCTGACGATGTCACAGAACTTCCGCAAGAATACAAAGATCTTGAGAACGTAAGATGTACAAAATTTGCTCTAAATAAATACAAAAAGAGAGAGGGAGAAAATTGTGCAAGATTTACTAATCAATATTCTTATATGTATATATTGTAAACAGCGGGTAGATATTTTGCGAAATGTTCAGGCCAATTTGGTCAAAATAACCCGTACATACGGTAACCCTTCCCATGATTATCCCGTCCAATTACAAGAATCCTTATTGGGACTCACGTCTTCAGTCACTCGAGAGATCCAGAACATGACTCTTTCGACAACAGAGAGATCCAACGCCACAACCACACCCCCAGCTACAGCCGCAGCCGCAGCCGCAGACACCGCCACCGCCACAGCCACCGCCACAGCCACAGCCACAGCCACAGCCACAGACAATTCGTCTTCCAACTCTTCCTCTCATTCTACTCATTCTGCTGGTAGTATTGCAGATCAAAAGCTGCACCCAAAGACACTTTCACATGCCTTGGCACGCGTGGCCGGGCAGGGAGCAGAGCAAGTCGGGCTGGAGGACCACTACGGGACCGCATTGTTCAAGGTAGCCACTATCACCGAAAAGGTTGGCAATGCTCAGCTGGCGATGGATGATGCCATCACAACAAAATTCACCCAACCAATGCAGGCCAATCTTGCGACAGTTATTGAGCAGGCCCTCAAGGCTAGACGCAACGTCCAGTCTTCCAGATTGGCGCTCGATACAGTCAAGGCAAGATATAAGGCAACAACTCGCCTAGACAAGGAAGAGGCTATTCGTCTGGAAGTCGAAGAGGCCGAGAATCAGTTTGTGGCAATGGTAGAAGAGGCCACAAGTTTGATGAAAGCCGCATTAGATAATGTAAGTTGCTTCTTCTCCTTTTGTTTTAGTAATGACGAGAGAAATATGTTGTAAACATATAAATATATACAATCTAATGCATTATTTATTTATTTATTTTGTATAGCCTGAGCCTTATCGTAATCTCACAGACCTTGTGGCAGCTCAGGATGCTTATCACAAGGAAGCACATGAACTTTTATCTGAACTCACACCTGAATTGGATGCCCTTCGAGTAGCGCAGGAATCCCACTTTCACCATCACTAAAAAAGGAAAGAAAGAAAACAAAGGAGAAAAAGTAAAATAAAATAAAAAATAAAATGAGATAAAGACTTGTTTTACTTTCATATCTCCCACTCACCAATCCCTCTTTCCTTAACAAAACACATGCACATACTTCTTTGCCTTTCTTGATTTCTTGACATTATTTTGAGTGTTTGAATAATAATTGAAATCTCTTTGTAATTTTAAACAATTCAAAAATAAAATTATATATATATAAGAAACATTGTCAATATCTATCTATTTTAGCAGCAATATTACAGGGGTGTCGTTACCTGATGAGACGCTACTCTTTTTTTTTATATGCCAGACTAATTGATTGTGATAATTTGCCCGGGGACCGATCTTTATTCTCAAAGCCTTCAGGGTAAAAAACAATTGTGTCCTGAAATTCTTAATCCAATATCTATGTTTCTTCAGCAATCTCCTCAGGCACCTAACTCTCATTCTTTAGGAAGCAAGACCTGTTCTTGAGCAATTTGATAATAAAATTTTGTCTCATACAAAAAAAAATTATTCAATCTAAATATAAAATCTTCTTTTCCATTGTATACTCATCTCGTAAGAATTTACTAATCAATTATATATTAAAGAATATCAGTTTTCTCATAGATAGCAAAGACATTACTTTGCTTATTGGAGATTAATAATTAATAATTATTCTGCTAATAGGTACTTTCTGTAAATCAATTCAATATAAACCATATCAATAAAGAAACCCGCTTTTTTTTTTAAATCAAAATGAACATAATCTTGCTCAACAACATCTTCCTATCTCACCAGTTAATAATCACAATGTAATGATAATAGCAATTGCAAGGATTTAGGAATATACACTTGTAACTAAAGGTAAGTAAGCCAACTCGAATGTACTTGAAGTGTATCTAAGGATGGGAGCCGGCATTTTTTTTATCAAGGTATGATGGCTTAAAGTAACATGTTAGTTAGCTATTTTTATTACTCTAGGCATATATCAAATACCTTATTACAGGTAGTATAAAGCTGTAAGTATCAAATTTCATATTTAAGAGGATGCTTTTACACTTGAACAAAGCTATTGTCCTGCTTTATATTAAAGTATCTTTATTATGATAAGTATGAATCCTTAGGGACCAGATATAACTTTTTGATGCCAGCCAGCAGGTCATAATTTATGGTCCGGCAAAATCAAAACGTCGCTCGCCTAAGATTTGCAAGCTTCAATACAAGCAAAAGGAAAAAAACACGCATGCTTATATATATAGACATTTGTATCATTTAATCCCCATGCTTACATGATGTAAGCAATTGTACCCCATCCCCAATATTTTCATATACATTCTCTGTTCTATAGTGTCATGCAACAAAGCTTGTGGAATAGGCCTCCAAAAAAATATATATATAATAATTTCCTCCCCCCTCATATATATATTGTAACCAATATCAGGTTCCCAAAAAGCAATCTGTTTATGTCACAGAAATTGGGATCTACTGTGGTGCTCCCCCACTGACCCACAAGAAAAAATTAGGACTGTCATTATCACAGACCACCAATACCTACAAGTTTAATAATAAAATAGAGATAAAGATAAGCAAAATAATAAGAGTGTTACAAATGCAACATCAATTAGTTATAAAGTAACCTTTATTAACAGTAATACTAGTGGTTAAATATATATATATTAGAGTTTATAAATCTTGTGTTTGGTAGCAAATATTTATTTCAGGCCTGCTTTAATAGATTGAATTTAATCGAATCGAGTGAAAATACAATAAGAAAAAAAAACCTATATTGCTATACAGATTATTCACTCTAATTCACTTAATCATTAAACATATTGTTAATAGTAGTAGTGGTGAAATAAAGTCAATCAGTCAGTCAGTTAAGTTGTGTCTCTGACGTCACAAGAGCCTATTTTTTTGTTGTCCATCTTAAAAATATATAGATGCATTACTTGATCAAAAAGTCATCGCAATTGCATGCACACACTGGACTCAATACAATAAACTACAATACCTAAAGAAGAATAAGAATAAAAAATATATAGATATATTCTTTAGCGTCATGGACACTCCAAACGATACCAACACGATGATTCCTACCACAACAACAACAACTGCTGCTGCTGCTGCTGCTGTTGCCGGTGGCACTACTGACGTTACAGAACCTACTACTACCAATGCAGCAACTACTACAGACGCAGAAGCTATTACCAGTACAGAATCAGCTATAGATACAGCAATAACAACAACAACATTTTCTGATACAGAGGCTACACTTACTACTGATCCATCTGCCGAAACTACCAGCACTACAACTAGTAGTACTGATACTGCATCAACAGGTGTTAATAATACATTACCACCACCTCTACCAATACAGCAACAACAGCAACAACAACAACGCCCTCCCTTCTCCTCTGAAGGACCAGTTCCTATCAACCATCAACCACTTGGAACACATCATCGTAGACCTCAACCAAATTTGCATCAGAATCCTCATCAGCATCCTCATTCTCACCCTCCACCTCCTCCACCTTTGCCCTTCCCTTATCCTCATCCTGGAGCATTTATGAACTTTCTTCCTCCAGGGTGGACTGAACACACCGGACCTGGTGGACAATTATATTGGTACAATGCCATGACAGGACAGAGTTCGTGGCAGAGACCAGTGATGCCACCGCCACCACAAGGTGGATTTATGGGACATCCAGGAATGGTTCCCATGGGATTACAGCAACGACCACCACCACCGCCACCACCACCACACCACAACCAACACCAACACTACCACCACCAGCACCACCACCAACAACAACAACAACAACAACAACCGTTAAATTTTACTCCTCCAGTTGTACCTAAACCACCTGTCAAAAAAACCAAGTAAGTAAGCAAAGAAAATAAATCTATTGTTTTACAACACTTTAATACTTATTATTGATGTTAGAAAGAAGATTCCGGGTACACACTGGTTGCTGGTCAGAACAACTGATGGGATGGAGTTTTATTTTGACAAGGAAAAGAAGCAGTCTGTGTGGGAGATGCCTAAAGAGCTGGAGGAGCCTATTGCACAAATGAAAAAAGAAGAAAAGGAAACAGAGGATGCACTCAAGGCTGCCAGAGAGGCCGAGATTGGAGAAAAGAGAAAGCTTGAACAAGAAGCTGAAAATGAAGCTAAAAGACAAAGAGCAGAACAACAAGCACAGAAAGGAGTATCAGTAGGAGAAGAAGAAGGAGGAGCAGAAGAAGAGCCTACAGAGTAAGTTTTTTTTGTAATAAAAAAAGAAATATTTGTGTATGTAGTAAATATTAATATATACATGAATTTTATTTTAGAATGACAGAAGAGGATATTATGTGGCAATTGCAGAATATGGATCCTGAGGAAATCGAAGATCTTGGGTTGAGAAACGAAGAACCACCAGAAGAAACAAGTACCATGGTGACACCAAATGCACAAGCTGTAAAAATGCAATTATTACAACAACAACAGCAGCAGCAACAACAAGCACCACCACAGATTGTGGAATCTATGGATTTGTCTCTTACAGAAGAGGAACGGGTTGAGCTTTTTACAGTAAGTAATTAAGAAGGTGGTTTATAAATATAGCCTAGTTTAGTTTAGCCTAGTGTTTTATAAATAATACTAATCTTTTGTTTTATTTTGGGTGAATAAATTACGTTAGCAAATGTTGACTGAAAAGGACATTTCGCCATACTCCACATGGGAAAAAGAGTTGCCGAAATTGATTGGTGATCGACGTTACTCCCTTGTGCAGCAGCACAGTAAAAGAAGGAATCTGTTTAATAATTACTGCCGCCTATTGGCCCAGGAAATCAAATTGAAAAAGGCGAATCAAAAGGTAAATTAGAAATCTAATGTTAAATGCTATATATATATTTGAACGTGAATTTGAAACTTAAAATTTATTTATTTATTTATTGAATGTGAATATTATACAAAATAGACTCCAGAAGAGAGTTACTCTGAATTATTAGAAGAAGAGGCTAATGAGAGGATGTATTGGGAAGACTTTCGTCGGAAAGTTAAGGATGACGAGAGATTCAAGGCAGTAAGAGAAACGAAGCTGAGGGAAATTATGTTTAAGGATTACGTGAAGATGCTCCGAAAGGACAGGACTGCGAGCTCAAAGCGGAAAGAGGAAGAGTACATGGAGTTGCTGAGGAGTACAAAGGAGATTAGAGTGGGAATGCGGTGGAGAGATTGTAAGCGTATTTTGGAACACGATAAGCGGTACCAGGCCATAGATAGCAAAGACACCAGAGAAGATTTATTCCGGGATTATCTCGAGACCCTCTAAGTAACCAAATGTAACAAATCTTTCTCTTTTCTTTCCAATATATTCATATTTTATAATATGAGACTTTTGCTTTATTTTGAATGTTAATTATTAATATTATTTTAAGAAAAAAAATTATTGAAGGAGATTTGAACAGTAAAATAAATGAATAGATAGACAGATAGACAGATAGAATAAAATAAAATAAAAAATGAAATGAGATGAAATGAGATGAAATGAGATGAGATGAGTGAGATGCAACAAGAGTGACGGTTGAACTATACAGAAGCACAAGAAATAAATAGATTGTGTAGATGAAATAATTAAAAAAGGTATTATAAACATGGAAAAGGGTGGGTAATAAAAGAAAATTAATAGTAGAATAAAGAGGTAAAAGATGATGAAGAACAAGAAAGGCACATGGGTGTCTTGCTTTGAGATCCTTTCATACTTGTATGCGTGTATATGTATATATTGGTCTGATTCCCTTTTTTTTGGTTTTGGTTTAATTTGTTTCTTATAGCCGAAGGTGCGTTATTTATACGGCTGTTGACTGAGGAGATTGGTAGTGGAATACTTTGGGTGGTTCAGACGTGAATCGAACAGAGGGCCGTTTGGTTGGTGGGTTGATAAGAGATGGTTTGATGAGTATGCTGGTGGTTGGACGTGGTTGGGAGCGACAAAAGATGGCCGGGGCTTCACGCACCATTGCCTCTTCTTCCTCGTGTTCTCGTTCTTTGTTTGCTCGAATGATTGCCTGCAGGTGTTCATAGCATTCTCGTCGACGGTCCGGGTGACGGTGCCGGGGGTAGTGAGATGGTCTTTTTAATGTGGGCGAAAGAGGAGGAGATGGGAGACTTGATGGAGACATTGGTTGGTTATTTGATTGATTGATTGGTTGGTTGAAATTATTATTATTATTATTTTTTGACTGATGTTGTTGCTGCTGCTGCTGCTGTTGCTGCTGCTGTTGTTGTTGTTGAAAGTACAAAAAAAAAGTACAAAAAAAAAGAAGAAAGCTAGCGGAATTGGATGGTTGACAGTTTTTATAGGAAACTCCTGCATGGGGGGGAGGGGGAAGAAAAAAAAAAGGGTGGAACCAATAAAAGGACCCGATCGACAGTCTCTTTCTTCATATAAATAAAAATACAATAGAATAACTCTTCCCTGGGATCATTGGATCGACCGCAGATCGCTTCCTAAACGTGACTCGGTCCCCTCCTCGGGTCTACCAAATTAAGAAATTCTTAAAAAAAAAAAAAAGATTTGGATATTGAATTTATTTTATGTAGTGTAGTGTAGTGTAGTGTAGTGTATTGTGTTATATATTATTTTAAACAGGTGTTTGTGGTCCTTTGGATTGAATAAACTGACCGTCATGATAAAGAGAGTCAAAAGTGTCTTGGAATATTTTCTACAAAATATTTAAAGAAGTATTTATATACTTGTTCTTATACTTATAATTATAATTATATATAATACACACACACACACACAAAACCAAATAAAATAAAAATGTTCCTTCCCCTTGAAACATTGAAACAGTAGTAGTAGTAGTAGTATTATTATTATTTTTGGGGGGTAGAAAAAAGAACGAATGCTGACTAACTTAATACTAATAAACTAATATAAATATAAATATAAAAAAGAGGACTTGCCTGCATTTCATTGGCGTCTTCATATACAAGCGAGCCTTCTTCATTGAATGTCCGTGCATTATCAAACAGTAGTAAAACGTCTTTAACAAAGTGTTCCACAGTTTCATAGTAGCAGGAATGAATCCGTTTCTTGATCATAGTCAACGAAATGGGCTGCTTGATCATCGAGTAGTACATTGGATAATCACGCTTGCTGACCAAATCCATAAACAGTTCACTGCGGCTGCGGATCCCACTATTAAATAATTATTTATCATTTTTTTTTTAAGAAAAAAAAAAGTACAAAATACATAACATGTATTTAGTATTGTTGTTATTGGTGTACACAATATAAAATAAAATATTTAATAATAAGAAAATCGTACTACACTACACACACTATACTATACTATACTATACTACACTACACTATACTGCACTGCACTGCACAATCATAATCACAATCACAATCACACCAACTTTCATTAGTCTTACTTTTTTTTTTTTCATCTCAACCCCCCCAATTATCTCACTCAATATATATATATATATGTGTGTGTGTATTGTGTTGATTATCTTGCACAGCCACCCAGCCCCCCAGCCACCCACCCAAACCAAGCCAAACCAAACATACTTGACTATAATAATATGATGGTCTTTTTGGTTCAACTTACTCTTCATCTTCGGTCGTACTGCCTTCGACTGCATCATAGCATGCCTCGAAAAGTTCTGTCATCTTCTTTCTCATTTCTGCTGGGACTGGGTCAGGGCCCTGTGGCTCGCTACTGGATACCTTCTTTGGCCTCTTTGTGCTACGTTTCTATAAAGCATAAACTCAGCATCTTTTCTTTCTTTCTTTCTATTTCAAATTGTCGATCCTTTCCATTCTTGTCACACTACAACTTTACCTCTACTTCGCCTCGTCTTGGTCTGCCTCTCTTTCTATTCGAGTCGATCTCCGGACTCGGTTCTTTATGAACATATTTCTTGCCCTTGGTGGTTGCCCTTGGATTTCGTTGTTGTATTTCCTCTTTAGAAGCAACAACAACTTCTTCTTCATCATCATCATCATCATCTTCTTCTTCTTCTTCTTCTTCATCCTCCTGTTGCTTTTGTTGTTGCTTTTGTTGTTGAGTACGTCTTCTTCTTGCTTCTTTTCGTGTAATAAGAACTTCCAAATCAACATCTTCATCTTCCAATGCCTACCAATAAGAATATTTATTATTCCTCTTCTTGAAATATTATATTCTATACTTTCAATTCCCTCCCCCCCCCCCCCCCCAAAAAAAAAAAAATGCCTCAAAATAATCATAAGCATCTAATTTACGTTGACTCACATTAACCCACTGATCTTCCGTGAGCCCATCGTCATACCGAATCGAATCTTTCACCCGCTGCCCACGCCCCAATTCAAGTGGCACATTGTCAGCCACAACAACAAGATCTTCTTGGTAAACATCTGGCAGCTCCCTATCCTGAATAAGCCGCTCAGGTTTTCTGCCCCGGTTTCCACTTTGCCGCCACTGCTCCTGTTCTCGTTTCTCTCTCTCGACATCCATCTCGTGAAACAGCACACCCTCTTCCTCAGACCGCTTCAACATCTCATTGAGCTCCTCGTCATCAAGGTCCTCGTCCTCCTCTTCCCCTCTACCCCCACCCTCCTGTTGCTCATCACCCTTGTCTTCCAAAAGCGACCGCAAAAACGTCTCTCGATCCTCTTCTGTACTCCGGTTGTCGAACTTTCCGGCCTGGATAACCTTGCCATCAATGTCGAGTTTATAGTTTGCTCTGGCAAGAATGTTTTCTTCGACCGAGTTGGTGGATACCAGACGGAAAATACGCACTTCTTTGGTTTGGCCAATACGATGAGCCCGATCCTGTGCCTGTAGATCCTGGTGCGGGTTCCTTATATTATATGTTAATACACTATCGTTACTTTTTTCATCATCTTTGTTAAAAAATCTTTGTGTTCAACTTTACCAGTCAGAATCAAAGATCACCACAGTGTCGGCTGTCTGGAGATTGAGTCCGAGTCCTCCTGCGCGCGTACTCAGCAAGAAAATAAAGTATGGTGAACTGGGCGCATTGAACAGGCGCAACAGTTCAGAACGATCGTCGGCCTAATTATACATAAAAGTACACAATAAATATAAATGTACATGATGAAAAAACGTGCTGTTGAATTATATTGTGTCATATCCGAATCCCTTTTTTGCTTTCTTTTCTTTTCTTTTCTTTTTTCTTTTTTCTTTTTTCTTTTAACTTGTCCCTTAACCACACACATACATACACTATACACCCCCAATTTTTTTTTCTTTCACTTTCCTTTTTTAATTTTTTAATTTTTTAATTTTTTAATTTTTTAATTTTTTAATTTTTTACCTTTGTTGAACCGTCAAGACGCAAGTAACTAAAACCTCGGTAGGTCAAGAAGTCTTCCATGATACTCATAATTTGGGTCATTTGGAAAAATATCAACACCTGCAAACCATTATACTTTTGATTAGCCAAGAGAAGTATTCATGTATACACGTATTTATTTACTTACTCGGTGACCAGTCTTTTCTAATTTGGGTAGCATACGATCCAATAGTTCGAATTTACCAGAGGTTCTGAACAACAGATCGTTGGATTGTCTGTTTGGATTGATGGCACTCTCGACCTCCTCAAATACAAAAGGATGATTACAAATCTTACGGAGCTGCATAATCTTGTTATTCAATCCCTTGATAGTTGTTTTTCTATCATCAAATAAACATATACATATGAGTAAATCTAATAATTCAGATAATAAATGATAGTAACAAATCTTATTCATACCCATTATTTGCCCCGGTTGTATAGAGCATTCGGTTCTTCTTCATCTGGGTGTACATCTGCAACTGGAGTGCCGAGAGTCTACACTTGATCACTCTCTCAATCTTGTCTGGCAACTCAGACTCGACATCTTTCTTCAATCGACGCAGCAAAAAGGGTCGCAGGACCTTGTGAAGACGCTTGATGATCAGCAGCTGTTCTTCCTCATTCAAATCAATCTTGTCCTGGACACCCTGGTTCGAGAACGGGGTATTGAACCACTCCTCAAAGCTCTTCACACTCTTGAAGATCTTTGGCAGGATGAAGTTCAGCAGGGCCCAGAGCTCGGGCAAGTTGTTCTGCAGAGGCGTACCGGTCAGGATGAGCCGGTAGCGCGTGTGGTAGTATTGACGCAACACAATCGTCAGTTTCGAATTCGTGTTCTTCATGCGGTGGCCTTCGTCAACAATCATGTGCAGCCACTTGATCTTGCTCAGAATAGGCCGGTCCTTGATGATGTACTCAAATGTGGTCAGAAGGACCTGGAAGTCGTTGTAACGGATGTCGGCCTGCAGGTTCTTGCGCACCATCGGTGGTCCCTTGTAGACGATCTTCTTGACAGACGGTGCCCACTTCTCGAACTCGAGTGTCCAGTTGGTCAGTGTTGACAGCGGAACGATAATCAAAAACGGTCCGTTCTGGCGCTTGTGTTCAATCAGATATGTAATCAAACTGATGGTCTGGATCGTCTTGCCAAGTCCCATCTCGTCTGCCAAAATGCCGTTGAGGTGATTGTTGTACAGAGACACCATCCACTGAAGTCCCTTGATCTGATAATCCTTGAGTTTGCCGCCCACAAGTATAGATGGCTGGCAGACCTCTTCCTTGATTCTATGGGTCACCTGGAAATAATCCACCTTTGCCTCTGTCATCTTTATAACAAATACAGATAAAATAAGTATTGCTTGTCTTGCCTTTTTTTTAAAAAAAAAACACACACACACACAAGATATACTTACGTTTTCATCGGTCTCTGGTGTTGGTTCAGGCATAGGGAGCATATGATCGCCATGATGCATTGGGTCGTTTTGCTGGTCCAAAACAGCCTTTGTAAGAGACTCGAGAAACGAACCGGTCTGTTTGAGCAGCTGGGTCAAACGGGTATCCTTTGCTTGGTCGATGAGCTTCATGTATGCCTCTTCGTCGTCATTCTTGAGGGCCCGGATACGTTCCTTGGAAACTCGTTCGGCCTTCTTGAGCTCTTCCTTTTCAATGTGCTGGTGGAACTGGAGGACGGCTCGGCCAAGCTTTTCTTGCTTGGCCTTCCACATGGCATGCAAATTGCGCACATTGCGGCCATTGTCACATATGGTCTGTAGGTAATCAAGGTGCTTCTGCTTCTCCTTTTGCTCTCGGTCGATTCGCTGCTGTCTCTCCATTTTTTCGGTCATTCTGGCCTCACGCAACGACTGCTTCTTCATTCGTCTGTAAGCCAGGCGATCAGCTGATGTAGCCAATGTTGTCGAAGCTGTCATTCCAGTCATAATTTCCTCTCGAAGCTAAAATAAAGAATATATATATCGAACAATTAGTTGATTTATATTAATTCATGCAATTAAATGCAATTTGACTTGACTTAATTTTAATTAAATAAAATGAAATAAAAGTAAAATTCTCTTCTGTTTTATTTTTTACCTTGCGTTGCTTGCTCAGTAGACGCAAGGCCTTGAGCTCAATGACTGCCTTGAGTTTTAAGCTATTGCCACGGTTGGCCTTGATATCTTCTTCTAATGCATTGATCTGACGTGCCAGATCATCAGACAAATTGCTTGGAAGTTTCTCGAGTTCGTGGATTCGATAGTGAATTCGTGCCTGCACGCGACGTTCTCTTTCTGTAATTAAGGTGTGAGAGTCAACTCCCAAGGGTAAAATACTAGGGATCAACATTCGAGGTGAGTGTGCTTTGGGTTTTGGTGATTGTGATTGTGATTGTGATTGCAAATCTGTTGAATTCTTTAAAGCATCGTTTGGAGAATCGGATTGTTGCTCGTTGGTCTTGTTTAGGTCGGTTGTGGCTGCTGCTGCTGCTGCTGCTGCTGCTGCTGCTAATGACAATCGCTCGTTAGCCATTTTGGATAGATATTCGGCGGCATTGTTGTTATTCTTTTGAAGATTGATAGTCGTGGGTGACAAAATGGCTTGTTGGAGATTAGATGAGAGTGGCATATTCTTTGAGATCAGCTTGTATGCCATGATCTGGTACTTTAATGCAGCCAATTGATTGTGTGAAAAGGTGGAGGCATTGTCAGAGGATGCTAAATGTAATTTGATTGAGGTTTTTTTTTTCAAAAAAAAAAAAAGAAAAAGAATATAAAATCAGTTGAATTTACCCATTGTGTAGACAAAAGCAACATATACACCTATACACATAATGCACACAAAGAAACTCACATGCAAATGAAGGAAAATAAAATAAAATCAAATGAACATGTGTGCTTTTTTTTGTTGCATGTAATATGTATATATGTTGCTTTTGCGTTTCAAGAAAGTTTAGATTGTACCAGTAGTAGGTGATGCTTTTTTTTGCTTATTTTGAAGGTTTCTCAGGAATTGCATGATTTGAGTTAATTCAAAATGCTCCCCTTCCTTTTCACCTTGGGCTTGAAGAAACTTTGCTCTCTACAGAAAACCGAATCATTCATGAGGAGAAGTGTATTGTTTTGTTTTTTTTTAATAAATAATATTATTATTAGATGATTTTAAGAAAAAGAAGAAGAAGAAGAAGAATGTAAGAATAATAAAGATGTATAAAATTTGGTATTGTGTGTGTGTATATTGCTTGAAAATAATTGATTTTTTTTGGCTTTTATTTTATGTGTATATATATACATGTATATATATTTGGTACCTGAAGTAGATTATTGAGTTTTTCTTTGGTAAAGCTTCCGGTAGGCATGTTGAGTGGTGACATGATCTTTATCGGTTGAGAGAAATGACTCATTTGGCTGATCGCGCCAGATAAGAAAGCAATGGAAAGCAAAGAAAGGAAAAAGAAGAAAGGAAGAAAGAAAGGAAGCGGGTTTGTTTTAATCTTTATGTGTTTGTGTGTTTATGTGTGTATTTATGTATGTGCGTATGTATGTATACTGTCTATGTTTGTTGATGTGTGTGCGTGTCTGCGTATGTGTATTTTAAAATCTGCTGTGTGTAGTGCGTGTTGTATATATATATATATATATATATATATAAATGTGTGTGTGTGTGTGTGTGCAGATAGATATTTTATATAATTAGATATATATATATGCTGTGAGTGGAGGAGAGAACTACTTTATGACGCAAAAGGGATAAAGAATATATTTATATTGATATTGATATTGATATTGATATATATATATATATATACTGTATTTTCACCGGATATTGAGAAAAATTAAACTACCGTTTTTGGGAAAGTATGACTGGTATTTTTGAGAAAAATTCAATACTATTTTTGGTAGAAATATTTTATTAATTGAGAAAGTTAAAAGGCTAACGTTTTTCTTCCAGAGCCAAACAACGCTCAAAAAACGAGACAGAGTGTCTAATCCAACCTAGACAGTCTTTGAGGGCTACTTCTGAACATGACTTTACGATTTTTGGAGTTAATTTGTCTCCATTGTCGAAAGCTTCCCTCTTTACACCAAACTTTACCTTTGACCAAAACTCCTCGATTGGATTCAGGAAAGGTGAATATGGTGCAAGGTATATGCATCTATAGCCTCTTTTTTCTATGCAAGAGCTTACTGTTGCGGGCTTGTGAATGGGAGAATTGTCCATAACGCTTTCTAAATAGCCTAGGTAATGCTCTGTTCTAGTTTCTATTCTAGTTGTAGTTGTTACAGCCGTACCATCAGCCTTTTTTTTTTGCTATCTACCACTGTTGTTGGTTTTCTTAAAGAAATATCGATAACTCCTTGAGCAGAGATGGCTCCAAGGATAGTAATGTAAGTGTCTCGGGAGGTAGAAACAATCGACTTTGCAGGCATACCCTTTTTAGATTAACCTCTAAAACGGCTGATATGAAGGTTAAAACCTGCTTCATCAAGAAGAACACAGTTTTTTTTTCAAAATCCAAAACTTTGTTGGCCATCCACTCGAGGATAACTTCTCGTCGTTTAAGTCTTACCTCTTCCGAATTACATTTTTCAGAAAGCTTTTCCAATCTCTTAAAGCTCGATGCACAGTGCTGATGAATATGATTTTAAAAGGCTGTTTTACTAATCTTGAGTTCAGGATATTCCTTCAAAACCTGTGCCTCATTTGCTCTAAAGTCGTAGGTACATAACTATCAACTATGCTGATGATAAAAAGAGTATGTTACTCTTTCACGATAGCATTAGTACCCTTAATGGGTCCTCTTTTTTTACTAGGAGCAATAGTATCAAATTCCTCTCATTGCTTTTAGAAACGATAAGCCGTGCTCTTAGTTATGCCTGCATCTGCAGCTACGTCTTTTACTGGTACTTGCTCAATAACTAAAGATAAAAAGCGAGATATTTGGTCGGAGTCGTAGCTACCATAAGTGCTTTCCTTTTTAACGTTGTTTTTTACAGTCAAGGCGTTAGAAAATACTTCTATTCTACTACTGGTGCTAATTTTCTCAAAGTCCTTATTACTGTTTTCTCTTTCTTCGGCCTTTTCTTCTACTTCGTCCTTTTCCTCTTGAGAAAACTCTTCTAGTAAGACTTTATCAATCTCCATGGCCTCGAGCCCATACTCGTACTTTGCCCTCATCATTGACACGAGACTTACTGTTACTTCTCTCGTAAGATAATCTGAGTCGCCTTGCTCATTAAGAGACAAGTATTCGATATCCATGTTATCGAGCATATTTGAAAGTTAAACTTTAAGTAAATAAAAGTGCTTACAAAAAAAAGCTCATATTTTTCCTCACTTTCAATATCCGCTGAAAATAGTATCTAACCAGGCTAACCAGGCTAACCAGGATAACCAGGCTAACCTCCAATATTCAGTGAGAATAATTATAACAAAGTATAACTATATAGTCTTAAATATAGCGAGGTCTTATAACTTATATATATATGTAGTGTGTATAGAGCATGTATTTGCCTGGATACAGCAATATATAGCGGTTATTATATAAAGACTATCGATAATATTTGATAGATATTACGATTTATGTGACCGATGTTTAAGTTTTCTTTAGTTCTAAAAAGAACTAAGGTACCTTTATAAGCTACTTTACTATGAACTAATTATGTTGAAGTTTCAAATGATAATGGCGTTTACGATTTTGGGATGATAAAATCAACTGGTCCAAGGTGGAGCTGATGATAGTCGGGCGATGTCGTTCGAGGGGGTGGAGAATCAGCGGAGTGAATACAGGCTCTGTCGAATGTATCAGGCACAAGCAACAAGTTAGAGATGTCCATAACAAGCTTCGATAGATCATGCAAAGAATCTGGCATCTGGACTTTGGTAATTTTATACATGATATATAAGCCGCTCGAAGGTAAGACCAATACATAAAAAGTGATGGTTCTGCCAACGATTTATAATCCAAGGACTCCTACCATCTTTTGTGAATCTAACGCGTCTTTGCAGAACATCGCGACCCGTAAAAGATCTCGGCATATTACGTAAAGATTGGATTCTTGGCAAGCCGGTTTAGCCTCTCCAAAACCTAGACTTGAAGTCCATTTTACATCTTGCAATCTTGTGATACAAAGGTCAGGCCTCCAGCTCAACAAGCTTTGTTCATTTTTGGCTTCTGAGGTTGTTTCGTTCGTCCATCGTAAAAAGATATTTTAATCAGGATCAACAAAACGAGAGCAAAGTTCCATTTTATTAGAGTTCTCTGCTAAGGACACATGAGGGAGTTTCTTTATCAATTCTGCTATTGCTTTGGTAAATTTGTATATTATAGGGAGGCTTGTGCAATTTTGTTTTACCAATCTCTTTTCCAATGTACTAATATAGATTTACCGACACCATTAAAATTGCAAATGTCAGAAGACAAGCAGAAGAAGATCTCCAGGAGGGTCGTCGTTTGAGACAAAGACTGACTAGAATTCAAAGAAGATAGAAAATTTTGTCCTGGTTACCGCCTAGGACCCACCCAAGCTACCGCTGATAAGCCATTAGATTTGAATAACTTGGTATTTAGTTTTGTAATGGGTTGAAAAAGCTAAGAAAAAGATGTTTTGCTTTGACTGCAAGAAACATGGTGAGGTAAAAAAAAAAGTAGAATATAAAAGAGAGCAAGAGAGAAATTGGTGCTTAATTAAAACTCAAGTACAAGACACTTTAAACCCCGGAAAACTTGCAACAATTCACTAAAATCGTCTATTTTTTTTCTATAGGGCAAGTGACTGCTAAGAAGAATAGAGAGAATGAATAGGAAGAGTGAGCGTACGTTTAAATGTTTCGACTGAAAATAAAATAAATATATATTTATATAATTGGACATTTTAATTAATAGATAAGCCTATATAAATCCAAATGTTAATATTAATATTAATATTACTATTACTATTTCTCTTCTAGTATTATCATCATTTTGAACAAAGAGATATCAATTGGCTTGCTTGAAACTTCTTTTATATATATATTTTCTCCCTTTTTTTTCATTTTCTTGGTTCTTTATTGGTTGGCTTCAAAATATAAAGTACACTTGAAAATTGGAATTTCATTGGATTTTATGTACCTGATACAAATATATCTATATCTATGAAAACATTTTGGTAGGATGAACAAAAGCAAAAAAATAAAAAAGACATTCTTCTTCTTGTTTTATTGCTTTGGTTAAAGAAGTGCTTATAGATTATCCACCAAAATACCAATTTTCTTTCTTACACAAAAGGTATCAAAAGTCCGCGTCACATATGCCCTTTTTTTTTTTTACTAAACTTTTACTTTAATATTTGTATTTTTCCCGCCTGTTGACTTTCCCCCCTTTCTTTTGTCATCTTCTTTTCACTTCTTCTTCTTCTTCTTTTTTAATTTTTTAATTTTTTTCTTTAATTTTTCTGTTGTTGTTATTACTGTATTTCTTCTCTTCTTTATACTTCTTCTTTATACTTCTTCTGCTACTTGTAACCTTTACGAAACAAACAAACTAACAAGAGAATTTACTTTCTTTTCATTTGTTCTACATATTAACTAATTAATTAATTAATTAATTAATATTATTATTATTATATAATTATATTATACTATACTATATTATATTATATTTTATATATATATATAAATAATTAATTAATTAACTATTATATATTTTATCTACTATTACGTCTGCTTGTCTTCTGACACGTAAAGATTCCCATCTCAACTTACTCTTTATTTTTCTTCTTTTTTTATTCTTTTTTTTCCCTTATCTATCTCTTCTTCTTGCATAATGACTGCTGTTAGCTCTGTCGCCGATGTTGATGCCTGGATTTCACAGCTCTCGGATTGCAAACAACTACCTGAATCAGACATTAAGAAGCTTTGCGACAAGGTAGATATATATATAATAAATTATTATGCTTATGATTATATATCAAATCAAATCAAATCAAATCAAATAAAATAAAATAAAATAAAATAAAATAAAAACCGGACCGATATGTTATATTATAATTGTTTATATTATCAATATTTTTAAATAAATAAATATGTATTTATATAAATTACTAGGCTCGTGAAATTCTCTTAGAAGAGTCTAATGTCCAGCCAGTACGATGCCCAGTCACCGTGTGTGGTAATTGGGATGGGCACGGTAGATGTGGTGGGACGTGTCATCAGACGCTGACTCTACCAACTAGGCGATATTCACGGCCAATTCCATGACCTCCAAGAACTGTTTCGAATCGGAGGCAACTCACCCGACACAAATTATCTCTTCATGGGTGATTATGTCGACCGTGGTTATTATTCTGTTGAAACAGTTACATTGTTGGTCGCACTCAAGGTGCGCTACAAAGATCGTGTGACCATCTTGCGTGGAAACCACGAATCCCGCCAGATCACACAAGTTTATGGCTTTTACGACGAGTGTCTACGCAAATATGGAAATGCAAACGTCTGGAAGATGTTTACTGATCTATTCGATTATTTGCCCTTGACTGCACTCATTGAAGACCAGGTTAGAATTTGGTTATTTATATATGTATATATATATTGATCTTGGAAAGATATATAAATAATATATGATAATAATCAATGAATGAATGAAGTATAGAAGAGAATTAAATAAATAAATAAAGAAGAGGCGACTTACTACTTGTACTGTAGATCTTTTGTCTTCACGGAGGTCTCTCTCCCTCTATCGACACACTTGAACAGATCAGATCATTGGACCGGATCCAAGAAGTACCCCACGAAGGTCCAATGTGTGATCTCCTTTGGTCTGACCCTGATGATCGTTGTGGTTGGGGTATCTCTCCAAGAGGTGCTGGCTACACATTCGGACAGGATATTTCTGAAACATTCAATCACAACAACGGCTTGACTCTAGTAGCCAGAGCACATCAACTGGTTATGGAGGTTAGTTTGGACAACAAAATTAATTTTTTTGTATACATAGTAAATTAATTAATTGATTATTTACTTTTTTCTTTTACTTATTTATTTATACACAGGGTTACAACTGGACACACGATCGTAATGCGGTTACCATCTTTAGTGCACCAAACTACTGCTATCGTTGTGGTAACCAAGCTGCGATCATGGAAATTGACGAGCATCTGAAATATACATTGTGAGTCTTTCTTTAAACACAAAACACAAATGAAACTAATAACCATTCATGTTTTATTTACAATTTTTTTTTCATTTTCATTTTATTAGCCTTCAATTTGATCCTGCACCTAGACGTGGTGAACCCCATGTAACCCGACGCACACCAGACTATTTCCTGTAGGCACGACAACTATGACAATGACAGATAAGAAAGTATTTTTAAGCCACCCAAAAAAAAATATAAAGAGAATTTGTGCTTAGATTAGGATTTCTACATCTACCTCTTTTCTTCTTCTATTTTACGTTCCTTAATAGTCTCTCTTTTAAATACATTTAACTTACTGTTGCACTTGTACACTTTACCGTTTGTCTTTTGTATTTGCCACTCTTCTTTTTTTTAAAAATAATAATAATAATAATTATATATATAAAACAAGTGTGCAATATATATTGAAATGTCACAAGTATATATAGTGCAATACAATACAATAAATATTCGTGTACCAAAAAAAAATGTAGAGTGAGCAAGAGTGGAAATTGTCAAAAAATTAATGAATACATAGAGAAACAGAAAATGACTTTTTGTAGTCATTTCAATAAACGTAAAGTCGTTAGTTTTGAATTTGATGTTGTACAAATAAAATGTGCCTAGCAACTGGTGCAGACAGACTAAAAAGTTCAAGATAAGCTTAGCCAATCAGATTAATTTATTACTGTCCGCACGAAACCTGCATAAATTATCATAAATCTTTATCTTTATATTTCCCTTCTTCTTTTTAACAACAACCACATCAGCCGGAAGAACTAAATATAAATCATTGGCCCTTCAGTCTTACCCTCAAATTTACCAGTAGCCAAGACTCATTTAAAGTAACTATTGCTTTTATTATTATGGATGCAAGACATACTTTTCCACTCCTCAAAATCTATGTAGACATTTGAATATCCCTCCCAAATTTAAATACCTTAATCGTAAGACAGTGCACTGATGTATCAATGAGTCTGTTCTGTTTTTAAACGCTCCTTCGAACGGCGAGTGATTCAAGGTACACTATGAATACCCCCCTGTTGTGCGGCTCGCTTTGATGATTAAAACGCTCTCGACAACAATTTTAATGATGACCACAAAGAATACCTGCCTCAGCGACCAAATTATCTGAGGTATTCGGGATTGTTTATGGGTTAGTATCTCAATAATGGGAAAAGTAGATACTGTGAGAGTGTTATTTATTAAAGAGACAAAATAATATTGTTTTTATATCTGCTACTATTCAAATCCCTGTTGTGTAATGGTTGGTTTACACTGTATGAGTGCGTAGTGTACGTGTGCCTGGTGTGTAACAGTTCCGGAGATTGTTAACTTGCCAGGTTCATTAGCAAGAAGGAACCAGTGTTTGGTTGTGGGGTCTGTTCTTCACTCAATTGTGGTGTGTATACCACATTATCAAAGCCAACTTAGTACATTAAACAGCCCCTCTTTTAATGACCAGCACAATAAAAGGTAACAATCACGTTTTTAACGGTAAATGCTCACTCAAACAAAACCCTGGGATGATAAGGAAAAAAACTTTCTCAGGATGAATTAGTATCTTTGTATGGAGTTACACTATTCACCCATTGACAGCTATTTGATAACTGATGCTCTTTGTATGATACGCCTGTTACCTAATAGTTACAAGCAGAAAATGTCTCTGGAAGATCATTTATACCTAGCATTGGCACCATTCTTCATTTTATTCTTGTCACCCAGCCAATACCATCATGAATTGAAGCCATTATTTAGGCATGAGAATTGGTTTGCAGCAATGATCTCTATACATGATATGGACGGCATCAAAAAGTTTCTATTGCCCCTGAATATTGTGATTGACATACTAGCCATAATCGACAACCTATTGATAAAACCATCAACCGGGAGCAAGCAGAAATTAATTTTAAGATACTATCTCTTTCAAGTCGTGAACACATTCACCAAGGCGTTGAGTGCATTGTTTACCAAGCTACAACCCGTGTGAATAGAACACGATGCGATTGAAACTGAATTAAACACACCATATGTGGACCCTTTTCTCTGTGGCATTTCTGACGATCCAGACAATGGGGTGTATTTGAGATGGACTAATGAAATAACTCTCGAAGCCAAAATAAAAAATCTAATTTTTTGGATATACTTTCTGCTTCGTGTACCAAAGAATCTCGTGGTGCTAAATGGGACACAATCTGTGGTTTGGAGAAGACAAATATTGCTTCCTATGGTCAAAAGCATTATCTTGTGCGTAAAGATCTATTAAGAATTGCTGTGTTTTGCAAAAATTCACTTGATAATAGCGACCTTTGTGCATTTTGAAAAAATCAAAATAAATGAATTACATATACAATAGACACTCCTGGCTATTCTACCCCTTGATTTAAGAGCGAGAGAATAAACTTGATTTTGAGAAAATATTTAATGGAAAATGTAAGTGGAAAATTAGAGAACCCGTTGTCTAGTGAAAATTTAAATTTTCACTCACTTTTGCTTTACGTGGCGATTTAAATTCCAATGAAAAGATGTAAAATTTTACTGAGGGAGGCCATTTAGTGATGAAATGGAGTGAAAAATTGGGAGTTTTCTAGCTTTTCACTCCATTTCATCACCAAGACTTTATTAAAAATTGAGCTTGTTTTTCCAACTTCAAACATAAACATAATATAGTCAAGAGTCGTCTCTATATATCTACTTAAGAGAATAAGTCTTGGAAAGCCAAGTTTATTAAGATGTATCTCTCTTATGTTTGTCACAGTACTTATGTTTTCGTCAACTGTGGTTGAGTTTTTCTTTTTTTTTGGACTGGGTTTCACTAATAATTCTTTTTTAGCAGTCTTTGAAAATATCACATCCCAACGGGTTCTCTATTAAAGATTTCAATTTTTCACTGACATTTTCCATTAAATCGCATTAACCGAGAAAAACGTATAACAATTATTGGAAATTAAATCGCCACTTTAATTGAAAATAGATAAAATATTCAATTTTCCACTAGATAACACCTCCTCTAGTATCTAATTATATAAAATATTAAAATAAGTAAATGTAGAGTTCAATATCTTATGCTTCTCCTCAGAATTAATGATATACTTTTCTCCACACTTTCTGAATATATACAAACCATGAGCTGTTCAAAAACGTCTATGTATGTTTTCCGTTCTTCCACACTCTAAAAAATCATTATCTATATAGCTTTTCACATATTCTCGATCGAATTTAAATGATGACTTTTGTAAGACAAGCAGTCAAAGTGCCTAGTTTTATAACAACTCTTCTAATATGTAGTATACAAGTCAGGGTGGTACTATATGCTATATTATTTAAAGATAAACATGCTATTACGTTCCTCATTAGACTTTTGATACAAACGATTAAAGTTATTATACAAAAATACCACATACACATCTTGATCAAGACAGTCTTCAAGAGACGCCAGAGACCCAAATGATTTAACCCAGAACTATCGTCCTACATACACTTGACATTACTGAACATTTTATTTCTCTTCAAACATTCTCCAAACTTATTAATTACGGAGGAGTAAAAACCATTTTACTTAATCATAAACCAGGACTCGTCTAATCAAATTATCCAGCATCAAATTCTCGATCGCAACACTGTTATACTCGCCATGGATTTTGCTAAACACAGGCTATTATTTTTCTTTTAAAGTGTCAGCTTTGGCCTACTTAGTAGAATATGACACTTAAATTCTTTTGCTCAAAAATAGCTTGCAAAATACTCTATACAGCTATTCACACCAGTGCGTGTCAAGTGTCTTTGGCTATACCCACAGCCTTCAAACAATTTGTACTCTACATTTAAATAAATAATGTTTGTGTTGATAAGGCTTAGTTTCTTTGGCTTTTCCGATCTAAATGTTTAATCGGATATCCTACTTTCTTCCTATCTACTGTTAATAATTATAGTTTATTAGGAAATATTCAAGACATCTAATATTACTTTTGGAAAATATTAGTTTTTGTAAAGACCAATAATTTTTCGATGCAATTTTTTTTTACCTTGATAGCTCTGATAAATCACTAGATACGTCTTTTTAACTGATTTTCTATCGATAATGTTATATTTTTCTCAATATATTTTTGGTTTGTTTGCAAAAACTCTTTCTTTTTATTAGAATTTTGTTATAGTTACTAAGAGTTAATAAAAAACGGCAAGTAAATCATTAAGGCTGTGCACGAGAGTGACATCGAGACCACAACGTTTTGGATTCGCTTTTTGAGGCTTTGTATCTGTACGCTTCCAACAGCTAAAAAAAAAGTGGTCGTAAAATATGTAATTGTGAGGGAGGTTATATATTTAAAGTATTTAGCACAGTCCTCACCAGTTTATCGATTATATTCGAAGACATAACCAACGGTTCGTTCTGTACAGTGTCTGCCAGGAATACAAAGTCAAGCTGTCCAAATCGTATATTTTGAAGCATCAAAGAAAAGTGTTCATTTAAATATTTCGTCTCTGCTTCTATTTTAGTTTATAAAATAAATAATATATTCAGTTAAACTCTCTCTAACACACGCACACACAGTCGTAAATATATACATTAAAAAAATCCTACCATCCATATCAGCTGTCGAGATTTCCTTTCTCCATTTAACCGCAGCATGATAAAAACTTGCTTCAGAAAAGGTTCCTTGAATGTTTTTAACTGAAAGGGCTTTTAGAGTAGTTGGATAGTATGCATTTTCCCATGCCGGATCCAGGAATGAAGCTTCGATGTTGTTGGAAAAGTACATTTTGCATACTTCATTAATCTCATTACAATGGTTAATTTCTAAAATACAAGGTTACATAACATAACATCGTATTATAAGTACCATCTTTTTTAAAAAGAAAAAACTTTATCTTGGTCTTTATAATATGCTATTATCCTTACCTGACCATTTCCATGTATCCCACAATATATTTACAGATAAGACATCATAAATGTATTCTTTTGCTTGCTCGATAATAGCCGGGATTTGCAAATAATCTCCACGAAGAACAAGTTCTTTTGCATTATCAATATCAGCAATGGTCAGTTTGTGAGAATAAATATAGCCCAGGATCTGCTCGAAAATATCTGGATTCATCTCATGAATAGTAATTTCTTTTTTAGTCTTGGGTCCAATATTGCAGGTGAACATGTCTTCAAAAAATAAAGATTCAGCAGCCAGTATAACCTTGTGTCCGTAAAAGTCTTTCTTTAAATCACTTTCAAAAGCTGTATATACGATACTTTAATTAGTGTATGTGTATTGCTTATAACAGCTGTATATACACATGTATTACATTTTTTAGAGTCCTTGCTTTCAGTGACATGAATAACAATGTCGTGAAGTTTGTTGGAGCCAATGTAATTTTTGAGTTTATGTTCTGCTGGCACCAGAAGATTCTTAGTACTCTCTATCAAATCATCCTCCAGCTCAGGAATAATATGGATATCAATGATACATCGTGACGAGATTTTTCCGGGTGCGATTTTATTCAGTAGACAAAACTTCGGTATTTTAAAGCCACGATTGTCTAATTAGACCAAAAAATTAACGCTTCTTCTTTCAATTAACATTAGCAATCAAGACTTACCAGCAGTTATTCTGTGGCGAAATACTTTCCATCAGCGACAAAAATAAGTAAGATTTTAATGTTATCATTGCTCAATAAAATTATATTTACCTCCTTTTTTTACCAGGGTCTTTTCTGTATGCCTATAATGATTGTAACTGTATGAATCGTAATATAGTAAGATGGTTATATAAACAGATGTTGTAGGGTACACAAGTGTGTCATCGGAATCGTTATAAGAGCGTTTGTAAGTATATTCTATCTCCGGAAACTCCAGTGAAACGTATTCCTGGAATGTCTTTGATAATTAATATTTTACACTTCTTTTATAAGCGTCAGAGCTTTAAAGGGGTTTACTTACATTGTTAGGATTTACGCCTTTCTTGATCTATAATCATCAAGTAAGTATTTACCGTAAAGCATTCTAACTTTAAAGCAGCTTTCTTTCCTTTAAACCCCTGGTAAAGCCAAATGTGAAATATGTTAGAATTAAGTTAATACTAAAACCGGGTATTATACTTTTCTTACCATCCAATATTCCCACAATTCATGTTGTTGCTTTCATAAATAGTCCCATTAGCTACTGAATTCCAATCTTCAATATTGCAAGATGATCCGAAGCTAAAGTTTTTGGACTCATTAACTTTAGTGATAGTTAATGGTACTTTAAATATATATCATTATCAGTAACACTCTATTTGAATTGTATCGACTTTAAAGAAACACTTGCATGTTCTCCCTTTATAATCAAGTAAAAAAAAATCCGTACATGAGTATAAGAGTCAGTCGAGATTCCCATTTAAAAATAAATTTAGATTACCAGACATGATCGTTTATTATTCTTATTATTTATCAAAAGAAAGGTGTAAAACCATTTTCTGTTTTTCAAGTCTTTTTATATTTTAATTTCCAAGCTGTCACAATACCTCTATATGTATAAGCCGGCAAAACACGTCATAAACAGATCTTGTGCAGAATACTTTTGGTGTATACAATAAACCTTTTACTAGCCAATGTACTTTAGTGAATAGATGCGGAAAATATCTTAATAAATAATATTTCCAAATTAAAATATATATATAAAAAAAACAGATATTTTAGCTGCCAGATTCTGCCATAAACAATAGGATAAGCTTTCAAAACGTCTCGTACCTACTAGTATTGCTTTATTTTGTACAAATAGCTTTTACTTTCTCTAAAGCAACAATTGTTACTTGTATATCATTATCAGTAATTGAGCAATAAATTAAGCCACATGTACAAGGCTTTGTATTCACGTTGGGCGTTTCATGGCTTATCGAGTCTGCTATTTTTGAAATTGATAAAGTTGGCAAAGTCTAAACTTTTAAGCAATAAGTAACACTAATAAACAAAACAGGAAATAATCTTCACGTATTGTTTTCTACATAAGGATATTGCATAGGGGCTGAATATTTGTTGTGTTCTTGGCTGTTGATATAATACAACAAAAAAGACGTATCTTGGTTGTGCATAAAACATATAACTTTAACACTTGGAATATAAGTTTACACATACATATGTGTTACAATATGTATTCCGTGCGATCGGTTCGGGCAAATATATCTAACTAAACTGGTCCGGTACTTTGGATACTGAGGGACAAAATTCCACAGTTCGTGTTTTTACTTTCATAGTCATTATTACTATTCTTTATATTTATTCTTTAATATATATATATAGGATGATATTAAGAAGAACACACGCATATACCGAAATATTCTTTAATATACTACATACTTAAAAACGTTCAATCACGCCATTGAACTTTAAGAACCCAGTTTGTTTTATCGTATTAATTACAGAATAGCTGTGAGAAGAAGAAATTATCCAATATCCTAATGTAAAACGAATCGTATAGTAAAGAAAGTAACGGTAATAAAGTAATGGACCAATATATTCAATTAGCTCCTTTATGTTAGTCCCAAATATCCTTTATGTATTTATTTACATTCCTTAATTTTCTCTTTTCGTTTACACAACGCTTGATGTTTTATACAAAGAAATATACATATATACGATATATGTTTATACAGACAAAGGTATCCATGTGCTTAAAATTAGCCTTGTAGTTTTGTAGTGCACGTACTTTTCGCATGCTAGCACATGTCGATGATGTTAAGTGAATTAGTATTTTACTCAAACCAGTTTTAAACGGGTAAAAAACACACATGAAAGAAGAATAAGCATCCAAATAAAATACGGTGTCATAATACAAAGAATACCCGCACCAATAATCAAGAACGCTAATTAAAACAAAGTATAACATACCTCTTTATTTGATAATACCATTTTTTAAAATAGTTGATACATATTCCAGAAAGGCTATATAAAATGTCCACTTAAATACAAATTCATTAGTAATATATATCAAAAAACATTTAAACTAGCCGAAAATTATGATGATAATGAAGTATGAAAGTAAGTGATATGGAGTAGACATGTATGGGTTATTGTACCGGCGACTAAATAATTAACTCACAGACATCATTTATATTAAAAACAGTAAAGGGCAGATGCTTTCTTTTTGATATTTTTTTTCACATGCCCCCCAGCGACACGTGGGTGATACCACCGCTATTATCTTGCAAAAGCAATAAAGAAAAGAGTTCAGTTAAGAATTGAAAGCATTTCAACCATTTCTTTCAAACATCATGACAAGTCATTATCTCTCTCATTATGCGCTGGCCGCACTCATTGCTCTTCTCATTCTGTGTACCATCCTACCCGTCTCTTGCGATGACAACATTACAGCGATGGCCTCAGAAACAATAGAATCCCAAAGATCTGCAATAATTAGTTTCGTCTTTGGTGCATTCTCAATGATATACAGCCTCATACGGTCCATGTTCTCGATTACATACTCTGTAGTTACCATACCTTTCCGTTACTCGTTCTTGTTGGCGAGTGCACTGTGGCACACTATGATTATGAGGCCTCTCAATTACTTTTTTCAGGGAGCCAGCCTGTTATTTCCAATTATATTGTACGCAGTGGGTGCTGTTGTGTGTGGATTATTTATTGGTCTGTGTGGCGGATTCCTATCCGAGGCATTGGCTTCCGCAGTGGTGGCAGCAACCTGGGGATCAGATAATTCCCAATCCAAGAAGGATCAGACAGTTTATTATCCCGATGAAGCTCAACCTCAAGCTCAATCTCAACCTGACCAGAAACAAGACTATAATAATAGTCAAGCTAGCGGATCCGGAATTGTACCCGAAATGTTTGATACTGAGGATGAAGCCAACCCCCAGAGCACAGCTCTGAGTAGCAGTACGAGTTTAAGTACAAACGCTAGTTTTAGTGCAAGCAGTCGCGATGGTCGATACGCTTATCCTGCCAATACCGTTGATTCATTCCCAGTCATTCCTGAAGAGATATTACCGAAGCAAAACCATTTCGGCACTGGTGAGCGCGAAGAATGTCGTAAGATGCATGGTAGAAGGGGAAAACGTTCTAGCTTCAGTTCAGACTCATGGCGCCATATACCTTACGCTCTCTCTCCTCGAAGACTCCCTAGAACAATGACCGCCAGATCTTCGTTCTCAGAAACTAGCCAACAACAGGATTCTATGGGATCTAACGATGACGATTGGGAAGAATGGACAGATGAAGAAGAGACAAGAAAAAAGACTCTTCGCCGTCGCAAGAGACATGGCTAAATACAATATTTTAAATCAATCATACAACTGAATAGAACTTCTTATATATATATATATTATACTTTTTTTTTCTTCTTCTTGGATTTAAAGCCAAGCCAAGACTATACTATATTTAATATGTGCTAGAACAATTTTGCTTATTTCAAGTGGAGGGTTTTGTGCGACATGGTTACAGATGCTTCGTCATGTCGATCCTCACACTGGTGTTGTGTAAAGTAATTTCTTGCAGAAAGCTGATGATGGTTGTCTTCAAAATATTATTGAGATTAATTTAGATATATATGACAGATTTTGAGCTTCTTGGATGAAATTGAGTAAAGGGAGTTTGTGGGGGGTTTATGTAAGAAAAATGTGGATATTTACAAAAGACAAGTCAGCTTAAAGATCACGCATAAAATGATAAACTAATCCTACAATACTCGCTAAGAGAAGTACTCGGAACAGTCGCCAGAGATACTCTGATACCATTCTTTCGGGTGCAGCTACCACTGTTTTCCTAGCTTCGTCATTCATCTTCTTTGAGGACAATTCGTCTGTCTCAGGCTCCTTGAGAATTTCGGGTGCGTGAACGGGTGATGAGTTTTGCCGTTGCCTTTCCTCTTCATGACTCTCTGCCAATTGCTCAATAACTTCTTGGCTTCGAAGCTGCTCTGAAATTGCCTCGGCGACAAGTGGAGCACCTGTTTGTGCAAGCAATGTTTCAACAACTTCCTGAATAACACCCTTTTTGTCTTCTTCGACTGTAGCCTCTTCCAATGCGGCTTGTGCAAGGTCTATAAATCTGTCCTTGTTTATTTCCCCGGACTCGTAACGGGGTAGCTCTTCAGTGCGTAGAGTTTCGATTGCCTGTCGCAATGGGTCATCCGGATGAATGTCAACATGCAAAAAATCGCTGCTGTCACTGCTTCCCATACTATCGCTGCGGCTTCGTAGGGAAGTTGGAACTAGCTTGGAGATGTCAGCTGTACTCTCGAATGGCGCCTCCTCAAAATCGTCGTCATGGTCGGTAAGGGTGGTCTTTCCTCTCTGACGCAAAGTTGATGTATCAGGTGTGTAAAGATGAGTAGTTTGTTGCGCCATTACCATTTTAATTCAATAAGCTTATATATATAGTAAATAATGAGTAGAGATAACTATGTGGTTTGGAATAGAAAGAAACCTGTGTGTCTATAAAGAAAGAACAAGAATAAAGCAAAAGAAAATCCAAAGTAAAGGAGCAGCGAAGCAGGAGTTACCTAAAATGGAAGCTTGGCCTGAGTTAGCTTGTGAATCAAAAATTCATGACCTGGATTTATATTTTTTTCTCTTTTAATTATTATTTTTATTACCTGTGTTAATTTATTTGTGTCCTTATTAAACAAAGCCAATCTATCAGTTGGTGAAAACCAGAAAGCCTTCTCAAGGTGACCATGTAATAATGACAGTAGTAATATTATTACTAGTAGTAGTAGTAGTAGTAGTAGTAGTAGTAGTAGTAGTAGTAGTAGTAGTGGTGGTGGTAATATTGTCAATATTACTTATTATTAGTTAAAAGTAAATAAATAAAAAAAAGACAAAGTGACAATGGTAATATGGATATATATATAGTGTTTGTGTGGATGAGAGAGAGAGAGAGAAAAGAAAAGATGATCTTGTCAATATGAACTTTTGATTTCGTCTGCTGTCACAGTGGAATGAAAGCTCAGATCTATAAAGGTTTCCGATAAATAAGGTCGAATACCTTCAAACCTCACTCTTTGTTTAGCTATGTGTCCTATTTCATGGAGTTCAATCGGTGCATTTGCACTCCTTTTCCAGTCTGCCTTTGGATTTGAGCTCAAAGCAGACGCAGTGCAGAGAATGACAGCTCAATATGAAAGAAAAGAGCACTGTCTTGTGTTCGAAGACCAGTTTAATCAGTTTGATCTTTCCAAGTGGCAGGTAAAAAAATGTCCTTAAAGACAAGTTGGTTCTTGCTGATTAAAAATAATAAATAAATAAAATTAAACAAATGGCCATTTATTTTTATACAGCACGAAACCACTCTGGCTGGAGGTAGTATTTTGTTTGACCTGTGAATTTTCTGATGTGTAGTTTATTGATTGATGTTTATCAGGTGGTAACTGGGAATTCCAGTGGTACGAAAATAAGAAATATGTTGTACTAAAAGGACACTTTACTCAATCACTTTTAATGATAGGTATACAAATAACAGAAGCAACAGTTATGTGCGTGATGGTGTTTTGTATCTTCACCCTACATTTACATCGGAATTTATGGGCGAAGAAGCTATGAAGGATAATGGAAAAGTTAGCTTGTGGTAAGTGGCTTGCTGAAGAGTATCTTGAATACTTATTAGAGAAAGGTCAGGGGATCGTTTCACGAGCTGCACAGGTAAGATTTAGTAGACAGGAATATGAAGGGCTCAAATATATCCGTGTACTTACTGTTATGTATATGTGTGCTTCTTTATATATACATTAACGGTTGAATGATAGACAATTCCAATTATGGTCAGTAAGAAAACTAAATTAAACTAAACTAAACTTCCGAACAAATACTTGATGAAAATTTACTAATATTTTCCCCTCTACTTAGGCTGTGAGAGAATGTCTGGAGCAGTTTCTGGAGGAAATTATATCAATCCAATTAGATCAGCACGTATTCGTACACTCGAGTCTGTCGCTATTCGGTACGGCAAGGTCGAAGTCAGGGCAAGATTACCCAGAGGAGATTGGCTATGGTAAGTCATTATACGTCACACAGGAAATCTCACGTGGAAATGTGTGCCTTTTTTACCTGCTTCTTAGGCCTGCGATTTGGATGATGCCAAAGTACGCATCCTATGGAACATGGCCTGCAAGTGGTAAGTCTGAATTGCTATACCTATATATTACTGACACTATGGATTGGGGACTGGGGTGCTTTGACTATTTTAGGCGAAATTGACATTGTAAGTCTACTCAGTCCAAAAATGGATCAAAGCCTTGGTACAAATATAATCTTTTTTGTCTGTAGATGGAATCTCGAGGTAACCAGTACTACTCTCATGGAAATATCTCCAACATTGGATCCACTCTTCACTGGGGACCTAGCTATGATCTCAACAAGGCTTCCATGACTCACGCGGAAGCCATACTTTCGGAAGACGAGACATTTGCAGACCGATTTCATACTTATGGTATATACTACGGCCTCTCCTTTCATGTATACACCATACATTTATTTAATATATAACTGTTATGGCTTATTAATAGGTTTGGAATGGTCTGCAGAAGGTTTAAGGACCTATGTTGATGACAAGACTATTTTACAAGTAGACTTTGACGAGCCATTCTTTGAGCGCGGTAATTTCCCAAGATGGTCCATGAATCCATGGGATTCAGGAGACATCGGGGCTCCTTTTGATCAAGAGTTCTATCTGGTGAGATGATCAATAGACCAAAAATAAATAAATATAGTAGGTAGAAAGACAACCTTGTAATTAACATTTCAATGTAGATCCTCAATCTGGCTGTCGGGGGCGTCAATGGTTTCTTCCCTGATGCGCCGCATAAGCCATGGAGTAACAGAGATCCACATGCAGTAAATGCGTTCTGGAACAACAGGAACCAGTGGCTACCTACATGGGGAAAAGGAAATAGAAGAGCCTTTGCAATTGATTCTGTCAAGATTTGGTCGGCTGAAGAAGAATGTTAACCTGAATTGTACTCGAGGCCAACAGCTTCTAGTCAATATACCTATGCTTCTAGTATCCTATTCTTTACAAAAATATCTCACTATTCCAGCTTTCATTAAAAATAAACAACCTTCTCTTAGTATCACGTTTCAACCCCGGATAAATGTGTGTAATCATGTTTCCCCGCGTTTCTCATCTTTCACGTTCTATCCCCCATCTTGTACAACTTCTTTTTTTTAACTTGGTGAATCACCCAAATATACCAGCGGATATCAGACTCAGTCAATCTTTATTAAGGGCAATATATATTTTTTATTTGTTGTTATGTATAAGGTGAAGAGGGTATTTACAACTTGGACTTGGCACCACCGAGCTGCTTGAAGACGGTGTCCAACTTGGTAGCCAACATCATCTGGCCCTTGATCTTTAGCTTGCCGCTCATAAATGCCTTCTGACCTGTATAATACAACCCAATATTAAGAAACAAGAAGAAGAGAAAATAACAGAAAAACAGAATTCCAGACTACAAAAGAATCGGCTTCTTACCGTTAAGCTTGCCGCTGGCCAAATCGAGGAAATCAGCATCATTGAGAGAGAGGGTGGCATCGGGCTTTGCGGCACCCTTACCCTTCTGGACCGAACCAGCCTTCTTGAGGTCAATGGTAAAGGTTTCGGTCTTACCCTCGGAATTCTTGATGACAAACTCAAAGATACCGTTGACCTGCTTGATGAGCTTAGCCTTGGCATCGGCGGTCTGGCCATCAAAGGCCTCCTTGAGGGAAGCGAAAACTTCGGAGCTCTTGAAACCGGCAGTCTTGATATCGGACATATTAATTAGAGTGAATGAAAGGTAAGATGAAGAACAGAACGCGTCAACAGGGGCAAAGCTTTATACAGTTTTTTGAAGGCACTAGGATCACATGGGGTTTATGTTGCTATTGGCTAAACTCAATTCATGACTGTGCTCTCTGTTCTGAACCCCGATACGCACATGATTATGGTTTCTTTATACTATATTTTATTCTTCAAATTATGCGTGGTAGAATACGGAGTAGGGGAAGGTAATGCAATTGATGTTTGTGATTTAGAAGTGTGATAGTTTAGATTGTTTAGACACGCTCAGCCACCCATATGGCAGTTTTACAGCCCTGCATAATTCCAGCTTTGAGTACACTGTGGAACGGTGCCTGTCGAGCATCATGCTGAACAGCAATATCATGGTGCTCAAGCTCTTCGTCTCTGAACTGGGCTACAGTCTTTATTTTAACAAAATAAAGCAGTAATATATATATATATATATTAGTCATGAAAATCTTGGTCTGCAATTCAACAATTCTACAACCCCTAAAAGTTCATAGTAATTTACCTTGCTGAGGTCAACTAATTGTTGGTTATGGTCCTTGAATCCCCATAGCTCCCGTAACTGATCATCATAATGATTTCCAATTACTGTCTCAACTGCCTCTGTGCAAGCCATAGCTGCCTCCTTTCCCATCAAAGCTGTGGCAGCACCCAATGCAAATCCAGCAACCTCCCAAACAGGGCGTAACAAGCTGGGTCGAACACGGTGCTCGCCAATAAGGTGGTTAAACCGTTCGAGATGTTGCTTCTCTTGCTCCCACATCTCATGCAGAATGGGTCCCAACTTCTTGTCATGACCAAGAACTGCCAACTGGCCCTTGTAAATATAGTACGCTCCAACTTCACCAGCTTGGTCAACACGAATCATAGGCTCCAGAGCATCCTTTTCGCGTTGTGTCAGACTGCGTTGACTAACACCAGGAACAGTAGAATAAACACGCATTGAATGAGTCAAGGTGCGTGATGCCAAAAGGGTTGTCTTTGCAATTGTAGACATGTTATTAATAAATGATAAAGAAGTTTTTAAATTAAGACTGAAGGATGATGTTGGCACTATATATTTATGAATATATGTATTTATGTATATATATTTATTTATGTATAATGAACAAGGGCGTCTTTGTTTTATTTTCCTCTTAAACTCCAACTCCAACTCTTTCTCTCTCTTTTGGAAAGAGCTGATTACCTTGTTAGGAAGTGTGTGACTGTTCAGAAAGCGACGCGCAATCCCACATCACTAGTCTTGCGCGTCTTCCCCTCTGATTTAAGCATCTCCACCTTTGCTCATACCATGGTGAGGCAACAAATCTTATATAGGCACCTTGAACAAAAGATTGAAAATAAAGGAATTTTACATTGATAGCTAAATTGTTGTCGTCTAGTCTTTCCGTATCGCCCCCAGTGCTCGCCCTGAACTTACCACCAAGTCGACTTTCGACACATCACACTCCGAATTCGGTAGTCATGACACACTTCGTTACGGTACTCGTTCAATCAAGACAGAGGTCACACCTGGCCACCCCCTCGAGCACAGACTTAGCCAGGTACAGCAACATAACGAAATAATGATAATTCTAGACGAGAATTTAATAACAAGATGTAGTGGGGAGAGACACAATGGGAACTTAAGTTGAACATGGCACGCCAGACCTATGGTATGCATGCTCCAATTCGCATGATGATGGAGAGAAGTTTGGTCGGAAAGGTATAAAAATATGCAAAATTACATGGTTATCCATGTTATTTACTACAAAACAAGGAGGAACATAAAGTTGACTGATATGGGGTGACTACATTGGGATTGTGTATAGCACGGTCGCATGCCTGTACTGCCATCTTCAAACCTTCATATGGATATTTTGATGGGAAAGGATGAGACTATCGACTATGAAGATTTCTTGAATGGTAAAAAATTAAGAGGGATTATGTAAATATGTATATATGCTAAACATTATGAATCGCCTTGTTATATTAGATCCTTCCCTGTCTACTGACATGTTGGATATCCATGCCGCTATGGAGAAGAAGCTCAACCTTTAAATGGATCTCCAACAAACTTTTTTTTTCACTATGATGTCCTAAAGAAATATATCGCCAATAAAATAAACCAAGATTGATTGATTAAAATGCTTTATTATGTGGTATCAAACTTCATCTATCTGGCATAAAAGCACCCGAGCATCCACAAGTTGATTCTCCTCCACTCGCATAGTAACCTTGCCAACATGACGACTGAGGATTTTAATTTCCGTCTTCATAGATTCTACTGACAGTAGAGCCTCATTTTTTTGTACGAAGGTTCCTGTAGGAGCCAATATCTTGAGGATGCGACAAGGCATGGATGATGTGTATGGGGTTACTAGGAAGCTTAAAGTCAGATGTTTTGTTTGTGGATGTGTAGTAAAAAAAGGTACAAACCTCGGTCTTCATCCGTAGAAGATACCGCACTCTTTAATCTATCTACTTTGACCAATTCGATTTGGTACCCTTGAGTAAAGTCATGGACAAAAATGGATCTCTCATTTACATCACGGACATCAGTAGCCACATAAAAGTGTTGCTGGATACCATCTAATAGAATATCAGTGTTCTTTTTCTTTCTTTCTTTGTTATAAACTTTTTTCTTTCTTACTAATGGCTAGGCGAATAAGCCCTTTAATGCCTTGAATACCATTTGGACCAGGCACTTCTTTTTCCATATCTGTTTCGAACAGAACCACATCCAACATTTGAGATTCTGTAGAATCTTTTGCAATGTTAATATAGCATTGGAATCGATGTCTTTTGTCTTTTACTCCTTGGTAAACATATTCGATTTTTGCCTCTTGTTGATGGCCGATCATAAACATCATGCAAGGGTTGTTGACATGGACGTTGCGCCATCTGGGAGGTATATTGCGAAGAATGATCTTTTCTTCTTTACGGCGTACCCAGTCATACACTAGAGCAGCCACCATGCTGGAATTTAATGTGTCGGATAGAGGAGGGAATAAAACACTTTTCTCCTTGTTAATAAAGTTGGTGTCAAAGGTACCAGACTGGAAACAAGAATTGTTCATAATACTCAGCAAGAATTTTTGGTTTGTAGCTACGCCCAATATAACAGTGCGAGCCAATGTTGTTGCCATCTTTTGAATGGCTTCTGCGCGCGTAGGCGCATGGACAATGATCTTGGCAATCATAGAATCGTAAAATATTGATATGATGGAACCTATGATGTGGCCAAGTTATTAGATTTTATTACGATGCATTAAAGCTCAATACACATACCATCCTCTACACCTGTATCATAGCGTACACCCTGAAGCTGACGCGCAGCGTTTGCAGGGCTCCATTTATGGATCACACCTGTGCGAGGGCCAAAGTCACTTTCTGGGTCTTCTGCACACAATCTGCACTCAATGGCATGCCCGTTAAATTTAATATTTTCCAGTACACCAAGAGTCTTGAGATTTGCTCCTAAATAATATATATATATATATATACACTTAATTAGAATAGACACTTTACTCTTCATATATTGGCTGGTTTACCTTGGGCAACTAGTATCTGTAATTCTACCAAGTCTAATCCAGATATTGCTTCTGTGATCGGATGTTCCACTTGCAAACGTGTGTTTAATTCCAAAAAGTAAAACTTTTTTGTAGATTCATCCTAAATATTTTATTAAGATAAGCATTAGGTACTGTTATCTTTTATGCATATGAGTATATATATATATATATATTACCAGAATAAATTCAACTGTTCCTGCACCTTCGTAGCGCAATTGGCGCCCGAGTTCCACAGCAGCGGTTGCCATGGCTTTCCGAAGCGTCACATCTACAGCAGGTGATGGTGTTTCCTGTGAATAAAAACATCTCTTAAGCGGTCAATAATGTGTAATATATATATAATGTTGATTTAGCATTACCTCGATAATCTTTTGATGTCGTCTCTGAATAGAGCAATCACGCTCATTGATGTCATATACATTGCCATATTGATCACCAAAGATTTGTATCTACCAATTCAAATAGTTGTAAAAGATGTACATTTGGTTATTGAGTATATATTTTTTATTACCTCTACGTGACGAACACTTTCGAAATATTTTTCTATAAGAAGTTTATCGGATCCAAATGAGCGTAAAGACTCTCCTTTTGCAGCTTCAATTTCTTCGCGTAGTCTAATTGTAGAAGGAGCATATTAAATATATCACCTTACATTTGTTTAGACTATCAAAAGAAAAGAAGAAGAAAACTTGAATTACTTTGTTGTGTTGTATACTACTCGCATGCCTTTTCCTCCTCCTCCGGCCGAAGCTTTAAGAAGAATAGGAAACTCTGAAGGTTTATGAAATGTAAGTTTGGATAGTTTATTTGTATAATTATTAAATCTCACCAATCTTATTGGCCTCGCTTTCCAATCGTTCCATATTTTGATCCTCGTCATGGTAGCCAGGAATTAGAGGCATACTAGATGTATAGTTTGTGATAAACTCTTTGGCTGCGCTCTATGTGTTTGATTTATTGTTTATTTGTTTTTAAGAAAATGAAATAAAATATGGTTTGTAAGATTAAATCTATAATATGTGGATTATTGTATGATTTCTTTATACCTTGTCGCCAATTGTACGAATCGAATCTGCTCTTGGGCCAATGAATATCAAACCAGCCCGAGTAACTTGATCCGTGAAATCTGAATTTTCGGAAAGAAAACCGTATCCTGGGTGGATTGCATTTGAACCAGAAGCCAAGGCTGCGTGTATTAACTTTTGGCTATCTAGATACGAGTGAGCAGCGATAGAATCACCAATGTGGTAAGCTTCGTCAGCCATTTTCACAAATGGGGCATTCTCGTCACTAGAAAGTTCTTGTTGGTGCCTTTTCTTTGTATATGCAGTGTTGCTTTTTATTTATTTAGTACCTGTCTGAGTAAACAGCGACAGTCAGAATTCCCATACGATTGCAAGTACGAATGATGCGACATGCAATCTCGCCTCGGTTGGCAATGAGTATCTTGTGAATGGCAACCATATGAATAAGTAAGGGACCAAGAACGAATAAAAAGAAACCCCCTCCTTTTTTCTCTTAATATATATATATATATAATATATTTTCTTTGGGAAAAAAAAACAAGGTTCTTTTTTAGAGTGTGAGAATTGGCGAATTGAATTGAATTTATATTTTGACCGGATTCACCATGGAAAAAAAAATAGCCCTTTTCTTATTGTTTCAATTGATCTTTAAAGGTTTATATTTAAAAGAAGAGTTATTCCAAGTGTTATGCTTATTGACTATGTTTTTATTTTATTTATTTTTTGTTATATATTTGCGCTTTATACATGTGTGGTTTGTGGATAGATATTCTTAAAATCACCCTCTTTTATTCACCGTACTAAATAACCCAAAAAAAGAATTAATCATGTCAGACATCAAAGCAATAAACAAACAAAGAAGCACATGGGATTGGTTCAATCAAAATAATATCTTACCTTCTTGGCGATCATGCCTTCCGGTGGCTTTGTTTCTACAGCCTTGGCACCAACCTCTGACCAGTTTGTAGAGAGACAGGTACCATTGCTTTCCACGAAACTCTTCATCATTGCGCGCTTGGTATCATCGTCTGCATTACTGTAGATCTGTTGGAACATGGCATTGAGAGCCTTCTCACCCTCAGGCTTTTCCTGCTCCTTCTCAATTTCCTTAGCCAACTTGCCCCAGTCTTTGCCTTTCTTTGTAGGTTGAGAAGCAACAGCCACTACAATGTTAGAGTAAATGACATTTATTTGAGTATAGATTCTTGGCATGGATTATTACAGCACGCGTTAAACTTACTTGCACTGGTGTTGGGATCTTCGCCTTCCAATGTACCCCACATGATACCCTCCAAAGATTTCTTGAGCTTAATTTCAAGCTTGGTCGAGAGAATTTTGTATGATGATTGAGAAGGGTCAATTTCATGAGCAAGAGGATCAAGCTCAAGGTTGTAATCTGACCCAGAAGGTAATCTGATAGTCAAAGAAATCTATATTTTACACAAGGTTGATTAATCAAATCATAAAGCAGATGTGATACCCCATTGTTATATTTCATTAATACTTACAGAATTGTCGTGGAATTCAAGGTTCACAGTGCCAGCCTTGATGTTCTTAATAAAAACTTCGACTGTAACAAATTTATCGCTCTGGAACCATTCATGTCTAATGTGAATGACTAGTTAGTAAAGTGTATGATATATGTATATGCACGCTTTGGCCTGATATATCTTACCTGACTCTTACTGCCTGAGGTGTTACTGGAACAGGGACAGTCGCGCCAGCAATGGGCTCAGGAAGGTTTGCAGCAGTAAGTTTAGATGCAGGAGCAGGAGCAGCAGCAGTAGGAGGAGTGGCGGTGGCCACAGGAGGAGCAGCTGGAGGAGTAATAACTATTTAAGAATCATAAAGATACACAAAGAACATCTTGCTAAGCCCAGAAAATCTTGTTTGATTGCTGCGGAACAACTATGGTACACATATTGAGATCCTTTATTCTTACCAGCTGGGACCTTGTCTGAGTTCTTTTTAAGCCATGTCACCAGTGTTCTTTCGTTGGGGTTGAGCTCCTTTGAAGTCTCGAAATGCTTCTGGGCTTCTGTGTAGTGGCCAAGCTGATGGAGTGCAATGCTGTGACAGGATGTTGAGTAAGTTGCGGGCCATGAGCTGTAAGTTTTACTTACCCATTCTGCAAATGAGCTTTGGCCAATAAGTTATTTGAACCCTTGGTGTCTTGGACAACAGAGAGTGCCTGTTTGGCATCCGCGAGAGCTTTCTCAAATTCCTTGGTCTTTTGATAGGTGACACCTCTATTTTGGTTTTTATTTATTTTTTTGGGTTATTGAAGAGTTGAATATGTTTGGTGAATATTAGATTTGATTTTTTCTGCTTCTGGCGCGTACCTTTTCAAAAGATATTCGGCATTAGTGGGCTCAAGGGAAATAGCCTTGGAAAAGAGGTCAATAGCTTCTTCATAGTCGTCGTCGAAGAAGGCTTCAGAGGCCTTTGAATAAAATTCTGGGCCACTTGACATTAGAGAAAAGGTTTGAAAGAAAAAGACAAGTGAACCAATTTTTTTGAAAACAAGTGTCGGTTTATATGGGACAAGCGACTACGGTATCATCCCAATCCCAATCACAATCACAATCACAAACTTGCGCTTTGTAACTCAATACAGCTGTGACGTTGCACAGACACGGATCCGACTTTGCGACTGTGGGATACGCTAACTCAGGGGACGTACCGGATCTTGAGGAGCTTGGCTGAGTACAAGCACTTTTTTTTTTTTTAAAAAAAAGAGACTTCTAAGCATTTTTCAAGCATCCGAAATATATAAATAAAGTTTATACAGAGCAGCACTTTATGTATACTGGCTATTAATTTTAATATCTCATTCTTATAATCATATATATATCTGCAAGCAATCAAGAGACAATAAGAAAAAATTATGATACCATGCATTGAATTCTATCAAATAAACCCCGTAATGAGCATTTCTTTGAAATGAGATTATTTTCATAATTACTTTTACTAAATGCAAGAAGAAAAGGCCCCAATGCATACCCCCTTTTTTTTTTAAAAAAAAAAGATAATATATACAAATAAATATCTCTACCTTTTAATTGCAATATCATAAAGACATAACTAGGAAATAAGCTATTTTATCAGTAACCAAGACATTATATGAGTTAATCTTTAAGAGATCAATTGTGTCAAATTAGGGTCCGTAGTATGAAAGATCTTTACGATTACAATAAATTTATATGCTGAGTGCTTGTTTTCCACCATACATACTTAACCATGAAGCCCTTAATGACAGTGAGAGTGAGTGAGAGAGAGATATGCAATGGCCTAGGCGGTCCTTTAATAGAAGTTGGGAGAAGTAGATCCTTAGCTTCAGGAGGTTGGAAAAGACTTTGCATAAAAAGTGTTGACCGTATCGCGTTTATGTCCAGACAACTTCTCTTCTTCTTATTCGTATTCTTTATCTCCAAAGAATATGGACTCTATTCGAACTCAAATCAAAGCCGCATGCGAACAGGCCGAGCATCTCATTGACCAAGTCAAACGTCCATTGAAACCTCATCTACCAGCTGTCAGTCGGTTCCTGGTTGTGGTCACATTCTTTGAAGATTCTTTTCGAATCATCTTTCAATGGTCCGATCAAAAGAGCTATCTTGAGGAGACTCGTTCTTTTCCATCTTTTATCGCCACATTATTTTTGGTAGCCAATGTAGTGGTAAGTTATAATTATCAAAGTATTGTGTAGACTCTAATCTTGATGATTAGGCCATGTTGGGTTTCTCCTCTACCCTTATAGCAAAAAAGCATGTGAGTGTGGCAATTGCTGGTCTATCAGTTGTTATGGTCTCGCAAGCTCTTGTGTATGGTCTGGTCTTTGACTTGGTAAGTCTTATTCTAATTAAACATAACTATGATTTTTCTTTATCTTTATCTTTTTAAACACCCCTTCTCTTGTATCAATTCAAATGTGTAGCTCTTCTTTCTCCGTAATATGTCCATAACCGGTGGTCTCTTATTGTGTCTCTCGGAGTCTCTTTTACGACAGCGCAAGAAAAGCGTTTTTGGATCCCTTCCTCAACTATCAGAGATTGAGCGACATATGTATTTCCAGTTGGCCGGTCGAGTCTTGTTGGTCTTGCTGTTTATTGGGTTTGTGATCCACGGTCAATGGAGTTTGACATGGGCTATTGTTTCATTGGTGGGTCTGGCCGCGTGTGTGATGGTGATTGTTGGATTTAGAGCCAAATGGTCAGCCACATTGCTAGTTTCTCTCCTGAGTGTTATGAATGTGCTCGTAAACAATTGGTGGTCGATACAGCACTCGAGCCCTCATCGTGATTTCAGAAAATACGACTTTTTCCAGACATTGAGCATCGTGGGTGGACTTATGCTCTTGATATCGATAGGTCCAGGCAATTTGAGTTACGATGAAAAGAAAGAATATTAAAAGTATAGAGATCTTTATTGTACAAACAAACAAACAGACAGACAGACAAAATACATACATATAAAAAAAAACAAAGGATAAAGCCATATGTGTTATTTACATTCAAAGAAAATTATTTTATTTTTATTTTTCATGTTCGATTTAATTTGTCTCTGATTCACTTGGTCTTAAAGACGGCTTCAACAAGCCGGATCCCTTCCTGGTTCTGTGCATCCTGGCTAGTACGGTCTGACCAGACATGCTTTGTAAGCTCATCGTGGGACTCTTCGTAGTTCCAGCTACTGTTGGCATCTTGCTTTACAGATGACTGGCTAGTGGATGCCAGACGATCCAACCAAACCTTTTTCAATTTATAATCCTCCTTCTTAACTACCACATCAGACCAACTTGGAATGATCTCGATAGCAGTTTGAATGAGAATACGGAGGAGAACATACAAATGCTCGGATACCATGATAGCGAGTAAAGTCAAGATAGGTGTGTAAGGGGAGTGAATGTTAGTCGAAGGATGGAAAAGGTAAGCAAAGGAGGCCATAGTAATCGAGGAAAGCCAGACGAGAGTTTCCTATAAAAAAATCCTTTTTTTTAGGTGTATGATTTTTTTTGGTACTAAAAAAAGCCAGGTTGCGTACCATGTTGCCGATCCAAGGACCTGCTCCTTCGGCTCTCAATGGAATAGGACGTCTTGTTGTGCATAGAATATGTCAATAACGATATATCTATATATTCTTTACACACAAACATACCTCGTGTATTTACAAATCTTGAGTGCATCACTACGCAATTCGACCCAGTTGTTTATCATGCAACACAAGGCAGTAAGTGGCCAGACAGTGGAGAACATGCTCACGTAGCCAAACTACTTTGGGTTAGACATTCCTTTTCCAGAATAAATCACCTCCCTTTCTTCCTTTTTCTTCTTTTATTTGATTAATACTGTACCTGAATCACCATCTCAACGTAGTCTGTGTAAATGTTATATTCTTCCAACCCTACTTGTTTGTAGACTCTCTTCATAAACGCAGCTTCTGGACCAGACATTTCAGGTGTACCAAGTTGGTCTTCGGGGAAAGATGATTCGGTGTTTCCTTTAGTGACCTTTTCTTTAAGTTCCTGAGCCTTTGGCATGGCCTTCTGCATAATGTAAGGCACGATCATTTCGGTTGCAAAGCCAACAACCTGTCCCGTTACGACAAAATATACCAACTGGTCTCTGAGACGCAAGAAGTCAACCTTCTTATGGTCATGGCTAATGTTATAGTGAGACAGATAAGGGAGTACATGATCGCCGAAAGGAATATAGACCCATCCGGTAATAAACTAAATGGTAATACGATTCATCAACAAAAAAGAAAAGATGCTAAAGATGCGCGTGTGTGACTTACCAGGGAGAGGTAGCCAACAAGGAAATTTGCAATAAAGATCTTTTTGGTGTAGTTGGATTCCCAAGAAGCATCTGTCTTGTGCATCTCCCAGTCATTAAGTATCTTGACCCATTTGTTGTAGATGTTTGTCATGGTAGGTATAAACAAAACATAGCCAATAGTTGGGGCATAGTGCTATAATCATTCCATAAGTTTACATTGTACTTCGTCAATATAAACTTACCAATATTTGGGCAAATGGTCCGGCGTAGTACTCGTGTAAGAAGAGTTGCAAGAAGAATACAAAGCCTACGATGGAACTGAGGAATACAGCACCAAGCGCAACACCAGGAATAGCTAGAATACGGCGTACGATTGTTTTCCAAGGGGCGACAAATGGGAGTTCTTCACCTGTAACTTCATCTTTTATGGTTCCATCTCCTCCATACTCTGCACGTCTCTTTTCATATTTGGAGCAGTTTCGCACACCCCACATTACTGCTAGTTCTTTTTCTTTTCTTTTCCACATTTCCAAATAAACAACTGCCCACACCAGCATAAACACGGAGAACCCAATGGTGAGGGTATTTGTGTGTGTCATATATACAAAAGCTCCTAGTACAGAAGGTACACTGAGCCAGACAAAGTAGTTTTGCAAAAAGGCAAAGTAATAGGCAATCTAGAGAGAATGTAACCACAAAGCATTAGCCCACAAGTATAATATTAACAATATAATAGATCTTCAAATTCCATACAGATATCTTGCCTTTTCACCAAACTGGTCTCGAATTTTGTTGATGTCGTCTTGATCAAGCATCCATTTCTTCGACCATGACTTGATCCATTGCTATAATATTCAGGCTGTCAAAACATACAATTTCTCTAAAATCCACATATATAGACAAAAAATTTATGGATCCAATCTTACCTTGTCAAAATTTTCATCGTGAAGGGGCATGATACTATCAACACACTCATCCAAATCGGGAGATATACTTGCGCCTCCTTCTGTCTCGGGTGAAGTGATCAAATCATAAACAAGTCTGAGACGTTCAGAGTCTGTTACATCACTCATATTAATTGAACGGCTCTTTCCATCCTCTTCAATATCATCGACGCGTACACCGAGTAAGAAGTCGCGTATGCTATATAGAAGAAAATATGAACTCTTGTCAATGATTCATTCCATAATATTTTCTCCTTTTATGTATGTATGTATGTATGTATATATAAATCACATACCGTTCTCTCTTGAGGGCTTGGTAAAGTAAGTTGGATGGACAACCGACGAGAACAAGCAAGACTCCTCTTTCCTTTCCAGGTCTGATTTGGAAGCGGAGGCCGACTTTACTCAGTTTTGTGGTAAGGCTCTCCAGTGCTTTGGTAGTCTTGGCTTCAAGTTGTTCTCTTGTTACATCAGGCTGATTGGTAGGGAATTTGAAAATAATGACAAAGTCTACGCCTGCATTTGACTTGTAGGTACTTTGTGAGGTTTTATTTGTGGAAGTAGATGGCACGGCTGGGCATGAGTCTGTGAATGTGTTTTCGACGGGACATTGGTCAACAAAGGTTTTTTCGATAGGACATTGTTCAACTGGACATTGACCTGTAGGAGGTGTGCTTGCTATTGCTTCGGTAGGAAATAGATGAGAGAATTGTCGTTGACTCTCTGGTGAGGAAGCTCCTTCTGACATGATGAAAACAGAAAGAGAGGATAGCTAGAATTACACAAGTCTCAGGTTACAATACTATTTTGGTGCATAAAACACAAGTCCACTTTGACATCATGTATTTTTTATTTTAATTTTATGAAGGCGCTTCTTTATTTGATTAGCAGTAACAATAATAGTAATAGAAAAAAAAAGATAGGCCGTATAGAATGAAAGCAATATCTGAGAATACACTGAATGGCATCATAGTTCGTTTATATATCTGACCTTTTTTTCTTTATTCTTCTTCTTTAAAGTGATAATAATGGTTACTCTTTAACCAATATTGGGCTAGTAAGAAATAAGCTCATTTTAATGATCGTAAAATGACGTATGGCGAAGATGCCTTGATCAAATTACAGCACTGGCTCCATTCAATGAATGTTTATTCTTCAAGTAGATTCTTTTGTTTTGTTTTGTTTTGCTTTGCTTTGCTTTGCTTAAAGCCTATTTTGTCACTTTCACTTGTATAAGTTGAATGTCTACAATGGCATATCAAACTTATGAAACTTTTTCTTCTTTTTATAATAAAAATTATAGCAATGCTCTTTAGGTGTTATGTTTTGTTTAGACTCTGTGGTTTAAGAGACTAGTTAGCAGCTAGGGTTTCTGAGGAAAGGTTTGCGAGTAGAGCTTGATTGATGGTTTGAGTTGGAGAATAAATGTGTGTCTGTTTTTTTTAATTCATTGATATATATTTCACAACCAGTCTATAATACATTATTCCCCGCCAGCCAATGTTTTACCAGTATTTTGGGACTAACAAGACCGTCTTCAAACGGAGGTTTCATTTTTTAAATATTGATAATTTCAAGCCAAAATGCTACTGATAATTAGTCTAATGTTCCAGTGATTGTTCAAGAATCTTGGTTTTTTTTATGATCTGTGGGAGATTATAAGATGTCTATCAATCGTTATATGACACGTGCCTTTTAGTTAATTAACCAATTATTTAAGGAACTTAAAGATATAGAAAAGAAAGGTACATGAATAAGCCAAATACAGGGTTCCCCTCCTTTCCAGCTCCCAAATCCTTGGAACTGTTTTGCAACAAGTATAATTTGATTTTATTGTAATTCCCTTAATTCTCTTTTTCTATATTTAAATATCAACTTGTTTACATAAAACACTCATGTTTTTTTGAGGGGGAGGACCATTAGGATGCCCTCATCATTTCTAATGATTATAAAGCGTGACTGACTAAGAGACAAATACAACATATATATATATATAAAAAGAAGAAGAAGATCCATAACCAAGCAACAATAAGCAGCTGGTTTCTTTTCTTTTCTTTTGTTCAAATCACTTGTCAATCCCAAAATTCTATCCTTAATGAGATTAGTAAAAAGAAAATAGAGAGATAACCAATGGATTTCTCTGATGATTATTAATGAGAGATGATCTTGTGAATAGCAACATAGCATATATTTGATATCAAAGAATGTTTGTTCCTTTAATTGTCTTTCATGTATCCAAATTATTAAGCAAAGGTCATGCCGAACTGAACTGACACAGATAAGCATCGTATTTATTCTATATCTAGATGTCAATTCTGCTGAACCCTGTGGAATTATGATCAAATTTAATGTGCTTACAAAGGGAAAACAGTATATTTTAACGGGATAATATTGTATAAGTTGGGTAAGTTGGGTAAGTTTGGTAATGGGCTTTGTATAATTGACAGAACCCTGGTAAATATTTAATAAATTGATATCATATTGATTTATTGGCCTCAGCTGCGTGTATGTATATATATATATATATTTGTGGTCTTCAATATAAGTACACGATTAATGGTCAATCTATCAAGTGTAGGGCCCACTGGTGTATTCATAGGACGAGAATGACATCAGAAAAATAAAATACAATAATTTTTTCTCAGCGGTTTTCATTCAAGACCCAAGATATATTTACCCAATACTTACCAGATCTTCCAGAGGTACAAAGTTTTGGATTCTATATATTTTATATATGTCAATAAAAAAAATCATTTGGTGTGCAACTTTACTCAATATACAAAGCTGGTAATTAACAAATAAATATGCGTAAAATCTGGTGTAAAATCTCCCTCTTATATACATACATTAGTTTGAAATCGGGGGGAAATATTCTTGTCCTACTGTGCCGGGACTCCTTTGGAAATGGTGGTTGGGGGTGGTCATGGCGCACACGTACGATTCAAAGTGTCCCTTTTTTTAAAAATAAAATAAAATAAAATAAATAAAAGAGAGGATCAGTTGAAATTTCGGCTGTAGTCCAATAAACGTACGTACATATATGAAAAAAAAGAGCCTGCATTCTATCAGGGAGTAACCAAAGAGAGAGAGAGAGAGAGAGAGAGAGAAAACAGAGTCCCTTTGATGTTTGAGATATTCTTGTTATGTATATATTGAATTTTAATTTTTCTTTTAAAATAAAAACATTCTTAACAAGCAATACGTTCTTTAATCCTACAGTGCTTCCTAAAAGTGAGGTTGCACACATTTGAGAATGAATATCACAACAAACAAGAGTTTTAACAAACTCTTCAGAATTTTTCTTTTCTTGTACTCATTGATCTTGACTGGCTTCAACAGCAGCCGTATTATATGTATTACATACCCTGACAGCGCGTAATAAATGTGCTACACTTGGAGTGATTTACATGGCTGGCGAAAGAAAGAGTATAGCCAGGTATCAAGAGAGGGGAAAGGGAGGTTTTGGTTAACAATTGACCAAAGAAGAAAAGAGAGCTAAGCCAAGCTTCTGGACAATAAACACACAAAACCGTGTAGCCATGGATCGAATACTTATTAATTGAGTGGGGCAGTAAGGTTAATAATGAGACTTGACAAGAATTCATTAGATTAAACATGCAACTTTGAAGAGTGGAATTAGAGCATATGAGTCCCGAGCACCAAAAATATGACAAATTGTGGAATCCGATGCATTTAATTATCTCTACTAACGTATCAATTTGAGCTTGGATTGTCATGACAATCATATAATCATATAATCATTTGTACTTGTTTGGTGAAATAGCTGTGGTTTTGAAAGTTATGTTGGGTATTTGACTGTACTTCTTCGTTTAAAGCTTGTTTAGTATATGATTCACAAATAGTAAAGAGTATCACAGGTGACTATATTTCTACTTGGTGCGACTTTACTTTCTAGACGCAATACATTTCCCCTAAACAAAATAATAGAAGGCAGCGATCTTATAAATATATAATTTAATACAATGGGACGATTGGATCAGTGTAACTTCCCACACATAATGTTGGGAAGTTGTTTAGTTTGAATCAATGATTATTTTTTGCTTTTCATGTTTATTTATATTTATATTTATATTTATATTTATTTATCCTATTTTTTTTTGATCAAACTGGAATGATAAAGAGATGAAGGGAAAGTGTTTTTTTTTGTGGATGAGCTTATTAGGGTTACTACTTGAAAGTAGAGCAAGATGAAAAGAAGAAAAGAAGAAAAAAGGGGGGATATGGGAAGGTTGTTGCGGTTATTGTTTTTAATGGTCCAAGATGCGAAGGTTGCCGGTAACAACCTTGTTCTCCAACATTGAACCCGAGGGAATATCAATTCGCTCACCGTGGTTAGCTACAATGATTACTGTACCGCGCAGCTCGACATGGGAACCAAAAGTTACGTCTCCTGTCACGGTCAAATGGTCAAGTTCGAGAATATAGGGAATGGTCTTGAAGCGGCTCAGGAAGTGGGCAACCTTCTTGAAATGGTCACCAAGCTTGACGAGTGGGACGGTGTTAAACATGCGCTGAGGATTCATGTGGAGTTCACCGTGAACAAGCGCATAGAGATTAGAGGTGACCAAGAACAAGTCAGAAGTAGACTTGACAGGCAAGAAACGAGCACGGGGAACATTAACACCATGTGCATTTTTGAAGTGCTGAATTGCCGCACCAACAGCTGTCTCAAGCTGGATAACCTTCTCTCCGCTCTCGGTCGTTTTGTTGTTGACAATGATCTCTAGTTCCATGGCCTCTTCATCCATAACACGCTTGATAGCCTTGAGATTAATCCACAAGTTGTTTGTGTTGAAAATCTTGAACTTCTTGACCGACTTGAAGTCTTCGACGTGCTCATCAGGCACCTGTGCAATTTCGAGAAGGCGGATACGACCATCGTAGTCAATGAGAGTACCACCCTTGATATCGGCCTTAGTCTTGTCAGTGACTTCCATAATGAACTCGGCGTCACTCTCAACCATATGATGAAGGATATTGAGGTCAACTGTGGCTCCCAAGTTGTCCACGTTGGACACAAACAGGTACTCTTTGCCCTGAGACAAAAGGGTATCAAGCAGACCAGAGTTGTACAGGGACTCGTACAAATCACCGTGACCGGGAGGGTACCTAAGGGGATGTATGAGATTTGGGGTGCGATAGGTTCACGTGTGCCTTACCATTGGTCAATAGGTGCATCGACAGTGAGAGGCACAGGAAGAAGGGACTCTTTCTTGATACGGGGGTGACGACTCTGGTTGAAAGTGATGATGTCGACATTGTGAGAAGCGTACTTTTGCACAATGCGCTTGGTCTCATCATCAGTGTTGAAGGAGTTCATAAGAATAAATGGTACGCTGACATCATGTTTCTTGTTCAAGTACTACACATGGATGTCAAAACATGTTAATACGTCCAAACAAATCTACCAACACCATCCACCCACACCCCACCCTATATGCTATCTCTCTCTCTTCTTTCTTTAAAAAATAATAATAATAATTTTCAGCCAAATATATTCCTTTATCTTACCTCGATCTGACGGACACTCAAGTCCAAGAAGGTCATGCCGTCACGGACCTCAATAGCAGACTTTGGTCCGACGCAACCCATAGTAGTTCCCAAACCACCATTAAGCTTGAGTACAGCGAGCTTACTGAGATCGGTAGTAGAGGTAGTTACAGGAATGTCCTTGTAAGGCACGATTTGCTCTGCTGAAGGAGATTGGATCTTCTCCCATTCACTATATATGTCTTAATTAGTCAGAGTTCATCTTATTTTATCTAGCCTGTACTTACATCTTAGCACCCTTGGCCTTCTCGTCTAGGAAACGTGCAAAGAGCATATAAAAGTTATCCATCTCCAATTGGAAGAACTATAGATAGAAAGCAAAGAAAAAAAAGGAAAGGTGTCAGATACGCGTTTATTCTATACCATAGCTAAACATACCTTGCGTCTCTCTTCATTGGGGATCTGGGCTGCGAATCTAGCCAGCTCGGCCTTCATAGCCTTTGCTGCTGCTGCAGAGCTAGCACCTTGGAAATCCTACAAAGTGTTATCAGTAACCATCTATAGGGGACCTTGTTTTGAAGCGTTTAGCGCGTACAATAGCTGAGAGAGTATGAGGATGGTGTCTGTCAGGGACAGGAGTAGCGAATTTTCTTGGGGTGGCCATTTTGGTTGATTTTTTTTCTTTTGTTTTGATTTGGGAGTGAAAGAAAGAGGAAAAGAAGAGATTGAGTCAGAAAAGGCTTGATATTTATGGACTTCTTGCACAATCCTATTCACCCTTTTCTAAATAAAGCAAACGGGACCTTTTTCCCTTTTGTCATACCTGGCACATCACAGCAGAACCCTAAAAACTCCGCACAATATGCTCCGCTTCCTTTGATCTCTTCCAGCTATCATCAGTACAGCGCTACCATACAACAGGAGAGAACCGGGGAAGTGACTTTGGCCCAAGATTGACCACAATCCAACATTCTTTTTTTATTTTTATTTTTTTTAATAAAAAAGGTTATCATCATCATCATTCTGTCCAACAATCATTACAACAATCACCCCTTACTTTACATAGCCATTTTACTACTTAAAGAATCCCAACCTTCATTCGGGCCGGTGACGTCAGTCAACTTTTTTTTTTCTTTTTTGGTGGAAACATCGGTGTTTCTTTATGGCGTTAGAAAGCAAGAAACCAGCATACGTGCGAGTGTGCAAGAGAGAGTCCTTTTTTTTAAAAAAAAAAGAAAAAAAAAAGAAAAATTTAAAAAATATACTTGAAATCTTGGTGAAATGAACTCACTATTCCAGGGTCAAATCCCAGATTTTTGGGAAGTCAGAGTAGGCAATCATCCAGAAGTTGGTAGTTGTCTTATAAACACACTCATCCGCCTCTCTTGTCTTGTTTTATAGGATGTAATCAACAAAGTGTGAGTCAATTGGCATGGTTACTAAAGCCAATGCGGGATGAAATAAAGTATTAAACCATCCACAGTAAGAATGTAGTCCTCAACTACACAGAAATGGAAGCCAAGGTTCATGAGGCCACGAACAACGAAGCATGGGGAGCATCTAGCACTCTCATGCAAGAAATTGCACAAGGAACCTTCAACTAGTAAGACCAGACAATGAAAAAAAAAATGCCTTTATTATTATTATGTTTTCTCTCTAATATCATCATAACAGCCAATACTTTAATGAGATTATGCCTGCGCTTTACAAACGCTTTACTGAAAAGGAAGCAAAGCAGTGGAGACAAATATACAAGGTTAATAATATTTTACAGCCAATAAGAAACTATCTTTGACGCATAAATATCTGTTGGCATGTTACAGGCACTTGTTCTCCTTGAGTACCTTGTCAAGAACGGCTCTGAGCGTGTAGTAGATGATGCTCGTTCTCATATTTCAACCATAAAGATTTTGAGAAACTTTCATTTTATTGATGAAAAGGGCAAAGACCAGGGTATCAACAGTAAGTCCAAAGTCTGACAATACAACACATTACAATATCCAATCATCTATATTTTAACTCTTTCTTTCTTTTGTTTCTTTTAGTCCGTAACCGAGCCAAGGAGATTTCTGAGCTTCTTAGCAATACAGATCTCATCAAATCTGAGCGCAAAAAGGCTAGAGCAAACCGCAATAAGTACACCGGTGTAGGTTCCGAGGCCATGCACGGCTCAAGAGGGTCTATTGGAAGTGGAGGAAGCTCCCGTTATGGTGGTTTCGGCAGTGATTCAGTTTACTCTAGTGGAGGTGGTATTGGAGGAGGTGGAGGTGGAGGTGGTAGCAGTGGCTACTACGATGAGGACGATCGTTCAAACAACTTTGAGACTACTAAATACGATGACTTTGACGATATTCCTAAAACATCTTCGCACAGAGAGCTCGACACTTCGTCATTCTCTTCTTCTACCCATCAAAAGTCGACTTCTAAGCCAAAAACAGCCAAGGAAGCCAATCTATTTGACTTTGGTGATGAGTACGGCTCGTCATCTAAATCTAACAACCGTGAGGATGAAGATGACTGGGGAGATTTCGCAACTGGCTCTGTTGCAGCCCCTGACACTAACGGTAAATCTCAAGACGATTTACAAGATCTTTATTTTCTTTAAAAAACTGGTTTTTGGGATCAGATAGCTGACAAACGTAATTATTACAGATGACTTTGATGACTTCCAAAGTGCGCCCACGCCAACCACTGTCATGTCTGCCCCTGCTCCGACATCCGCTAAACCAACTAAGACTAATGATCTGTTTGATCTCCTGGGTGATGATGCTTTCTCTGCACCTGTAACTGCATCAAAAGCACCAGTTGTGACGCAACAGCAGCAGCAGCAACAACAACAACAACAACAACAACAACAGCAACAGCGTCAATCTCTCCAACAGTTTTCATTCGATGCTATTACTAGCACAAGTTCTATATCCCAGCCTCTTGCCCCACAAAACTCCTCGAGAAACAATGGTTCCTCTGTGGCTGAACCTGCTCAGCCTGCAAAGAAGATGGAGCTGCCTGGTGGTATTTGGTCTCAGGCTTCATCATTTGTGTCCCTGGATTCACTTGGAAAGACTTCTGGACCCGCTAAGCCTACTGCTGGACCTTCCATGAACACTCTCAAGACATCTAGTGCTAATGCTGGTTGGAGTGACTGGGCATCATCTAACCAAACCTCATCTGACAATAACAGACAGCAGCAGCAGCAGCAGTCTAACAATGCTTCTAGTTCCGCTTTTGATGATCTTTTGTTCTAATTCTTAGCGACCATTTGTCTGTTTGTTTTGTTGATTTTTTTTAAAGAAAAACAAAGATCTCCTCATCCCTCCCCTTTATCTATAATTTAGAGAGAAGACTAGATACCGAGTTTATCTCCCTCTCCCTCTCTCTATATCTGTTTATCTTTATTTTTTGGTACGGCTATTAAGAAAGAAACTTATTATATTTTCAATTAAAATAAATAATAATAATAATAATAATAATAATAATAATAATGAAAACAACAGTGAAAATATAGACTTTTGACAAAAGAAGCTTCGTAAAAAAAAAGTTTAGGCCTCGGCTTTTCTATTGTTTTTTTTTCTTATCTGTCTTGGTGCCACGGTACAATTCTTCAGTTTGAAGTGTAAATTAATTGTATTGATGTTATGGTGCTATCGATATTTAGTACATAACAGGAGAATTCCGTATAACTCACATGTAATATTACTTAATATTAATATGTACATACATATATTGATTATCATTCAAATGGCTATGGTAAAATGAGATGCCCAAAAGAAAAGAAAAAAAAAGAAAAAGACAAGGTTGAACTGGATTTGTTATTAGTATTTTGTGCTTCAAAATATTCTTTATACAAAATGAGGTTGCCTATTATAACAAGATACATAATTATATGGGAAAACTACGGCAGGGTTACAAAGGCAAAATGATCAATTATACAAAATTATTAGGGTACATTGTTTTTTGAATATATAATATAATATATGAATTACACGCTAGATATATGCTATGTTGGTATGATTAAGGGATATGTTGGGTAGAATTAGAATTAGAATTAGAATTAGGATTAGAATTAGGATTAGGATTAGGATTAGGATTTAGGATTTATAGTGCTTACAATATCCTTAGATTATTACAAAGCTTTATTTTCTTCTTTCTCGAGGAACAGCTTGGATACAACTTTGGTAACATCACCGTTAAATGTATCAAGCAGTCGTATTGCCTTTTCGGTCGAGCAAAGGCCATAGTCGGCGACGTACCTGGCCTTTCGTTCTTTTTCAAATCGGACAAGGTAAATATACCACTCCATATCCACCTTCTTGGCCACAGTATCCCTCAAATTGTCATCAGCTTGCTTAACCTTTGTATAAAACGCAGCGCTTACAGGCCGATGATCAGATGCAAGTACCTCATGGCGCCTGTAGTGTGTATTCTTGACCACACAATCTGCCGCCCGGACCAATACTCGATCACACCATGCAGGTATACGTTTTTTTTCCGAGCTATCAAAATCCTGGGTGCCCACATCATATTTGTAGGTCGGATCAAACATCAACGGTGGTTCGGTAAAATTATAGAGAGCAAACATTGGATTCTTTTGGCGTTGCTGGGTTAGTTGATCTTGGGCCTGAAGCGCATCCCAGGCCGCAAGCTTGTTTGGATTGCCCAAATGCTCTAGTACTCTTTCACGACCCAAATTGATTCGGTAGTTTAGATCACCACTCCAAAAACACACTTCATGGTCCAATATTTGACTCCCGTCCGTGCCATGCGTAAAAAGATCGCCGCCGCCAAAGAACGTAGAGGGGTACAGGCCAAATCGGGCCGAGTCTAGGATGTCTTGGCTGTCTTCGTTGCGCTGTAGTAGGTGGTTCTGTCCAGCCGCCAAATGGCAGTTTACAAAACAAAAGGAGGTGTGGTCATACAAAAACCGAATGGCTACTGCGCCCTTGTTGCCATGAACACTCTTTTTCATGAATTTGAGTCCAGTCTTGATCACAGTGGCTTCGCATTGGCGAACCCGGTCTTCTTCGGTGGACTTGACAAAAATGCAGCTAAAAAGACCAACAAGGTGTTCGGTTTTGATTACGGAGTAGCTTCTGACACCGTAGATCTTTTCAATAACCTGCGACAGGTATTCGTACCACAGCTTATATCGGTGAGATAAGAGTTCATTTGTGTCTTGTAATGGCTCTGTCTTTTTGTAAGAATTAAGGAGTATACCTGAAATGCAAATATCATTGGAATGAAGAGAGTGTTACTATCAAGGATATTGTTATCTTTTTTTTTATTGTCTTCATTATCATCTTAGTTAACCAAGGGCTATTATTATTATTATTATTTTAAAAAAAAAAAAAGCAAAGCAAAGAAGAGAGGGCAGGTGAAGGTTGATGATATGACTTACGTGCCGTGTTGGTCTTTGATGACAAATCTACCATTTCTTGCATACCAATCGCAATAATATCTGGCTTATTCTGACTGCTGAGCCACTCCATTATGTTTTCCTGATCTCCCACACTTAGTTTATCTGGCTTCATGGCATCCACGTTCCAAGAGCAGTTCAAGACGTGTGTGTCCCTATATACGCAATACTCTTTTCTATATTCCTGCATCTTCTTTTCTACAAAAGCAAAAACAACAAAAGAAAATTGCAATATGTGGGTCAAAACTCAAGTTGATAGAAATATGAATATCCAAATGAACCAAGCACGTTTATTCCAATAAGAATTCTTTATACCTTTCCAATACTTCTTTAATAGTCCATCCCAAACTCCAATATTTCCATCATTGTCTGCTGTAACTACAGTAAGAGCGGATCCTTCCTGCGTAAAGGCAGTCAGATTTGCGCGAATACTAAAGACGCTTGATTCGTGTGCCTGCCACTGTTGTATAGTCCTCCAAGGAATCGATCGTGTTTCATGAATAGAAATCGTGCCGTCTGTGTATCCGGTCCATAAATAACGCTCTCCCACGCTTTCCATCGCCGTAATACTTTGTTTCCCGAGCTGGATAATATATAGATTTTTTCTTGATGTGATATCCCAGACACTTAGAGTTCCATTATTATGAGAAATAAATATTTTGCTCTTGTGGAACGGCACAAGTACCATATTTGTAACATCTCCCAGCTCTTTAGAGATAAAGATACGTGGGTATGGAATCATCTCACCCTCTGTTCGGTGGAAAACGCTGATGTCTCTTCCGGAGCTAGTCCACATAATGCTGTCAATTATGGCTACTGCACATAGCATGGGTGTAATTAGGTATCTCACTGGCTTTAGGAGTGGTTGATGGTAGTTTTCTGGTTTTGGCTGAACTGGCCAAATATTAAGTATTCCATGATTGTCCATTGTCCATATTTCCCTGTTTCTGTTTCGAAAAATAAAATCTACAGCTCCTCTATGACTTGTTGTTCGTTTCTCCATTAATTCTCTGCCAAGTATATCTACCATTATGAGTGCTCCATTCTGGAGACCTATCCACAAGTACCGACCATCATCTCGGGGGTCGAAAGAGGGTACAAATGCAAGTGCGCGCACCTTTGAACCGAGATCATTTATGACTGTCAGATCTATATTGTACAAGAGCTCACAAGATATGCTGTCCCATATCCGAACTGAATGATGGGACCCAATCGCAATACTTTTGCCTGATGTAGCCATGGCGCGTAAGGTGCCTCGTTGACGAGAGAAGATCTTGGGGTGACCATCCATAAACGGTGGTGATCGACTGATAAACGACCTGTCTGGGAATTGGGTTTCTGCCAAGGATGGCAGGTGGTTGTTGTATCTGGAGGTAGGTTCGGTCGAGTAGTTTGATTTTATGCTGTTATAACGTCTTATAGGACTATAGTCTCTCTTCTTTTGTGGTGAGTAGCCATTAGATGTGTTCGGGAAGCTGTCGGTGATGTAGTCTGGAATGGTAAATGGTAATTTATCGAAATTATTGTGATTATTCTGGTTGCTGTGATTGGATAATATGAGTGTGCTTTTTTGGGATGATGATAGGACGCCATAGTTGACTGTGCGAGCTCTTCTAACAACAACTGTATTATATTGTATAGGACGACTAGATGACTGGGGAAGTGAAGATGATTTTGACGACAATGTTTCCTGGAGAGAATAGACAAGTGGCTCTTCCGGGTTAACTTTTGTATGCATGGGCGACATGTGAAGGCTAGTAGAATTAGGCGTGCCTGTCAAATACGAAGAAGGACGTTTGGTTAATGTGAATAAGGGAAGAAGAAAGGGGTCAAAAGTTTCTCGGGTTGTACTTTTAATGTCTCGCAGCATCTGACAAGGCCCAGAGATCGGAGAGACATCTTCTGATGACAGTATTCGTGCCGATAGTTCCTTTTTGTCAAATGAAAGTCCTGCTGATAAGCCAATGTTAACCATAATTATATATATATATATATATATATATAAGGTGAGGGGCTGATGAAAACATTTGGAGATCTTATTGTCCAATAAAAAATGTTTCATTTTTGACCTGACCAAAAGGATGCTCCTAAATATCTATGCCAAGGCTCTCTCTTAAGACAGGTGCTTAAAGAAGCTGATATATTCAATGTATATATCGTCACCGTCACTTGAGCAGGAAGTGACACACTAAGTATTTCCAAACGGAATGCACATCCATGAGTACTCCCTTGATATGGTCTACGATCATGATTTACGTTTGCTAAAAAGCCTTTATTTTTTTTTAAGAAAAATAAATAAATCATAATAATAATAATAATCTTTAACCTGTATTTTTGTCTTTTTGATCTACTAAACCTGTCTTTTCCAATAATAATAATAGTAAATATTTTTAGACCAATTAGAAGAAGAAGAAAAATTAGATATGAAAGTAAAGATAACTCTATTAGATTATCAAACAAGACCGAGTTCTTTGTCAAGACAATCGTTTGTGGTAACAACCCTACAGACAGCTAGAGCTTGGTGTGTCTCTTTTAATACGCTTTTATTTCTATTATTATTTTAGACCAACATTCTTCAATCGGTTTAAGAAAGGGAGAGTATTGAGGGCATAAGCAGAGGCTTACTCCTTGATAAAATAAAGAAACAGCGTCACTTTCCCATAAATACACCTCTTTTCTTCTTCTTTTCCTTACAACTAAATCCCTTTTGCTTTTAATAGATGAAAAAGGATCAGAATCATAATAAATATGGTACTATCTTCCATACCGGGGGTTTATATATTACGCGATGTAAAACAAAGCAAAAAAGAACTGTTGGTAAATACAGCAATTTGACTACTGACCACCTCAAAGTTCGGATCTGAGCCTACTTGAACACGTATAGCATAAAAGTAAAAGTTCAAGAGAGAAAAAGGCTCATAAATAATATTCAAGAATGAAGGCAGTTTGACCCAAAAGCTCTTTTATAATATTGTAACAGGTATACACAATTTGATCCAACCAACAATCAATGCTCGTCCTAGTCGCACCACATACTAGACTTTATTATATAAGAAAGTCAAGGTTTTTGGAAGATATGTAGCATAAAGACGATGTGCGATCTATTTGGGATTCAAAATCAAGAAATCTGACTACGGGTCCTTTGGCAGGAGTGTATTCTTTAAAAATAGTGCCACTCTTGGATATTTCTGGTAGCATGTTGGATTTGTCAACATTTCTCAATAAGAAGACATTGGAAATTTTCAGCTCGTTTTGTGAAAAAACAAAAGAAAAACAGTTGAATTGTATGGCAAATAGGTCTTACATGCGATATTGAAATATTTATCTTTTAAAGGATAAATACAAAGGTTAAATAAAGGTATTTTGTTCCAGTGTCCTTATTGACTGTTAATTTGTTATAAATGTGCTGAACAATATATTGTATATCTTTTGTATAGCCCTGTCGGCATATGAGATAGGTTTGGTTGTAGATCATGTTACAATTTGTGGAATGCGATGTAACGTAGCGGTGATACGCACTACATTGTCTTCATTTATCTAGAGTGATATATATATATATATATATATATATATATATATATAGATCTCACTCTTTATATAAGAGAAGTCTCTGGCTATTTCTTCAATAGAAATAATACATAGCTATAATTGAGTAGTTTATGCTATATTCTATACCAGTCAACCATCTCAAATCTCTCTTCTTTACGCCTAAACCCAATAATGAATTATAATTCATCTTCATGTGAGTATATCTTTTTGGTGTACTCTGCTCATATTTTTTTGGATCCCGCAAAAGAACAAAGCGCAACTCCGAATTTAGTTGAACGTGCACATCACTCTTTTTGTTGGCCCTCCTTGGCCTCGGCCGATCGATTGCAGTGGTTACATTGAAATAAAATGAAGTTTAGCTCATATGAATTTATCTAAATTTTGGGTCTTATTTTTGAACAAAGTACGACTAGTCCAGGACAGTTCGTTTTGACGATAAGGCATGTGAACAGAAGCCATCTTTCTTACGCGCTTGGCTATAATTAAGGCTCTAAAGTCCAACAACCACAAAATGAGCTGCTTAAAATGGAGCTCAATTTACTATTTCACTTTGTACGACAAAGACACAAGTTTTTGTTCAACTTTGCCCATGCCCATGCCTATTTTATTTTTATTTTATTTTTATTTTTTTACGTTTGATGATGAATTAGGCGGGGCAAAGTCTTTACGGCCCTCTCACTCTCTTTTTTTTTTTATATAATTTTTTTTTAAAATACCCTAAATTCTTCCCTCTGTAACCTACAAGACTATTTGCTCTCTAGCTCTATCGCTAAGGACTAATTATTTCATTGTAGACATATCCCACCTCTTCTTCCTCTCCAACCACCCCTTCCACTCTTTTATTTTTATTTTTATATATATTTCATTTATCTAACTTTACACAACAGCTGCCATGTCCCAACAAAAAGTGGCTCACGGACAACCAGACGAAGTGATTCATTTACGATTGCAGAATGACCAATTATGGAAAATCATCGAGAAACAGCGAGTGATGATCCAATCCCTCCAAAAAGACAATGCTCGATTAGCAGCCGAGCGAGATGGTCTTCACGACAAGGTCGATAGTCTAGAACGAGAAATACTTCGGAAACCTAGAGTGGCATCGATCCTCATCTCGCCTCAGGCAATGAAAGAAATCGCAGAGTCTGAGGATGCAATGACACCCATCGATGGTTACTCATCTCCAACCGACTCGGTGGTTTCAAATACACTATCCACCCGGGACCTATCTCATGCCAGCCCTATGCCGCCTCCACGTTCGCCCTATCGCTCTTTCAAAGAGAGTGCAAAGATGGTAGAAGTGAGCGAGCTTGCTCAGGTGGCACACAAAGAGCAGCTTCAGCACCAACGCCCAAAACAACTTAATTTCTCACTCGATAATCCCATGGAGACCCAGCCCGTTGGAACAGCTGCTGCACCATTGGATATGGAAGGCATGTGCTGTCTTTCACCTCCAGGCTCGCCTATTCCTGGCCAGATCACTCCAACATCACCCCACTGTACCATAATTGAAAAGGACGCTCTATTGTTTGCCAAATACCAGACTGCCAACGGTCCAAAAAAAGATAATCCCAAAAGTGTCCCAATGTCCAGGGCTGCTACTGCATCACCCCCCTCTACCTCACCACTGTGTCCATCTTCGCCCTCAGCTGAACCACGTCTATTTGTACCTCCCCAGAGCAAGTCAACGTCCACCCTTGACAACCGTAGAACCGGACGCGCCCGGGATTCAATGATGCCACCACCGCGCACTGCTCTTGAACACGACCCCACAATCAGGGCAGCCTCTCCACCGCCCATGACTTACACTGGGCAACAGCCCTTTGCCCATGACAGTGTTCTTTCGCTGCATGTACCCACAGGATCTTCGAATCGTAAACGCGAGAGTAAGATATATTACAACACTCCGATCGATATCGTATCTCCTACCACAGAATCAGGACAGGAAGAATGGCCGACCATGCGTGTTGAGATGGCTAATGGAACACCTGAAGTGCCATTTATTCAGGAGCCTTTTCTTGCAAGCCCGCTCTCTGCAGAACAGCTTCAGGATGGCATGAATTCGCTTGCTGCAGATGGAATTGCCAATATCTCCATAAAGGTTGTTGGATCCAATATAAAGACGAATGACCGGGGTAAAGAAGTCATTTCTTTCACTATCTCTGTCGGTAAAAAACACCCTGGGCCAGAGGATGAATCTCAGCTTTATGAAGAGTATGAAGAACTCTGGAGAGTTGAGAAGCTTTATTCTGATTTTCTTGGCCTTGATTCCAAGGTAATTAATTAATTAATTTAATTAATTAGTCAGTCAGTCAGTCAGTCAGTCAGTCAATTTATTATTATTATTATTTACTTATAGAAAAAAAAAGAATAGAGATAGAGAGATAGAGTATAAATGAGGTTGCTAATTAAGGCAACTTTTATTGTGTATATTGTAAATGTTTAGTTAAAGACACAGCGTAACAGAGCTATTGCAGGCAGGATAGGTAAACTACCTGACAAGGCTCTTTTTGCCACAAATGCTCCCAGTAAGGTTGATCTGCGCAAGGTAAACAAGTGTAACATAGCCTAGCACAGCATAATAAAGTACATGGTTTAGCTTCAATAGATTTTCTTTCTATCTCTCTTTTAGATGTAAATCTTATTTTTTTTATTTTTTTTTGGTTTTCTTTAGCACGCACTAGAATTATACCTACAGCATATTGTTAGCCTTCCAATGGAAGACATCACTGATTTATGCAACTTCCTCAGTACAAACGTGATCGAGCGTGAAACATTCCGTGTATGTATCCGTAAATAAGACAAGGCGACGTTCTAAATAAGACATCTAATCCTATCCTGCCATCTTCTTTTTTTTTTGTAATTGCTTCTTAGATCTCCGGTCACAAGGAAGGTTTTCTGACGAAGCGCGGGAAAAACTTTGGAGGATGGAAGACACGCTATTTCGTCCTTAATGGTTCGATGTTAGACTATTTTGAATCTGTAGGTATTTTCTCCAAATATATACATACACTTTTTATTAACAAAAATGGAAAATATATTTATGTTGTATTTATTTATTTATGGTTTTTCTTCCTTTTATAGAAAGATGGAATTCATTTGGGCACCATTCGATTAACCAATGCTCAGATCGGTCGGCAGACACCTGGAATGACATCTGTAGACGAGTTTAATGCCTATCGCCATGCTTTCCTTATTGTAGAGAAGAAACGGGCTGGGTCATCTCATGTAAACAAGCACATATTGTGTGCCGTATCAGACGAAGAAAGAGACGAGTGGGTAGACGTGCTGTTCCAGAATATCGTCGTTGACGAAAAGGAAATTAAAAAAGAAGAGAAGATGGCAAGCGAAAAGAAGAAAAAGGTCGAAAAGCCACGCAAGCTTTCTAAAGGAGAGATCCGGACGATTGGAGCCACGCCTATCAGCAACCTCAAGTTGGAGCATCCGGCAGATGTCGAAAAGCTGACCAATGTACCAAACATGCAGACCCCCAATCCTTCTTTGTCTGATAGTACAGTTGAGCCTATCCCAATCACAGCCAATCTGACACCCTCGATCTCTAGCGAAAGCACAGATTCTTCGATTCTATCCACATCTCTCCCAAACTCGGTAACTCCCGCTGGCTGGCCAGGTATCGACAACCAACAACACCCTCAACACCCACATCACCACCAACCCCATGCCTCATACTCTGTAAGAACCAGCTTGGAACAGCCCTCATCACGCGGTCTACACCCTCGTCCGGTTATCCAGCGTCGAAGCTCGATGGCTAATCTTGTAAGCGAAGAAGAAGAACATGGATCTGTGGCTGTGGGTGTGGGTGTGGCTGTATCCGATCAGCGCGCCCCACCTCCAGCCGGACTTGGATCCTGTCGTGAAGCCGAAGAGTCGACTGAAAATCTTTTGGACTTGCCCGATAATAAAAAGACAAAAAACAAAGCAAACAGGATGACCTTTTGGGGCAAGAAAATGTTTAGTAGTAGTAATAGTAATAGTAATAGTAATAGCAGTAATTCGTCAGGACAACAGCAAGAGGCAGTAGCTCCACCTAGTATGCGCCCATCGACGTCTACCGAAAACTCATCTCGTGGGAGTGCACTCCCTAATCCATCTTCTGGCTTTCGTAGCTTTTTGTCACGGACGAACAACGAGTCTAGCGATCGTCCGGGACGCGGAAAGGTTTCTGAAGATGGAACTCACAAACCATCCAAACAGGTCTTTAGAGTCCCTCTCGAAGAAGCAGTTCGGGTCTCACGAGTTTCTGAAAAATACGAGCTGCCGGCTGTTGTGTTTAGATGCATTGAGTATCTGGATGCTAAGAATGCTGTACTTGAAGAAGGCTTGTACCGTTTGAGTGGAAGCAATATGATGATGAAATCTCTTAAGGAGCGTTTTGATCAAGGTATGAAAATAGATTTTATGAAGGAGGAAAAGAAAGAATTTGATTAATTGATTATTTTATTTTATTAGAGGGAGATGTGAACCTATTGGCTTCAAAGGAAGAGTATGATGTGCATGCGATTGCTGGACTTTTGAAGATGTGGTTGCGTGAACTACCAACGAGCGTATTGACCAGAGAACATCGCACCGACTTTTTACATGTGATTGGTAGGTTTTATAGAAAAGACATATTGTTTCTCTCTGTTTTTAATTAATATACTATGCTAGATCTCTTGGATCGTAAGGATCGAGTGAATGAACTTGGGCGCCTGGTTTCGCTTCTGCCGCTTGCAAATTACACTCTTCTACGAGCTCTGACTGCACATTTGATATGCGTTGTTCAGAACGCGGATGTGAATAAGATGACGATGCGCAATGTTAGCATTGTATTTGCACCTACACTGGGCATTCCGGCTACCATTTTCAACTTGTTTATGAGCGAATTTGAGTACATCTTCTGGACAACTGAAGACGGAGATGCGGCACCTAGAATGCTTGAGGACGAAGAAAAACAATACCAAGAGGAACAATTACAGCTATCACAGCAATCCCAGGAACAACAGCAAGATCAATCAGAAGAAGAACATACGATTCAAATAACCGAATGTGACCCGGTTGCTCCACTGCAAGGATCTGTGAAGCATGAATCGGCTCCTTCGTCTCGCCCTACTTTGGGCCGAAGACCTACGTTGAAACTGCGCGAAGAGCACGGCCGTAGTAATAGAAACAGTGTGAACTACATAGACGGTGCACCAATTGCAATTGTTGATCTTGAGATGAGCATGGATGGTAAGTTTATTGGTATTGGTATTGGTATTGGTATTAGTATTAGTATTATTCTTTTTATTATTATTTTCTTTTGGTGTTATAAAATCGAGTGATTTAGTTTAGAACCAATTTCTTTCTCTCTTTCTCTCTTTCTCTCTATTTGACCAAGATACTAACGATTGTTTGATTATGGTTACTAGGTCCTCCTATGCTGGATGAAGAAGAAGAAGAAGTCGATGATTTGGCTTTAACTGTTGCTGAGGATGAGGCAGAACACTACCGATATCCCGCAGAAAAACATATTTAATCACAAAAACACACACAAAACTAGCTCAACCTCCCCTCTTCATTTGTTTTGATCTCTTTAACTTCTTTTTAACTTTCATAATGCCTACACATATATAATTACTCTTCCTTTTTCTACATACAAAAAAAATAATGATCTTTCTGGTTGACTCTGTTGACTTGATCTGCTTAGTGTCCAGTAATTTGGCCTGTATTTTCTGATAGCAAGAGTGCTAAAGGTGCAGATATGAGGAGATGATTTTATTTTTTTAAATATGTATGAAATAGAACCAAGACCATACTTGATCATGGCTTTGGTCAGCCCAAAGGACAATATTGATTATTTCACCTAAATAAATGAATTTTAGGATATTTTATTTTATTTTAGTAGATAACATGTACTAGTGATACTTATTTAGACCTTACATGAATACACACATTTGTATATAAATATATCTACACAATCCCTTGATATCTTATTATAATATTCCTCCCTTAATCCCTGTTATATCCCCCTTCACCTATTCTTCACCCCCCTCCAACCCCCCCACCCCTTTCCTTTCTCTCTTCTTGTCCTCACTTTCCTTTCTCTTTATCTTCTTCTTTATCCTTTTTGCCCAACTCTTCAGTCTTTCAATGGCTGGCGGAGATTCCGTCACTAACTTTGTGATTGGCATATTTGTCTCTCTTGGTAAAAATAATAATAATAATAATATATATATATATATATATATATAATACGTTTCTAAGCAACCATACTGATTCCAAATCTCTTAGCTGCTTCATTCTTGGATGCCCTTGGGCTAAACATTCTCAAATTGGATCATGTTAAGGAATCTAAACGAGATGCAGATCAACAACGGAATGACTGTGGTCGCCCTTTGTGGCATATTGGACTCTACACATATATTGGAAGTCAACTTATCGGAAGCACCATAGCACTCAGTAAGGCACATACAAAAATAAAAAATAAAAAATAAAAAATAAATACGCATATTAAACAATTTTTGTTTTGTTTTGTTTTGCCTATCTTTAATAGATTATCTCAAGACCCAGGTAAACCCCATTAAAGACATATAATGATCTGTGATAAATCGAGGGTGTGACGATCCAGCCTATATAGCTATATATCTATATATCCATATTGCTTCTTGCCTTACAGGAGATGATAGAGGGGTGTTTATTGCAGATAGACTAATGAGTCAAAGGGGGTTTTAATCCTTTTGTTCTTCTTCATTTGTAGTGGGTAGCTCCTTTAGGAAGTGCAGCATTGATCTACAATTTCATATTTGCAAAAATGCTCGTTAATACAAAGATTACCCGCAAAGATGTATTAGGCACCTGTGTTGTTGTAGCCTCTGTCATCTGGATTGTAGTCTTTGGTGGAATGTATAATGGTGACGACCGTAAGTATAAACCAAGACCCAAGAATCTCCAACCAAACATATATACATTCGTACATTCATACATCTTACTGCTATCTTTATATATATATATTATATATACTTATCTGACATTCTTAGCCGAAGAGAATATCTCGCTCGAAAATCTCAAGACATTATTTATGCGTCCGATATTTATCATATACTTTAGTGCCCTTAACATCATTACCATATCTGGCTTAATTTTTGCTATCTGGTCTCGGTGGGCGCTGGCTGATAGCTCTCGCAAACGAAGAAACCCTTTGTTTGCTGGAATGAAAGACAAGAAGATGAGACGCTTAATTGGTCTGATGTTCAGCTTGGATGGCGGCATGCTAGCCAGCGAGACACTTTTACTAGCCAAGAGCGGGTAAAGCAAATCCCCTACCTTTTGTTGTTTGTTGTTGTTTTTTTATAGAAAAAAAGAAAGACAATCATTGGGTCTTTTACTTACTTGAAAACTAACTGCTTCTTCTTCTTCTTCTTCTTCTTCTTTTTTGGGGGTGTTTTCTTTTGCATTTGCATTTACTGCAGTGTAAAACTGTTTACGCTTTCGGTCAGTTCACAAGTCAATCAATTCACAGACAACACCAGTAGATTTGTAATTCTTGCTCTGATTGTTACGGCTGTTTTACAGGTATGATCTTTTATAAATCATTTATATAAAATAAAAATTTAAAGGTAGTCAAAAGTAATAGTAATGGGATTCTTATTACTTGCTAAATACAAGACTAGTTTAAGAAAATACTATTCTCGTCAGGCCAGCTGACAGATACTTCCTTTTTTTTTTATTCTTTAATTTTTTTTATTTATTTTAATAAATCTAAAAATGTTATTTTAGGTCTACTGCCTCAATAGTGCTTTAAAGCTCTACTCTTCTGTAGTAGTGGTTCCTGTGTTTTACGGCACATACACTGCACTGGGGCTAGTCAACACCATCATCTATTTGGATGAGATCAGCCACTATCCTGGGTGGGCTATTGCACTAGTGTTTGGTGGCATTGGTGTCTTGATCTACGGTGTTTATCTTCTGAGCTCCAAACCAGATCCCTCCCACCCTCAGGAAGAAGAAGCGGAAATCGAACAGGAGATGAACGTGCTAAATCCAACCAGCTTAACATCCGACTCGACCGCGTGGCCGACTGCCAAAGAGGAGAAGGAGGCTGCAGAAAGACGATCTATACCTCTTGGACTAGGCGAATCGAGTGGAAGCCACCAACAACTACCACTTGACAACGAGAGTCTCTTTGGAGAAACCGTAAAGCCCATATCTCCTCCGCTTCCTCCTCCTTCTCGTCCTTTCATGCGCTGGATCCACAGAATAAAACAGTCCCTGTCTTCTAACAAACCAGAATCTCCTTCAATTAACCACTCGTCATCAGGAATCACAATGCCTTTGGTAGCCCAGACACGACAGAGAGCCGTTCCCCACGAAACACAGCATACGCCCAATCACCATGAGATGTTGTACTATCCAGACCTTGAACAGCGGTCTCATATTGGTCTACAAGACACAGCGTCTTCTGGGTTAAAACCCTAGAGAGAAGATAGATAGTTAGATAAAGAAGTATTTTCTATTCTGTTTTTGCTACCTTTGCTACCTAATCCCTTCTTATTTTCTTATTTTTTTTCTTATTCTATTTTTCTTCTTCTTTCCATTCAAATACTTCATGCAAGCAGTCATCTCCCTGAGAGCATGGAACAAATTCAATGCTAAAAGAAAAACAAAATAATCTCTTTCACAAGTAACCCACACGCAAGAACTCTCTTTCTCTCTCTCTTTCTCTCTCGTACGCACGCACACTCACGCACATACACGCACTCACTCACGCACTCACGCACTCACTCTCACACAAGCATACAGGCACAACCGCTTATTCATTCACTCACTCAAGGTTTTCCTCAAATAGTAATGATAGAAGTCTTTTTTATATATATATGACAGATTTACATTACTTCTTATTATTCGTCTTATTTTTATACTCCTTGCACTTTTTTTGTATAAACTTTTTTTTTCAGGAACTCATTAGACCACGCTGGGCCTAAGTTCACCTTCATAAAAATGTGACGGACCAAGATAATCTTCCATACTTTTGTGCTCTAATATAAACAGATTCACATAGATAGAATTTTATGAGTAATGGAGCACTGACCCAAATCATCACAGAAATAACAAAAACCAAAAAAAAAAAAAAAAAACTTACCAAGCGTTTTAAATATTCGTTCGAAATGAGGCATAAATTCACGCTTTGGGATGTAAAGATTGAATTCAAGATCAGCAAACACAGCAAATTCATGCTTGTGTAGCTGTTCAGCATCAACGCCTAATCTATCCTCCATGACCTACATAATAATAATTTAGAGAGAAGATGGTCAATACATGCATGTACACACTTATATACACACATCTAATAGGTGGTGCTCCCAAGGTTCCTTTGCTTCATTTATCTTTATAGCTAAAAGTAAACAGCAGGCTAAATATAAATATAAATATAATTTTAATATAAATAAAACATGAAATTAGTATAATGCCAACAATAAAGATCCCTATATTTGTATCGGCTTACCTGCAATAAGTTTTCTATTCTTCTTGGTTACGATATTCTATTTTGTTATGTTAGTATAATACACATATATTGATATTGATATCTCTATATTCTTACCTTGATGACTAGCTTTTCAAAGTAAACGTAAGCATGAGCTACACTTGATACCTCCAGATCTACTTCTCTGCCGATTTCTAACAAGTGAGCTTTGATTGCCTTGATTTTGCTGAGTGTAATTTCAGGTGCAAGTTCTGGATGAGTCAGGCGAAATTGCTCGTTTAATTCTCTTTTTATATCAGAGGCTTTCATCTGCTGTCCAGTTAATGTCTAAGATGTCATGAGTTTGGTTGGTCCTTTTGTATTTGTCTTGATTTACTTTAACTTACTTGAGCATTTATCACAGCTTGATCGTAAAGTGGGTCTTCAAGAAAGTGAGCGTCATAACCACCTTCTACAGTAATATGTGGCTCGTCGGTATCATTTCTTATTTTTCAAAAATAATAATTTATATTAAGTTTTTGCTGCAGGTTGCCTTAAAAGAAAGACCAAATACACACACACACATACACTATAAATAACATTTATACACATACCTTAATGAGCCAGAGGATGTTAAAAAGTGACCGTAAGTTTCGATTAACCCACGATTTGATGCATCTTGCTTTGATGATTGCTGTTGACTGATTAATTATATGTGTCAGTCAAATAATCTATTCTTTTATATATATATATATATATGACTTGCTTCTCTCTAATAAAATTATCAAAGACGTACACATATCCTCGGTTAATCACTGGATCTGCCTTCCTTCCGGCCGGATGGCGTATCTTGTCAGTGTAATAACGAAGGACCGAGAGAATGCCTAGTCCATTAGATTTGGACTATTAGAAAAAAAAAAGATGTTAATTTTATATATATATATATTGTATATTGTGTACCTCTTTGTTGGCACGGTAAGACTTTTTCTTAATCTTCTCGGACGCAATTGGACGATCGCTGTCGTCTCGGGTAAGTTGGTGGTGTACATCACCCCCCTCGTAGTCAGAGGATTGTTTTGGTTTTCCATCGGCTTCGTTCCAATAGTTCCATGTTTTTCTATGATCGGGTTCAGCCAGTATAGCGGCTGGTGCAGAAACCGACATCATAACGGGTGGAGCGGTTGTGGATAGGCGATCGGTTGGGCCCACTCGTACGCTGGTTGGAACCTCGTCATCGGCGGATAGGCTGCTGTCGGTCGAGTGAAGGGAAGGAGCTATATAATATAATATAATACAATTTATTTATTTTTAAAAAAAAAAAAAAAGTTCAAGATGCAAGATGTGAAACAAGAATTAAATATGTATATAATTTTTCTTTTTTCTTTTTCATAATGCAGCATTTGACAAATTTACTAATGTAATGTATAAATTACTATTATTTTTTACCAGAGCGACCTGCGGATGATTGGATGAAGTCCGGATATTCTCCGTAATCAATTCCATATCCAGGTGAACGTCCATCGGATGAAAGTCCAAGATCGTCTTGTAGCGGTTGAAAGGCTGTGCTGTCTTTTGGTTGTCGTTCGGTTTCGCTTCCAAGAGAAATGTTCGATAAAAATGAGAATGCCACTGGTCGTGAGTCGTTCCGCCTGGCTTTACGACTTTTCGTCGTGCCCATTGGCGTTTAGTACGCGAAGAAGAGAGGATAAGAATTAGCAAAGAAGATTAAAGTGATTGTCTAATTCGGCAAGAATGGCCAAATTATCAACTTTTTGATGATAAAACAAAAACAAAGCAAAAAAGACAACAACAGCAACAAAAAGAAGAAGGAGAGGAAGAAGAATCTACGGTCAATGTCAAGCGTTTGGCTGAACGTAAAATAAAATAATAAAATAATAAAAAAAAAAATAGAATAGAATAAAAAAGGTAAGACTAGAAAGTCCTGGTTGAAGAAAGGGAGAAAGGGAGAGAGAGAGAAAGAGAGAGAAAGAGAGAGAGAAAGTTAGAGTACGATTATGATGGGTTAAAAAGTCACAAAGTAGTGTGACACGCCTCTGGAAGGGGAGCTTGTCCAGCCACGACAAGATGGTTTTCATGGAGTGGAATCTTGCAAGTGACTGCTGAACCCAAAGAGGTTAGGGATCCACAAGAAGAGTAGTCAGAATCCTATTTTCTTTCTTTCTTTCTTTCTCTATTGGAATTATGATAATGGTCTCTTATTGACAAAGACTATCCGACACACTTTGGTGGAGACTTGGTTAGACGTTTCTTATTTCACTTTATTTAATTTGATTTAAATACTAGCTTAATTCATAATAGAAAGAAAAAAATTGGCTCAGAATAGTTTAGATTCTACTGCTGAGTATCTTGTGCCAAGAGAGCTAATCTTGGGTTTTTCTATATATCATTTGGTATGCTGCTTATCCTATAGAAAGAGAAAAAAAAGGCCAATTTTAGTGAATTGTTGCAAGTTTTCCGGGAAAGTGTGTTTTATGGTTTAATTCTAATTAAGCACCAATTTCTCTCTCTTTTATATAATTTACTTTTTACGCCACCCTGTTTTTGCAGTCAATGGCAAGACATCTTTTTCAAACTTCTTCAACCCAGTACAAGAATTAAAGACAGTAGACGATGCGTTATCTAGTGGAAGATTGAATTTTGTTTTTCTTATCCATTTTCAATTTACACTGCGATCTGATTTCCAATGATTGTTATACGTTCTGCCATTTACCACAGTGATATTACTCACAGTACTCCTTTCTTTTTTTTTGGCCTCTTGGACTACAAAGTCAGTCGAAAAGAAATAATGGGTTGATTCATTGTGAAGGGATTTTTGTTCCCAAAGATCCTTATTCATTATTAGTTATAGTTACAAAATAGAGCAGTATCTTGATGTAGATGCGGTACATATCTGAACTTGGGTCTTAGATGTCATACCACATAAGGCACACTAAAAATATATGCATTAAACCATGGTAATAAAAGCACTTGTACAACAACATAGTTTATGCAGCTATACATATCTGTTGCGAGCAGGAGAAACACTACTCCTTGATGTAAGCTCTAAATAAATATATTTATTTAGAAGCAGCCCAAGTATCTTTACTGTAGATCAGCTAGAAAATTACGTATTAGCTCTTCACTAAGCATTTGGTTCTTAAGCTCAAAGGTAAGTAGCATTAGGTTTATATGATCGAGACACTAGAAGTCATGTGAAGTGTTGCACAAAGTTACAATTCGCTGTATGATTTCTTTTTTGGAAAATTCACCTCGTCGGACAATTTTTTGAGGTAATTGTACTGTACTGTACTGTACTGTGCTGTGCTGTGCTGTGATGTAGGTCAAGAATCATTCTCAACAGTGAGACAATGAGGATATAATTAACCAATATGCTTATATATCTAATCTTATTATTTCTTTTCTGCTACTAGTATCAATGTACTCAGCATTATTACAGTGAGGGGCAAAAAGAATCGCCTTTTTTTAAGATCCCGATTGTTCTCCAAAATATATCTATTTTTCATGCTTAAAGAAAAGAAGCAAATACATTACTTACAGCTCCCAAACTACTTCAGATTAAAGTTGAAAGCACTTGTTCTTATTATTTTATAGAAGAGTCTTTATTTTAGTACTTGGTATTATGACCATTTGCATCTATTACAGCTTGACATCTTCTGTTCATGCTCCGGACCAAACTCTGCAAATACTTCTGGGGGATTAACTTCCATTCCCTTATTACCGCATGTCTCAAATGGTAAATGCTATACAGGTTGTATCTGTTCATACGCACTCTACGCTTGAGATATGCCCAGAGATGCTCGATTGGATTCAAGTCTGGACTTTGAGGTGGCCAGCTGCCCAAAAGTTTCACCTTGTTTTTTTTCTTCCATTCTTTTGTCAGCGCACTCACATGGCAGCTAGCGTTATCCTCTTGCAGTCAAAATCTTCTCCAGCTATCTTTCTCTTTGAATGCCTTTAAAGAAGGGAGGTAGGCTCTTTCCAAGGTTGCAACATACTTCTTGGAATCGATATTTCCAGGCACAACGTCTAAAACTCCGACAGCCTTTCCATAGAAGCACCCCCAGACCATAATGGAGCCACCTCCAAACTTCACAGTTGGCGAGACAAAGTTGGGCTTAAAGCCCTTGCCGTTTGGCCTGAGAACGCACCGGCACCCATCACTTCCGTGGAGCTGGATCTTTGACTCATCAGACTAGATGACGGAATTCCAATCTGTCGTTTTCCAGTGCGGATGTTCCTTAGCTCATTGCAATCGCTTTTTACGATTGATTTCCGAAATCTTTGGTTTCGGAATCATCTTTCGAGAGTATATTCCAGCCTTGCGAAGAAACTTTCTCAAAGTCTTTACAGAAACTGGTGTGGGCAAGGTTCTAGCAATGGTACTCATTGGCTGTGTTGGATCACGGCTAATCTGAAGCATAATTCCTCTTTTGTCTCTCTCATTTAACTTTAAATGTCTACCAGATCGTGGTGCAGCCATATGCGAGCCAGTTTTTTTGTAGCTCTGAAGAACACGCTTCACCACGTCTTTGCTTACGCCTACTTTTTTGGCAATGTCAACCTGACTAGTGCCATTCTTAACACTCTCATGGACAATGATTGCACGAGTTGTATTATCCGTGTTTTTATGTCCATTGGTGGAAATCTTAGTAATCTTTTTTGTGCATTCGGTTTGATTGTTCATTTCATAAAATGTTAATTTAAGAGAAAAAGAGAAAGACTATTACGTTTGCTGATTTCGGCATTTTAAAAAAAAGGCGATTCTTTTTGCCCCTCACTGTATAAGATTGGAATCATTGAACAAAATATTTAATAATCAAAAAGGGTATTTTTTTATTATTAATTAAAAGCAGGATTTAATTGAATTCAACATTAATGAATTTTAGCTTACTATCAAGCTATTCTTTACAAATGTTGGATTACTACTGTAGGCAAACATGTCGGCAAGTTCTTCTGCCAGATATACCTTCTTGAACCCTTCCGTTCTCTTTGCCGATTTACTTTTTTTTCTTCTTTTCTTAATAAACAATTGCTTGAATATTGACTCGGACTTCGGCCATTAGTTAAGTCAGGCAATGTTAGATATCCTAGGTAATTTTTACCTCGTATTGCGAATATCTAAAATGATATGAACGTTATTTTATTAGAGGGGACTACTCAGGGAAAATTTGAAAATATCGTTCCAACGGACTTTACTGGGTACAAATTACCCAGAATTTTACCGTCTTTACTTTTATCCCAAGACACTTCTAGGGCACTTTTAGCTTAACTTTCCATTATGTCTCTCAAAAGTGTCCCTCATTATAGTCGGCGCTTAATCTTCTGTTTCTGACTTTAAACTGCATCCATTTTCAGCAGTCATGAAAGTGGCCTATATACGTTCTCCCCTTCTCTATTCTGTATGACCAAGAAACTGATTGATTGATCGATGGGTTCGGTGACCGGAAAAATCTAATCACCGTAGCAATTCTTTTTGGAGAAAAACTGATGAAGTTTGATTTGTACGGGATGTAGGATTTGCCAAATGAAAGTAGTAAAAAGAGATTACCGAATACAAATGAATGATCGACTGCATCCAATCATAGTAGATTATTGGTTTATTTGTTCTAGAAGAAGTAGCTCCTTATTATCTATTTATTTAAATATTTCAGCCACATTTTATTTTTGCTTTATTGGCTTTACTGACAAGCACCTTATAGTATAAAGCAAATTCTTAAAGGTAAGCAGATTTAAGCCATAAATCGACATCATTGTGGCTGACATTGAGAAATAAAGAATAAAATGAAATTGAAGTAAAAAATGTATACAAAAAACAAAAAGGGAGCCTATAGACTTAAAGATCCAGTCTAGATTATTGTCATTAATATCTATATTCTTCTTCTCTAAACTCTTGGCCATGACTTTAACCTAATTTTATATAGTCTGGAAAATAGCCAGCTCAAAGGGTTTGATTAGCGTGCAAATATATCTACCTTTTATCTGTATTCATTTATAAATGAGATTTTGTTTTTGTTTTATAAAAGAAGCTATAGTGAGCATCTGTAGTATACATGTGTTTAAGAGGAGAGATAGAAAAAGGAAATCTCCCCCCCTCCCAAAAAAAAAAATACATATTTAAAAACCCAATTTCACTTGTCCATTTATTAGTTTCGTTCCTCTTCTTTTCTCTACTTTATTAATTATCTCTCTGCTGTATCACTTGGCTTCTTTTTGCCTTAATCGACAGCGTCGTAACACCGAATCCTTTATTGTTACACATCTAGACCTTACTTTTTATATATATATATATATAAATATATATATATATTCAGTTATGATTTCATGTCTACCAACCCACACGACCATAAACAATCCCCGATTAAGACGAACCTTATGGAACTCAATATTCAATATCAAGTTTATTGCATCCCTAGTAATAATAGTCATCGCAACATTCCTCATCGCATGTCGACTCGAAGCTAATGCTAGGGTATTCCCACAAGAGTGGGTCTCACCTCGACAACCACAAATCAACTATCCACTTTCAAACTGTCTCAATCTACCAAATAATAGTCCATACCGTCATGGCCAAGCAAGCCACACAATTTCGATTACACCAGGAGTTCCTCTTTGGAGAGCAGACACTTGCTACGATTTTGCAGGTCTCATCAAACCCTCTATCAAACCAGTCCTACAGGATACTATCTTTCATACCTATTGGTCTACAAATATCACTGGGTTTGGCGACAAACAGCTGGATACATTGAGATCTTTTGTAGCTACTCAGAACCCTAACAGTACAAAATTGTTTGTCTGGGTCCCATCCACAGACACCAAAGCCCTGGTATTCTCAGCCCAATGGAAAATGGCCCAGGAACTGGCGCCTAAACGCATAGAATACCGAACTATTGATCACAAAGCACTCACCCAAAATACCCCTCTCGCTGATTACGTCGATGACTGGAGAAACCATGTCTATAACACACATACTAATCAGGACATGCTTCTGAGGCTCTTGGTACTCAGTCAATATGGTGGTCTCTGGTTTGATATGGATACCCTACTGGTACGAGACATGGGTCCTTTATTGGAATATGAATGGATATCACAGGGTGACTGCAAAACATCTATGGAAGGAAACCCATTCGATGGCGGTTTACTGCATTTCAAGAAACAATCCCCTTTTGTCTGTGAGATGCTGGAAGTCGCTGTTGACCAATTCAATATCATCAAACAAACGAACACCCGATTTCCCGTGGATAATAGCCAAGCCAAGCTATTAAAACTCACAGCAAACACGCCAGAGACATTTGGGGCCCAGTTATATTATGGTGTTTATCGAAATATACTCCACCATCACATCAAACCCTGGTCAAGTCTGCCTTGGTGCTTTACTGACGGAACAATGTGCAATTCAGCTAATGCCTTGCCCAAGCTTACCTCTGAATCAAAGGTTGATAGTCGACGGATATCACAGATATTTGCCTATCGTTGGCATGGCAAGTGGACTTCACAACCTGGTGCCCTTTACCGCTATATTACACACACACACCAAAAAATTACATCATAAAAATCTTGCATCATCTTTATCTTTCAAGAAGATATCTTCCCTTGTCATTAGCACACATTAACACACAACAAAAGAAACCAACCTGAATGTAGTCCCCTCTTCTGTACTTATTTGTTATACATAGAATATATAGAGGGCCATACTCGGCTCTCTTCGTAATCCTAGCATAGACAATATATATATATATATATATATACGTTATATTCTGCCTTCTTTTAATTTATATATATATTATGTTTATATCATGAGGATACAAAGAAGAATAAGAAAAACATATCAACACTGGGTTAAACAGAGAGAGGATACAAGTTATACAGACAGAGAAGCGTTTTTAATTGAATTTTAATAATATTTTTGCATGTGGTGTATTTGTAAGATGGGGGAGTATATCGTTGTATTTCCCTTTCCTTTTTCTTTTACTGTCTTCTTCTTCTTCGGTGATCTCTATCACGCTCTCTTTCTCTTTCTCTATCCCGGTCCCGATCTTTTCTGTCATCTCTCCGGTCTTCTCTACGATCATCGCGTCTTTCTTCTCTACGGTCCTCCCTTTTTTAAACCAAACACAAATAAGAGTAAGAAATCACATCTCTTTCCACGTGTTATCTTGGGACTTACCTAATTCGCTTTCCTTCTCTCTCCCGATCATCTTCTTGAAGTCTCTTTCGTCCACTACTACTTCCAGCAGAGCTAGTCGCACTATTGACAGCAGGAGGAGGGGCAGAAACACTTGTATTTGTAGTCAGGCCAGAACGTCTCTCCCGACTTGTTTCAACAACTACACTACGACTGCTTGTATTGAGCCTTGAGCTCAAAGATCTCTCCTCTCTTGCACTTCCAGATGGCGCCCGTCGTTCACTAGTAGACTCTACGACTACAGATCGGCCATTATTTGTACGTGGTGCCGTGCTAGAACGATCTTCTCGTGACGAACGATCCTCCCGCCCAGACCGCTCTTCACGTGCCGGACGTTCTTCTCGACTTGATCTTTCATCACGCACCGCGCGCTCTTCTCGTGCCGGGCGTTCTTCTCTCGAGGGTCGTTCTTCTCTCGAGGGTCGTTCTTCTCTTGAAGGTCGTTCCTCTCTTGAAGTCCTTTCCTCTCGATTATTACGATCATCCCGACTCATTCGGTCATCTCTTGCTATCTTTTCATCTCGAGATGGTCTATCGTCTCGTGTTGAGCGTTCTTCTCGGCTACTAATGTTGGAATTATTATTGCTACTGCTAGTGTTCGTATTGCTGTTGCTATTATTATTATTATTATTCCTTGAAGAAGTGCTACGAGAATCTCTGGTAGATAACGTGTTGTCCTTTGCCGCCTCTCGTGGTGAGTCACGCGGTAATGACTCAACAGTGCGATGACGGTTTGTTGCTAGCTCTTGGCGACCACGGTCTTTCTCATCGTTTCTCGGTTTTTTGGTTGTATTAGACGGATCTTCTTTTCCACGCTTACGGTCACTTGGAGACGATGCACGTTCCTGTCTATCTTCTCTACGTGGAGTTGTCTGAGGTGTAGGTGACTTATTGTTTGGCGTCTTATCTCCAGTTTTGGCTGCAGGTGTTGACGATGCTGGTTTATCTGCCTCGGGCTGCAGAGAATATACCAATCAATAATTAAACATTCGTTTGCGTAAATCCACGTACTATTTATCATATCTATATCAAGTGTTTTTCTCTTTATTCTTTCTACTTACCTCTTCAGTGCCAAGGAATACATTTTTGCTCACCCAACGAGACTTACTCTTCTCAATCAATCCCAGATAACTATAAAAATGATAAGGATAATATGATATGATATATGTTTGTTAGTCAAAAGATTTCCCACAAATACAATAATAAATTCCCAAGTCTTTTTTTTTGGGGAATTTTCATTTCAGTTTTATACCTTCTGGCCAGTACTTTCAGGTCATCGCGCTTCTCATGGGAAGCAAGGTTTTGAGTTGCTTGGACCAAGACTTCACCGTGTTGTTTGATCAAAGGAAAGTGAGGAATGAACTGTCTCATCACTAAAAATGCGTTGCGGATCTGGTGAGATTCACCAGATTGGAGTGCTTGTTCAAGAGCACTGCTGATTTTCATATGCCACTTGTTTATAACTCGACGGAAATCTTGGTAACTCAACCACTCTGCCTTGTCGTTTACTTGAGAAGATAGTTGACCAGTCCATCGCTTTTGGAATCCAATCAATCCTTCACCAAGTGCTTCTCTGGCATACAGTGTTTCATCCTGACTCCATCGAGACATTTTGGAAAATATCTTGTATAAAAAGCGAGCATTAATTGTTGTTTCGTATTCGGTGAATGACATGAGTACAGCAGGAAGGTTTTCGGAAAGGAGTTTGTCAAATAGAGTCAGACTGGAGAAGTTGGTCACGCTGATCTGGTGCATAAGGATAATAAACTCGTAACAATAGGCAGCATCGACTTCTGATAAGACACTTCGAGGCAGCAAACAATGCTGGATAATGCTTTGGATCAAAGTAAGGCGATTAACAGAAGTTGGGAACCAGCGGCTCTGAGATTCTCTCAGCATCTCCATCGTCTTTTCGACATCCTTCTTGTGTTTTGGAAGGTCTTCCTGGAGGCTTTCAAGGCTAACCTGGGCCATCCTTTCTGCTTTCTGGACAGCAGATAGACGCTGGCTTTGGTAAAAAGACGAGCGAGTATCTCTGCACTGGGCAATCATATCCTTATGCCTCTTCATGGCAGTATCGTAATGACCTACAGGACAATGAATATCATAAAGACTCAACTGCCAGAAAGTTGCATAAAATTCTGGTGAGATGACACTGGATATAGCTGGATGAGGCGCAATTCGAGCCATATTTTCAATCAGTGGACTGAGCGCTGAGTTAGGCTGACCAGTTACTCCTTCCATACTGGCCCGAAGTAGGTGACGAGTCTTTGGGCGCACCATATGCATAACCACATCTGGAGGAAGCTTGTAGTCTTCTGCCAATCTAACGGCATCCGGAACGAGAGCGTCATACTCGGCTTCGTCGAAAACAGTAGTCAGGAGTTCAGAGTACTGTAAAAAGGTCTGGTGAATCAAGTCTAATTTGGAACCACGTTCAAAAGTATTGAGTTCTCCTTCGGAAGAGCATGCTTCACTCAATCGATGAAGAAGTACAAATATTTCTAGGCCAGTTCCATCTTTTTGCAAAGTATCTTTAAGACGTGACAAGACTCTTTTAGTGGCACGTCTATTGTCATTTGATACAGGCTGGAATGCTTCAGCACGAAGAGTTTCACTACACCCTGCTGATGTGATCTGATCGTCGGTCAGTGTACTTCCGATGATCTCAATACCGGAAAGCTTGGTAATAAATTCGTTAAACAAAATGAGATCTGGCACCGAATCGTCTTGACGCAAGCGATAATCCATATAACGAAGTAAAGGCGTGGGGTCGATTCCTTGCTTCTTGTAAAGCATACCAGCGAATACAGAAAGCGCTAAATATGCAAAGTATCAATAAGTAAGGCTTGAGAAGGACCATAGTCTTCTATAAGAGCTAACCTTTGAGCCATGATGAAGACATTCCGTCATTTTTCATCTTAATCTTCTTCATTCGACCAGCACCCTGAGATCCGGTCCATTTCTCAGTCATGAGATAGCCAAGAACATCATAAGCAAAGCTTCCCATATAGCGACATGCGTCTGCCATATAGGGAGCCAAGTTATCAAATGCCTGGATCTGGTCCAACATTACATTGAATACAATCATTGGGTTTGAGTGTGCTAATTTGCCGAGATCACGGCCGCATTGACGAAGATCGTTCTTGGATACACGGCTGGATGTCAGATTTAGTTAGTATATATTAGATTGATTTTTTATCTCTCTCTCTCTCTCTCGCCCTGGTGCATAGATTCACTTGCCGCATGATTCCCTTGACAGTACGTTCAGTACGAGCCTTGAGAAGTTTAGTCTCAATAGTCTTTTTATAAAAGTCATTTCCCCATTCACCGTATAAAGCACATCTAAGGTCAGAAATAAATAAAGATGTAAATCAATAAGTCAATAAACATGTTATGGCATTGTTTCTCAAAACTCTAGATTCTAACTAACCTTTCTTGGAAAGAGAATGTATCCAAAACTTCCCAGACGGATGCCATTGTACCAGGATTACATCCACTGAAGGAAACCAGCGGTAACAAGAAATCACGGATCATGTTTAGGCAATGAGTGCGACAGTTTGGATATCCTTTCTCCTGAGACAACATGAATCAATATTCTTTCTTCTTCCACTTGGGTGCATTTGGTCACTTGGTTCTTACTCTTTCCAAAAGACCCTGGATAATCAAGAGAAGTTTCTGAGTCAGATGAGGAGCAAGATATGCTTTGTATCCTGCTAAGCGCATGATAGGCATAAAACGTTCTGTTAAATGCTGGTATGTCTCACAACGCGGTAGATTATCGGCCCAGGAGCAGTAAAAGAATTCGTACCGTTCTCGCTTTACGAGATCATATGTACCGTCTTTCAAAATATTTTTTACCAAAACCTTTGTCATTTTTGGCATTTCGGGAGGTTTTTCCCCACGCTTTTGGAGAGTGGCAATTAATCTTGATTCTTCTGCACACTTGGCATAGTGTACATAACGTGCTTTAATATCATCGGCTACATATTTCTGATAAGCAGGCTCGAGGATGATATCGCATAAACGATATATATTGTGTGCTAAAATAGGATGCATATCACACAGCTTGTCGTGCTTTGCCATAATAACTTCAGCATGAGGGATGTCCCCAATTGAGAGTAGAGCCTTTGTAAGTTCTACGATGTCGTTTGTTGTATAGACTGGCGCAATGTTCTCAGCAGACTCGACTTTCTCTTTTTGTTCGACCTTTTTGGCTTTTTGAGTCGTACCTTCCTCACCCAGAGCACCATATTGAGCTAAAGCACCTGCACTGTTACTCTTGATTTCTCGGTTCATGTTCTCTGTATATTTTGCTTTCTGAGCTACCATTTCGTCTTCAAATGGCTTGAGATATGGCAAAAGGTCACCTGGGCGGATCAAGCCGTTCTTCATTAAAAGTGCACAAGCATAGTAAAGTTCGCTAGGTGCGGATTGGACTTCAACAAGATGGTAATGCTCGAATTTGAAACCCAACAACTGTGCCATTACCACGCTATACTTTTTCGATTTGTTTTCATCTTCATCTACTTCGGCCGATGATCCTGAAGCGAGCTGCTGGATCCACCCAGAAGTTTCAAATAAGCTTAACCAGAATACATGATTGACAAGAATCTCTTTGATAAATAGATCCAGGAGAATGTCAAGAACTCGATTGGGGTCCAAATGGAAAATGCCTTGATACATACATATGAAGCAATATTAGTACTTATTCAAAAAAGATAGATAGATAATGTGGCAGTTTAACAGTGACTAGAGTTTAATAGCAATAACATTTTTTTACCAATATTAGATGAGATAGTTTCGAGAAATTTCGGGACACGTTCGAGGGGCGTAGGGGGGGCTCTTCCATTGGCATCGTATTCCAGGTCGATTGTTCCAAAGGTTATATCGTCAATAAGGGCTGAGTATCCAACCATATCTTCGCGTGCTAGGTTGAATTTGTTTTGTTTGTATCTGTTGAACATGAATTTTGCTGTTTAAACCAAACTTCTTTTTTCTCTCTCTTTCTTTCGTTTTTTCTTTACATATATTTATAATAGCTTTTACATTCTTGAATTCTTACAGCATGGATGTATTTAGTCGGACAAGCCGCCGGTCAAACATGACCTTACTAGCGATAATTCTGGAGTCCTCCAATAGTTGGCTAGAAAAGTTGATCTTAAGATCTGCTTCTGTTAAGATGCGTTCAGACTAATTGTTTTTTTTTAAAGAAAAAAGAAGAATACAAATGGTTAAAAGGAATCCGTTTTTTTTTTTTGGAATTGGATTAAAAAGTTTGATTTGTTATTTTCGTACCAAAACGCCTCTAATCATTGCAATAAGATTAGCCTTTCGAAGTTCCATTATTTGTTTTGGGCCGTTTTGGAGATTAAGTTCACCCATCGTTTCAAGATGAACATCTTGCGTCTTGAGACTGTTGATGAACAGCTGGCGTGTATCAATTTCGTGTGTTGCAAAGATCTTGTCGTCATCCTTGACCAATGCACCCATAAAATTTAGAAAACTAGCTACAGTTCGTTTGCCAAAATAGGCGTCGCGTGTAGCAAAAGTTATCATGTTGCGTAGTGGATTCTCATGGAGAAGAGTATATTGATCCACGACCTGCTTTGCGCGGGTGATCTCTTCTTCAACTGGGTCATGCATTCTAATGAAGTGGATGACCATATGAATCTACACTTTACAGCTAATTTTCCTCATGCTAGTTGATTTTATTTTTGCAAGTCACATGCTCTTAGAGATTAATGGAGCCCGTCTTTTTAAAATATGATTTGGTTGACAATGCTTGATGATGTGATTAAATGAATATGTTTTTCTTTCTTTCTTTTTACATGAATACCATGCTATTATACATAAAGTAATTGGATCAATAGAGATGATATATTGACCCTGTTTGCTTGATTTCTCTTTTTTGTGATTTTTAGTCTTTGGTTTCATTGGCCAAATTATCCGGCAGTCCTTTGGTAGTATTATCAGGTACATTTTCTTTTGAGATCTGCTTCTCTGTCTCAGTTTTCTCTGGCCTTGGTGCTGTTGGATTTCCGTACTATATGTATAAGAAACAGATATAAAGACAATAGAGTTAAAGTAGATATGCATATTCATACATACCTTTTCTGCATAATTTTTCTCTCTTCTAAAGAGTAATATATGAGGTTCTGGTGCTATTATAAAAGAATCTCATTAGTTATTTTATTTTATTTTTTACTTTATTTACCCCTAATATATAGACTTATTTTTATAGTTATTACCATGAACCATATAATGTTCCCATCCTCTTGATTGTCTGATTCCAAGCGAACGCCATTCTCTTTCGGTGAGGAGGTCAGAGTGTGGTATCCATCTAGCTATCTGCAACGGTAAGATAACATGCCTATAAATAAATCAATAGATTAAGTACCTGCCAAGCCGAGGCTCATTTTTCTCTTTCTGTCTTTGTTTCTTTCTTATTACCTGTATTCAAATTGGTTATCTAGCAAGTAATATGTACACGAATATTAAATGTAGGCCTGTGTATGCAATCGAAAAATAAAAAATTAAACATACCAAAGTAATAAGGTGAATATACAATAGAATTTCCATGGGCACGTATGTCTTCTTTCATTTCAATTTCTTGTTGTTTCTTTTTTTCTTCTTCGATTCTTTTGTCTTCCTCTATTCGCATTGAAATTCCTCGTTTTTGTCGATTTCGCAAATCAGCATTGGTAGGTTCATTCCGTTTAGATTCTGCAAGCAATCGTTGCCCTCGGGCAGTGTATGGAAATAAATCTTCTGGTCTTTTTTGCTGTAATCCAAATGAATTCATTGTTTTCTTTTGTATTGGATGAGCATCGTTGGTCGTATCGCTTAATCGTCGTTTACGCTCTATTGAGACACCTGATTGTGCTGAATTTTGTTGATTATCCATATCGCGTTGTGATTAAAGCAAATAATAATAGTAATAGTAATAGTAATAATAATAAATAGAAAGAAAAAGAGTTGTCAAAGATATAGATGTGTAACTCTCCATTTTTCTGTGACGTAATATATTTCGACAGACAATGAACATTGGACATCCTGCTGCAATTATGTTTAAAACACCGCGATATATCTAATTTTATAAATTTTTGTATTGAATTGAACCTTCTTTATAAGTTTTTTTTTAATGTTGTGCTAAAATTTATTGTGTTGAATATATACAATATATATAAAGAAATTTATTCTTTTCTTTTGATAGAATTTATTTTTCTTGAGATAAAAGCCCTTTATAAAAGTATTGATATTATTTTATGTACTATATAGCTCATGTAGGAAACAAGGCCATTATTGAATGTGTGCTAAATGGCAATTAAATATTGGTTATTACACGTATATATGCAGTACACCTTCATTTTACATATAAGAACTCCAAGAATAAATTCCAAGACTTGTTATACCTATATGTTAAGCAAACTATGGCAGGATGGGAAACAATATGCAAGCGTTTTATCTACAACATACAAGCAATTCAATATTTAAAGCTAATATTAATAGTAGTGACGTGTATGTAAGCAAGGCATATTTTCCATCACATAAACTTATAAATGGTTCTATCAATGGTTTCTGATTTCAGGCTGATTGAAATAGAACTTGACTAGTAATACCCTTTATATCTGCTGTGTGTGTGTATTTAATGGGTTCAGATACGCTCTTTCTAGCCTATAACCACAGTTAACTTCCGTTAAATCGGCTTATACTCGGTGATGTAATCTGGCTGGTTATTCAATTGCTATCCTCCAACCCCTCTTAAACTACTATTTCTCGACTATCTATACTAGTCACAACCAAGCTCTCCTCTAAGACTGCCGATCTATTTCTTCTTCTTCTTCCCTTTCTACAAAGAGAAAAAAAAGTAAATATTTTCTCCATATTTTATCTTTTTTTTTTCTTTTTCTTTTTCTTCTCTTAATATTTCTTACTGCTACAAAATTGCTGCTATTTACTGCTCGTGTTAACACGGAAAAGAATGCCTTTTGACATACAAGAGCCACTGGCCTCGTACAAAGGTGTCTCCTCTGAAAACGACGCATCATCTTATACTCGCTTTGCTGAACCAGTTTCCCGGCTTTCTAGACAGTCGTTCAGGTTTATCGACGAAAGAGATGATCGGTTACCTTTGCCTCCTTTTGAGTCTGATCATTCAGGATCAGTATCTTTAGAAAGATATAGTCTTCATGATACAGCCGCACCACGGATAGACAAACAAGATTCAGAAAAAGGCCACCCAACATTATCAACATCTTACAAAACACAACCCCAGGATGTGGAAAACGGGGTCCAAAACACGAAGAATCCCGATTCATTCATCAATTCTGTTAAACGGTTTCCGAGCAAGCTTTTTCGAAAAGTTAGTGTAGCTCACCATCCAACTTCACTTCAACGCAACCACACCGCCCCGACTTCGACTAGCGCTGGACATTATAAGCACACTATTTATCCCATAGGACTTGTACCCAAATACAGCCACAAACAACAGGAGTGTTTCAATGATAAAGGCGAGCCATGTTTTCATGATTGCAATGACGAGATTGATAACAAATATCAAATATTCTCCAATGCATCACTAACTGATAAACAATGTGCTGATCGTACTGGCTGCACTACCACAAATAATAACGTACAATTACCATTAAGCAATTCGCACTCTTTTCCAGATTCTATCACAATAGCCGAAACCCCAGACTACTTCCAATCATCATCTCCTCTCTGTAGATCACCCACACGTAAATGGATCAGTGCTATACTTGTCGTGACTCTTGGATCCCTTATAGCTTTAGCCTTTGTAATGATTGGGCTCGGAAAGGCACTAGGGTCTAACAATACAGCCATTCCCCAAAAGGCGGAGAACCAGCATACTACTAGCGGGCTGTCCAAGGTCGTCTCTGGTTCAGAGCATACATTTTCAAGTCTCACCGTATCAAGTCCATCCCAAATCATCAAAAGCACTGCTCATTTTACATATTCAAGCAAACCACAAGCTGACTAGACCAAGTCATTTTTCTCTCTCGTCACTTTTATCATTAACGTAAGCCAAGTTTAGGATTATACGCACGACTGTATAGTATCGTCTCTCCAAACAAAATAAAATCAAATTAAATAATACATGTACTTGGCAATTAATATCGGGTTGATCGTCGCAATCAAAATCAGCTTTAAAAAAAGGCTCATGATTATAGCTTTTGTTTTATTTAAATTTCTATAAAATAAAACCACCAGAATAATAACCAGCAGAATATATACTTCTTTATCTACTTTTAAAATACTTAAAAAAAGTTGAAAATTATTAGCTGATGTGTACCCTGAAGGAACAAATCAAAAGTCATTGGTCTAACTTGCAATGACAGCTTTACATTAGAGTTGAAAGGTGTCACTTCAAATAAACCTTCTTTGTTATTATCGTTTTCAACTGGTTGCTTATATATTTGCTCTATATAGATGACTTTCAAAAGATACGGCGAAAAAAAAAAGAAAAGTCTTCTGCAGTTATAAATATTGAAGTCAATGATTTCTTTTATTTTTTGAGATTAGAAATGTCAGATGGGAGACCATATAAACTTTTTTGCGATTTTGAAACACTATTCTTTTCTGACAGCATTATATTCGTATAAATACATTTTATATGCTTTCCCTTCAATATCTATATTAAGGAGCTACCAATTCAAGCAATATAAGGAAGCTTAAATAGAGTGTTGGTCAAATATATAAAGCAGATACCAAAACCCAGTACGACAGCGCCCAAACAAAGGGGGAAAGAAGCCAGCACAAAAAGATGGCTTAGAAGATGAAAACAATCAAGGACAGTCGGCACAAGATATCAATATAGCCATGTTGCATGTTGTTAATGTGGTAATGCAGGTCACACTACTGCTTGTTCAAAGTAATTCCTAAACTATAAGCCTGCATTGGATGAGGCTCTCGCAAGTCTTCTCGCTTTAAATCATGGAAGACATACCAGAAAACTCTATTTGGATTCAGTCCTCAAAGTGGAATACAAAGATACGCTCAAAGAAAAGGTCATTAACATTAGTTATCTCATCTAAAATGTAATCTTCCGTGTCAAAATTTCGGCAAATATCCATATTTCTAAGAGTGAGTTGAACAACCCAACTACGATTACGTAGCAGAACTTCTAGTACTCGATCTGCTGGATGGTTTTAGGTGTGCCGGTTACTGAAGACAATTTGTCTCTAGTGGTTTGGTACTTGCCTTTGCCCAAATGAAGGAAAGCCTTCCTAATATTGGCTATGCACTCAAATATCATCCTATTATAGACTATAGAAATGCTCTCTCAGCCGCATGTAAAACCATTACAGCCCCATATCTCGAAAATATCGTCGAGCATTTTCGACAAAGAGCTATATATTATTTAAAATTTAACCTTAGACAAATACATGAAGTAAATATAAAGTAGATGCCGAAAAGTTAATTAAATAATGCTAATGGCTATTAGGATAAAAGTATTTCAAGTCAACGATAATCAATAGAGTGGTTGAAGACTACTGCTGAGACTATTTGGTCGGAGGCTCACCTATTTGGTTTGACAGTGGTGCCCTGCCTGATATTGACAACAAAGCCCGAATACTCAAAATTTGTATCACTCTCGGAGAAGATGATTGTAACTTCTACTATGGTCAATATATCTTCTTCTCCTGACAGTTTTATATCTATTTTGGGCTTTATCCTTACCTATGTTGAGCGAATCCGCAACAAATAGAATGACAGCAGCTAAATAAACTGCCATGCATGTTTGTACTCACTTTACAGCCTCATATGCATTGACACCATATTACTAGCAATAGCAAATATATACAGCTATTGACGAATGTAAAATTTAGCAGCAATTATAAAGTAAATGTTAAACATCTCGGTACCGTTGTGGATTTTCTAAAAATCAAGTATGGAAAGTAAGAAGTTATTAAAAGGATATAGCTGGAAATTCAGCAATTATTAAGCATTACTCACTTGCTCTTAGTACGGAATAATTTTTTGACCTGGATAACAAATTTGGTTTGTTCGGCTTCAATATACAAACCGATGGACACGGTATTTTTTCAGCTTTGCTAGAAGAAATTTATATACATATATCAGCGGGTAGAATCGAACCTACTCGCTTTAAAAGACTTTGATCAAGAAGTTGACCAGCGTATTCTATCTATTGCTGTTGATCTTGGTCGGTGCCATGACTTTACAGCGACAATAAGACATTCTAACAAAGACATTCATATTTGTACAATATCTTATAGGCATGCTTACTTTCTTTAAAGAAAAATATATACTTCGTAGACTGTGAATAATCTTCAATCAAACTCTTTTATTTGTAAGTTATATTTCGGAAACCTCGGTGTACTTTAGGCTGTTTACCCCATCCTAGGTGTCAATATAATTTGGAGTATAAATAATCAAGAAATCATATTATCGTTCCGAGTAAGAATTATCGGTGTAGTGTCTTAATGTAGGATAATATACTGTATCTGTACTTGTTACGATCACATACTAGGTTTTTTTAGGTGAGGTTTGTCAGCTTTGCTTTATTTGTAACAAAGCTGTTGCTATAAAACAGTGTAACATTTATATATGTTTATATATTTGTATCAAAATATGTCCTAGTTTAGTGCATTTGACCCGGTTTTCTTTTATGTTGCTCAATGAGTAGTCTGGCTTCTTGTCCTTCATCTGTGTTTGGGGTAGTTTCATAGTCGTGTTCTTCAAAATCCTCAAACTGTTTCACCAGTCCATATTTTCCCCAAAGAGCTTTAATACCAACATCCACTTGTTTTGTGGACAAAAACGTGTGGTTGTATGATAAGAACTCTTCTTCCATACATTGTCGCCATCGAGCTTCTTCTGTCACTGGTAACTCTGAATTTGACCAGTTAGCTGGAAACACGTGCTTATGTGTCAAAGGGTCTTGGTCAATGCTACTGTCCTCGTACATGCGTGTCAAGAATCGACATGACTCAGGCTGATAAGGCGGTTTGGCACGTTTCTGCTCTAGTAGACTCCAGTCTAGTCCGTTGAACCATGGATGTTCTTTTAATCTCTCGAACCCATCAGATCCGCACCCAAGCCGATGAAACGGCGACTTTTCCAGTAGCTTGTTGTCATACACACACGCACAAATAGATTTATATATTTAAATAGAGTTTTGATATCGGTGGATAAATGCCAACTCTATTTTATTTACCTTTGTGAGAACATCTAGACAATTGTCAGACACCACGCGATTTGCATGCTTAGGGAACGTAAGAGGATGATGAACAATAGATTCTGTCAGACTTTCGTGGGACGGACCATCAAAAGGTCGCTAGGGAGACTTCAGTAGAAGGACAACAAATCAAAAAGCAAAAACAAGAAGAAATATAAGACTGCAAACCTGCCTTTCCAAACAAGAGCTCATAGGCTACCACACCAAGACTCCACCAGTCAACAGATGTAGAATATCCTTTCTTTGATAATATTTCTGGGGCCATGTAAGCAGGCGAACCAGCCACCGACCACTGTAGAGGACTGTATTGATCAAATCGAGTTGCAATATTGAAATCACTCAAATGTGCATGTCCGTGTTGATCGAGCAATATGTTCTCTGGCTTAACATCTCTTCAAAACATGTGTAGCTTTAACAAAAAGTAGAAAAGAAAAAAAAAGTTACATAATAATTAATTATTGCTTTTACCTGTGGGCAATACGTTGTTGGTGAAGATAGTCCAGGCAAAGGGCGATCTCTGCGACCTGGAAGCGGACTTCCAACTCCGAAAGTGTTCCAATATTTTCCAACAAAAAACGAAGGTCTCCGCCAGGCATTAGGTCGAGGGCCATGAAGAGATTCTCATCATCTTGAAATGCATAGTGCATGTTGACTACCAGAGAATAGTTTATGTTTTCGAGCATATGCCGTTCTGCGATCACATGCTTTACGGCCTTTTTGTGGATACATGTGTCTTTTCTAATGTACTTTAACGCATAGTACCGTTTGGTCCTCTTGTGCTGGATCATACGGACCTTTCCGAAAGCTCCTTTTCCGATTGCTCGCAAGAGATGAAAGTGATTCAAGTCGACTTCTGTGATTGCGTATTAATGACCCCGAGAGAAGCCATTTATCAAGAGCTACCTTCTCTAGCACGGCTTGATTGTTCATATTTACAGCATGTGGCTCCCATGGCGATGGTAATAGAGAGAAACAACAAAGAAGCAAGGCAGTCCCTCTTTTTTTGGCTCTTTCTATCTTTTATATGCGTGCGTGTTTTTGCTCTACTAACCAGCCAACTTTATCTTTGCCAAATTACTGAGACAAGCAAAGCATAAGAAATCAAAAGTGCCCAAGATAACTAATAACTTGATAATCAAGTTTATCTTTGAATTCATCGACAAGGACTACTCGACCCAAAATAATAAAAACTCCTCTCCTTCTTTTTTTATATAAAACTTCATAAATATATATCCAAAAGGCTCATTATGTGTATTGGTTAATCTTTATTTTTTTATACACGCATATAAAAAAAAACTCCATAAAAAAAGCATTAAAGTATTTCTTAGTTTCTACGGAACGTCCTTCCACTATATAATATCGTCAGCAAGTTCATTCAATTCTCAACTTCTTCTTCCTCTTCTAATAATAATAACAATCTTACCTTGCTGTCCTCTTTTCGGCAGGGGCAATTTCTGGTTTAGCACGATTCAAGACTCTCAGGAAATCACTCACGCGAGCACGCATACGAGTGTGCATATAAGCCTTTGAGCATTTAATGTGATAATGAAGATAGTCACGGAAGATTTGGACACGCGAGATTGTCTCCTCACGAACTTCTCTGTTGAAGTGACGAGGGAAAAGAACTATTGATATATATATATATATAAAAATATAAATAAACTATATTTACAACAAAATTATATTAAACCTTACCAAATGTCACATAGCTCATGTCTTCATCAGGCTGCAAATTTAAGTCACGCAATTCCATTGGGGGCTCACGCGTTGCATATAGTACCTGAGGTGCATTCTGAAGAGCAGGACGACGTCTGGCATCCACAAATTCCTATTTTCATGCATCAATTCAACCCAATCAATCCTTTTCTTCACTTTGCTTTTTTTTTTACTTTAAACGCATTTATACACATGTGTGTGTGCGGATATTACCTGGAGAAAAACTTTTCCAAAGACCTTATCAGTCTCATCCTTAAATTTAGTGGTAAAGAACACAGTGACTCGGTCTGAATTGGACTTGACATAGATAGCTTCTTCTTCACGGTAATGTACAGCCATTAATTCTGATTTCGGGTTTGGCTTTGACTCGTCCTCGAATTGTTCTTGTTCAGCAAAGGCCCGTTCAAAAGGAGCTGCCAGTAAGTTACGCTTAAGAAGAGATATCTTTTGGATGAGTTCTGTTCTGGTTTCTAAATAAATAGGATAATACTTAGCAAAACAATACTTCTTCCTAACTATTCTGGTATATATATATATATATATACCCTTCCTTCATCTCTCCCTCTCCCTTTCTCTCTCTTTGTGTGTGTGTGTGTATGTGTTTAAATTATTAACCTTCGTCTGCTGGAACCTTTTCGAGGTCAATCACAAGCGTGGTATCAAAGCCGTTTTCGGGGCTGGCAAGGTATTCTGAATACTCCCGCTTAAGGACTTCTTGGGCGCCATAGGCAACAAGTTCGTTGAAACACTTCCAGCGAAGAGAGATGTGAAGGACAGTCTTGCTGTCGGGTGTTGCGAGATGATAAATGACGCCATCAAAATCAACAATTGTCATGTCAAGGGCATCGAGTTTTTCTCTAAATCGGAAGTTTTAGTAAAATGTTTAACACATTCACTCGGACTTACCCCTTTAGTCTAGATTCAAGGCAATCCTTGATGATAACATTGTGATAGTCGAGTAAAATCATCACGCTTCTCTTTTTTTTCTTATAGAATCAACGCTTGCTTTACAGGCTGGGACGTAAAAGGCTACACGGAGCCTCAATATACTCCAATCCGTCATCACTGCATATGACGTAGAAAGTCGGATATTGTATTCCAAAAGGACATCCTTCAAAACTTGAGAGGTTCACCGTAACGAGCACAAAGAACAAGTTACACAAACCACTTTACTTAAATATCGCTTTTTAGATATTTGGCAAATTTGTATGCTTTTTAGATAAGCACAGCTTGTACTTGAAAGTAAGTTTTGAATTCAAAAAAAAAGACCTTTTATCTATATATTTTTATATCAGTAGATTGTTATGACATATACTTAATCTATTGTCTATAATCTGACGAGTGTTGATATACTGCCTGTGATTACGAAGTATAGACTTCTTTATCTGAGCACGGAAAGCTATTTTGATGTTGCCTGAAATGACCATAAACTTATTGTGTTACTTATTAAACTAAAAAGATACAATTTCTGTAATAGCTTCTTTGTGCCTTTTGTTTATAAGAAAATGACTTATTCAGAGAATGATGGTGACAGGTACCCTTGTCCCAAATATATATATCCTTATTCATTCAAAATTTAATCATCTATTGGGGTCAGGACGTCTTTCTTTAACATCATTTTTCGGATAAGCTGGTCTTATTACAAAGACATGAAGAAGCTTTTATGAAATTCCTAATCATTCAGCTCAACAAGCATACAACGAATATATGATCATTTCCGGCGGCTCTAAAGAAGCTCTAAAAAATCAGGCAAAAAAGTCTATACTTCACAGCGACGTTCAACAATATAGAAAATCAAAAAGAGAATCTATAGTGATTGTGAGGAAGAATGAACGAGTCTACATATACTCTGATAGAAAAGACTTTATCCCAAAAATGTGCCTTATTTTTTTTTTTCAAATTGTGTGACATATTGATACGAATCAAAATAAATTAAAATTACTATAGTTACCTGTACGGATGTGTGAAAGAATTATATCAATCACACATTTTAAATCGAAGGAAGATTATACTTGTGGTTGTGGCCGCTGGAATGAGGGATTTCGTTGGTTCCCGTTTTGTGCAGCGAACATATTGGTAAGCGAGCTCTGTTTAATAGCCGGAATTGCTTGATTGAAATCCATTAGTTTGATAAAAACAAAGTTTATTCTTTTCAAACGGTTATTCTGATTGGCGACTGTAACATAGATTAGCTTAGACAAAGTGGACATTTCTTCAGGCATCTTACCTATATGTCTAAATGTCTCAAAGAGATAAACTAATTTAAGTACAATGGTCGGATTGTTATTGTTTCTGCTGCTACTGCTGCTTGTTTGCTTGCTTTTAGCAGATCTTTGGAAAGCGGTTAGATTTTTGAATTTTGTATTTTTAGTTCTGCACAAGTGCTCAGATTCATTAAGAACATCTTCAGCGGTTATATTTCGGAAAACATTATATATGGTGTATATTACCCACACCGAGGATTGAATACTAGTAAAAAAAAAGATGGTCAAGTTATGCTTATTTTATAAAAGAGCATTTGAATTTTTCGATGATCCAAATGCTCCTTCTTTACTGTAATTTATATTTATTAGGAAACAGATTAACATTCTTATTGTTTCTTTTCCTTTTTTTTTTAACTCGAGATATAAAAGCATAGCCTTGGAAAATATCATTCAGATTTTGTATTATTGGTTGCAAGAACCGTTTCTTCTTATTCTGTGTATTTAGTCACACCTGTATTATCTGGCTAATAGCTATTTTACAAAATATCTTTACCAGGTGATTTATAGCTTAAACCAAAATAATATTTTGCTTTTAATATTAAATTAGTTATGCTCAAGAAAGGAAATATGTCTATATTCTATTGTTAAAGGATGTGTATGATATGTCAACAATAATATATCTCGTATGACACCCACCGACCCACTCACTCACTCACTCACTCACTCACTCACTCACATATATGCGTATGTACACACATATAATTCTTATATCCCTACGGGAAAAAAACTGCGTGTTTAGGGGTCTATTTTTTTAATGTGCTCCGGGGTGGGCATAGATATGTATTTTGCAAAAAATCTCCAACTAAAATCGCCTTTTTTTATCATAGTGTAATTAATAATAAAATGAATAAGATTTACATAATATTTATTACTTGCCTTTTTGTTTGAATTAACATTCAATAAGATTCTTTTTTTTGGACCGTATAGTCTTCTAAAGAATTTATTTTCATAAAAAAGGTGGGGTCCACATCTACCAGTGGTGTTGCTCTTTTTTTTTTTAAAAAAAATAAGCTTTTCAACTAATTAGTATTTGGATATTATCTATAGAAAAGGACAACTTACATACGATGCAATACTTTGAATTTTGTCAAATAAACATACTGTCTTACTATAAGAGAGATAATATGATGCTTAAAGGCAACTTCTAATAAGAAGGATAAGAAAAAACCTCGGCGAACTGAGCAAATAAAGAAGGGAAACTAAGGTAGGCTTACAAGCTAGGCTGCAGGAGGAAGCTATTTACATTCTAGGCAACCTATGCTTTTGCATATGTGTACGGGTATAAGTTTGCTCTATCGTATATCAATGGGATCGGGGAATTACTATACACTATGGTTTAGTTGAGGCTATTAAAAGTTGTTAATATAATATCTCTCGGGAATTCAGCAGCTTGACACACCTCCCCTTGCAAAATTTGCTTCCACAATGACAGGGTATCTTTTCTTGTTCTATGGGAAACTTGTAGTCATAGGTAATCTCTTCACCGGGAACAATATCCCGGCTAGAATAAATAACAATTCGCTTCTGTTTGTCGATTGTAACAATCTTGGCGACACAGTTAGGCTATCATAATAAATACTGTAAGAACAAGAATGACGGTATATAATATGAGAAAACATTCGGGCAACTTACAGCACAGCAGTGATTAATAAATCTAGCCACGTTTCCTCTTTTGGTAGCATCAATTACTCGGTCATTGTCTACGCGGAAAAGATAACTGCTGCCAATTCCAGTACGTTCATACTCTTTTTCACGTTTTTCAGCCACTTGATGCCGAATAACCTCCCCAACATATTCGATGACAATATCATTGGCATCAATAGGCTCTTCTGCAAATAGCCCCCACGCGTGAATTGGGGACTTAGCAAACCTAAGCTGCTTTCTACGATTCTTGAGATGATTTATCTTAATTGTGTCTGATTCACCCGCAGCTTTGTTCTTGGTTGATTTATCCACTGCCGAACGTCGGTTGGCTAACCGATTGGCTCGTGCATTTGCCTTTGCCTCTGCTGCAGTTGTGTCAGAAACAATTGGTTCCTGAAGTAGCCCGGAAGACCTTTCATATGCTGTCAAAGGTTTGTACACCCGGGAACGAGAGCAAGTAGTCCCGTCAGGGTATTCAATTCCCTCGACTATCAATAATTATAAATCAATATATCGGATTATACATCTAATTCAAAGATCACTCCTTATTTTTCTATTACCACCAGATTCTGGAAAAATCTTTCCTGTCTTTTCTTCGACTAAAGCTCGTAATACATAAGTGTAGTCTTCAGCATCCTCAACCTCTCCAAATGGGTTCCAATCCCACGTTTCTTCTTCTGTCATATCCTCGTGTACCACACTATTCCACAAAATATCATCTTCTTCGACATCATCATCTTTCATCAGCTCTATCTCCAACTCTTTTTCAGCTCGTGCTTCGTCTTCTTCTGTTGCTATCTCTTTAGAGCTCTGATTTGAAGTTACGGAAACAGTCTGAAGATCTATTTTTGGTTTTTTTTCTGATTTGTTGATTGACTTTTTTGCATACTTTCTATTGTCATCGGACTTGTTAGATATTTTTTGACGCTTCATTGTTAACGGTTCTTCAGTGTATTCATCGTCTTCACTTGTAGGTGATCGTCGTTTCTTTATCTTGGTGGGACCATTCGAGGATTTCTCTACAACAGCTTTCTCTGTTATTTGAAGCTCTATGGCTTGTGCAAGAGTATCCAATCCATTAGTTGCCCTTGTGCTGTCATCACGGGTAGTTTCAGTCGTAACATGTTTTGCCTTTTTTGTCGTTCGCCGAGAGTTTTGGTGAATTACATTAAACTTGACTGGGTGAGAAAACGAAGGTGGTCGATGACTACCAAACAGTTTATTCAGAAAATCTTCAGTATTCTGTTTACGTGTTCTCTGTGCTTTTGCGGACTCCTTGCGATCTCCCCGATATACACCGGACTTGAACTTTGGTCCAGCTGCCGAATGTACAGTTGAATTTGTTCTCATCAAGGAAACCAGAGGAGGCAAGGTTCCCACTTGGGAAGGCCCGCCGATCATTGGCAATTCAATGATCTCTTGCACTGGAGTTTTATTATCAGACTGGTAATATTGGGACACGCTTGGTGACTTCAATGTCTGTCAGATTGTCAAAGTCAGTTTTACAAATAATAATAATAGTAAAATAAGGACCTAAATACGAATTAGGCAAGATAAAACTTGCCTTGTGAAGCGATTGATCAACTTTTGCCGGAGATGCTAAAGAATTCAGTTGGTAAATGAGAATACTATAATGATTAATAAACTCTTTCTTTTTTCCATTTTCCCCCCCATTTCTTCCTTTTATATTTCTCTTTGTGTGTGTCTTACTATTATTATTATTTGGCATAGTTGGTCGATCTTCCTCTCCTTCTTTCAAAACTTTTTTTCAGGATTATTTTGATTAATTCGCATCCACACCTCAGATCGCGTCTACTATTTGCTCGAATGAGTTTTTTTTTAAACTTACCGGGCATGCTTCCTTCTCGCTTTTTTGGAAGAAGCAATGTCAATTGCGCACAAGACAACCAATATTAGAGAAAAGGGGGCGTGTATGAAAAGGGCAAGTCACGTGAAAAACACGCTCGAGCCATGTATATTGCTTAATTCTTCTTTCTTACCTGCATAGCAAAATTTCAATAACCGCGTGACAAACGCGCGGCAACAGCACTTCCCCATATAAAAAGGTAAGTCGCGGTACTCAGGGTCGCTCATATTTCGTATGGACAGATTAAAAGTTCAAAAAAAGGGAAAAGGGGACAAAACGAAATCATCCTTAACTTAGCCAATTATATTAATTTATAACTGACCACACCTTTATTTTAAAAAAGTTCAAAATTAGTTCAAGTACATATTAAATAGAATTTTGGTTATAATGACTTGTCTGACATTAAATAAAAACTTTTTATTACGAGATTTTCTAGACCTCGCATTCTATGGCACATCGCTCCCATAAAAAATACTCTTTTAAATTCTAGTGGCAATGGAAGCAAACTAACCAATGAGAGTCGTTTGAAAAGAGAAAAATAGGGAGGTTTGTGCAATTTTCTTAACAGAATTAAAAAGGAAATTTTTTGCCTAAAAAGGAATAGTTTGTTTCATACTTCCAACAAATTTGTAAGCCCAATTTGGGCTTTACAAAGTGACTTCAGCCAATAATTGAAGGTTATTTTTAACTGCTAAACTAACGATATATAAAAGGAAGATGTAGAAGTAAAATATGTTAAAAAATATACTTTTAACAATGTAGATATTATATTAACATGACTTCTTTTATGTCATTCTTTAAAAACTATATATTTGGATTATATATATTACACACTCTATTACCGATTCTGCAATTAACAATATAGTTTATGTCAATTGATTGACCAAGCATTACCAGACTATCAACTTAACCATTAATACAGGTTAATGTTCGTTAGTTTAGCTGCATTCTATTTCCCAACCGTGATGTGGACCTCAATATGGAAATGAAACTTCAGAAAATTGGTAAGACATTTCTGTCCATATTAGTACATTGGAAAAGAGATTGGTAAAACAAAATTGCACAAACCTCCCTAATATTTTAAAACTCTAATCCAATAATACGACTTACATTTTTGCCCTTTCTTTTTTAGTTTGTGTGCACCATTTTTTTTTTGCATACTTGAAATTATCACTCGACACCTCTATTACGCGTACTCCCTTAATAGACAATTTCTTTCATAAGCTGAAAGTCATTTATACTCAGGTTCACATTCATCCAATATTCAGCTTCGTTCGATTTCATTCACCTTGAAGAAGAATTCATCAATTGATTGCAACTTTTTATTACGTCAATCCCGTAAGCATTACGACTTGTGTATTTTTTTTAGTCTTAAAGTATTTCGCCAACCCACATATTCACGGTGTTGGTAATATTAGCTGCATAAAGATAGAAGGAACCAATATACTTAGAGAGCTGATATATAATAATGAAATGAATAGTAACAAATAAAGGGTATATTTGCAAATTTGGCAAAGAATAATCCAATGTGTAAAAAAAAAGCTCTGAGAAAGCTTTGACCAAGGTGTGAACATATCGCCGCCATCCTCTCTACAAAGTAATACTAAACAAACCTAATCTGAGAGCTCTGCCAAATGAAGTCTCAACAAAAATGATTGTGTATAAGGACCGTTGAAAGACTTAGATGAATGCGTCTTTACTTCGATGAGAGACCGCGTAGAAGAACTTGGCAAAAAAAAATTGAAACTGAGGATAAAACAAATGAGCTGAAAAACAAGCTCCTAAATGTAAAGACTCTACCGGCAACAATAATAACGAACGCAGCACAACTTGCCAATTGTGACAGAAAGATAATGCGCTCACATATGGAGCACCGCCCTGGGCTAAAAAATGTTGATAAATGGAAGAAGTTCGTATCTCAAAACTTTGACAAAATAGCTGAGGCTGCCGTAGGTTCCGTGGTAAGATACACAGCTAAAGAATACTCTTCTGCCACTCCACCAAATGAACAGCCGTATGACGAAATGAGAACGTACACAGTCCAAATGAACAGCCTCTTCAGAACGGATTTTCCTCCTATTGCAAAGACATTTGTGTGTATTATATTAAAAGATTCCATGGCCACCTCGACAGACTTATACCCTTTGTTTTTCGGCACTCGTAAATATGATGATCAGTGAGCTGAGGACTATCGAAGTCTTCTTTGACAACAATGATAACAAGATTAAAAAAGTTCCTGGCTTCAATTTCGCCGAATTTTTGCCTTTTGTTGCAACTACCGAGCCATAACACACTATCCAGCCGTTGGACAAGAATTTAATTGACTCTAAGCGGTTTGATACTGACTTCAAGTGCCTCTTCAAAAGCCATCGCCTGCAATTTGTGCAAAGCTATGTTTTTGGTGCCCGTGGTGCTAAAGAAGTCAATTTAAACGCTCACCATGCGCAGAATAGTCTGTTTTGTGGTTTAAAAGAATCCGGTCTTGATAAACAGAGCTTCTGGCTTGAGAAAGTATCATAATAAGCCATGGCAATGACTCTTGAAACGTACCTGGTCAAATTCAAGAATAGGCGGGACAGCTAAAAGATAATCAACAAAATTTTGGACAAAGTGATACTAGTGCTACTTCGCCGCCATCTTACCCGCAATAGAGAAGCAAAGCTTATCTCGACCATAACAACAAAGAAACCACCTGGAAAAAGAATATGAGAAACCGTGGGCGTTATTTTGTTGTGAAGAAGTTGATACAAACAAAGGAAAAGGCAAACGGATCGGAAGGAGAAAAAAGTAGGAAGAACGAAGTTGGCAGAGGATGCCATTATCAGAGGAAGTTTAGTGAAGAATAATAAAGTAACCTTTTTACCTCATTAAAAACATTTTCTTATTTTATTATTTTTTTGACAACTGATTTCATCCACATACGCCTAATCATAAATATTATTTGACGCATCCTAACTAAATTACTGAGCGCAAATCTATTGTCTTGAGAACACTTTTTCTTAACAGTAGTGTATTGACCCTCGTTACCACGCCTCCAATTGGGAATATAACCTTTGCTAGCTAGTAGCCCGGCCATAAACGCTATTCAACTCGAGCGTCCTTCCTCATGGTAAACTTGTAATTAGTTACACCTGCTCCCTCAAGTACCCTGCGTGTCACTATCGACGATGTATAATTTTTATTTTATTGCCATATACGGTTTCAATCCTTATTGCTATCGGGACCCCATTTAAGAGCCATGTTATTTTACAGTCAAATATCATCTTCAGCTTCTTGTTTACTTTAAAAGCTGGTATCTATCTACTCAAAAAATAAGTATGATACTCTAATTTGCAAAGAAGTATTTTGAAATATGTTTATTTTATGTTTTTTCTAATTAATAAATCCAAAAGAAAGAGCAATTATTTAACATGTTTTTAAGCAGAAGTTAGCCTTTGGAGTATAGTATCTATTAAAACACCTAATTTGTATTTTAAAAATTTACCAAAAAGAAATTTAAGGTCTAATCGATTAGACACTCGGTAAGCATCTTCAAATTCATTAAAAAAAAAGCTACATTGAAAAATAGAACTCTGCTGAAATTACAGTTGAATTTTTTTATTTCATTTTTATTTTCAAGTTGAAAATATAGGGGTAAAATATCTGCAGTATGCGCCCAAGTACTTCCACTACTTGAAAAACATTGCATAAAGGAGGCCGAGAAACGATAACAACAACTGACATACTTTTAACCTATACTTAAAGAAAGAAAGACTTTAGTATTTGTGATCTTAAAGAATTTCCTATAAATAACATACCCTTGATATTGAATAAGCATGAAATAATACAAAGCTTTGTATTTGGTGCTTTTTTACACTATATTCATACTTTTATTTTGAATTTTCATACCTTTGATAGTCTGAATGATGCGAACATGCTTATGATCGAAATGAAATTTGATCAGTAATTGGCTCATCCTAGCTATAGGAGTACATATACATTGTCTCATGAACGTATCCTCTTGGAGCAGTTTATTATCCTTTGTTGCCACTTTTTCATTAAGGATTATAATTTGTGATAGCCAAGTACCCGGACGTAAAGACTATACAACTTGAAAGTTCCTTCTCGCAATAGTATCGTAATTAGTTATATTCCCTCTTGTAAGTACCCCGTGTGTCACCTTGTTAAAGGCTTGTACATTTCAAGGGTATATTTTTACCTTTGAAATACTCTGGCTTTAATATTTTGAAATTTAAATGATACATAATTACTATATATATATAAAAGGCCTCTTTGTGTAAATAAAACTATCAAGCTTGTATTTAGACTTGAAATAATTTTAGATATGTGCAGAAAGACTTTGGTAATCTTATTATTATATAATCTAAGTATATATATTTATTGAGTATATCTAACAAATACGATTGTATAGCCTTAAGTGTGTGTACATATATATTAATTTATGAATTATGTATATTAACAAATAGAAAATGATCAAGATAAAATTTACGATGTATAATGTATTTGCGTTAGAGGCCCTCTTTTTTTGTTTCAGTAATCATGCTATGGGTAACAAGCGTTGATTATCCAATCACACGGAATTCAATCAAGACGTTGGTAAAACAGCAAGCACAATAGACAGATATCATCCACCAGCCGAGTCCTCTTGTTACACGACAGCCATTGAAACTTGTTACTATTATAGTACTCAATAAAACTACCACCAAACCACCGGCAGATATTAAGATGGTAGGTGAAATGTCTAGCGGGTAAGCTTTTCCGCTTTTCAAGATCTGATAAGTAGAAGAAATGCCGACTCCCAGAACTGTGTCTGAAAGAATATAATGTGTTAATTATACAGTAACAATGGGTATTTCTTCTTTTTATAAATGATACAAAGCTTACTTAGTAAAGGACCTGCATAACAGGCAGATATAGCCATGGTTGGAAATCCCATCTGTCATATTCATTAATTTATATATTATCTATCAATTTTGTCAAATTAACATACCTCAGCAATAGCTGTATTGGCAACAAGATCTCCCATGCTATTTCCCTTGATATATTCCCGGGTTAGTCTAAGCTATATAAGTATGGGAATTACAGATCATACTTACTAGAGCAAATATAGTCAACCCCATAATAGCATCGCTGATGTGAAAAATTATTCCAAGAGCCTAATATTGATACAATTATCTTTCTTCCTTTGCTTCATCCTGGCAACTTCAGATTAAATATATTATTTTTTATTTATTTACCTGTAGCATGCTAACCATCTCGTTTACTAAAAGAAAAACCCAGTGTAGAGCAACAATGAATCCGGGAATAGATAGCAGCCAATTCCATGATGGAGGTTGGCTAGGGTTTGTATTAACGAGCACAATTATAGATAAAATACACCCTAAGACTGTTCCCCACATAATGTGAGGGTATGTAACCCATCCATTTCCTTTTTGCATAGCAGAAAAAGAAACACGTTTAGTCATTGTTTAAGCAAGTTAATTTATCCTACCTGCCATAATAGCTGTGATAAATGTAGTTGATGTAATGGCTTGAAGTGCTAGTAGCCATCGGCACCATGGAATTTGTTGTAATTCAGGTTCAGGTTCTTGGACTCTGTCAACGTAACTAGGACCGAAATTATTGACGGAAAGATACGTTTTTTTGTTGATGTTTATCTCGGGAGATGGAGACCTATAAAGGGTAGGGGTACTGGCTTTGTTTCGAGCTGTATCATACTCTACTACTGGAAGAGTAATTGTGAATAATAGTACGAGGGGTGCTGCAGCTAGGGAGCTGATTTTTGCAAATCGAGTTTTACTTTCCCAAAATTGTAGGGTAGGGAATAGTGTTTTCTGAACACTTTGACAGGCAGATATGACGGATTCAGAGGCCAGGGCATAATTAAAATACTCCTCCCGAACTTTCTTACAGGAACTTATTTGATCTGAAGATGATACATTGACAACTTTTACATGAATTGGAATAGAGGGCCATTCATTCTCTGATGAATTTGGTGATGGCATAGTACCTAGAGTAGGCGATATACTTGCGAATGGACTTGGTAGACTAAGTCCATGCGTTGATCTTTTGTAGATGTCGATGTATTGGTGGTGCAAAGATCTTTCGCTTTCCAGGGGTTGTGGAGGATCAAGACGAATTTCTGGTACACATTGTGTGGGTATGCTCATATCTTCATTGAGTCTAGTCTCTTTATCGTAATCCCTACTAGTAGGCTGTGCAGGAGCTAGATTCTGGGAGATATAACTGAAATAGTCATTATGATGTGGTAAATGAACATCGGGCATATTTAGACAGGAATCTGGTGCTGATATGTTTCTAGAGGGGCTCATATCCACGGATATACGCCATTCAGGCACTCGTGGCGATCGTTGTGGCGATGATGACCTGAGTGAACCTTCTGGAGAATTAAATAAATTGATTGTATTTATACTGCTCACACGTCTTAAAGATGCAATTTGTTCATGAAACTAAGGGAGATATTAATAAGCAAAAAATTGTAAAAAAAAATACAATCATACAATCATACAATCATACCTCAATAGCGTTGAATAATGAGGAACGAATACCAACACGAGGTGCCATTGCTCGTGACGATGATTGGCTAGAGAAAGATCCACTATTACTAGCTGCCCTTGAAATAGGTAGTGGTATATAAGAAGCCTCAGGTTGATCAAAAGGGAGTGGAGAGATTGGCTTGATAATCGAGCCCAGGGGTGGGTCGTGATCTGATGTGTTACAGGTGACCAGAAATCCGTGGTCTGGTATGTGCAGGCGAGGTGGTTTATGCTTTCGCTTTGTACGCCTGTTTTGAAAAATCTTTGGCTCTTCATTATTGGTATTAAGCAATGGACTATCTTCGGAGGGGTTTTTTAAAGTAGCTGTTGCAGATGAATGGTAGGTGCTGAGAAAGACAACAAGCACATATGTAACATAATATAATATAAGGGCCAGACCATGATACCATTCTATCCTCTCTATATAAACTACCCAGCCAAGTATAAGTGTTGCGCCGGCCAGAAATGGAGCATCTCGCATAAAGGTAATACGTTTTGACTTGAAGGGTCTTATAATACCCACTGATCCTGACACCACTGCCACAATGAAGAATGCGGCGCCAATAAGCTCACCGATAGCCAGTGACCCTGAACCGGAGTTCATTGCGCTACAGTTCCGTGCTACTTTAATATATGGATATTTCCATACTACCAAGCTTACCTGAACGTACTGAACAAATCAGAGCTTCCGTTACCGAACGCTAGGATAGTTACACCAGCCTAATGATTAATAGACGCGAGCTCAGTAACGTGTCACAAGATCGCGCATCCTTTGCTACATATGCCCTACCAAGCTCTCCGACAGCTGCAGTTTGGCGGAAATCGACTGCAGATTTGGACCTATCAAGAACAACACAAACAATTAGAACAGTCCAGTATTACTTTATATGTGCTTACAAAAAAAATCAGCAGAGGCCACACTAACAGCTCCAAAGAGGAGTAGTAAGCCAGAGAACTAATTAAGAAATAAACAGGTTATTTAATCTTGTAGAGTATACAAGAGTGATATTTAAAAAAGGGGAATTTTAGGGATAAAATTACCAAGGTGATCAACACTAATGGTCTCCAGACCGATGTACAGTAGTAAAATCTCAGATAGAATCCACTTAATCCCTTGCACGCGTCTTTTACAAAACTACATTGATTGACATGAGACTCAATGTCGATGCACTGGAATGGCAATTAGTAAAGTAAAAATAAGTGAAATGAGTATAGATCTCGGTAAGAAATTACAAAAGAGAGTGACTGAAAATACTATCAAATGTAATATAAAACATACAGCTTTCTGGCGATGATTGTGGGCTTCTAAATCTATTTCTTGACTATTAACTAGAATAACTAGTGAAAGAATGATTATTAGAAGGGCATACGTCTTTAGCATAGCCAATATAGTAAATTAAACAAGAAAAGGAAAGAGAAAGAGAGTAAGAAAGGTTTGTTGGGAGACATTCCCCTTGCATGAACAACTCTCTATTAGATCTAAACCCCATGAGCAGTGACTGTTACTATTGTGGTCCTGTCCTGTATGTTCCTCATCATGGTGGTATATTTCGCTACGGTAACCCGCATATGTACCTTATTCTCTTTGCTCTAATTTGCTTTAGTCATTTGATACAACTTTGGTGAATCTATTATCTGTGTACAATTGGTGCTTAACCCATATTTTATGGTTACATACCAATCACCATCTGGTCAGCAGCTTGTGGATACTGACTATGTACACATGCTTTGTTTACATCTGTATCCTCAAGTCCAACTCGGGACTAGACATTGGTGACATATTTGAGGCGTCTGCCGTTGGAACTGGTATATTCGTTCTGAAATCTATGATCAAATACAATTATGGTCATCTATATTGATCTTTATTCAGCCACTCGAGATACTCAAAATATGATTATGAATAAGAAGCAAGGCTCATTCTCAGGCTCAGTGTATGGCTCGGGTTCCTGTTCTATGTGATAGCTTGGCTTTCAATATAAAGTGCACAAAACAAAACTTGGGGCTTATCGGATCGAGAGATATTTTGGTGAAATTTGGAGTAGTGTCGTACATTGTAAACTCCTAACCTAATAAGCTATTTCCAAATGCCGGTATTTTATTTATTAGTACATTTATATAAAATCCAGATTGGGGCAAAATGAGTTGATGTTGGAATTTATATTAGACACAAGTAAATCATTCCCGGCAGTATTTGAGATTTTCATATAAACCCTACTGCAGAAGTGTCATTTTTAAACGAGCGTGAGTTTATTTAATATCAGTTGGTATGTCTTGAACCTATCCCATGCTCCTACTATTTGCAGAAACTTGCTTGAAAATGTTTGTGGGTATAGTTTAATCCAGATTTTCCTTTTATCTGTGCCTTTAAAAGTATAGATTAGCCCGTATCAGACATTTTTTTGGGCTTGTAGCTTAAAACAATGGAAACAGCAGTATCTTTGGGCTCCAATTTTGTGTCGATATTAGCGACCTTCGGGGTCCTATTTTTACACTTAAAAAAGAAATTGCCCGCCGAAAAAGAAAAGGCTCCTCCCAACTTTCAAAAAAAAAGTGTAAAAAAAATTAATTTTTTTCACAATTTGTGTAAAAATTTTCTCGTTTTACACTTTTTTTACACTTTCCTTTAGCCAATCATTGTTTGCTATTTTCTCTTGCAAAACTCAGTATGCTAAAATAAAAAGTGCTTGCATGACAGAGATTTAAAATACACGCATGAATACAAATGTAAGACTAAATATATGCTGGTTTTTTATAGCTGTTCTTCTCATTATTTCTTATTATTGTCTCTTAAAATGAATATCGAGCAATACAATCCATCAATACCATCCCAATCTCTAAAAAACACTTCTAAAAAGGTGAAGAAGTATGGGCATAACTCCCGAAAGAGAGACGAGGCTTTAGTAGAAGCCCTCATTTATGCCCATCCCTTCAACAAGAAGCCCGGGAAAAAAGACGAGCTTTGGGAGAAGGTCCGAACGATTGTGAACAAGGTGGATGAGCATCTTGAGAGTCTTTCTCCTACCGCAATCAAGAACCGGCGCGAGTATCTTCTTAAGATATACAAGCAGAAGGAGAATGAAGACAATAATGCACGTGGCAACAACGACTTGTACCCTGAGCTCGAAAGGCTACTTGCTGAGCTTGTTGCACTGGTAATACAAATATAGAATTATATGTACTATTTAAATGTCTTTCTTTCATAAGCTTTGTTTATAAAGGGGGACGATTTGAACGAAGAGAAGGAAGATGAGAAGAAGGTGAAGGATGAAGAAGTGGCCGAGAAAGAAAGATGGGACGAGTTGATAAAAGACCGGGCAACAAGATCGGTCGAACTTCTCTGTCAAGGTCCTTCTTCTTCCAAGAAAAGAAGAATCGAGGATGACAGAGAGAGTAGAGAGGGTAGCCGTAGCCCGAAAAGAGTGCAGCAAGATGCAGAAAATGCAAACGCATACTTCGTCTTGAAAGATTTCAAGGATGAAATCAAGGATGTGGTTGACGTCGATACCGACTACGAGATGATCGGAACGATGCGAAGGATGGAGGAAAAGATATCCTCTCTTGCTGATAGCAATGAGAGGATTGTTGAGGAGGTTAAAGGTACCCGAGAGGCGATCTTAGACTTTAAAGATGTGCTCTGCAGATTCCTCACTGCAATTGCCCCTCCACCTTTGCAGTAATTTTTTTTTCAAATAAAAGAGATTAAACAAAAAAACACATATTTAAGTAATTATTATTGTTTGTTTTGTTAAAAAAAAGTTAAGTATTTCCCAAAAGGCCATCAATGTACTCTGTTGGTGTTGGAGGAGCAACACCAAACCTCTTACTGGTCTGATTTCTTCTGTTGAAGCAATTGTGCAAATTCTTTAAGAATGTCGCAACAAGGTAGTAGGATCCGGCAGGGCGAAGAAAGATACGCTGCAACTGTGGATATTTGACAAAAGCGAACAGGCTTCCAACATGAGCAAATTAATTCTCTATTACAACGCGTACACTTGGCATGGCTGTATTCACATCCTTGTGATCTGGGTTTGGAGAATCTAAGATATATGCTTGGAATTTTAAAAGACTTATCTGCATTAAATATATTTTTTATAGAACTTACATCGTTTAAAGGGACGCATCATATACAATGAGCTTGCGTACGCCTTGTCCCCGTATAGATGATAACATGGACCACCTTCGCCTCGGATATCAAATGTTTCCTTCATTATGTCTTCTATTCCACTTTGTAGACGTACGAACCGTGCTGTCTACCAGTTTCTGGTTCATAGAAAGAAGAAGTAATACCATCTGGAGTTACAACAGCCTGGTATCTCAGGCCATGGCCTCTCTAAACAAAGTGTATTTGGTAATTAAAAATGAATTAAAAAAACAAGAAGTCTTTGTTATATTTTTTAACTCACGTAATGCCCACTATAGACACTCTGTTGAAACTTGCGTGGTCGTGCTGTTCTTATAAATGTACAATCTATAAACCCAACACAGTGCTCTACAGGTGCCCCTTTTTCAAACAATTGATAGATATTATTATTAGTTTAAAAAAATAATGAAACATAAACTATCTTTACCTGCTCTACGGATTGCTTGGCTAAAGCACACAAGGTTTTCTTTACGAAACTGGCGATAGTCAAATAAAAGAGCGGGTCCAAACTTCTGCACAAGCTTATTGATCATGCCATTGAATACTTCACTTATAGTGCTTTCGGATCTTCCAAACACTATCGAAAGATCCTTCAATCTAGCATGATAAGTCATTCGACGAAATAGTATCGAAAGGGCATCTTTCGTCGGAAGAGAGTATTGCTGTGGGGTGTTTTCACGGAAGTACACCTTTTCCCCTAATTCAAGAATTACAACCATTGATTGAATCTAATAGGGAAGGTTTTTTTTTAAAAAAAATACAAATATATATATCATTAATATTTCTTAATTGCAAGTAAAATATAAGATATACCTGTGCATATGTAAATCTAAAAAGAAAAACACACTCGCTGTTCTCCAATACACTTATGTCAAGCTTCCCCAACTGACGTAGCTTGATGAGTCTCTGATCACCTTCTTCTTGACGCTCATTATATTCAGTTTCTGTACGTAAATTAACAGATAATGCATGTACATATCGACAAGCTATACTTATTATATTTCTTCTACGGATGCTGCGATTCATTGCTAAATATTTTATTTTTCTTTATGTCATGATATGCAATAGTGAGTTTCTTGGAAGTTTAGTATAAATTAAATATCCGAAGCGTGACGTGTGCCCTTATATGGTAACGTACACTCCGAAAAGTGTTGTCATGAGCATGTCGTTCCTAGAATCTGAATCCTAATCTGGCCAATCCAATTCAATCCTTCTCAGAAATACTACACTTTGCTGGAAGTTTCCAATACCTGGTAACTTCTAGCAAAATCCCTTTAAGATAGTATAAATACAAATTGCTTCATCGAAATAAAACATTATCTTTATTCTTCTGAAAAACTACTCTTGTGATATCTTCCAGCCGCTTCAAAGGCAACTTCCAATCCCGACATATCACACTTATTTTAGTGTAAAAAAAATTGCTGCTATATTTGGTGTGGAAATGAAATGTGCAATTACACTTTCCCCGAAGGTTGCTAATATTTAATTATCAATATTTTCGAATCTTATTTGTGAATAAAAACAATATGATAGTAAACTTGAGGTTTCGGGTTAATTTTATGCTGTGCACGAAAAGAAAATTGCGTTAATCTCAGAATTCTTTACACTTTGGCTCAAACCAAAAAAAGCCTACATATTGACACAATATGTATTAAGCATACAAACAATGGAACACAAAAGCCAGTATTAATGGAAACATTGCTCGTTTTGCAGCGTAAACGAGGAGATAGAATTATTCAATGTTGGTATCAATGAAGATGAGGAATCCGAGCTTAATTGCTCAGAAAATAATAATAATAAAAAATCAAAATAGACAAATTTCAGTAATGACCAGATTGTTAATTCTTCTTTATTGAAAATAAAGAAAGTTGCTCTATTTATAGTGAGTTCGTATAGCAGTAGTGTCAGCACTTGTAATCTCTGTGATTATCGAAGTTTGAGATATACTTTGTTTTACATGGAATTGTGATATTAAATATATGTCTCGTATGTTAACTCTGTTTTAGATTCCCACTTCGGTGAGATCACCAATACTCATGCATAAATCATGACGATATTAATTATAGTGTGAAATCTTACTATTGTAATAGAGTAGATATCTCTGGGGCAGAACTGTGGAGAAACTTAGTTGTTCTCATTGAAAAAATAAACAATTATCTTTATGAATAGGTAAATTCTGTTTAAAGTCCTTTTAGGATATTTATTCAGTCTCAAGAAAAAGTCTTTTTTGAACTACAATTACATGGGCTTAACTTGTTTCTATGTCGATATTTTAAAAACTGACATTTAAATAGCGTGAGTTACGAATTCGTAACTTGTTATTAGTATGGAGTTATAAATCCTGCCATTTCCTACAGTGTGTGATTAGAAGCCTATCAAGGAAAGCTCGACTGGTGTGGGTCTTCTTCTTGATCAGGAGAAGGCGTATGACCGAGTCCACCTAGAATACTTGCGCCGAGTTCTCAATTATTTTTGCTTTCCTCCATCTATAATAACTTGTATCACCAAATTGTTTTTCTCCACACAGAATCAGATCAATGTTAATGGCTTCCTCTCTCGCTCTCTCATACAATTGTGTTGTCTCCGTCAAGGCGATCCTCTCTCTCCCATCTTTTTCAATTTGGCCTTTGAACCTTTGTTGCGACTAGTGATAGATGACCAATCCTTCTTCGTTTTTTGACCTTCTGACCCTGGTAGTGTGGCTACTCTTCCTCCTATTAAACTTCTAGCTTACGCCGACGAACTTCTGGTATTTCTCCCAGATCATGCTCACCTTTCCTGACTCCACACACATCTCACCGCCTATTCCGCAACATCCAATGCGCGTATCGACATCCACAAAATGCAAGCTTTCTTACTTTCCGGCAGTCCTCTTCCTGAATGGTCCTCCACTCTTCGTAGTCATAAAACTACCGATTGGTATGACCGCACTTTTCCCGCGCCTCTCCGTTATCTTGGCTTTCCGTTGATTCACTCCAAGGCTCAATGGGACTCGTTCTGACCATCTCTTCTCCAAAAGATTGAGGACATCTGCAACCCCCGCGCCCCGCGCTCTCCCTCCTTTCGGGGTAACGCCACCATTCTAACATCTCTCGTACTCTCTCAGCTTTGGCATGTTTTACGTCTGGTCTCTCTGCCTATGCCCTTCTTCCAGAAGATCTGGTCCATCGTGGGTGATTTCCTTCAGCGTGGCATCTTCTCTCCGATTCCTTTGGATACTTTCTGCCTTCTACGCCTGCAAGGTGAATTTGGTATCATCGATCCTAAGGTGTAGCAGAGCACTCTACAACTTCGTTGGCTTTAGCCTATTGTCTGCGCTCCTTGTTCTCCGCCTGGTTCGGTGCCGCGCTGGATGTCCGGCTTGCTACAGGCGTCACTCCCTTCTCTTTCTCCCCTCTTCCTCCTTCTATTTCCAAGAATGTGTCCTTCTGGACGGCGGGATCTTACCTCCCTTCTGCACTCAGTCTTCGCTGGCATCGACCGTCTGCCGCACAACTTTGATGTTGTCGTAGTAGATCCGACTATTTGCCTTGTTTGGCTCTCTCAGCTGTTACCATAGTCCCTGTCTCTCACGCGACGCTTTCCCCTATCCTGGAAAGATCTCTTGATTTCCCAAATCTATGCCTTTGACTCTGCCCTGGCGTTGCTACGGTCAATCTTTATCCCCAGCCGCAATTGGCGCTCTCGTGTTATTAACAAGTTCCTTGGTCGAGTTCAACTCAGCACCCTCTATTGCATCCGATCATCGTTTGTGCTTGTTGCTCTCCTCGTGAATTTGCCGAGAAATATCCGTCCTTACCAATTCGAGGTGACACCTCCATTGACTTGTTCCCTTTCTCCCATGCGTTTGTACCTTCTCAAACTTGGGCACAACTTTCCACCCGCACTTTCTGCGGGCTGTATTCCCACCATATCGTCCGTACTAGCTATCCTGATTCCCCTCTTAGCTCTCGTCATTGGCGCAAATTTTGGTCTTTTCCTCTTCCCTTTGTGGCTCGCAACATTTGGTTCCGTAGCCTTCCCGACAAGATTTCCTGTCGAGCCCTTCTTCACTCTTTGCTTCCGCTCGTTTTTCCGTCTCCTACCCACTCTATTTGCTCTCTCTCCCCCGACTCTCAAGACCACTTCTTCTTCACTTGTTCTCTCAAAAACGCGGTGTGGATCGGCATGTGTGGAATTATTTAGTACAATACCTACCCCAACCGCACTACACAACGCTTTTCACTTCTTCTCTTTTCCCTCTTTCTTGAACTCGTCCATTCCCCCTTCTGCTGTCTTTGGATGCACTCTTCTTGCTATATGGCCTCATTACTGGACTTCCATCTTTGACGACTCACCATTTGTTCCTTCTGCTGTTGTTGGTACGGTTCGCAAGACCTTAACCCACATGTGCCAAGAGTTGGTCCTCAATCCTCTCCTTTAAAACTAAAACTTATATTTTCCATAATTTACAAAAACAAAAAACACCCGAAAAATATTGAAAAAGCTAAAAAGCCTTCCAAACAAACGCTATGATCACTCTTCTGATTATCTTCTTTTGGGTGTCACCAGACCTCCCAAGCTTAATAAAAAATGCTTCTTACAAACAGAAAAGAAATCTTATCAAAAATGGTAAAAGACTTTAAGAAGAGGGCATACAATAAAACCGTCTTTTATGTTAAGAAATTGTATTTGTTGACTCAAACTCTAAGAGATGCGCTCGCATTGTCGATTGTTTCTTCTTTTCGTCCTTTCCTGTCGATTTCTGCTCGCCAAAACTATATTATATAAAGCGTATATGCATTATCAACATCGAAATCTTTAAAAGCCCAATAAAGAGCAACTTTGAATTGGGGTTTTATGTGTACTTTATTGATGAAGAGTCAGAATCACAACATACGGGGCGGTCAAGTAAGGAAAATAAGGTAGATGAAGGTAAGATACAATGTACTTTTATAATATTCAATTATTTAACGATTGTTTTCTTTTTTAATACTACAGATGCAGAGGAAGCTCCCTCATTGAGGCCAAAAACATCTCAAAAATTCAAAAGAAAAAGATAAGATGCTTTGCTACAATTTAGAACGTAAAGCAGTGTTCTTCTTGCAATCTAATCACTCATGCGCAGTCAAAAGTCAAGATGTGTCCCAACAGAAGAGTGAAGGAGTCTTAATACGAGTCCGATGAAAGAATTGAACATTCTTTATCAAGACGTCCTTAAAGAATATTTGCAATAATCATGGGTTCGTTCAAGAACTAGTTTGCTTGGTAGACTATATCAACAAAGCTCTATATGCTAGTGTTCTTTTTGTCAACTCTCTATTCATAAAAATGCTTGCTGATGGCCTTTCAATTCCAATCATTAACTGGTGTCTATTCGTTTCTATTTTTGCTGTAATAACTAATAATGGGAAAAAGCACTACGATACATATCAGAATATCTTGATGTTTTTTTTTTTTTTTGCAATATGACAACTTTTAATTGCGAGCAATTCAAAAGCATTGAATACTTTAGTGTTCTGAATATAGTTGCCAAACAATACGAAACTTCAACTAAAGATTATATACATGATAACTACGAGCGAAGATATTTACGCTATTTTCTGAGCACTATGTCAGATTCGAATTATATTAATTGATGCAAAGAGCTCCCAATTGCTTCACAAAAAGCTTTGGCGTATTAGATATATCACAAAAAAGAAGGTCCGGATCCTCAATAGCCCTCATCTGTTCCCAATACCACGCATAACAGGGAGATTGCCGAAATGTTACTTACTCTATGGTCTACCATCAACCTGATACATGCAAATGTAGAACGCCCTATGCTCAGTCTCGTCTTTTCTTCAGATGCCTTCACTTTCTTTCGGAAGAAGTACATAAGAAAGTATACATCACAGAGAATATACCTTCAAAAGTTGCCTCAAAAGGGTATATTTACCGCAAGCTTCAAGATGTTCAGTTTGTACATGCATTGGGCAGAAAGAAGCTTCGTTCTTTGCAAGAGCAAACCTTGTAATCCATTAATTCTGACAAGACGTTTGATCCTGGAAAAATTAAACGCACTGTTTTCACGGCAAATCTCCATAGTACAAACTCTGATTAATACGGTTAAAGCAAGAATCAAAGACAGGACATTTTTTCCGGTCAAGTATACAGACCCTAGAGATTATGGGGGGGGGGGGGGGGGGGGGGGGGGGTTCTTGCTCCTGTATACAGTGCCCAAAACAAGGCAATTCAGGTTGATATGCAAGCCTTTTGGAATTTAGTGAAAACGTCTGGTGTAGCAGGATATCCGGCAGGTAAAAAAAACCGAGTCCATCCTCGCAGATTTTTATAATCAGCTTTTCAACTTTTCAAAGTTAGGATTCCCTGCAAGAAACAGTCTTTCAACGGGAAAAAACCGATTCAGGTATAGATTTCTATATATTTTTTTATTTATCTATTTTGAAGAATGTTTGACTAAAATCAATTCGTATTTAGCAACGTAATAACTACCGACGGTTATTCCATCTGTTTTCTGTTTTCCCGTGCCGTCAAGAAGAAAAAGGAAGCGCCTGCTAAAAAATAACCTGGAGATTACATCGACGATATTGACAAAGATTGTCAGGTTTGGGCTATTGACCCTGGTGTTTGTGATATTATTACCACTGTCGATACATCCGGGAGACAAAGAACGACAAGCGTGAACGAATATTATCATCTTTGTGGGTTTAATGATGTACAGTATATAAGAAGGAACATCTGGATGATTATTTGAAGACATTTGATTTGAGCTCGTTCAAAACCACAAACGAAGCAGATTTTTTAAAAGTATATAAAGATCGACTCGGTTTTTACTTTACCATTCCAAAATATTATAGCCAGGGTAATTGGTCAGTGTAAAATATGCCATTTGGTCAATTTATTTTATACTGATACACCTCTAAGTCATCCAAATCAAAATTTGAATGCTATTGCGGAAGCAGAAAGGACTGGATGAGATTTGCAAGCGTTTAATATACGACATCCCATAAGCACGAGAATAAATACTTTCCTCCTGCCCCCGCTGACCATACTGAGGCTCCCTTAAAAACTATCATTGATTTTGGAGATGGTATGTTCAACCACGTCCCCAGGGGAAATAAAACAGCATCTGTCCGTCTTGTCGAGAAGACTTGAAAACAAAATGCAGCAAGAACATGATGTACATGTTAGATGAATACCTGACCAGCCAAGTATGCAATGAAAGCAAGAAGATAAATTTAGAAAATTTAGTCAACAGCAATTTGAAGCGAAGAGTATACACAATATTGCAGTGCCAAGAAACCACTTGCAATATTGTGTGGAATCGCAACATTATGGCTACACAGAATCTTTTAGGCATCTTGTTTTCTGCACGAAACAACAATCAGCGCCGTGATGTTTTTGTGTGCCAGCCTAAAACCAACCATGGCCATCAATATTCTTCTGTATGATTGATACAACTCTTTCATGCATCTTTACAGTGTAAGTTTTTATCTCCCGTTTTTTGCGCATCAGATGTACTGACTTGTTATTTTTTATTATTCTTTAAACAATATTGAAATGTGCCTTGTATAGTGTGTTTTACCGTATGTCCTTCTCTTTAATTCAATGAATTAATATAAATGAATGACGTGACTGTGAGACTGTGAAGACTTGTTCAACATCTGCATCCTTTCAAAATAGAGTTTCTTTTTTTTTGCTTTTTTAAAAATAAACTTGGGTTTAGTAAAACACAAGTATATATATATTGAAAATACTTCTCTTTCTTTCTTTCTTTTTTACTATAAGCCATTTTCTTTTTAGTAAAATAAATATGCAATGTCAACCAATAATGTTACCAACACATATTTTATTAAAAGAACCGATTGTTACAGTTCAGGTTTTATAGTATAATTATTTATATTGTTAATGTAAAACTATTTTCAATCCAAACTTTTATTCCAAATGCAGTGCTCAATGGGATTAGCTTATAATGCAACAGATGTAAGAACTATCGTGTAGATGTGACTGTGGCCGATCAGGTACTGACTGGTAGTTGGAAAACAGGCTCGACGGATTTGTACCTTGAGGAATTGTCCGCATCATTGCATGGTGATCTGGACTGTGGACAGAATCAGGTATCTCAATAGCAGGCGTGTCCAGCAGCCCACAACTATTTTCATACCAATCACTCGACAATCCCTTGGAATCCTGGTCAGCACCATCTCCACAGTCCATCAGAAGAAGTGTCTCTAGACTGCTGTCACAGGCATCCCACAGCGAAGGCTGACGGTATAAACCATAGTGTAATAAGCCAGCTGTCATTGTCCCTAGGTGAGGGCAAGCAGTTGCAAGTACCTCTGGCCCGAAAGCGTCTTCATCATATATCTCCACTCGTCGCTGTTGTTTAAAAGCCTCGTCTAGAATAGAAAGATGTCGATTTGATAGCCTACGCTGGTCAATTCCGTCTGTAGAGTACCAATAAGCAACCATGCAGAAGAGAGGGAGAATGGGGGTTCAAGGGTGAATATCAGTTTGCAGTGTAACCTATGAAAGGGAAGAAAAGAGAAATGGAGAAGAAAGAGAAGGCGGTAGGATAGCGGCTCATAGCCAACACTGTTTTCTCTTGTTTATGACTGTGAGCCTACAGTAAATCTTAATAAGGGGGGGGGGTGGGTTAGGAAAGGGCTACCATGCAAGGGGGACTTGGGGGTTTTTTGGTGCTTAAAATGGCAGAAAATGGTAGGGCGGCGGATTCATATGACATGCAGAGAGTTTCATATATTATTATTTATATCCTTGGTGGTTGGAAAAGAAAGTGAAAAATCTAGCGTGGCATACCCGGGGCATTCAACACCAGGAACATTGCGTGTGGATCGACTCCTGTGGCCAACAAAATGCGTATAACAAGAGACTTGACAATATCTACCTCAATACAATTTTACTACCCACTGAATCATATATCATCACAAAGGCTTATTCCACCTTTATTATTAGTATTATTTGTGTGTGTGCTGACCCATACTTACATATATTTATATGTAATATCAAACATTATGCGGTTTCAATTCCAAATACTTGTTTATATTATAAAAAATAATAAAAAGGCATGTCATGCTAACGTGCTTAAATAAGGGACAGCTCACGTGTGATTTACAGGGAATTCGACAGAATCATGGATCAATCGCATAATCTTTATATTCTAATTTGTATTTTTTGTTGTAAATATATTGACCTGACTATACATAAACTCACGTATATTTAGAGGGTCTAACTAACCGAACAAATCTTTAGATAATATCTGGATTAGCAGTAACCTTGAATTGTGAATCAAAATCTGTTATTCTCCAAACACTAGTCGTATATTCCGAATCGATAGTTATGCTGATCTCTTGGTACTATGCTCTTGTTTGATACTTATGGGAATCTTTATCTAACAATAATAATAATACAATACAATACACTGCAATACAATACAACTTTAAGATATATTACTCTCCTATCCCAATACCTCACGTGTATAATTGTGGCATTGGATTCAAACCAAGGAAATCGATCGAACACATCTGTCAAACTTAAGTCGAGTCAGGAAAAAAAACTTTATCAAACATAGAGTACGTACTTATGTCTATTTGTTAAGATCCTTAAATCTCGTGGTGTGCTTTGAAAAAAAGAAAAAAGAAAAAAGATCGGCAGGCACGCAATAAAGTATTGGAAAAATGCTTATTCTTGATAGCACCATGACCTTGCTTGAATAAACATAAGGCATAATTGTTGGATTAATTCTTCTGGACCCTTGCTCCTCCTATTTATTTCATAATAATTCTGACGCTATTTACTCTCATTGTTACGTTTGTATACTAGTACATTATACAAGACCAGACAAGACCAGACAAGACAAGACAAGACAAGACAAGACAAGGCATTCTAAATAGATATCTTTGTTTTGTTTTAGAGCTACTCCTAAAAGCATTTACAGCTGAATAAATAAATAAAAATTGAATAAAATTAACGTGCTAAGTATATATTGGTTTTCTTTTATTAGCACGTTACATTAGTATCTTGTTTTTCGCCTCAAAGTGTACAACTAATACTCAAAAATGATTGAAAAAGAACTTTGTAAAACCTTTAAATTATATACTTTTTTTCTTCTGTCCGTTGCTATCAAAATTTAGCTGTAGCACTATAGAAGATACTTATTTAGTCGCCCTAATCAACATCTCCCTTCAATTATATAAATGAATTAAGTGATTATGCTGGTATTTAATATTGTTACCCCTTTTGTTTTACATCCTATGGCTCAAAAAACCTTAATATTGTTAATAACGAAAAGCTATGTTAAAGGCTCTTTCTGTAACAGTCACAATCCTTGGGTTTTTGATATTTGCAATTGAATATCCGAAAATGTTGCATTAAAAAGTAATAATATGTAAGCAAGCGGACAAGAACAATGGAATAAATTGAGTTATGGCATGGGACAAGGCACACAAAATAATGTTAATTAATGCACTGGGCGGCTTGATCTGGTCAGTCAGTATAAATGTGGTGTGTGCTATGTGACTGTCATTCATGACGTTTGTCTATGTAACACCTTGTGATTACCGCAGTTGAGCATTTCTTGCCGCAAGTACTGATCGCCTTTTATATTCATCTCTTTCTCACAATGGACAAACACTCTCAACATAATCCATCAGAGTACAACCCTCCTCCTCCCTCCTATTCAGAGTCAGAGTCGAGTGCTCATCAGGCTGTGTTCCCTGAATTAGCCCCATCAGCACCAGCATCAGCACCATATGACAACCGTGGCCAGTACTATCCTTCTCCAACAAACCCTTATCTGTCTCCTAGAGGAACATACCAATCTCGTGGATACCAGGCAATTATAATCGATAGACAGCCTTCTCCTATTAGAATGTATGATACCGAGCGCCAGTTTCCATTAGCGGCCATGATGTTCTTGTTCGGATGGTAAGAAAAAAAGAAAAGAAAAGGAAATAAATAGAAAATATGGAGTGTAATTTACTCGGCGGATTTAGGGTATTACCTCCAATTTGGATTCTTGGGGCATGCTGCTGTGTAGGTAGTCGTAATTCATACGAGGCTTGGTGGGGGAAAGCCAACTTGGTCATGGTTGTTCTTCTCCTTTTTTCTACTATCACTTACTCTATTGCGGCAATAACAATTGGCAACTGGTCAATGGGGCCAAGGATGGTAGCTCAGATCATGGGACTTGAAACGGAATAAGAATAAAAAGACCAACGACAACAATAACAATAGCTCTTTAAAAAAATGTAATACAAACCATGATCCACCCATTTTGTTTTTTTTTGTTTTTGTTTTTTCAACAAGATTGAGGTAAATGTGATCAATCTTACTATCTGTGTTTATAGAAATTAAAAAATAAATTCAATATTTCCACATAATAGTATCTACTCGTTTCTAAATGATAATACTCGAGTATGGAAATCGATTTAACTTAGACGCAATCATTTAAGCTTTTCAAATACGGTTTTCCAATATTCTGGCAATGGATTTCCATCAAACACTACAAGAAAAAAAACGCATTCTTAGAGTCAACGTTTACGCCTGTACAGGTGTTCTATATCCCGAGATCACCGGTTTATATCCCTTACCGTGGGCTTTTATTTTGATATGTAAGAAATACAATAGGCATGGAAAATAATAAGGGTGGACAGGTGAAAATATTTTATTGTGGGTTTTTCTAGGCTTTGCGCATTTTAGCATATTGGCTACCCGATGAGAACTGAAGAATAAATGAAAATAATAAAAGTAACCCCTTAAATATGAGGTGGAATAAAAAAATATGTACAAAGTGAAGGATAAATAAAGAAAAATATGGAACACGCATGACTGTTATATTTATATATGGAAAATAGGAGAGGTTGGGACGACAAGTACTTTGAGACTCTTTTTTATTGATAAGAGATGTTTAGTCAAATCCAATTATCTTAATAAAAGTTATTTTCTCTATGGTATTTATATTTATTGAGATATATCCAGTCACCCTGGATATGAGTCATCATAACGGCTTTGCGATAATAGTTTAAGTACTTCTTGAAGATGATCCAATGATGGATCAGACATATTGCTCTTATGTTTCAGATAGGACTTCATATTGGATAATCATTTATAACGACCTCTTTGACAGGTACTTCTGTCTGGGTTCGTATATGATATCGGATGTTAAAGTATCCCAAATACAACAATGACAGAGACAAAGATGAATAGTCAGCAAAAAAGTAAGAGAGCACGTAAAAAACCCCCTGTGGGGGAAAACGGCTTTTAGAAAGACTAAGACTAAAATAGATAATACAGCTGGTAAGAATACAGGTGAAATAAATATATAAGAAAAATAAATGACATGAAAGAATCGAGAATAAGTAACTAGGTACTGACGGCACCAGAATTGGGAACGGATTTCAGCAGGGATAGGAACTCCAAAGAGGGATTCCTTTTAGAAACTCGGACGATCCATTTATGGATCCAGAATACACAACGATACCAGACCAAGTCAGTCCTCCTAGGCACAATTTCGGGCGGGCACAGATGGAGGGGGTTGACGAGGAATGGTGGAAATTTTGGAGAGAAAATGGGGGAGCGGATCACCAGGAACAAGTTCTTGGGTAGGCGGCGGGATGCGGTGGGGACGGGTTGGTTTTGTGGCACAGAATTTTGCTGCAAGGTCGATGAGAATTTGACCATGAGCTTTTTTTTCTGGCAGTTTGTAGGATGAGGTGGTTTGATCAACAGCACGTAGCAAGGCAAGCAAGCACGGCCACCAATCGCACCACGTACCAGGCGATTTGAAAGACCCAGGGAGACAGTTGAGATCATAGTCGATGAGATGAACCTCTGGGGGAGGAGCAGGATTCATCAAAGACCAGAGTTTTTGAACGAGAGTGATTGTGGCGGGGCATATAAGCATGTGGTTTTGGTTACCCTTGATAGCGCCACATTGGCACTCGACTGATGGTGTAGGTGGTAGCCAAGCAATTCGCCATTTGATTAGGTGGCGTCGTTCTGAACTAGTGCACGGCAGTAGTAAGACTGGATCCCAGACAGGTTTGCAAAGCCTCTAGCAACAGTTACCAGACGGTTAACGCTCGCAAGTTGCATGTCGATTTCTTTTTGGCACAGTAAAACATAAGCTTCTTTTAATGGGTCCTTCAACCGAGGTTGATGTTCTTTCAGCAATTGGGCCTTTTTCCAGAGTACACTACGACGAAGCTCACCCCATGTCGTTTTTTCTTTGGAAAGGTCCAGCTGCGTGGTAAGAGCTTTGATCAGGGAGTCTGAGGGTAGTGTTTCAGCACGACGAAAAAATTTGGCTTGAAGAGCACGGGAACGGGTGAATAGGTTTGGTAGAGCAGCTAATGCAGCGATATAAACAACTCCCATCGTTGCATCAGGCCATCAAATACATGTCTGGAGACACATATTTTAGGCTTTCTGCAGGATCTAAACGTCACTCTGGCTAGCAGGAACAATGGCTAAGCCGTACTCAAGAATGGGGCGGATAAAAATGAGATAAGCTCTGAGAGCCGCAGGGAGACCAAAACCGTTCATGTGTACACCCAAGTTACAAAGCTTACGCGTTGCTGCACAAGCTTTTTGCTGCGACTTAAGGAACATGTCGGCTCGATCTATCCCTTGGCTAGCAAAAGGAAATTCTAAATATTTAAAGGAAGTGCAAGTGGGAAGAGTATTCCCATATAAAGAAAAAGAAGAATTAGGAGGGGCATTGAGGACCTCGTATTTGGATGGACTCCACTTATACCCCAGAAGGTTTGAATGTGTCTCGGCTACAGTCAACATTTTTTGCACATCGTCGGGTGTGCCTATAAGGGCAACATTGTCAGCGTACAGAAGACAGTTGATAGGAGCCATTGACATAGGAAGATAGTCTGGTGCATCCCCCTCCGTCCTGGAAACACTGGACACATTACAGGTGATGGTCCTAAGCTCCTCCAATAGTGACAAAGGAGTGGCTGTTGGGCTGTTAAATGCGTACGTACATTATGAGGACAATTGAAGGGACCTTGTTAACGAGGGAGAGGGAATGCAAACGTAGTATGGTTGGGTGGAGACTCCCCAAAGTAAACGTGGTAGGGTATCAATAAAAATTGAATATAAGAAAGGTGAAAGTATACTACCCTGCAGGACTCCATGTCTCGGCATAACACCATGGGACGCTACATTTTTCATCACTACATTAACAATAATATTGTTAAATAAATTTTGAAGTAGCACTAGCAATGGTTCCGACACAAAAGGTCGCAACGAGTCCCATATGGCATTACGATCCACACTATCATATACAGCTTTGATGTTTAGGAAGATGTGAAGTTTTATAGAATAAAATCAACAGTAAAAAGATTGAGACGTATATAAGAATACTTTGAGACTGTATATAGGTTGTCTTTATTAAAGAATACAAAGTTGTCCTTTTTATATCAAAACACGATCTGCTTTGTCAGTCACATCTTAATTTCTTAAGTCTGAGTTCATTTAGATATTAGAGAGCTGGTACTGCTATGTTTATAATTTAATCTAATTGCAGTGTCCTCATATTAACTCAGTGCTTACTGAGCTGTCATAATTACAGTACTTACTGTAATTAATTATTGGTCTTATTGATTTACCATAAGTAAAATAAATAAATTATTCATTTGTTCTTGTAATGATAGCTGTTTTACTATAATAATAGGAATATGTTCTTAGATGTAATAAATCCAACAACCAAGTGTCTGGATCACCACAGAAGACAACAAATGGTGGTTTGAGCGCTTGCTCTCGCTCAGGGTCGGGAACAGAGTATTGCCTCATTAGTTCGTGGAGACAGAGAGCCTGGTCTAGGGTACTGCGGCTAGCGCGGAATCCTCCCTGGGCTATGTCTAACTCTGGTATGGTCAAAAGGAGTTCCTCAGCCAGGCATTGCTCCAAAAGCTTCCTAAACACCGAGGTCAAGCTGATGTGCCTATAACTGCTGGGATCTGCGTGCGCTCCTTTGCTTTTGTAGATAGGTACCACCTGTGCCATTCTCCATGCGACAGGCGTCCACGACCATCACCAACACAGCTTGAAGAGCATGTGGAGTAGAGAACCTAGAGTTGATACAAGAGGCTTGAGAATCTCTGCCCTAATATGATCAATACCTGGTGCTTTCCATCGTGGAAAACGACGAATAGTTTCTTTGACTTGGTCTACGTCCCATGGTACTTCCCTCTCCATTGGTGTAACCGCCAGTTCAGTCCGTATTTTCATAGATCCACCAAAAACATTTTCAAGGTGGTCAATCATATTATTAGCAACTGTAAGTGGTCCTTCTGGAGATGTCAGAAAAATCGGAGATCGTCACCAAATCTCCATTCTCTTTAACGTGCTCACCATCTCTGAAGGAGCCTTTTGGATTTTGTCACAGAAATCATACCAGATTTGTTGTCGTGCCGCCCAAACTGCTGTTTGCAGATCTTGGTTTGCTGCAACATACTCAGCATGGGCTTTAATACGTTCAAAGTCATTGCCTACCCGGCGTTGCCAATGGTAAAGTTCTTGACGCTGGTCAGCTAGGTGTTGTAATTCGGCATTCCAAAAGTTCTTCCAAACTTTTGGTCGTGGTGACACTCGCCCAACAGAATCATCCAAAGCCTTATAGATCGTCTCATTGAGACGTTGTGAATAGGCCTCCAAGACAACAGGGCACAATATGGAAGTGTCTTCCAGGGTTTGTTGAATCTCTTGTTGAAGTGTATCTGAACCCACTTCAAATCGTCTTTGGTATTTTTTGTAGACCTCTTTGATTTCCAGTCGTTGAAGCTTCCAAAGTTGACAGACTGAGTTTTCTGTCAGGAGCTGTGGTATGAACACAGGCTGAAAGAATAGCTCACAAAGGTGGTGGTCAGAGTCCAGGGCGAGTTCGTCATGGATTTTCATCTGCATATCATGGAATTGCTCCTCTCGCAACAAGAAGAAATCGATAATACTTTTGAAGACCCCACCAGATGTATGGACTCTCTCGTATGTTGGGATGCCAAAGGCCAACTCCAAATTCCACAATGTTAAATCCTTACTGCTAATCCAGTTTGCCATAATTTCACTTCGTAGTCCTCCTCGAGTGTCTCCAGTCATGTGGTGTAGTCAAGTGTTGAAGTTTCCGCAAACAATGGTGAAGTTGTCAACGGGTAACAATGCCAGCCGTGCTTGACACTCAGAGGATGTCAATCGTGGTGGGAGGTATACGCAGTGTATAGTATAGGGATCGATCCTACATGATACAACGTGGGGGTTAATGATTGGAAGGGGGTGTACATGATGAGGAAAATCTGGCCTTATAAGTAGCAAGATGCCATCCATTGGCTATGGTGACGTTGTTGGAATGGCAAAGTTGTGTATCTGGGTCCAAGGGCACTGGAGAGCAGGGGCGCTCTCAGGCAGGAAAGTCTCTGTAACAAAAAGAATATCAATATCGTTCGTCTCACAAACATCTATCACATTCACCAATTTGGGCCGTAGTCCATTGTCGTTAAATAAACCGATCTACAGTCTATTCATGGGTTGTGGTGATTGGCGTTTTGGTGGATTCTATGCCGTCCATGTCGTTGGTTGGGGCTACAAAGGCAGTGGTGCTGGTGGTTTTTCGGCCCTCCAGGTAGTCAGAGACTGCAGTCTGCGAGATCTTTACCACAGCCTTTTTGGACGAGAAATGGCAGATGACACTGTGACCAAGGTATGTTGCCATGCGGAGACTTGCCTTGACCAGGCGTGCATCGAATAGGTCCTGGGCTTTTTTTGCTCTAACCTTGATGGTCTTTTCCTTCAACTTGGTATCTGCGATCACGTCTGCTGCGGTTGGGTCAAAGTTCCCCAGTGGGACAACCTTGGCTTTTCCAAGCAGTGCAATGAGTTCTTCACGGAACTCCCCATTTATGAGGAGGGTCACTGTCCCTCTGCCTGGGAATTGGATGTCAAGGATGTGGGAAGTGGAGATCTTGAAGGAACTGAGGATCTTTCGCATTTCCTGGTACTTAACGTATCTTTTGGCTGGGAGGTAGACAAATTTGTACTCAGATGGGCCAGTGGGTTTTTGGAGGAGTCGTTGTCCCTGGACTCTGCGGACTTGGACTTTCTGCTTGGCCTGCTTAGCATCTATGCCCTTCTTTGCTTGTGTGGCATATGACATTTGGCCAGCTACTGCGTTGCTGCCTGTCTTGTTTTGTGTGTTGCTCTTTTTGTTGGTATTGTTGTTGTTACTGTTGTTGTTACTGTTGTTGTTTTTGTTGCTGTTGGTGGTGGTGGTGGTGCTGCAGTTAGCACATCGGATGCAGATGTTGCTGTTGCTGTCAACCGTCAAGGCTTTTGGGGCATGCTTTGATGCCATCAGTGAGCCCTTACCAGTTGACTCAAAGGCTGCTCTGGCAGCTCCAGCGGCTTGCAAAGCCATTAGCCCGTCAAGCTTTTCCAGCTTGGATTGGTAGTTAGCTGCCAATTCTTCAAACTTGTCAGTCAAGTTTGCAATTATGGCCTCCAGGGTAGCACGTTCCTGTTGACTGGCCGCTAGGGTCGTTGCTTTGTCCTTGTTGTAGATGAAAACACCTTCGATCAAGTTCGCATGGTTCTTGTTGATTATGCTACGCGTGCTGACTGCTCTTTTCTGCTTCTGAAGTGCTAGAGTCTGGGCTTTATTTCGTTTAGCCAGGATTCGGGGTTTGGGTTGTGAGTTGGCCTCCGGGGGTGTGGTGGGTGTCTTGAGATCTGTAGCAGCAAACTTAAAGATCGTGTATGGCACGCTTTGTTCTTGGGCTCGTGATATGGTTTCTAAGCGTATTGAGGCTGTTGGTATGTCATTGGACAGGTTGTTCTGATGTGTGGGTAGATGGTTTGGGATGAGGGTATTATTTTCTGTTAATTCAGCATTTGGCATCAACTTTATGTTTCTGTATTCTTTATGCAAAAGAGAGTTTTAAGGGTAGACAATAGGAATTTTTCTTGAAAAAATTTAATTTTTTTAATTCCTTCTAATCCAATAACATTGCAGAAAAAAAAGTCAAAAAAAATGAAAAAGTGGTAAAAAGCGGTTATCTTTAGCAAATTTTTGAAAAAAAATTATGAGATGCAACGCCTTGAACTTTGTAATAGACAGCGGTCTTTAAGATATGATAATATCCATTTTAGAAAACGGAGTAGAAGAAGTAAGAGGAAGAAGAGTTGAGCTTGTCAAAGATGATGTTTATTGATGAGAATATGAAGCTATTTTATATGAAAAGACTACAGATATTGATGCAGACAGAATGATGAAGAGAGAGAGTATTTTATGCACTCCTATGTACCTTCTTGCAGTAGACCTTTACTACTGCAAGTAGTGCATCTGTGACTCTCAGTCACGACATCTGGGGGGTTTAGAGGCTGGTGTCCTCGATGGCCGAGACAGGGACTTCTGGTCTGTGGTACGCCTTAATTTGTTGAGCATAGACTTGATTGAGTGCGCGATGATTGCTTGTAGGAGAGAGTCTTAGAGAATATTGGTCATGACTGATGGCTTCGATTTCATAAGAACCCTTCCATGCCCGAGAGAGTTTTCTGGACTGGCCAGGTTGAGAGAGCTGTCAGGTAAATACTAGGACTTCTTGTCCAACATGGAAGTCTACGGCCTCACAGAGCTTATTGAACTGTATGGCATTGGCCGCGTGTGTCTGAATATTTTGAAGGTGGACAATCTCAATGGCTGTGGCCAAGGTTGCTTGCATGGTTGTGGCAAAACTGTTCATTGTCTGGCCTAGGGGCTCACTATCGGGAGACACTGGAGTTCGAGGTTCATGCCCATGGACCAGGGAGAACGGAGTGAAACTCGTAGCTGAGTGTACAGAGGAATTGTACACAAGCTGGAAGAGTTCCAGGTGGTGGTCCCAAGTGGCATGAGCAGACGCCTGGTCCAGGAAGGCTACAATCATGTTGCAGAGAGTTGACATGAACCTTTTGACTAGTCCATTGGATTGTGGATGATATGCTGGCGCAAACCTCTGTTGGATATCCAACTGTGCCGCTAGTGTCTTGAGGAGCCCTGAGGAGAATGGTTGACCATTGTCAGACTGTATGACTCTGGGGACTCCATGCTCTGAGAAGACTCTGGAGGCTAGAACAGCTACTACGGTGGACTCGTGGAGGTTTGTAATGGGAGCCATGACCACGTATTGAGAAAAGAGGCATTGAACTACCAGAATATATTGGTGCTCTTAAATACTGAGTGGTAGTGGACCAAACGCGTCTACTGCAATGTCATCAAAAGGGACCTGTGCAGGTGTAGTGGCTACCAACTGAGTGTAACCCAATGTATGGCGAGGTGACTTGGTTTCTTGACAAACGCCACAGGTCAATACCTTCTGCGTGACCCAGCTGCAAAGGTCTGGAAACCAGAAGAGATGTTGGAACCTTTGTAAAGTTTTTGAAAGGCCCAGGTGTTCAGCCATGGGTATCCAGTGTAGAAGGGTGAAGACGTCCTTGCGGAGAGACTGGGGCAATACTGGTTGCGAACCATGAAGCAACAAACCAAGAGAGATGGTGAATGTGTCAGCTAAGACTGGTTTGCTGAGTATGGCTTGACATTCCACGTTGGTGGCTTGTGCCGTGACCAACTCATCAAGGCCGATGGTGTTGATGGAAGGGTATTGGGAGAGTGTATCTGGTCCCAAGTTGTTCTTGCCTGGTTGATATACGATGTTGAACAAGTGGGATTGCAAAAGGAGAGCCCAACAAGCCAGCTGACCACGCAGGTCTGAGGTTTTGAGCGGAAATTGTAATGCTTGATGGTCTGTTACTACAGTGAACTGCGTTCCTGTCAGATAATGTGTGAACTTCTTGATCCCCCACACAATGGCAAGGGTCTCTATCTCTGTTACGCCATAGTTTCGTTCAGCTGGGCTCAGAGAACGAGAGGCGAATGAGATAGCATGGGGTTGTTTGGATGGGTCTTCGCATTGGGAAAGTATGACACCAATCCCTGCTGTATATGTGCCATCTGTATGTAGCTCAAAGGGTTGGCTGAAATCCAGGAATCGGAGGACAAGTGCTATGAGCAGGGCTGACTGCAATAGGTCTATGGCTTGTGCATGATGTGAGGACCAAACCCAGGTGGCGTCTTTGGCAAGTATGGCGTTAAGGGGTGCAGTGAGTTGAGAGAACTGGGGTATGAAACACCGATAGTACTCACAGAGGCCAAGGAAGGAGCGCAATGAATTGACGTTGCTAGGAACTGGGAAGGATGCAACCGCTTTGATTTTATCAGGGTCGGTTTTCAGGCCAGACGGTGTAATCAGATATCCCAGGTACTTGACCTCAGTGCACACAAAACGACACTTGCGCAGGTTGACAGTTAGCAAAGCCTTCTGCAATCTGGTGAACATGGTGTCCAAGTCTTGCAGATGCTGGGCAAAGGTTGGAGAGAAGTCAATGATATCGTCCAAGTACATGAGACACAGCTGCCACTTCAGGCCCGCAAGGATGGCATCCATCAGGCATTGCATGGTTGCTGGAGCATTGGAGAGCCCATATGGCATGCAGACAAACTCGAACAGTCCCTTGCGGCAGATGAAAGCTGATTGTGGCCATGACTCCTTGTTGAGTTCGATCTGCCAGTACGAGGCCATGAGATCTAAGATTGAGAATATTGCCAAGTTCCCCAAGGAGTGTAGAGTGTCATCGATCCTAGATAGGGGGTACACATCTCACGTAGTAATGCTGTTGAGGCGCCTGTAGTCCACGCAGAACCAGGGTGAGCCATTCTTCTTCATGACGATGACAACAGGGGGACTCCAAGGCGAGTGTGAAGGGGCTATGATGCCATTGCGCAACATCTCGTCAATCAGTGCACCGATCTTGTTGTTCTCAACCACTGATGCCCTGTGTGGGGGCTCTGAGATTGGTGAGTGATGGCCTGTGTTGATATGGTGTTGCACTTGGGTAGTAACAGTGTGAGTCTTTGCCACAAACATGGTGCAGAACTTGTTGAGCAAGTTCATGATGTCAGTCTTCTGGTCTTCAGGCAGGGTCTTGTCCATAGGAAGGTTGGTAATAATAAACAGAACAGGGCTAAGAGCAGGCAGAGAAGAAGTGTTATAACTGTCCTTTATAGTAGAGGTCAAATTAATACTTTCCATATCCTCTGAAGTGCCTAACTGGCAACCGGATTGAACTTGGACCTCTGAAGTACCTAGTTTGGCAACCTTAACTGTGACCATGCCTTGTGAATCGAATTGGACTAGTCCAGCAGCAATGGAGCAGAGACAGGACGAGAACAACTCGGGGCTGGTTTCTATGTACACCAACTTGTTGATGGGGCCTTGGACCATGTGATAGCAGTGGGACATGGCTGGCAAGCAGACGTGTCCAGTTGCTTGTATGGCTGATAGAGCTTGTGTGGTAGGCCAGGTAATGGTATTATACATGTCGAACTTGATACTGTCTGCAGAGGTATCAATCACTGCTGACAGATGCTTCAAGTCGGGGTATCCCAAGATGATATCGTGAGCCAGTCGGTCCACCACTTAGAAGGTAAGTTCCAGAGGGCGCCCAAGGAGAGTGACTGGAAGGGAGACGGTTCCATGAGAGTGTGCCATAGCTCCAGCAGCAGTGTTGAATACAATGGACTGATCACAATCAACCTTGGTGACTATGCCTTCCAACGCAGAGGCACGGATTGCAGTGATGGTGGATCCTGTGTCTACAAGCACAGACAAAGCCTTGTTCTGTATGACATATGGTACTGAAGGCCCTGCTGACGTTGTGGGCTGAGAGGAGCCAGTAGTGACCAACCAAGCAGGCATGATGGCGGCAGCCAGAGGGGACTCTTCTTTGACTATAGCAGGTTGATATGTGATGGCAGCAGAGTGAGAAACCCCAGGGCAGTCCTTGTTCCAATGGGCCCCTTTGCAGTAACCACAGATGGGTCTCCCGTCTGGTCCCCATAGACATGGGACTCCATCGTTAAGACTATGTTGCTTGGGCCGTTGAGGAGAGGCAATCGCGGCAGAACAATCCATGGGCTCAAATTGGCAATGGAAGTTGCGAGCGCGTGGGGGTGCCAAGTCACCAATGCAGTCCTCGTGCATTACAGCCTTCTCATAGACAGTTTCCCAGTCATCCATGCTGTTCAGTGTGGGTTCGATCAATTGACAAAGGGGTGGCTTGATGTTTTTGAGGAAGATGTTCAGGATGGTGCGGTTGGATAGGCAGCCAGAATTCGGCATGTCATTTACCAAGGTAGCAAATTTGACTTGAAACAGCCAGATGGATAGGTTTCTCTGGGTAGTGGCCTGGAGTGTCTGACGTCGTTGAGCCTTCTCAATGTCCAGGTCTAGACCATACGTGCTGATTAGCAGGTTATGGAGCTCCTCCCAGTTGTTACGACAACCAAAGGTGCAGATCCACTCAGCAATGTTGGGTGGTAGGTAATGGCAGAGAAACTTGCCCAGGAGGTCAGTGGGAACTCCAGCCAATGTTGCCTCAGTGCAGTATTGGTGCAACCACGAATTGATGTACATGGAAGGTTTGTAGGTGGGAACCAAGAGTGATTTAGCTGCAGAGGCCAAGTAAAGGGCAGTGAGCATGTCTGCAGAAGACATGCTTGGAGGCATGATGCCTGAGAGAGGGGGCACCGTAATGGTTGAGTAGTCCAGAAGAGGATCCTGGCTGTTAACCTGGCTGACCCAACAAGAAGGGTTGTGAATGCTGTCAGTGGACATGGGGGTGGAAAAGACAAGAAAATATTTAGACGAGGGGGGTGGTAGAGCAGAGGCAGAAGAAAAGTAGCTTCTCCACCATGTAATGATCAGCAGTCTTTAAGATGTGATAATATCCGTTTTAGGAAACGGAGTAAAAGAAGTAAGAGGAAGAAGTGTTGAGCTTGTGAAAGATGATGTTTATTGACGAGAATATGAAGTTATTTTATATGAAAAGACTACAGATATTGATGCAGACAGGATGATGAAGAGAGAGAGTATTTTATGCACTAGTATATATCTTCTTGTAGTAGTCCTGTACTACTGCAAGTAGTGCATCTGTGACTCTCAGTCACGACAACTTCATCATCTCTTTTTTGGTAAAAAAATTCTTTTTTTTATAAAAAAAATCCACAAAAAAGTGGATCCTTTTAAAAAATTCCAAATTTCTGAGTTTTATTTTTTTAACAAATACATTTACTCAAAGAAGAAGCGAATTTTCTAAAAAATTCCTATTGTTCACCCTAATTATTGTCCACTATCATTAACTCTTTTGCATAAGCTAATTTTTGCTTAAAAAACCCCATTACTTAAAAACAACTAATCAACCACACATCCAGTCCCATCCCTGTCCCATTAACTTTGCTGACCTAAGTAACCTCTGTTTTATCAAGTTGCCATGAGTCCAAAAGAATCCACCAACACAAACATCTTCAAGACAGTTCCTTCTTGACAGTCTAGGCTGGCAAAATCGTCACCTGACCAAACGTTTTGCAGCCCCAAAAACGCTCAGCTAAAAGCCATTTTGGACAAGGCACTTGCATGCGCAGCCATACACGAAGAACTGCACAAAACTCTGCTTAGCAAGATAGATATAATTGTAGAACACTCAATTGCACTTCAAGAACAGAACAGCACTCTTACTGAGGAGCTCTGCATTGCAAATGAGCATGTAGAGTTCCTACACAACCAACTACAGCTTCAGGTACAAGTACCTGGTGCTTCAACCTTCACTACTACCACTCTCCCACCTACAGAGATTGCTCCTGTTGAGAATTTCTTAGCTGAAACCTCTGCCCATGGTCCTGTCACCATCTCCACACCCTCACCCACCACATTTTTGGCTGCTGCCAAGAAGGCAATAGGAAAGAGATCCAGCCAGACCAAGCTCACCACTGCTCAAGCTACCCATGCCCTGCAACCTGAAAGTGGACCATCTGCATATGCATTTGTATACCTGCCCTGCCACCACCACCTCAAGTACTCCCAAGTATGAAAGCTCTTGAAAACATTCAAGATCCAACAGTCCTGTGTCTTGGATATTGCGTTCCCAGAATGCAGCACTCTCTCCCTCTGTGCATAACGACTTCAAGGACAAGATTACCCAGCTCTTCGCAGACATTGGCGTGTCTATGAAGACAGATTTTGATCCCTTGGACCATCAGATCATTGCTGACCTGGCACATGCCCACAAACCCGTGCAGGACTGCCAACAGCTTGCATACAAGCTACACCACCAACATCTTCTTGCTCTCTGTCTTTGCCTCCCTGCCCCACTGGACAAAAGTGTCATGAGGCACTTTTGTACAGTGGAAAGTAGCTCTATTCGCCTCCCTTTAGTCTGCCTTGAGCAGTATCTGGAAGATCAAAACCTTCCATCTGGCCCCCAAGCCAGTGCCATTGACACTGCTACTGCCATGGTTATAGGATAAATAAGCTTGCTTATAGTCTTCTCTCCTTGTCCTGTCTTCTCCCCTCCTCTCTGTCTCTCTTATTTTAACCTGTATTATTCTTTCTCTTCCTCTTAGCTAGTTTTATCAGTCATATTTCTGTTTTTTCTCTTATTTCTTCTGCTGCAGTTCTCTTGGGTCGCCACGATGCTAAAATGCGCAAGGCTTAGACAAACCCACAATAAAAAATATTTTCACCTCTCACCTGTCCACCCTTATTACCAAATATCTCTTTTGCATAAAGAATACAGACACACAAAGTTGGTGCCAAACGCAGAATTAACTGAAAATAACCCTCCCATCACAAACCATTCACTAACACACCAGAACAACCTGTTCAACAACATACAAATGGCCTTAATACGCTTAGAAACCGTGCCATGGGCCCAAGAACAAAGCATATTGTACACAATCTTTAAGTTTACTGCTACAGAAATCGACACCTGCAACATCCCTGGAGACCAACTTGCTACCTGAACCCCGAATCCTGGCAAAAAGAAATAAAGTCCAGACTTTTGCTATCCAGAAGCAGAAAAGAGCAGTCAGCACGTGAAGCATGATCAACAAGAACTGTGCAAACTTGGTTGAGGGTGGCTTCACCTACAACAGGGACGAAGCTATGACTCTCACAGAAGATTAACAGGAACGCGCCACCTTTAAGGCTACCGTTGCTGACTTAACCAGAAAGTTGGAAAAACTGGCCACTGACTACCAGTCAGTAATGGAAAAGCTTAATAGCTTACTTGCCAAGCACGACGCCAGCACTACCAGAGCAACCTTTGCACCCACTGGTAAAGACTTGCTGATAGCATCTAAGCATGCTCCAAAAACCCTGATGAATGATGACAGCAGCAACAATTGCATCTGATGCGCCAACTGCAACCCCATCACTGACAACAGCAACAACAACAACAAAAAAAGCAGTAATATCACTACAGGTAGCACTGCCACACCCACCCAGACTTCATATGCTACGCAAGCCAAGAAGGGCATAGATGCCAAACAGGCCAAGCATAAAGTCTAAGTCCGCAGAGTCCAGGGACAAAGACTCCTACAAAAACCAACTGGTGGCCATGCTAATTGTAAATACTTTTCTGCAAGTCACAAATCCTTCCAAAAAAAATGGAATTTGTTTTATTGTGTAGAATTTTTTACGCGTTTTTGTTACTGATTTGTTTATCAATACTATAATAATGAATGATATCACTTTTGACCCTCGCATCTCAACCATCTACCATTTTATGCCTACGTATGAAAATGGGACAGAAGAATTTGTCTTTGAAGCTGAAGAAGAGTACCAGCTGTGTTTCACAAACAACCCAGCTTGCCATGCCAACTGGGTCGTTCAAAACAGCAACAAGTTGAAGAGAAACGTTTCTGTTGGTGCTTTGATCGATCCCAATCTGATCAATGTAACTCAGTATATTAAATGCGATCATTCTGGCACAAAGGCAGAGAGTTCAAAGAAGCAAGCAGTTGAAAATGATGAGCTCCCTGTTGTCAAGCGTAGAAATACCATGGGTAACAGCATCAAGGTGGGATGCTTGGCTGCTTTAGTTGTTAAGTTCTTTAATGGCAGTAAAGTAACAGTAGTTTACAACTGGAGGCATAATAACCACAATCCTCTTGAGCTTTCTGATATCTCTTGCTCTCGGCTCTCTGAAGAAGCCCGTATCTGGATCAATGAACACGTTGAGAAAAACCTTGACTGGAAAGCCATTAAGGGACTTCTAAGACTAGAAGATGTAAAACTAGAAGAGGTATTTTATTAATATATAGTGACGTTAAAATAAGATTTTATTATATATTTTTAATTATAATGTCTTTAATTAGATGGAGAACTCTATGTCAATGACATCTATTCCTTCTGCAATGATGATACAGTATAAAGATGTTCATAATGCAATTGTAGCTAGAATCAATAACAGTGCTAGAAAGCACTACAAAGATGAGATAGGTACTGAAAGATGGATTGCTTTCCTTCAAGAAAAGGGCTACCAAACTATGATTAACACATATAATTCTGTTGGGCCTCTTCTTGTAAGCTGGGTCTCCCCTTGGCAGAAGAAGGTAACTACAAGTATTACATATATATATAGTCAAATATTTAAATATATATCAAAAAGAATATACTATTTATCACTTTAATTTATTTTATCATTAGTTTTTAGAAAATGCAGAGGAGTGATATCTTGACTCAACCCACAAAACCTGCAAGTCTTTCCTTGACAGCAAGGACTGTTATTTGATGTCTGTGATCGTATACAGCCCTGTAACTAACAAGGGAGTTCCAGTTGCTTTCTTTGTTATCAGCATCAAATGTAGTTATACCATTGCAAGATGGTTGAACTGGTTGAAAGACACCAATAGCTTGAAGGTCAAACGGATCATGATTGACTGTAGCCCAATAGAGCAGAAGGCTATCCGGGATACATTTGGACCTTCAGTTCAAATTCTTTTGTGCCATTGGCATATCAAACGTGCTTGGGAAAGTCATGTCAAGAAGGTAATTTTATTAATGTATTTTACTTAAAACATTGAACCTATATTAACTAGTAATATTATTAGGTGACAATCCCCAACTCCCACCTTGAGACCAAGAATGTCCGGGCCAACATTCGTGCTGCATTGAACTTGATAATACATAGCAATAATGAAGCCGACTACAATGCTCATTGGCAAAAGTTCAGATTAGACTATGGCATGCAGTTTCCTGTCTTAATGTCTTATATGGAAGTTACATGGGAACCAAAGAAAAAAAGTTGGGTTAAGACATGGAGACAGGTATATTCAATATTGTTTTTTTGTCTGGTTATAAAAACTAATTTATAATTATTTTTGTAGGATACTATATGTCATACAAACAATTTGATAGAGTCTTATCATAACCAACTAAAGTCCTTTTATTTAGGCCGGTCTCGTGACTGTAGAATTGACAAGATTGTATATATACTTTCTCAGTTAGCTGAGAGAGATTACCGTCAGGATACTCTTGAGACCTATTTTGATATTAAGAGCATCAGGCTTAGTGTGGCGGACACAGAACGAAAGAGAAAGGCCAGTGTTATTGCTATCAAAAGAGCAAATGGTCTGGTTGAAGAAGTTGAACTGCAAGAATTGCAAGCATACAAGATAATATTATATAAAACATTTGTTTATATAATGTATAATTTATAATTAATATTGTTATTTTAGATGTATTCTTGCAAATCTTTTGGAGAGGGTTATGAACTGGTATACTTTATCAAGTTCACAACCCACTTACATGATTGCTCTTGCCCAGACTCTGCTAGATTGTGCAAACATATCTTCTTGGTCTCTTGAGTTTTTGACCTGCCAGTGACAGTAAGACAAAATGTCGTACTGGATTCAGCTGCGTTGTTTGGTCTTAGTGAAAACAATGGCAATATTATTTCAGAAGATAATATTGCCTTGTTGGAAAACCAAATGAGCGAAGATGAGCAGAAAGCAAATCTTCTGCTTATGAATAAAAGTTTGGAGAGAATTTGGAAGCAGGTGTATACCTCTTCCAAAACCTTTGAGCAAAAAGAAGTCTTGTTGGACCTTATGAAGAAGGTAAACTCTGTTGTTAACTCAACTAATGGGTTGCGAAAGCAGACCTAAAGTCATAGATTATAAGACTTCTCTTTCAATTTATTTTTTTCTCAATAAACATCAAATTTCTACTCTCTTCTTTAATATAAAAGACTTATATAAACTATAAAATCAAATGTATAAAAATTGCCTTGTGAAAATTATTCACTAGACATAAAAAATAAAAATTTAGTTTGTACTTAAAAATAATTAAAAAAGTAAGGTACTTTTGGTATTTTCAGCACAAAATATCCCCCCCCCCTATGTTTTTTCCTTTTTTCTCAAATATTGTGCTCTTTTTTTTGAAGAAATACAAGATACTATTGGCTGAATCTGCGTGACTTGCAGAAAAGTATTTACGATTAGCGTTATTCACAAATGTTCATTTTAATTAAACATTTTACATTTTTGGTAAATATAGATTGGGATTAAGAAATATTGAATGTCAGAAATAAAAAAAAGAAAATATCTAAACTTTTTGCTGCTTGGATAAAATTTGTTAAGACAATTTGAAAAAAGAAAAGTTTATTACAAAAAAAACAAATTATATATCACTTAAGGCACCAAGTGTCAATTTTGGACTACGTTTAAGGCTAGGCCAAATGATGTAATGGCTACCATTGACATTTGATGGCACCAAGCCAACCAACTCTACAATGTCACTGGCATGAATCACTATAGTCTTTGGCTTTACTACAGATGTAATAGGCAATCCATTTTTCAAATGCACACTACATATAGTTATGAGAGCTAGTGGCCATCTCTTTGAGTTGTGTACATGTTGGAAGAATATAACCACCTTTCCAAAGGAATTCTTATATCCTGGACGGTAAGAGCAGGATCTTCTGGAGTTCATGTCCACTTGTAGCTGCACATGAATATGACATGCCTCTGTTGTAGAACTTTGGTTGAATGCAGTGTCAATAACACAACCATTAAGATAGGCCTTGTGGCTTGTCTTTATGGAAGGCTCAAGCATACTACATTCTTCTCCCTTCAAATCATAAAACGTTTTAAGAAGCAATAAAAGATGAGATCTATCTTCAAAGCTATCGAAAATTGTTAAATTCTTCAAAGGCCCCCAGAACTCAATCTCACACTCAGCATTGGCAGGATCACCTCCTTCTGTAACAGGCCACCCATTGGTATATGCACTGTAAACTAGAAGGTTAGCTGGTGAAGTTTTTGTGTTTTCAATGGTTGTCAGTTCCACTACACACCGGGATTGCGCCAGTCTGATCGTGATGTTTCCAGCATTGGCACTGACTTGGGAGTTACTCTTGATAGACCTGGAGTACTCACCAATGGCTCTTTTCACGGATCATGTGCTATATGCTCTTGGTGGGCCAAATAGATCAATCATCTGAGGATAATGCTGAATAATGTGCTGGTTAATTGTGAACACGCCAATGTCAATATCTGCTGTAGAAAGAAGACTCTCTAGAAATAAGTTCCATTCTACAAGATTACTAAGAAAAAAGGTAAAAGTAAATTACTATGAAAAATGAAATAAAATATGGCATTAAACATATCTTCTTATTGAGGTTTGATCCTCTGCTGATAACTCCCAGCTCATGAGTAAATTGCATGTTTGAATAAGGCCAAGTAATGCATTTCGGGCAACCAAGTCTTGGACACGCTCTGCAACCAACGTGGGGACAACAAAGAGTAAAAAGTCTGTCCAATCCACAGCTCTAAAGAAACCGGCATTCTTTGTCACGTCTCTCCAGGCACCATGCAATGATGTAGGGATTGTGCATTTTGCGGCTACCATTGCAGCACCAATCTCCCTTTGAGTGGCAAGAGAAAGACATAGAGGATGCTTGATTCCATATTTCCGCGTACAAGTCCCCATACCTGTTTACTGATGCTGTGGCCCAGACCATGCATCTCGTCTAACGTGAAAAAAAACGGGCCAGAGAATGTTTCCATTGAGCCCCTTTCTGTCTTCACTGCTTGCCAGATTGTAGTTTCTGAAACTCTCCAGTGAGTGCGTCTGGGTTCCAGGCAACATGCGGAAGTACTGGCCATGTTTAGGAGTTTGGCCCACTACATGACAAATACGACAGCCATTCTTACTCGTGTGGCCAACATGGCATGCCAGCTTTGCCAGAGCCGGAATATTGCCAGTGGCCATGAGAACATGTACCTTTGCCCTGATCATTGTCGTCAGTGTTTTTACTTCCATGCCTTCTGTCTGGAGCAAACAGAGATCTTTCAGCATTGGCTCAAGAAAAGACCAGATGTCACTGGGACCAGTGCAACCAGGAAGCATTGCTATTTGGAGCATCCTGTTTTTCTCATAATGGATCGTTGAATTCAAGTTCAAGACAGTTGCATGAACAATGGTTACTGATCCAGGTACATTGTGTGGGTTGAACCCATCCATAGACAACGAAATCGCAATATTGTTTTCACCAGAAAACAGATGCTTCATGGATTGGTATACATGACCATCAATAACATCTGCTTTCTGCCCGTCTTGAATAGATTGGTGGTTATAACGATAGAGCTCTTCAGTCTTGGTCTTATTGTCAGCCAAGCACAAAGGAAGCTGCATGATTGATCTCACAGGAACTCTGGTGTCACTTTTGTTAGTTTGACCATTTTTGTATCTTGCTTCACCACATTTTACACATGCGATATCATTCTTGTTGTTGAATTGCATACAACCCCTTATGCAAATAGTGTATCTGTCTGCTTTGATACCCAAGAAGTGCTCAAGAAGCTTGTTTCCAAAGTGTAGACTGTATGCTAAGTACGTAATATTGCTAGAATAATCAAGGATTTGGTTGAAGTGCTCTACAATCTTTTTGTGGGCTCAACAAGAAATTCCGAGCTCCTGCATCAACTGCATGAACGCAAGATTCCTTTTATTATTGTCTGTTGTGGTGGTTGAAGTTGAAGAAGTTTTTAAGAGGAAGAATTGAAGATTTGTGAGAACTTGTGTAGGTTTTCTTTATTGAGAAAAGATTTTGTATCAAAGTTTGACGAGGTTTCTACACTGAACTACTACTGCTATTCATATTATTTTGGATTGGGAAAATTATATGACTGGTGTCAGATAATCAATTCTATCTGAGCCTTAATCAGAGCAACGTGATCTTGGGATAATTAATGTATGATTAATTATATAAATGTGTGTAGTCCCAATGAAGTATTAACATCGAAAGTAAATGTGTTTATGAGTTATAATTATGCTTATAATAATCCACTGATGTATCCCATATTATGGTGATATCATCATATGAAATATAATCACTATCATGCATGCTAAATCTGTGTGTTAAATAATAAAATAATTGGTAGACACCTTTGACTGGAATAGCTGAGGCCTTATATTATTTCCTTCAGACTTATTCTCAATTACAGCAGTAGTCAATACTCATTTATAACATTGTTGCTGGGAACAGGAAGAGGCTGGCTAAAATCAAAAAATAGCGAGGGATGTGATATCTTCAATTTCTTCCATGAAATTCTTGTATTCTTTGCCAACATCGTAGTATAATAAGATAAAGAATAATAACTATGACTATTATGATATATATATTTATGTATCTTATTATGGGCTCATCATCTTCAGTTCTGTTAATGATATCCATATTTTCATTACTGCTCATATTAGTGTTTTCTCTATTTGTTTATCAAATAATATAACTGATTAACATATTGCCTATCTTCTTGTGTTTTTGCTTTTCATAAGCTTACCCAAAGACCAAGTTAGGAACCATTGCTGATGTAGACTAGCTTTGATCAGGAAAAGAAACCGCTTGAGAAACTTTGACATTTACAAGCAAGTGTGCACTATTTGCAATACACCTTTCTAGGCAGCTTTTATATGTTCAACTGTTATTAAAAATCGACTTGCAAATTCAGCATTGCTGACAAGGGGCTTTTGTGATTTTAGACATGTTTAAAGTAGGTAAAAAAAACTTTATTATATAAGTAAGAATAGAATTAGTTACTTTCTGAATGTATAGCTTTATATTTAATTATATCAAGACAATGCTGTTATATCTATTTTGAATATATACTCGGGATCTTAAAGAAGTATCTGTATGTCATCAGTGAAGTTACTAGATCAATAATTCTTCATAAGGAAAGCAATAGATTTGTACAAATAATTTGAAACTAATAATAGTTTCTGATAAATTTTTTTCTCTTTCTTTCTTTTTCTATAACAAATAAGTAACTAATTTTTTTTTTACAATTATGAACAGTACAGAAAATACAGTTATGCAGTTGCTTCAAGGAATACAAGCTGCACTTATTTCTTTAAAGAGAGGTCAAAAAGCATTGCTAGATCATCAAGAAGCATTAGAAAAAAACAAGATACAATACAGCTTCAAATGACAAATCTTTACAATGTATTTAAAGACTGTGAATTCCCAAACAGAACTATTGCAACATCTAGCAATATAAGCAAATACCATAATAATTAAAGTCCTATTAATTAATATCAAATATAATAGACTCCTACTGGCATCATTCCAAGACTAGTGTCAAACATTAATAATATTAGTACAAAACATATATATGATAATAAAACATGATCTTGGGATTGAGCTAACCAAGAAAATCAAAAAGATTGTTAACACATGTACCAAGATTATATGTGATTAATTAGCAGCTCTTCCATCTGTTTAGGATCTTGGAACAAGCCCCAGCTGGTCATTACTTCCTCAAGAAGATAAAAACAGGCTGTGTATCAATCATTCTATCATACTCAGAGACAATGGAATTGATTTCACCAGATGCCACAGAAACTGGGCATCACTTACAAAGGTTAGCTAGCTCTAGAGAGAGCGTATGAAGCGAGAATCTTCTGGTAAGTTCATATCTGATAGGTACAATAAATTGTGTAATTAATGTGAAAATATGTAATAATCTGAAGGAATTTTAGCTAGTACGATTCATGAATAAAAGATTATTTCTATTATAACAACCAATAAAAATATTTTTAAATAATAATCTTCAATGAAATAAAGCTTTTTTACCCAATTAAAACTGTGAATGAATCAGAATATATATATTTAAGAATCAATTGAGAGAATGCTTTTGTTTAAATGACCAATACTATCAATATGCATACTGCAATAAAGTTTATATTATCCAATTAAAAGTAGCAGTATAGCAAAAGTATTTTATTAGTGACAATACAAAGATTCTTTTTTTCCATCTATACCAATAAGAAAGCTCTTTCTTATTTTCTTTCTACCAATAGAATAATAAGAATAATATATAAATTTAAGTCTCAGGATATGAATAAAACCTAATATTCATTAGTCAACGGAGATCTAAATATTATTCCAAAAAAGAAAGTGGTATTTTTGATGGTTTTACCAAAATCACCTCCTAAAATACCACTTAAAATACCACTTAAAATACCAACAAAAAAACCACTTTTTTTTACATAGTGTATGTTATAAATCTAATAATCTTCTAGAGCAGAAATAGATGTTGTAAATTTATAAATATAATAAGTATAAAGCAGATACTTCTTTTTTTACTTTTTTCATTATTTTTCTGTTGTTTCAATCCATAATTTTTTTTTCAAATATAAGACATATTTTGTCATACATAATGCAAATTTTAGACCAATAAATAATTTGTTTTAAGTCAATAAATAATTTATTAGTATTCTCTCTAAAGAGTTTAGCATAATAATATAATAGGCAAGAATTATTTAAATAAGGTTTAAAAATCTAAAAATATATACTCTCTACTTGTTTAAATATGTGACACTAATGGTTAAATACTACATTTCTATTGGCCAAACAGAAGTTGTAAGGGCTGTGTTTCAAATTATGTTTTTTCTTATAGTGACAGTCAGTATAATACCCAATATTTTAAAAAATATTTGAAAATTCTGAATGTATAAAGATTGTTAATATATTTCTAACCAATAATAATAAATTTAAGATATCAATAAATTAACCTACTGAAAATGTTTTTAGTTAAGTTTATATTTTGATATAAGTTTTTATCAACAGAACTCAATATAAACAATCAAAACAACAGCTTCTCTTATATAAACAATGAATACCTTCAGTAAATAATTGATATCAGCACTGCTATGTACCACATAAACTAAGCAATTATGGTAAAAAGTATGGAAGCTTGACATATTAGCATAATCAAGAACTATACCACTAAGCAAGAGAAATAGAAAGTAAGTATTAAACATTGGTTATACATTATTAGAAGATATTTGTTTTAATGATCGAGGCTAACAGACTATAAACTAGAATTGGTGCATAGAGAGAAAAAATTAGGATAGATACTCTGCATTGAACGAAAAACTCAGTTTCTTCTTGATAGAGTATGTGACCAATTGCGGCAACCAATATCAGCAATCTTGGAGGATGGAGGGTTTTTGGCTATAGGGATGGGGAGTAACTGCACTGCACAATTTAAGATGACTGCTGATCCGAGACCCAGCTATAACCTGTCTTGAAGAACCCCCCATCCCCATCCTTTATAAGCACACCCTTGTCCCCATCATTATAAGCATATTTCTGTCCCCATCTTTAGATTATTCCAATTTCCCAGAAAAAATAAAAACACACCCTTTTTTAAAGTCATTAACATTTAGTTGTAAGAATAAAAAATAATATTTTCAAATAACAAGATATGATGTCTTTTTTATGTTGTGTACAATACATACATTGCATACATAAATCAATAAAAATACTTATATAACTACAGTACTCTTTTATTAAATATGAATTTTTGTGGGGAAAAAATAAAGCAAAATACAATATAGATGAAAGAATTTGTGAGAACTTGTGTAGGTTATTTATTTCAATAGAAAAGTAAAAAATAATAAAATTTGATTGTTTTTCTATACAAAACTATCTACTGATATTTATGTGTTTTTCTAATTTATAATTCAGTGTGTGCTTAAGTAATCTTTATCACGATGAGTCATCTTCCAGGAGTATTGTTCTTCTGGAAAGATCCGGAAAGACCAATTGATATGACACTTCTCCAGTCAGATCAGTCCAAGAGTTTTGGTAAAGAAGAGCATTTATGCTATTGGTAATATTTTAGTATTCCGACCCAGATACTTGGGTAATGTTTCATAATATTAGATAGTTGTAGTTGTAGTCTCTCAATTAAGTATTTGTATAATAAAAGAAATATGTAGATGAAATATAATGATGCCATATATATAATGTATATTTATTTGTATATCCCATGTTATGGTGATAATAATAAATAATCAATTATGTGTATGATGATCTGTGTATTAGATAATATCATAAAGGGAGATCCGTTTGACTGGAATAGCTGAGGATATTATTTTATCCTTCAGTCTTACTCTCAGATTCAGCAGTAAGCAATACTTATTCACAACAACTCTGATCTACAGTTTGAGATCTGGAACCTTTCTTTACAACTGGGAGGACTTGACGGAAGTCTCTGCCAAAAACAAAAACCTTGCCACTAAAAGAAACATTCTGCTTTTCAGCATCAACAGCACCTATGATATCTTGAAGACATTTGTTAACAGCTTCAAAGTTATATTTGCCGCACATAACAGTCTTGTTTCAGAGAAATAGCAATATGTTTTGCAGTAGATTTGACTGTGATGCTCTAAGTGATATGTTACATGTCGAATTTATATCAGCATTTAATGGGGTCTTAAATCTGCTATGAGTCATTTTTCTATCAGGTAAAAGAATTGCCGCAATTCCAGAACTTGCAACAGGAAGGGCAATTTCATTTTGAGCTCTGACATAGTTGAGTAATGTTTTGAAAAGCAATGATTTTTCTGTGCTATCTGGACTGTCTACAAAGAAGAGTCTTGGCTGTTTTACATTTGCTGACATACTAAAGCTTTCTACAATCTGATCATATGCTGTTTTTTGCTCTATATTGAAGATTGGAATTGTTGCATCCAGTTTGGCTTGCTCTTCTTCAGAACTGTATGATCTAGACTCAACTATCTTAAGGGCTTGGAGAGCTGAAAGCGTCTCTAATTCCATTATATATGTTTGTAGCATAGTTGGAAATTCAGAGAGACTGTGACCCGTTACTTGTAGACATGGCTGGATATCACTAAGAACTCTTTGAAGAATTGTTTGCTGCTGTTCATCACTAAGTGAGTCATCACAAATAGAGAAATTACGTCGAATTTGAAAAAAAATAATCATCAAACATTCGATTTTTATGCTTTTCCCAGATGGCAGCAGGATCCACAGAAGAATAATTGGCAAGTATATAAGAGAACAATGCTCTTACCACTGCTGTCAAAGATGATATATGGTCAGCTTCTGTAAGAAATAAGTCCCATTAATTGTCATTTACTAATAGTCAAAGAACAAGAGCAATCTCTTGAAATGTCTTGCACTAGACATTGTTTACAGTCTTGAGATTAGCAAAGCTGGTTGGACCTGGGACTTTGAGAAGTAGTAATTGTATACAGAACAATTCCATGTTTGAAGGGCTGGTGATATATATGCGAGATATAACATCTTTAAAAGCCGGACTTACTCGTCTTTTCTATTTTTTTTTCATATGCACTCTATGTATAGTGCTTAGATACTTCAGGATATGTATAAATACGTGCACTAACATTATTAAGGCAAAGGGTAAAAAAAGCTAACAGCATTGTTCCTTCAGAAACTGCATTTCTTGCTAATTGAAGCTGTTCAGGGGACATATCTTCTCGGAAAGTTACAATTTGTTCACCAGACAAATGAATGTTTAATCTTGTAACCATAGGAAAGTAGAAATGGATGGGCAGAGCTAAAGTGCGATATACGGCTTCACATGGTCCAATATATCTGCTATTTTGGTATTCTGATATTTTGTCTATTGCTGGTGGTAATATTTGGGCATCTGTAGTGACTTGTGTACTTTCATTTCTGATTTCCAGCTGAGCTCTATCAGACCCTTTTGTGATGTACTTACAAAGGTATTTGATAGCACGGGTAGTTGAGCAAATTTCAATGTTGATATGGGCGGCATATTTATGAGAAAGATATGGGTTGTAAGGTACTATATGGTGATTGGTGGCAACAAACTTTCCATCCAAAAAAGCATGAAACTGGCCATTATTTCTTCTACGGTAAAGTGGATAGCCGTTGTTGCTCACTTGTGTCTCATTTATGTACGTTTTTGGATAGTCCTTGCTACATTTTCTATCTTTTATACATGCTGCCGTTTTTTAATCATCTCCACATGGACCATGAATCATTGAACTTAAAACTGTTTTATATAGTTGAGAATTGACGTGAGGGTCTGGCATCTCAGCACAAACAAAGTTATCAAACTCCTGAGGTGTTTGTGGATGCTCTTCCTCTTCGAGAATAAATAACATATGTGCATGAGACAGGCCTCTCTTTTGAAATTCAATTGTAATAATATATGATAATACTGCACCAAAGCACTTACTGTCAGTTATATGCTTTATAAGTTCTTTTAATTTCATGTTAAACACTCCAACACAAAGATCTGGACGATCCTGAGCTTTCTGGCCATTGAGCTCTCTAACAATTTTGGGCCACCTTTGATTGCAAGTGAATGTTATGAAAAGAGTTGGTACTCCACGAGTTCTAATCAAAGCTAGTCCATCTTGTAACATTTGCTTCATATAATGTGGGCCGCCAGTGAAAGAAGAGGGAAGGATTATGGATTTTCCAATTTGTTGAGGATCTTCTGTATTATCTAAAAAGCCTTTATAAAGCTCTGCCTGAAGGTTATTTTGGTGAAGTCTGAGATATAAAAGACGACTTGTTTGAATTCGCACATACAGACCCATATCAGTACTGAATAAAATTTTAAGATTCTGCCAAATCAAGGCATCACCATTACACTACTTTTTATTTATTTATTCAAAGCTTTTCCTCATTCGAATCTCACCATGTCTCACCAAAACAAAAAGGAAACTCTTCCCAAACGAAAGCAGCTTTCAGATTATTAAAGAGGACTGATAATTGGTGGTGCTATAGTAAATGGCACTGCTGCTAAAATTTCTGAGAAGAATGGTATATCTCTAGCAACGGTGTATTCCACAATCAATAGATGGAGAGATACTGGAACCGCATTTCCTGATAAGCGAAAAGGAACTTTGAAGATAATGGATGAGCGAGATGAGCGTCACTTGATTAATGAGATGAAGACGAATTGTGAGACAACAATTGGGGGTCTTACCACCTTTATGTCTGACACCCTAGGGCATCTCATCTCCAAGTCTACCATTCATCGAACTATTTGTAGATCTGGATTGTCTTCTTGTAAAGTTGTATACAAGCCACTGCTATCAAAAGCACACAAAAAGAAGCGGTTGGCATTTGCTAATCATGCCAGAGAGACTAATCAGAGATGGGATCGCGTCATCTGAAGCGATGAGTCAAGGTTTTTGCTTTTCAGCAGAGATGGCAATACTAGAGTATGGCGGTATCCTTAAGAAAAATACAGAGAAGAGTTCATTAGACCAAGACTGCAGTGTGGTGGAGGCTCCATTATGGTTTGGGGCTGTGTATGGGCAGGAGGAGTTGGCCCATTGAAAACCATAAAGAACATGCTTGACCAGTATGCATATATGGACTTAATGAAAAGGAAGCTTCTTCCATTTATGGAATCTCTTAGTGAGAAAAATGATGGGGAGTTTATCTACCAAGAAGATAATGCTCCTTGTCATAAGTCTAAGCTTGCAGAAGAGTGGAAGAAGCGTCAGAACTTCCCAGTGATGGTATGGCTGCCGAACAGTCCAGATCTCAGCCCCATAGAGAATTTATGGGCATATCTTACCAGAAAAGTGAAGGCCAGAGTCCTCTCTCCAAAAAATCTTAATAAGTTGGAGAGGGCTATTCATATAGAATGGAAGAATATTCTGGCTGACATTTGCAAGACACATTGCATGTCAATGCCTAATTGCTTACATGAGATGAAGAAGGCTTGTGGAGGGTCAACACATTATTAATTTTTTTAATAAATTTACTTTTTAATTTCTTAAGATCTATATCTTAGTATATATATGTTTTCAAACATGGGGTGTTAAGTGAATATAGACAAACTAGTGTAAGAATGTTAAAGAAGTTGATGCCTTGATTTGGCGGAATCTTAAAATTTTATTCAGTACTGATATGGGTCTGTAATTGTCTACTAAGTACTGCTGAAACAACCTTCCATAATGATGCAAATAAGTACCATTGCAAACCATCATCAGGTAACAACAGTGATCAAGAAGTGAGACTTTAACTGATTGGCAATGAATTGTGCGAAGTAATGGATTGGGAGATATACATTTAAGATTCATATGCCATCTATCATCACCAAATGGAAACATAAGAACATAATGAAAAGCAATGTATGTTGGGTTCATTGAGCTAATGGAGCGATATCTTGTAGTGTGGTCATTGATAGCAATATCATGTAGTAATGTAGCTCTGTCAGCACTTTCTTCAATTACTATTGCAGCAACTTCTGGAGAGCTTTGGATATCATAACAGCGCCCTATTTCTCTTGCTGCTCTAACAATTACTTGGAGTGTTCCAATAGGCTGATCACGGAATTGCTTAGCTTCAGATGTGGTATTTCAGGTACGAAACAATAGAAAAATAAAATATTTGATAATAGAGACATATAGAAATACTTTGAGACTGTATATCAGTTTTTTTTATTCATAAATAAAAAGTGTCCCTTTTTATAAGAAAACACAATCTGCTCTTGTCATTACGTCTTAGTTTCTTAAGGCTTTCTTCCTTTACTATATTTGGCTATTAGAGTGTATTTACTGCTTAACTAGTGTCGGTGTTACAATTATGACATCAAGTCATAAATCGTACTTCTTTAGCTCTTAGCTATTCTTTTCTCTTTTATACTAGAGCTTTAGGACTTCCTACTAAATTAGCTCCATATCGATCTGACACAGTTTACCCGGCAGTATGATATAATTATCTTAACAATCTTTAAGATATTATCTACAGTACTAACTGTAATAATTATTGGGCTGATTACTTAATCGTTTATATATATTTTATACTGACAAGATGATAGCTACTACACTATTCCAATATGAATATGTTCTTATATGTGATAAATCCAACATCCGAGTGTCTGGATCACCACATCAGACTTAAGAGTGTGTGCATAAGGATTGCACAAATTGATTGAATTTTGAATGGTTTTGATTGTTGAAGGATTCAATCCAGAAAATAAGGTTGAACGCCTTGCTAGTTGTTTGTTTGTATTCCAAAAAGAAATCTGTGAAAATCCTGCAGTAGTAGGATCTTGAGAACGAAGTGAGCCAATATTATGGTACATTGTACCATTTACACAGAATGTGAAAACATCATTTCTTCTACTGGCTAAATTTTCATCAACATTTGCCTTGATCAAAGCAAATGCAAAAGCATTATTGAAAGCTCTAATGTTGGTATAAAACTTTTCAGCTTGCTGGTTGGATTGATTATGGTTTGTTACACAATCCTATAATGCTTGTGGTGATGCAATAGATAATAGAACAGTAATTTTTCTATTAGAACAGAATAATCCAAACCTTGAGTTTGTTTAGCTACTTGTTTGTAGGCGTTCATCAATCCACATACGGGTATTACAATAAAAACATGTACGTTTCATTGGTGGGAAAACATGTCTACAATATTGGTCACCCTCACTTAAACACATGTTTGGCCCAATAATACTTTCAGAGGTAAATAAGACTGTTGTGGGGAGAAAATAAAGCAAAATATAATATAGACGAAAGAATTTGTGAGAACTTGTGTAGGTTGTTTATTTCAAAAGAAAAGTAAAGAATGATAAAATTCGATTGTCTTTCTACATGGAACTATCTACTGATATTTATATGTTTTTCTAATTTGTAATTCAGTGTGTGCTTAAGTAATCTTTATCACGATGAGTCATATTCCAGGAGTATTGTTCTTCTGGAAAGATCCGGAAAGACCAATTGATATGACACTTCTCCAGTCAGATCAGTCCAAGAGTTTTGGTAAAGAAGAGCATTTATGCTATTGGTAATATTTTAGTATTCCGACCCAGATACTTGGGTAATGTTTCATAATATTAGATAGTTGTAGTTGTAGTCTCTCAATTAAGTATTTGTATAATAAAAGAAATATGTAGATGAAATATAATGATGCCATATATATAATGTATATGTATTTGTATATCCCATGTCATGGTGATAATAAAAAATAATCAATTATGTGTATGATGATCTGTGTATTAGATAATATCATAAAGGGAGATCCGTTTGACTGGAATAGCTGAGGATATTATTTTATCCTTCAGTCTTACTCTCAGATTCAGCAGTAATCAATACTCATTCACAACAAAGACCATGTGAGCAATTCTATACTGTAAAGTAGTAGAGATATTTCCATTCATTTTAATGACTCTCTTGGGATTAAAAGGACAATCATAGTGACTTATTCTGAAATGTGTATTTGAGCCACAGCTTGAGCAAGTGCGTGCGCTAATTACTGTCTGTTCAGATACACTCTGAACAACGCAGGAAGAAGTCTCCTCTTTTATTCTCTCTTTGTTATTTGTGCTAATACTCTTACTTATGTTAATTGCATTATTAGGGCAGCTGCGATGAGTTGATCACCTGTGTTCTGTTAATTCACAACTTGGGCAAAAATATATTTGAGCTTGTACATATGGTACTGCACTATTCAATGAACAATCTCGGTGTGTTGTTCTTATGTATGTATTAGAGTCACATCTGCAGGAGCGTGAGTACTGAGTAGTTTAAGAAATTCTGACTAACAATAGTGTTGAGCTTGTTTAAATAACTTATAAATAAATTTATATATAAATAAATTGGAATATTACTATGATTAATTTATATTTTTGAATTCTATTTTTGTAAGAAATAATAAGTTAGTGAACAGATAATGTGATGAGTTAGGAAGATGTATATCACGTGACAGACTAACTCCATTCTGTTTTAATAATATGATATCTACAATGTTAAACTCTGATATCAGAGTTGATATTGGTAACCAAAATCAGAACTTACAAGCAATCAGTAATGGTTGACTTTTTAGGATAAAAGATTTTGACTTTGCCAATTGGTCTTTCATATATGTTTTAGATGTTTAAGGTAGTGAATATACTCATAAAAGATATTACTGGACAACAAGCATGTAAGACATATTATTGTAGCTATTCTTTTAGTCAGAAATCAATTATCATTTTGTATAAATAGTTATGAAATACATGTAATAAAAAGAATCTTGATTCCTATCTAAAAACTATTCACAAACTTGATGATTTCCAGTAGTATTGATTCTGCAACTTAGTTAAAAATGTTAGAAGAGAAATACCAGGTCGAGACTTGACAGATACAGGATTTCCACTCCAAAAGTTATATTTTTTTTTCAAACTATATATTTTTCAAAATCAAAACCTTCATTTTGTGCTCCAACTATATATAAAAAAATCGATTTATTTCTTGGCTATTTGTACATTGGAGGAAAAAGCTAATGCTATGATCAACCCAGCTCTAGCAGTTTTCCATAGCAATATAGCATGAGCACTCAGCAATATACTCTAAGAATTGACTACAGACCAACCTGGACTTTCTCTTGACCAGTGTTTTGAGTTTGAAGAAGCACTCTTCAATTGGGTTTAGGAAAGGAGAGTATGGGAGGAGAAAGTGTAGATGGTGTTGTGAATTAACTAACAATTCAGTAACAAGGTGATATCTATGGATTGAGGCATTATCTATAATGAAGTTGTGGGAGGCAGCATTACTGTGATTGAGCGAATCCATAATCGTCCTTACAAATTCAACAAAAATTGGTCATGTTATGTCATCAGGTGTCAACTTTGCCCATACACTCTCAAAACCCTGGTAAGATATACCAGCAAAAATTGAGATGTTTAGTACCTTTTTTAACTTCGTCTTCACAATGCTGGCCTTGTCTTTCTTGGACCACCCTTGTTCTCTGATCAGGTTTGCATTAAATCCTGCTTTGTTTACAAAAATACAATTGGTTTTATATAATAAACCATTTGTGTGCATACTGTCTACACATACTTTTCTCAGCTCAATAGTCTTTGAGTCGTTTCTTTTTTCCTCGACTGGCTTGGTTCTCTTCAGTGTGAACCCAATGTTGTTAATAATGTGCTTATGTAAGCCACTAATGCTTAAGTTTTGATCTTGAAGCTCTGGATATTTTCTAAACAGTTCCTCTCTCATTTGACCAAGCATCAAGGTGCAGCATTTGTCCAAGAGGTCTTGAATGAACTTCAAATGCTCATCAGTTATCTTAAGACTTTCCACGTGCAAGCTGTTTTGCTTCTTAGGCTCGACAGTAGCATCCTTCTAGAACTTGGTGCTGATGTTGTTAATCAATGCCCATGAGACATCAAATACCCTGAATGCTTCGGTTTGGGTCGTGGACTCTTCTATATAACATTTCTCCACAATCATATTCTTGATGTAAATTGGAAAACCTTTTATGGTCCATTCCTTTTTCTTCTCTTAATGATAGCAGCTTAATTAGATTTTATATTGGAGGATTTGAATATAGAAGATAATAGATAAAGACAATGCTCAAAACCATATTGCAAACTTAGAATTATATACTTTTCTGATAACAATATATTGACATTGCATGTTTTCTCATATTGTTTTTAATAAACAGTGTAGACATTCTTTAAATACACCTGGCTTACGGTGAAATTGACTTACTTTCAACTCTATCATGACTTCTTTCTATGCAAGAAGACCATCTTCTATTTTCCTTTTATTTTAATTCTATAATCTCTCTAATAAAACAAATCACAATGCCAAAGAACAATAAAGCTAAAACTACCAACTAATATTATAAGACAACAGATTTTGAAAAAGAAATGATTATTGGAAGATATAAAGAAGGACGTAGCTTCTATGAGATTTCAGATGCAGAAGGCATAACCCAATCAACTGTTTATTATATAATTAAAAAATACAAGACAAAGAAGATGTGCGCTGAGAAGGAGCATCCTGGGGTTTCTAAGAAGCTATAACCATGGGCAATTCATTATTTGAAGTTCACCACAAAAAAATAGACGTGACACATTAGCTACCATCACGCGCAGTGTTAAAAAGATGCATGACATCTCAAGCAGTCAAGCAACAGTATGCAAATATCTGCACAATATGGTCCTTCGCTCTTGTATTGCTGTAGCCAAGCCTTACCTAGATGAAGCACATAAGAAGGCATGCTTGCAATGGGTTAGGGAGTGAAAAAATTGGAATGATGAATGGACATCAGTAATCTGGAGTGATGAGTCCAGATTCACCCTTTTTCAGAAAGGTGGACAGCAATATGTTTGGCGCTAACCTCATGAGAAGTATGACAATGACAGTTTGGTACCAGCAGTGCAAGGGTTGGGTGGTTCAGTATCAGTTTGGGGATGTATTTGGGCAGGAGGTGTTGGCCCACTAGTTATATTAGATGACTACATGATAAAAGAAATGTATATTCAGGCACTGAGGGACAACTATCTCCCATTTCTTGCTGCCCTTCCTGATAAGGACACCACCACCTACCTTCTCCAAGAAGACAATGTCAAGCCACATAAGAGCAAGTTGGCGGAACAGTGGAAAAAAAGAAATGATGTGGCTATCTTACCATGACCTGCAAAAAGTCCAGATCTCAATCCAATTGAGAATATGTGGGGCTACCTTGATAACAAGGTTAGAGATAGAAGACCTCAGCCTACCACACTAAAAGAACTGGAGGTTGCTTTGTTGGAGAAGTGGGCAGAAATCACAGCAAGTACTTGTGTGAAGTTTTATCTAAGCATTAAAGATCGTATGATATTAGTTAGGAAGAAGCATGGAGAAGCTATTAGAGAGCTGTTTAAATTTGAGGTGTATCCTTTCATCTGATGCAAGCCCCCCTTTTTTTCTTTTTTGAATTAATTTATGCAAAACCATCTGAAACATCTGTTTTTAGTAAGTCGAATATCTTGATTTTTCTTGTTTGAATAAGAAATATTGATGATATTTTGCAAGCATAATCATTAAGCTATATAAAGCCCAGTTATTTCAGAATTCTAATATTTTTTCACTCTTCTTGCATATATATATTCTAATACAACAATGCCTCCAAAAAGAACCTCTAAGAACGCTGAGAACAGCAACAAGAAACTGCGAATCAAGCAGTATAAACTTTCTGGATTTGAGGAAGAGATGAAGCCGAAGAAGGCACATGGTTCCTGGAACGATACCAAAGAGTTGGTGTTGTTACAGGAATACGCACACCTTTTCCCCTTTCTTTGAAGAAAGATGCACACAAGAAGGCATGGCAGGACATTATTAAAAGGGTCAACGACGTGACATCTAGTGAGACAGAGCTATCTTACAACACTTGCCATCGCAAAATGTTGAAACTTGTAGACATCTACAAGAATGCCTTTGAGGAGAGAACTGTTGCTGGGATCTCAGGTGCAAATAGAAACAGGCCAGAGGTAGAGAAGGCTGTCCAAAAGATCCTTGACAAGGTACAGTCAAATTTATATTTAGTTTCCTTTCAGTTTTCTAATTACATACATATATTTAGTTAAATGTCACTACGGGAAAAAAAGTGGTCTTTTTGGTGGTCTTTTAGGTGGTATTTTAGATGGTCTTTTGGGTGGCAGTTTTGGTAAAACCAGCAAAAAGATCATCCCTATTTTTGGAAATATAATTAGATCTCCGTTGACTGATAGATGTTAGGTTTTATTCATATCCCGATATTTAAATTTATGTATTATTCTTCTCGTTCTATTGGTAGAAAGAAAATAAAAAAGAGCTTTCTTATTGATATAGATAGAAAAAAGAATCTTTGTATTATCACTCATAAAATACTTTCGTTATACTGCTACTTTTAATTGGATAATATAAACTTTATTGCAGTATGCACATTGATAGTATTGGTCATTTAAACAAAAGCATTCTCTCAATTGGTTCTCATATATATATTCTGATTCATTCACTGTTTTAATTGGGCAAAAAAGTGTTATTTCATAGAAGATCATAATTTAAAAATGTTTTTATTGGTTGTTATAATAGAAATAATATTTTATTTATGAATCTTACTGGCTAAAATTCCTTCAGATTATTACATATTCTCACATTAATTACACAATTTATTGTACCTACCAGATATAAACTTACCAGAGTATTCTCGCTTCTTACGCCCTCTCCAGAGCTGGCTAACCCTTGAAATTGATGCCCAGTTTCTGTGGCATCTGGTAAAATCGATTCCATTGTCTCTGAGTATGATGGAATGATTGATACACAGCCTGTTTTTATCTTCTTGAGGAAGCAATGACCAGCTGGGGCTTGTTCCAAAATCCTGAACAGATGGAAGAGCTGCTAATTAATCACATATAATCTTGGTACATGTGTTAACAATCTTTTTGATTTTCTTGGTTAGCTCAATCCCAAGATCATGTTTTATTATCATATATATGTTTTGTAATAATATTATTAATGTTTGACACTGGTCTTGGAATGATGCCAGTAGGAGTCTATTATATTTGATATTAATTAATAGGACTTTAATTATTATGGTATTTGCTTACATTGCTAGATGCTGCAATAGTTCTGTTTGGGAATTCACAATCTTTAAATACATTGTAAAGATTTGTCATTTGAAGCTGCATTGTATCTTGTTTTTTTCTAATGCTTCTTGATGATCTAGCAATGCTTTTTGACCTCTCTTTAAAGAAATAAGTGCAGCTTGTATTCCTTGAAGCAACTGCATAACTGTATTTTCTGTACTGTTCATAATTGTAAAAAAAAATTAGTTACTTATTTGTTATAGAAAAAGAAAGAAAGAGAAAAAAAAATTATCAGAAACTATTATTAGTTTCAAATTTTTAGCTTTAAATTATTAGTTTCAAATTATTTGTACAAATCTATTGCTTTCCTTATGAAGAATTATTGATCTAGTAACTTCACTGATGACATACAGATACTTCTTTAAGATCCCGAGTATATATTCAAAATAGATATAACAGCATTGTCTTGATATAATTAAATATAAAGCTATACATTCAGAAAGTAACTAATTCTATTCTTACTTATATAATAAAGTTTTTTTTACCTACTTTAAACATGTCTAAAATCACAAAAGCCCCTTGTCACCAATGCTGAATTTGCAAGTCGATTTTTAATAACAGTTGAACATATAAAAGCTGCCTAGAAAGGTGTATTGCAAATAGTGCACACTTGCTTGTAAATGTCAAAGTTTCTCAAGCGGTTTCTTTTCCTGATCAAAGCTAGTCTACATCAGCAATGGTTCCTAACTTGGTCTTTGGGTAAGCTTATGAAAAGCAAAAACACAAGAAGATAGGCAATATGTTAATCAGTTATATTATTTGATAAACAAATAGAGAAAACACTAATATGAGCAGTAATGAAAATATGGATATCATTAACAGAACTGAAGATGATGAGCCCATAATAAGATACATAAATATATATATCATAATAGTCATAGTTATTATTCTTTATCTTATTATACTACGATGTTGGCAAAGAATACAAGAATTTCATGGAAGAAATTGAAGATATCACATCCCTCGCTATTTTTTGATTTTAGCCAGCCTCTTCCTGTTCCCAGCAACAATGTTATAAATGAGTATTGACTACTGCTGTAATTGAGAATAAGTCTGAAGGAAATAATATAAGGCCTCAGCTATTCCAGTCAAAGGTGTCTACCAATTATTTTATTATTTAACACACAGATTTAGCATGCATGATAGTGATTATATTTCATATGATGATATCACCATAATATGGGATACATCAGTGGATTATTATAAGCATAATTATAACTCATAAACACATTTACTTTCGATGTTAATACTTCATTGGGACTACACACATTTATATAATTAATCATACATTAATTATCCCAAGATCACGTTGCTCTGATTAAGGCTCAGATAGAATTGATTATCTGACACCAGTCATATAATTTTCCCAATCCAAAATAATATGAATAGCAGTAGTAGTTCAGTGTAGAAACCTCGTCAAACTTTGATACAAAATCTTTTCTCAATAAAGAAAACCTACACAAGTTCTCACAAATCTTCAATTCTTCCTCTTAAAAACTTCTTCAACTTCAACCACCACAACAGACAATAATAAAAGGAATCTTGCGTTCATGCAGTTGATGCAGGAGCTCGGAATTTCTTGTTGAGCCCACAAAAAGATTGTAGAGCACTTCAACCAAATCCTTGATTATTCTAGCAATATTACGTACTTAGCATACAGTCTACACTTTGGAAACAAGCTTCTTGAGCACTTCTTGGGTATCAAAGCAGACAGATACACTATTTGCATAAGGGGTTGTATGCAATTCAACAACAAGAATGATATCGCATGTGTAAAATGTGGTGAAGCAAGATACAAAAATGGTCAAACTAACAAAAGTGACACCAGAGTTCCTGTGAGATCAATCATGCAGCTTCCTTTGTGCTTGGCTGACAATAAGACCAAGACTGAAGAGCTCTATCGTTATAACCACCAATCTATTCAAGACGGGCAGAAAGCAGATGTTATTGATGGTCATGTATACCAATCCATGAAGCATCTGTTTTCTGGTGAAAACAATATTGCGATTTCGTTGTCTATGGATGGGTTCAACCCACACAATGTACCTGGATCAGTAACCATTGTTCATGCAACTGTCTTGAACTTGAATTCAACGATCCATTATGAGAAAAACAGGATGCTCCAAATAGCAATGCTTCCTGGTTGCACTGGTCCCAGTGACATCTGGTCTTTTCTTGAGCCAATGCTGAAAGATCTCTGTTTGCTCCAGACAGAAGGCATGGAAGTAAAAACACTGACGACAATGATCAGGGCAAAGGTACATGTTCTCATGGCCACTGGCAATATTCCGGCTCTGGCAAAGCTGGCATGCCATGTTGGCCACACGAGTAAGAATGGCTGTCGTATTTGTCATGTAGTGGGCCAAACTCCTAAACATGGCCAGTACTTCCGCATGTTGCCTGGAACCCAGACGCACTCACTGGAGAGTTTCAGAAACTACAATCTGGCAAGCAGTGAAGACAGAAAGGGGCTCAATGGAAACATTCTCTGGCCCGTTTTTTTTCACGTTAGACGAGATGCATGGTCTGGGCCACAGCATCAGTAAACAGGTATGGGGACTTGTACGCGGAAATATGGAATCAAGCATCCTCTATGTCTTTCTCTTGCCACTCAAAGGGAGATTGGTGCTGCAATGGTAGCCGCAAAATGCACAATCCCTACATCATTGCATGGTGCCTGGAGAGACGTGACAAAGAATGCCGGTTTCTTTAGAGCTGTGGATTGGACAGACTTTTTACTCTTTGTTGTCCCCACGTTGGTTGCAGAGCGTGTCCAAGACTTGGTTGCCCGAAATGCATTACTTGGCCTTATTCAAACATGCAATTTACTCATGAGCTGGGAGTTATCAGCAGAGGATCAAACCTCAATAAGAAGATATGTTTAATGCCATATTTTATTTCATTTTTCATAGTAATTTACTTTTACCTTTTTTCTTAGTAATCTTGTAGAATGGAACTTATTTCTAGAGAGTCTTCTTTCTACAGCAGATATTGACATTGGCGTGTTCACAATTAACCAGCACATTATTCAGCATTATCCTCAGATGATTGATCTATTTGGCCCACCAAGAGCATATAGCACATGATCCGTGAAAAGAGCCATTGGTGAGTACTCCAGGTCTATCAAGAGTAACTCCCAAGTCAGTGCCAATGCTGGAAACATCACGATCAGACTGGCGCAATCCCGGTGTGTAGTGGAACTGACAACCATTGAAAACACAAAAACTTCACCAGCTAACCTTCTAGTTTACAGTGCATATACCAATGGGTGGCCTGTTACAGAAGGAGGTGATCCTGCCAATGCTGAGTGTGAGATTGAGTTCTGGGGGCCTTTGAAGAATTTAACAATTTTCGATAGCTTTGAAGATAGATCTCATCTTTTATTGCTTCTTAAAACGTTTTATGATTTGAAGGGAGAAGAATGTAGTATGCTTGAGCCTTCCATAAAGACAAGCCACAAGGCCTATCTTAATGGTTGTGTTATTGACACTGCATTCAACCAAAGTTCTACAACAGAGGCATGTCATATTCATGTGCAGCTACAAGTGGACATGAACTCCAGAAGATCCTGCTCTTACCGTCCAGGATATAAGAATTCCTTTGGAAAGGTGGTTATATTCTTCCAACATGTACACAACTCAAAGAGATGGCCACTAGCTCTCATAACTATATGTAGTGTGCATTTGAAAAATGGATTGCCTATTACATCTGTAGTAAAGCCAAAGACTATAGTGATTCATGCCAGTGACATTGTAGAGTTGGTTGGCTTGGTGCCATCAAATGTCAATGGTAGCCATTACATCATTTGGCCTAGCCTTAAACGTAGTCCAAAATTGACACTTGGTGCCTTAAGTGATATATAATTTGTTTTTTTTGTAATAAACTTTTCTTTTTTCAAATTGTCTTAACAAATTTTATCCAAGCAGCAAAAAGTTTAGATATTTTCTTTTTTTTATTTCTGACATCCAATATTTCTCAATTCCAATATATATTTACTAAAAATGTGAGATGTTTAATTAGTATCTCCTTATTTTATCCTACAGAGAGTTTGAATTTTGAAAATCTGTTGAGGTAGTGACAGGTTTTACTTTTGGTAAATTCAATTAGAATTGTATTTGTTTATATCAATCAGAAATATTTTTTCTTGTACTTTTAAAATCTTTTAATGATATATATTTATTATTTTTATTATTATTTCTGAGTATTCATGTTTCTAAAATATGAAGGGTTCTCACTTCTATATTCATCCATCAACCTCACAGCATCTGCGAGTGCTCTTTTTATAAGATCTGTCTTTGTTTGATCTAAGCCAGGAATTGTCTTCAAAGTTTGAAGATCTTCAAAGCCGGGATGCATCGTTGCAGAATAAGCTGCAATTTTGTCAAAGACGTATACACCTCTATCTTCAGCAGTACCTCCACTCTCTAATTCCTCCTCTACTTCTTCCTTAACTTTGTTCTCGTTTGCATTTACAGTGTCTTGTCAGTTCAATACCACTCCTGCTATCTCCCATTCACTACGGCGGAGAAAATGGTAACATGTTACCACTTTGGTAACATAACTGCCATTTTTTACTTAATAAAAAATGGCAGTTATGACTCTGTATAAGGCCAAAACAGGCACTGTTACCATTTTTTACATAGTAAAAAATGGCAGTTATTTATTATGTAAAAAGCCAAAACAGACACTGTTACCATTTTTCAAAAAAAAATCAAGCGTCCTTCCTTTCCTCTATTACATTCTTTCTTTTGTTCTATTGCTTTCAATTCTAGCACAACCTCTTGTTTTTCCTTTGCAGCTTTAACAGAATGGTCTGTTTTTTATTATACAATATTGAATCGGGTTTAATTGAATTGAATCTTTATTTCAATGCATGTTTTATTAAATGAAAATGATAATAATAATAGTAATAATGAAAAAACAATTCCATCGGCCACTCGCAATAAAAAATGGTTTTGTTTAGCTACTGCAAAACGTATGCAGTAAAACACTACTATTCAAATTGTATTTCATATACTTTGGGTATTCTAATATATCTTAGATAGCACTTATTATTTTTTACCGATTTCTACAAATATACTAATATTAGAGAAAAAACTTAAAATAAATAAATAGATATAATATTATTATAATGCTTACCTTTATATAATATGCTTACTTGTTCAGTAAAATAAGCATTTACTCTAAGAATATATATATATATTAAAGAATGTATTAATATTTAAGATCTATATATAAGAAAAGCAATAAAACATAAGTACTATAGAAAGTCGTTATCGTAGAAGAAGAAAAACTTGAGCAAAGATTCAAGTCATGTAACATGAAGCTAATTTGAATCTGATTCATACAACCGGAATGAGCATCTTGTTAGAAAGCTTAACGTGTTTATTCTACTCAATATACTTACATATAATAGAACGACTCCCAAGTATAATATATCAGTACAAAAATATTACTATTAATTTTTTTCCCAAAAAAAAGGCTATATATTATTTCCTTTTATATTTGAATGTAGCGGAATTGTAGATGCTGTACATTAGCTTCAAATTCTTGTAATCACAACATTAGCAATCATATGAAAGAGGTCAATAAATTTTTTATATGAAAGAAAAAAGGAATAAAAAACATAAAAAGAAAAATGACGAGATAAGAAAAAAAATGCACTAAAGAAAGACTAAAAAAATCAAACTCGGCCAATCACAGCAGCCAAACTACGATCTTTGGCTTCTCTTGCGAGCAGGCTCGACACTTGCTGTGGGTGGAGGAGACCTACATAAAAGAGTAAGAAGTTTATATTAGTTTTGTATTAACAGCGCATGAGAAAAAGCAACAATGGTAACTTACAGCACATCTGCCATTATGGGCGACTCAACATCACCAGTTTCTGACATATCAGGAGAAGAAAGCGAAGAATCATTTATGTCTCGCTGTGTCTATAGCATAATAAAAGGAAACGATGTTAATTAAAGTTTACAATATATAGATTTGTTAATTGATAAACTTACTTTGTTCTTCTCTGCCATTCTTCTCTTGTGCGTCTGGTTGTCGCTCTTGAAGCTTTCCCGAAGAAGGCTTCTTGCACACCACATTCTTTTACATTGGTGGATGTGCAATCCACCATTCTTCGCCAACCTCTCCAAATGCATCATGTAGTATTCCCTGTTTTTCTCTGGGATATTCTTCCATTCTTTTGAGGCCGCAGGATAGTCTTTGTCAATGATATCATGCTTTACCGTACGGCCTAATGTTTTGAGATGCAGTCTTTTTACTGTCAAATCATGGTCTGAAAGAGGGACTAATGGGGGCAAAGGCTGCCCTTGTGGAACTTCTTTGCAGCGCGCCTTCCAGTCCTGCTCGTGAAGAATCTGAAGCAACAGATTGTATTTTTGCGCTTCGTTTTTTCCTTTGAACTCGCCGCCAGTATTGATTACTCGCTTACCAAGCTGATCAGGGTACTCTGTGAGCTGGGCTCTTTTCACAGACTCGGCAATGCGCTCAAGAGCTACAAAAAATGTATGACAATATTAATAAAGTAAATAAACATCTAAGCACAGAATATATATGACTTACAACTCTGCTCAATAATGCTTTGTTGCATTGTAGTTAGATCTTCCGCACTGACTGCTGGCGCAAATTGATTGCTGAATTGCCTTTGAAGCTCGCGCAATGCTTGCTTGATTTCAGCAAGATCAACCTCAATCTTTTGAATTGAGTTGAGGAGAGTTGTGTTAATATCGGACATGTTTAAATTTTTTTTTAGCTATAAGCAGTGAGTTGAAAAGAAAAGGTGATAGACAAGTAGAATAAGAGCGATTTGAGTTTGAGAAAGGCAACAATTTATTACAAGCAATTGATAGCTATTTATATGAAAAAGATACAGACAGATGTACAAACAAAACATATAAAAGAAGGGATGCTTATGCACTTGTATGCACCTGTCTGCACCTGTCTGCAGTAGCTCATGTGAACATGATACAGTCTTTTTGTGTCGACACAACAAAACTGTAAGAAATATAAAGATAAAATGAATTAGACTTTAAATCAATATTATATGTATAAATGTTCATACTTTGCACCGTCTACATATTAAACGTTTTAAAGTATATGATATAATAATATAACTCTATACATATTGCAGATATAGCATGAAATTTGGTTAAAGTTCTCGATGACAAAACCCTGTACCAGTTAAAATTATAACTTTAAATATACTCTACAGTAGCTATATAACATCTGAACATCATATAGTTAATTAGCCCCTTTTTATCAACATTAAAGTAAATGTTATGATACTCAAGTTCATATCATACTTATTATCATTATCGACTAAAACTTTTGATTGATGCTGTCATCAAAGGTAAAAATAATTTTAACTGTCATTACTATTATTTACCAAGGGGCATTTTTGACTGAAACCGTACATTTTTGAAAAAGGTGTGCTTTAACTCACATCGGCACTTTCAATTAACACCCCTTTCGATCAGTAGTGCTTATCTTGATGATGTCAGTAAAAGAGTATCAGACTATAGCCCTCATTATCTATATCTATTTCTTTAAGTTTTATACATAAACAAGAAAATAATGCTATTAGCTAAATATATATTCACTATCTCAAAAATATTATTAGTACAACACAGATAATATAAATATGTCTTTTCTACCAATGTGTTTAGACAGTACTACTTTTTTTTAACTGTTAATTATTAGAAGGTTGTTTTTCTTTGCCTTTGGTATTAGAGAGTAATTGATAATTTATTTAAAAAAAAAACATAAATTATTTGGTCATTAATTATCCTAAATATACATATACCTCTTTATAAAGCCCAAAGAATATCTAATTGCTCACAAGTAAAGAGTACGTGTCTGTTTCACCGGTGCTCTTTTAATGGTACCCCCTTGTCAACCAAGAAGTATTTTAACTTACATCATAATTATTAATGAAGAAGAATCTTTCCAACCACAGGAATTATTTACTGACAGGTGTTTCACCTAGCATTGACATTACTGTAATCATTGCTATATCATCATTATGAGAGAGAAAAAGAAAAAGAGCCGCAAGCATTTTGGTTAAAAAATAAAGAGTATATAAAGATGTCTTTTACATTTAATAAATAGCACCAAAATCCTCTTCGCAGCTTTATTTTATATATTACATACGTACCAACCCAACCAATATGTCTTCTTCCAATGCCAGCCAGCAGAGAGATAGAATATCTACACAGCAATACCAATGTGATCAATGTGTCTTGTTTTTTGATAACTACCAGAAGCTGCAAAACCACAAGAGAATTCACAGAGGAGATTCAGCAACAATGACTGAAATTGACCAGTCTATTCTGGATGATGTTGACATGTACCATGACAAAAATGATACTAGTAATGAAGATGAATCTGTTAGCAATTCAGGTAATGAAAAGAGCTGTAATTGTATTATTTATTTTCCAATTACTAAATAATGTATTACAGAATATACTATGGAGTCTATGGAGCTTGATAATACTATTTCATATAAGTGCGCATGTAATTTTGAGGACAGTGAGGGTGAAGCTCACATTTACGACAGCAGCCGAATCAGTACAAATACTTTTACCAAGGCCGAGTTGATGAGTATTCATCTGTCTCAATTGATGCTACAGCATAGAATTGCTAGAGCAGCATATAGAGACATTGTTCAATTTATAAACACTGTCATCCAAGACCATGACGATATAATGATGGGTAAAATATTATATTTTCTGTTACCTTGTACTTTAATTCCAGATCACTAACATGTAGTGATATCGTTTTTTTTAGAACCTGGGGCTAAGATCAGTCATGGCGAAACTGTTGATGCTTTGCTCAAGTCAAAGTCAAGTGTCGAGGGCCATGAGTATGATGTCTGCTCTAGTGGTTGTCGATTGTATGGCATTAATGACGACCAGGAATCTTGTGTTGACTGCGGCAAACCGCGATACAAGACTGATCCCGATCAAAGTCAGACACCAGCCGCCAGTATGAAACTTATGTCAGTTGGGGATATGCTTTCTCAAATGTTGGCAGATCCAGCCACAAGAGAACTCCTCTGTTACAGAGCAAACCGGGAATCTGTAGCTGGTCAGCTAACCGACATTTTTGATGGTGACAATTACAAGCAGTTGGTGCAGCAGGGCCTGTTCTCCAATCCCAATGATATTGCCATTGGGCTTTATACCGATGGGTTTGTCAATCAAAAAAAAGGCAAAAACTCATATACCATCATCCATTGCATAATATTCAACCTAGACCCATCCATCAGGTAATTAATTAATTTATTACTATTTATTATTATTATTACATTTTTTTAAAAAAAAAATTACTGATAAAATACTTAGATATACCAACAAATACCTTTTGCAACTGGCAATCTTGCCTGGCCCCAAGAAGCCAACTCATTTGGACTCCTTTCTTATACCCATCATCAATGAATTGCGAGATCTTGAGGCACATGGCTTGGTTGTCAAGCACAATGGAGTGGAGTTTTGCAGATCCAAGGTCTATCTTCTGCTTGCTTCTGGCGATATTCCAGCTGTAGCTGATATGGCCCACATTGGTTCCCATACAAGTTTATTTGGTTGCCGTTTTTGTGAGACCAAAGGCAAATTCCCTACTAACAGACGGCATGGCATGTACTTTGATGACATTTCCGCCCGGTTAAGACCTTTGCAAGACTTCAAAGTAGGCAACCCTGTAAGTATACAAATGTTCAATTAGCCATCTTTTTTTCATACTAAATAACTGCTTGTAATAGTCGAAGAACATATACCAGCCGAGCATATATACCCAACTCTCAACCTTCTCTGGATCATCATTTTTTGCATTAGATGAACTTCATTTAATTGCAAGAGGGATTGGAAAGCTTGTGTATGACCTGATTACCGTCACCCTCACAAAGGAAACCAAATTTTATTATACCCATCCAGACAATACCCTCAATACCACCGAATACCCTTTTCATATACCAAGAGCAGACCTTGTAACAATCGGAAACTGTATTACCAGCTCACGAAAATATATACCCACCTCATTTCAAGGCAGTTTCGACAACGTATTTGCCAAGATCAATGGTACTCGCGCAGTGGACTGGCTTGACTTTCTCTTATACCTTGTCCCCACTTTGGTCGTGCCTTATTTACCAAATAGGGCTGTCAAAACAGCTCTATTATCTCTCGTGAAAGGTTGCGCGCTTGCCTTGCAATGGACGTTGACATCAGAATTGCTTGATGAGATGGAGTTGTAAGTTATTATACGTCTCATATATTATCATTACAAATAGCTGATTGTTACCATTTTTTAAATATTAATAATAGATACTTCAAGCACTGGCACTCGTTTTTATATCAACAAGTCCAGAATAATACCCTGTCTCGTAGTGTTTTCCAACCAGTGCAACATTACCTGGTCCATATACCCTATATCATCAAGCAGCAAGGCCTCCTGCGATGCTACTCCACTCGCTCAATGGAGAGAGTAATTGGCGTCTTCTCGAAATTGATAAAGTCCAAATCAAAGGGTGGCCGAAACGCCAGTTTTCTTGTCAAGCGATTTGCGATTCACAATTATACCAGCACGGCAATCAGCATCTGTGATGAAATCAACCTCATTCGGCCAAAGCCATATGGAAGAGAGAGCTACATGGACCTTCCTAATGATCCTAGTGGTGCGCAGTTGTGGGAGCCGTTTCATCAGTTTGTTAATTTGAACGATGATTTGGTGGAAGGTGTAGGCGGCCCTAGTGTGAAGGAAGCTTTATTGAAATACTACCGGAGAACAACAGGCTTGACTGGCCACGAGTTTGGTGACTCTGTTGTTGTTGTAGCTGCACGTCTGTGGATGGACTCGACTGTATATTCCTCATGCATGTACCGAAGAAAGAAAAACGAGACCAGCCGTGGCAACCATTACGTGATGTTTACTTGCCCCTATAGAAAGTAAGTATAATATTTTTCGATATACAATCAAAAGTTGCTTACATTCTATTTATTTATTTATTTTAGCAACCGTAATGTAATTGTTCACAGCTGGCTCGTCAGTACAGTACAGTTCTACTTTCAGCATGTAGATTTCTATGGCTTCCCACACTTTCTTGCTTTCGTGGAGGTCATGAAGAAACATGACGCGGCTGGTCATGACTCATCAGTACCTATCGTCAAACAACGGTCACAAAGCACCCGTACACTAGGCCACCAAATGCAACCGACTTATGCAGTTATAAGTGTAAATGACATTTGTCATCAAGTTGGTCTGGTCCAATACCCACCGAATGGAAACCAGTTTTATGTAATCGCGCCCTATTATATCTTTAACAACAACATGCACATTACTAAAGGCAATCTTTCCATTCTGTAATCCTTTTTATTTTTATCTTATTTTTCTATATGCTCTATATCCTTATATCTTTTATATTTTTTATATCATCCTTGTATCTTATATTCTTTTTTTAATTTTCTCTATTTCTTATGTTTTTTTTAATCTCTATATGCCCTGTCTTTCTTTTCTTCTTTATATACTCTGGTTTTTTTTCTATTCTCTATACACCTTATGCTTTTCTCTTCATTCCCTATATGCTCTATACGCCATTACGCGATTTAAATAAAATCAAATTGCCAATTCATCAAGATAAAAAGAATATCTAAAAAAAAAAAGAACGTAGTTTAAAAAATAAAAAAATGGCAGTTATGTTACCATTTCGTTCACACATTCCAAAAATTATTAATCTTAATAATTGTTGACATCTTTGATATTCAATAAAACATATATTTCAATACTCAAAGTGGTCATTACAACTTACAAACATTTTTTACAGTATTGAAAATATTGTACAGCAACAAAAAAAGTGTTTTCATGCTACTTTTTTAAATTGCTACGAATGACATTACCATCTTACAACAAACGGCGGAGATTTTATTGGGTTTCGACCAAAAAAATGGCAGTTATGTGCCTACTTTTGGCCCAACTGCCATTCATCCCGCCGTAGTGATTGCTCGATGAAGCTGAATTTTGCCCCACAGTAATGCTTCAACAAATGTGAATGCTTGCATAGGATCTGGCGGGTCAGAAAGTTCGGGCAGGTGCAGCTTTGTATCAAGTCATTTGATATATTGACGGTATACCACTTATCTTCTGTTACAAAAGATCTTATTTGCCACTCACCATTATAATCATCTATGCTGTTACCAGTCTCACCCAAAGGGTTGAGAATTATGTAAGGAAGCATGTCATTTTGGATTTTTGAAGCAACAAAAGAATTTCTTACTAACTCATTATCAATGGGACCCATCTTACCATTGTTGAAGTGAATAAGCTCAACCTCTTGTTCAAAATAGAACTCCACATCATTTGTCAAGATAAAAATCAGTCGATTCAATCTTCTGGTGCATGCACGACCAAAGTAGATTGTCTTGAGTTGATTGTGCCATGATTCTATATAGTTGTTTGTCACATATCTCTGATGTTGTTGGCTAATGTACGGGCGCCCCCATCTTCGCAACAATTCTTCGTTCTTGGTCCATTTCTTCTCAAAATATTTCAAAAACTGAGGTTGATCCTGAACCATCAGTTTAAAATCTTCAATTGCTCTTAGGAACACGTCTTTGTTAGACTCGATGAGAATGTGTCTCAGGTAGTTCTTCAGTGCAGTCTTATAATTCCCAAGTTGTTCTGATGTATAAGAGGCATTAAGTTTAATCTTGCTGTCAAGGTTGTGCTGCCAAGCACGAAGAACATGAAAATCACAGTAGTGAATTGTAGCATGATGTAATGCTTCTTTGATTGCATTAACCTCTATAATGCTACAGTCAATAGTGATATTCATTGGTACGAAGCTGCTCTTGATGCAAAGGTGGTCAAGCCAAAGTTTAATGGGTACGGCTGTCTGGTTGTTTGTCACCATGTATGCAACAGGGAATCCCTTTCCTGTTTGAGGATGGCGAGTGACCAAAGTATATAATACTTCATCGCTTCTGGACAAAATGGAATAGGTGGCATTGAGACAAAAAGATTGCGAGATTCTCATGATTGAAACTTGCATTGGTGATTGAAATCCAAAGGCAAATTGTTTTTTACCATCATTATAAACAGAAAGATTGATTTCAAAAATGCAATAGTTTTGTTCTGCTAGCTTTACATTTAACCAGATGGAAATAGATGCATTTTCATCAGAAGCAAACATATATAACAAAGTAGTCATCTATTTTATATATGAGTATTTATTTGATATATCAATATTAATTTAATACGAAAGCTCTGTTATATTCATTGACAAACCTTTCTCATTCTGTTGTAAATTTCTTCATAATTAGGCTTTCTAATGCCAACTCCCCAACTATCAATCTGTCTAAGAACTGAAATTCTTGTACTTCTACAGCTGCTGCCACTTTTCAACTGATCTTCAATAATCTTTATGGCTTCAGAAGGCAAAGGAAGAGTTCTGACTTCGTCTCAGTCTCCAGGAACATGGTTTAAATGTGCCCTTGTTTGGCAAAATGTAACAACATTGGGGTTGTCGAGATGCTGTATGATTTTTAAGGCAGCTGTACAAGAGCATGCCTTCGTATCTTTCTGGGCAAGACGTAATTGGCGGTTTGTTATATATTGGCCAGCACGGTGACATTTTTTAGTCTCTTCAAAAACTAAACCTTTTCCAGAATATTTATGCTTTTTATTCCATTTTGTTGAGCATAAGACATTGATTTGCTCCAGACACTTTTCCCATTAACTAGCTTTTACTAATATTGTCGAATTCAAAGGAAGCATCTTGATTTCTTCCAAAGGCAAGTTGATCAAGACTTGTTGAATGGTGGAAATATCATAAATAGTGTTGTTTATATTGTTGTTAGACATAATTGAAGTTTATTTTTAAGAAAGAGGGAAGTGATTATTTGTTGAAAAAAAAATGCCATGTGTGGGATGCAAAAGCCGCTGTCTGTCATTAAAGTTAGAAAGCCACTGGACTAAATTAAATACTAATTCAAACTCTCCGTAGAATAAAATAAGGAGATACTTTAATTAGAATAGACATTTGTCCCTCCTGAGATTTAATTTTAAGCAATTCATTTGCTGTTTATCAGCCATTTCAAAGAACAAAGATTTTCTTGTTTCAACTTGGATTTTTGGTAATTTTTTGATTATTATAGGCCAAAAATGAAGTCACAAATTCAAAAAAGACCACCTTTTTCCCATAGTGTGTAGAAAGAGCAGCACGAGACGTTCAAGGTTTCTGGTTGTAATAAGGAAATTGCCAGACAGAACTTTAAGCTTGGCCTCAAAGGCCGTGTACGGGCAATCACGTTGGGAGCTCCTGGCCAGATCACAAATCTCAGGCAAAAATACTGAGATTTTATCAAAAAGACCAAAGCAGAAATGCAAGAAAAGTTCCCAGCAGAGAGCTCTGCTATGGCTGCGGCCCGACCAGTTGGCAGTCAAGCTAGCCCAGCTAGCATTGAGGATGAGGAGGGTGAGGAGGGCAAGGAGAATGAGAACGCAGATGAGAAGGATGAGAATGTGGATGAGGACGTAGATGAGTACGAGGATGAGGACGAGGATGAGGATCATCCAGAGATGGGAAATGAAGTCCCAGAGTCCCAGGCCACCCGCCATGCTGAAGTCATGGGAGTGTTGAAGCAGATACTTCAGAAGATGTGCGATATTGAAGAGGAATTAAAAAAAACAAGAAAATAATGATAATAGCATAAAAATTTAAGTATTAATTTATTTAAAATAATATATCATCTTCATCTTCTCCATCTAATTTATCACGTCTTAATCCAGAGATATACTCCTCAAGAGTTGGTGGCTCCAAACCAAAATATGAACTTGTTGGCAATCTATTGCGACCAGTACAGTGGATCATATTTTTGAATACTGTGGATGGCATGTACACAGTTGCTGGACTTGTTTCCCCTATTTTCATGGCATACTTATACTTGGAATACATAAAGTACTTCTGTACTTCCCCAAATTCCCACTCTACTGCCACTCACACTTTCAACATACTCTTGTTGATTTTTTTATCTAAATCTATTGTACATAATTAATATATTGTACAATCTTTGTCAACAATCTTTTATGGTTACTATATCACTAAGAGATACGCCTTCAAATAGTGAGTACAGGCACTTGGAAACCATGTAAGCTGGATTGCCGTACAAGGCAAATGGCAATTCAACATCTGGTACAATATCCAAATATTTTTCCACTCTTGCTTCTGTTTTGAACATGGTATATATATACTGATTATGTCTAGAGACAACATATGGTCCAAGCAAGCTGCTTGTGATCCCATCAGAAGTAACAATAGACTGGTACTTCAAAGCATGCATGTGCTTCCAACCATTGTAAAAAGCTTTTTGAACTTCATTACCTTGGCTTGGTCTTGATATTGCTTGCATAGTACCATCAATGAAACCAACAATGTTTGGCAGTGCTGCGTCTTTATTGTAGATTGCACTTGCAAACCTTTCCAAGTTTTCCAGGCGAAATTATTTAATATTGAATTGAAGTCCCCATTTAATCTGGTTCATAACAATGCTCTCAAATTCTTGGCAAACTACAGATACATTGCTTTCACTCATTCCAAAAAGTATAGACATGTCACCTAAGTGTTTTAGAAAGCTGTACCAATTGAGTAACATTGCAAAGTCAAGGTTCTTACGGACTTGTATACTTGAAAAATGGTACACATGACCCAATCTGAGTGCTGTTGTTATTCTCTCAATTTCACTCAAAGCAAAATGAAATAGATATATACAAGTACCATCACTCAAGAGATTTAGGTTTAGTTTGCTATATCTAGCTCTTCTGGCTCTTCTAATCTCTTGAGGTATGGTTTCTTCTTCATTCTGCTGTTGCTCTTGCTGCTGTTGCTCTTGCTGCTGTTGCTGTTCTTGATGTTGTTGTTGTTGTTGTCTTTGTTATCTTTGTTGATGAACTTGGATGTGATTGCTAATGTTATATTTGGAACGATTGGTCATTTTATTTTGAATTTAGATGATCAATTTGAGTATAAAGAAGTTGTTAGAGAATGAAGCTCATGCATAATATTTTCACAAGCTATATTGTTGACACAACATGATGGTACATGTATGATGTATCGGAGAATAAATTTAAAAAAAATGTTTCAACTTAAGTGCCTTTTTTGGGCATAGATACAAGGCAACTTTAAACAGCTCTCTATTAACTATTAAACCTCCGTCAATTTTTAATATAAATAAGAAACGCATATTACAAAATCTTCCATTCATTTTTTGTCTTAAAGGATCATGTCTTTGAGAACTTATTTAACCTTGAAAAACAGAGATGTACTTCTTTGATTTTAGCGGAGTTGGAAGTAAGTCAATTTTACCCTAAGCCGGTGTATTTTATTGCACATATTAGTATTCTTCATGCTTTTTATTAATTTGCTTTAAATTTTTTTCTATTGATATCAATTAATTTTTTTTTCATATATAATCGGAGCACACAATGAAAGTTTTGATTTTGCAAAATATATAGTTTGAAAAAAAATATAACTTTTTTGTTCCCAATCTGGATTAGTCTTCTTTTTACTATAACAAAGTCAAAAGATTAATCCCACTGGAGATCACGGAGTATACGTAAAAACAAAGAGAGAATAAAAGATACTTTTTATTGATATGAATTGAATTTTTTTATATAGTTTTCTAAACTAATACTGCGCATTATCCACAGTAGCTATTATTATACATATTATTAAAATCAACCGGCCCTGTATATCACATGACTTACAATCACTTTTAAAACAGTTAAAAAGAAAGGAAGTTATAAATCACATGACTTGCGTTCAAACCATTAAAAAGAAAGGAAGTTATAAATCACATGACTTACATTCAAACCATTAAAAAGAAAGGAAGTTACTAAATCATATGACTTACGTTCAAACCATTAAAAAGAAAGGAAGTTATAAATCACATGACTTACATCAAACTGTTAAAAAGAAAGAGAGATACTCTGCACATAAGTTATATGGAATCTAATCATCTTTTGATTGCATTTAATATCTTAATTATTAATAAATCTTTATTGTAATATAAATCATGTCCATATAAGAAAATGTCTTTACTATTAAATCACTGTTTGCTTTGAATATCTTTAAAAAAAAAATTTCTTATTACTACCAGCTATTATTATTATTATACTTATAAATTATATATAAATAAATAAAAATCAGATCATTTTTAATTGTATAGTAATTGTAATAGAAATATATCAATCTAAAGAATAAAGAGAATATATGTATATATCATTTTAGCTATTATCAAAAGCTATTCAATATAAATAATAAATAAAAATAAAATAAAAATAATGCTTCCTTTGTATGTTACAATTGTGCTATGCCCTGATACCTGGATTTGGATTAATTAACAACAAAAAAAGAAAAAAGTGTTAGCTATTACTACTTTTTAATTTAAAAGCAAAAATCATTAATATTATATACTACATTTTATAATAATAACTAATAAAGTAAAATGAAATATATGATTTTGCATTGACAATTGGATATTCAAGAATTTATATATACTGTGGTATTTCAGGTACGAAACAATAGAAAAATAAAATATTTGATAATAGAGACGTATAGAAATACTTTGAGACTGTATATAAGTTGTCTTTATTCATAAATAAAAAGTGTCCCTTTTTATAAGAAAACACAATCTGCTCTTGTCATTACGTCTTAGTTTCTTAAGGCTTTCTTCCTTTACTATATTTGGTTATTAGAGTGTATTTACTGCTTAACTAGTGTCGGTGTTACAATTATGACATCAAGTCATAAATCATACTTCTTTAGCTCTTAGCTATTCTTTTCTCTTTTATACTAGAGCTTTAGGACTTCCTACTAAATTAGCTCCATATCGATCTGACACAGTTTACCCGGCAGTATGATATAATTATCTTAACAATCTTTAAGATATTATCTACAGTACTAACTGTAATAATTATTGGGCTGATTACTTAATCGTTTATATATATTTTATACTGACAAGATGATAGCTACTACGCTATCCCAATATGAATATGTTCTTATACGTGATAAATCCAACATTCGAGTGTCTGGATCACCACATATACTGTTACTTCAAGAAGCTATATTGAACTATGCATTTTTTGCAGCACTTTTAATTCAATACACATATTAATTCCAAAAGGTTAACCCATGCTACTTTGACAACTGACTGTTTCTTTTGTCACCTTACTTTTATTACTTTAACAAGACATTATAATGAACTTTTACATCTATACTCTACTTAATTTAGCTACTATTATTTGAAGAAGTCATCTTATTGCATCTTGCCACACGGATTTTACTCTATTATTCAATATTACTTGAAGATATTCTCTTGAATTTATTCTAATTATCATATTACTTCAGCACGTTGTTAATTTACATATGATTCAAATTTATTTTAAATTATGACAAGTCTGTCATTATTGGTACAATCATTATTTTGAAAAAGAGTATATATAGAGTCCTTATAAAGTTCATGTCTTTCAGAAAAATAATAATCTTACATATATTCTTTACTATTTCTCTATCTCCATTTACACTTGAATTTAGCTTAATTACAAAACCAATTACAATTTATCAAACATCAATATGACTCCTGCTGGATCTACAATCTTTCAAAAAAAATCCTCATGACTTTAAACTCCGGAGAGAATAGAAGTCCAAAGGTCTATATTTATATTTCTCTTATTCTTTACATATGTAATAGAGGCAGCCAGAACATAACTATAATGAAGCTTAGAGAGAGACATTTGTCTGGTATAAATATGATTATTTATTTAATATGGGATAGGCTCATCTTTGTTCTCTTTGATAGCTACTAATCTGTTATGCATTTTGAGGCATAGATCTGCACATGTTTTTCTATCTATTTTTTGCCACTCTTCTTGTAGAGCTACTTCCAACTCCCTCAGGTTCGTAAGTGGGAAAGTCCTCTTGCAAACACAGTCATTCAAAATATTCGAGATATTTTCAATTGGACTTAAATCTGAACTTCTTGATGGCCAGTCAAGAACATCCAGACCAAGTTCTTTTCTGCATTTCTTTGATATGTTCACAGTATGGGATGGCACGTTATCTTCTTGAAACATATATGTCTTTATGTCATTGTTTGATAGGGCATGATAGTATGACTTAAAGACAGTTTCCATAATCTCCACATAAACTTTTGCATTTATGGTGCCCTTAACAACTGCAAGTGGTCCAACTCCTTCAGGGGTAATGCAGCCCCATACCATTACAGATCCTCTATTTCCTTGTACTTTTTGTTGAACACAGTCTGTGCAAAGTCTCTTGCCAGCCTTTCTCCATGAGCAAACTTTTCTATTTACTCTGAAAAGAGAAAAATTTGATTCATCACTCCATATAACTGTCTTCCATTTTTCTTTCCAGTCCATTCTTTCTTTTGCCCATTTGCAACGAATGACCATGTCTTTTTCAGTTAGCCAGGACTTCTTTGCTGCAGCATGAGAGAATATGCCCAGATTAGGCAGTTCTTTACTGACTGTATTTTCAGAGATGTAATGACCAGTGAAATTTCTAATATCTCTTGTGATATCCAATAAAGACTAGTGCCGGTCACTTCTTATAAGTCTATCCAAATGATGCTTGCCTCTAGAATCAAGACACTTTGGTCTTCTGGAACAAGGCTTATCTTCGACAAAGTCAGTTTCCTTATACTTTTTTATTATACTGCAAAGAGATTCCACAGGTATGCCTTTGGAGCAGGATATTTCTGAAATGGACATTTCAGCTTTATGCATCCCAATCATGATGGACTTCTCAGTATTCAAAAACCTCTTAAGCTTATGGGGGCGGTTGCGTTTATTTTGGTTTGAATTTGCAGGTGTCATGTTTATAAGGTTATAGATTAACGTAAGTGTGAAATGAGGTTGCAGATAAAGATGAGTAAGCGGACTTTAAAGTCATAAGGGCTTTTTTGAAAGATTGTATTTGTGTTTAATGTAAACAATTGGGTCACAGCAGTGGATCAAATTTTTCTTGCCCTTTGAATCCAAGGCACAAAACTCTCTTGATCTCTCAAAAGAGAATCAGTGATAATCTCTCTGCCCAAGAAGAATATCAAGCAGAGAGTATTAGAGATAACATTAAAATAAATTACTTTAATTCATCAGATTGACTTGCATAGTTTCTAACTTATTTGCTTTCATCTGCATTTATATGTTTATTTAGCTGGTGTTTCAAGACCAAGGGTTGAAGCTGTTCAGAATTCTGTGATACTTACTGTGGCAGAAATCAATGCTCTCTCCCGTGCTGCCCAATATTTTGCAGAGAGTAGTCCAGGTAAATAAATAAAGTGTAATTGATTAATAATCAGCAAAAATTCTAATAATTGCTTTTACTCTTTATATTTATGCATTTAGCTGCTGCTTCAAGACCAAGAGTTGAAGCAGTCCAGAGTTGTGTGGTACTCACCATAGTAGAAATCATTGCTCTCTCCTGTGCTGCCCAATATCCTGCAGAGAGTAGTCAAGGTAAATAAATATAGTGTAATTGATTAATATTCAGCAAAAATCCTGATCATTTTTTCTACTCTATTTATTTTCCTATTTAGCTGCTGCTTCAAGACCGAGAGTTGAAGCTGTTTGGGATTTTGTTGTGCCCACACAACTATTGCTAATGTTGTAAATGAGTATTGACTACTGCTGTAATTGAGAATAAGTCTGAAGGAAATAATATAAGGCCTCAGCTATTCCAGTCAAAGGTGTCTACCAATTATTTTATTATTTAACACACAGATTTAGCATGCATGATAGTGATTATATTTCATATGATGATATCACCATAATATGGGATACATCAGTGGATTATTATAAGCATAATTATAACTCATAAACACATTTACTTTCGATGTTAATACTTCATTGGGACTACACACATTTATATAATTAATCATACATTAATTATCCCAAGATCACGTTGCTCTGATTAAGGCTCAGATAGGATTGATTACCTGACCCCAGTCATATAATTTTCCCAATCCAAAACAATATAAATAGCAGTAGTAGTTCAGTGTAGGAACCTGGTCAAACTTTGATACAAAATCTTTCTCAATAAACAAAACCTACACAAGTTCTCACGAATCTTCGTTCCTAATTTCAAATCTTCAATTCTTCCTCTTAAAAACTTCTTCAACTTCAACCACCACAACAGTTAATCGACCTCTCCTTCACAGAACAATATACTGCAGAGAGCAACAGAGGTAATTTTTAAAATTATATATAAATTGCCACAATTATTAATTATTTTTTAATATTTCTATTATAGATCTAACTGCAGCTTTTGAGGCTTTACAAGTTTCTGATGTTGAGAGAGTCTTGGATTTGACTACTGTCACTGCCACTGTTATTCCCCGCTGTTCCAGCTGTAATGAAATTAGTCACCAATGGAGTAACAGCTTGCAGTGCCCTAACAGCCAAAGGAACCACAATTTTGTCCCCAGCCAGCTAACTACCACTCCTAACATGATCTGGCATACTACTACCTCTGCAATGATACCTGCCTTATATGCAATGACTTTGGCAGATATGTCATCAAGGCTACCATTGTAACTAGATCAAGTGCTGGAAAGGTGGTGCTTATCTTCAGAATCAAGCTGAGCCCAACTAGATCGACCATGTCCATTAAGTTCAAGCAATGTTAATTTCCAGTCCGCCTTGCCTTTGCCATGACTATCCACAAGTTCCAAGGCCAGATTCTTGACAAAGATGGTCTGTATCTTCCTGACCATGTCTTTGGTCATGGCCAGTTGTATATTGCTCTCTCAGATTCAAACTCCAAACTCAGTAAAAATTATGGTTGATATGGATAGTATTTCTACCAAAGCAACCAGCAATCTCTATATAAACAATGTTGTTTATAATGAAGTGCTTTTTAGAAATTAACTAATCTGTTGCATATCATATGCTTTCTGCTCTATGTCTTTATCTAAATATGTCAATCTTTTTCTATATGCTTTATTTTTATTTTTGTATTTTTTGTATTCATGTTATTTCTGCTTATACTTATCTTTATCTTTATGGTTTTCTTTTTACTTTTTTTTCAAATATTTTAATAATGTTTTTTTAAAATTGTCAATACCAATTGTGTATATGACAAAGTATAATAATTTCTTTCCTTTTTGAAAATATCAAAATACAAACCCCCAAAAAAAATATGGCTTCAAGATATATTCCTTACTATTATTTTATTTTTATTACTACAATAAATCTTTATAATAACAAAATCCAAATAAACTCAGACAAACGGGTTTTTCTTTCTTTTTATAGTATGGTTATTTCTTCTCAATGCAGTCCCGCTGAGGACGTTGGTCTATCTTGTATTATATTTAAATAAAAGGAGAGTCATTATACTGCAGTTAATCATCTTCAGATTTTATGTTTCAGAGTTGACATTGGTGAACAAAATCAGTAGTTATAAGCAACCAGTAAGAGTTAACTTTTTAGGATAAAAGATCTTGACTTTGCTGATTGGTCTTTCATATATGTTTTAGATGTTTAAAATGGTGAATATACTTGTAGAAGATATTACTGGACAACAAGCATCTAAGACATATTATTGTAGCTATTCTTTTAGCCAGAAATCAATTATCATTTTGTATAAATAGTCAAGAAACATATTTAATAAAAATCATTTTTATTCTTATCTAAAAACTATTCTTAAAGCTTAACAATCCCCAGTAGTATTGATTCTGCGACTTAGTTACAAGTACCAGAAAAGAAATACCAGATCAAGACTTTGTCAGATATTATTTTGATGAATCCGTAAAATCTGAAGATGGTTAACCACAGTATCTCTTTATGCGCAGTAATATCTTCCTGAGCATTAACCAAAGTATAATAACTTTCCTTTTATTTAAATATAATATAATAGCTACTGCAGATAATGTGCAATATTAGTCTAGAAAACTATATAAGACAATTTAATTCATATCAATAAAAAGTTGGTGTGGACAGACTAAAAGTTCAAAAAAAGTTCAAAAAAAGGGCAAAATTAATCAACGGCTATGATTGGCCAGTTTTTGTCTGATACTACTTGCATGATAATATCATGCATCCCTTCTAGTTGCATTACACTTAAATAGCAAACAACAATTTAAAACATATATATTTGCTATAATTAAATACTAGCGTGTATAAAAGTGAGAAATATATTACTCTTTTACTTATTATCTTAAAAAAATGCCACATACTCCAATAAATATACTCACAAAATCAACTTTGGATGCATCTGCAGCTATCACTCAACACATGTTGAAGAAGATGATCAAGATGTTGTCCGACTCTAATGTCATTGCTTGTGAGGAAGATCATGACACGTACAAAGATTTTGCAAGCATATGCAAATTAAAGCTACAACAGGAGAAATTTATGGTTACGAAGGCCCAAGACAAAATCAGCAAAGGACGCTATTTTTTCAAAGGGCAAAACAAGACCAAGAAACTTGTAACTCAAAAAGAAAGATTGAATTTTCTGCTTGTCTTGGATGAAAGCGGCTTCCTGAAAGAGTTTCGAATGAGCAAGAGCTCTTTTTATAAGCTGTATGATCTTGTAAAAAACCACGAGCTTTACTAACAATTGTCAGGATTTTACTTGATCGATGTTAGACTACAGATTTCTATTGTTCTTGACTGATTAGGATCAAATGGTAATTCTTTGTCAAGTGGCCATTTGTCAAGACGTTCTGGAATAGGAAGTAAGTAACTCAAGATAATAGTCTACGACTGTTTACCCACATATACAAAAGCAAATTTATTCATCTGTCTCCTACAATAAAAACAAATAAAGGGCTCTATTGAGAATATAATAATCAGATTCTTCAAAGTAATTCTCTCTTTAGAGCATAAGTTCATTTATTGGCCAACCGAATCTGAAAAAGCAGAGATAAAATGAGCAAATGAATATCCATTAGGATTTCCAAACCTTGTTGGATTTCTTGATGGATACTTATTTAAGCTGGCAAAAGCACCATCGTGGAAGCCAGAGCAGTTTTTTGGTCGCAGTGTGTGATCATAGACACATAATCTGATACATGTCAACTGGTTTCTTTGGAAGTTCGCATGATATATGTACTTTGTCTGAGTGTGAGCTTGGAAAATTCCCAGAGCAATTCTTTTCTGATGATGAGTATGTGTTGGCAGACGCGGGTACAAGGCTACAAACTATATTGTTCCAATCAAAAAGTAGCCAAGAAACAGTGAACTCTCGTTAGCAGACCAAGAGTTCAACACCAAGATCTCAAGCATGCAAGTAAAAATTGAGCATGCATTTGGAATCTTGAAAGAGAGATTCTACTCTCTCAAATCAATCCCTGTAAGGATAAAAAATGTTGTGAATGAGTATTGATTACTGCTGAATCTGAGAGTAAGACTGAAGTATAAAATAATATCCTCAGCTATTCCAGTCAAACGGATCTCCCTTTATGATATTATCTAATACACAGATCATCATACACATAATTGATTATTTATTATTATCACCATGACATGGGATATACAAATACATATACATTATATATATGGCAACATTCTATTTCATCTACATATTTCTTTTATTAGACAAATACTTAATTGAGAGACTACAACTACAACTATTTAATATTATGAAACATTACCCGAGTGTCTGGGTCGGAATAGTAAAATATTACCAATAGCATAAATGCTCTTCTTTACCAAAACTCTTGGACTGATCTGACTGGAGAAGTATCATATCAATTGGTCTTTCCGGATCTTTCCAAAAGAACAATACTTCTGGAAGATGACTCATTGTGATAAAGATTACTTAAGCACACACTGAATTACAAATTAGAAAAACATATAAATATCAGTAGATAGTTCCGTGTAGAAAGACAATCGAATTTGATCATTCTTTACTTTTCTTTTGAAATAAACAACCTACACAAGTTCTCACGAATTCTTTTGTCTATATTATATTTTGCTTTATTTTCTCCCCACAACAAAAAGAAAGGAAGATGTTGTAAAGGTTAATGCATGGATTCAGGTTTGCGTAGCCTTGAACAATTTCCTGATGTGTCAAGATGATGACAAATGGTCTCAGGAAGCCAAGCATCGATGGGAAGATAGAGAGAAAGCTGAAGTTGAATGCCTGCGGAAGACAGGATATTCAGAGGAGTCTGGTGTAGTAGATGGATCCCAGAATATAGACTGAAATACAAGATGGATCCAGACACAACGTGTTGTTATGTCAAAAGAGAAGAATAAATCTTTTTGAATAAATAAAATAAACTTTGATCATTCTAAATACATTAAAAAAAACAGAAGTATTAGCTTTTATATCTATTAGATAGATCTCACTTTTTGGCATTTGACAGCTGTAATTAAATAGATATTTTGTCATTATTTATGTTCTTCTCTTTCTTTAATATTTGATTATCAAACTATTTTAAAGATGTAAGTAGAAGATCAATTTTCTCTGCTTTAATGATAGTATTTTTATATAGTCTATATGTCTTTATATTTTTTTAAATAAAATAACATTAGTTCTGAGAATTTGTATATAAATATATATATAAATTAAATGCATAGTATAAATAGAAGAAATACAATTTATTAATTAAAGTATTGATTATATATCTCTTCTAATTCATTCTTAGTCTTCTCCTCAGACCAGTCAAATGTTTTTGCCATAAGGATCACTCCTTTTACCCACTGCTCGCATTGAAGCTCTTTTTGCAGTTTCTCCTTCTGGTTCTTGAGCTCTTCCTTGTACTTTGATTCTAAGAGCAATATCTGGGCATCATTGAACTCTTTTACACCATGCCCAATATCCTCTATGCTCTTAACTGATCTTTTTGCCATGTTCTTCACAATCTTGCCAAAGAATTTAGGGCGTCTTTTGCCACTGTATGCACTGGCGTCAGAGTGCTCAGAGGTGCTGCTTTCACTATTGCTTTGGACAATGGCCTCTCTCTGAGAACTGATCTCATTGCTGACATCAGCTCTCTGTTCTTCTTGGTCTTTGCAGCTTTTGCTGCTCTCACTGGCTTCGTCACCTCCATCATTTTCACCATCTTCACCATCTTCACTGTCTTCACCCTTGCTCATGTCTTGGGCTTTGTTTAAGTCCAAGGGCGTTGTTGTATTATATACAGCAGGTGACTTTGACTTACTTTCACCAAGTACTTTTCTCATCTGCGTGAAGTTTGGGCATATATCATTAAGATATATTTATAAAAAATAATTTAAATTATTTAGATGTTTGTTTTAACTTATACGTAATAATATTCATATCTTCAAGCTCATCTTTTTCACGTTGAGACATTTCTTCTTTGCTAATTCTCATTGTGCTGTCTTCCCAGGCTTTGAATGCAATAGGATATTGCTTGATTATCAAATATATCAGCTTGCTTTTTATTTGAGAGCTGGTGTGTTTCACACCCTGCTTGTCAAAATACTGGCAGCAGTTGTTGATCATTCTGGTCTTGCTGACCTTGAACTTCTTCCCATTCTTGAAGCCACCAAGGTATTTCCTCAGATTGTCTGCATCGTCTTTCAGCAGAAAGTACTGCAGCCGATCAATTGATGACAACCCATCTTTACCACCATCTGGCTTCATCCAGGAATGTAACTGATTGTCATCTTCCTGATGAGAAACGAACTCAATAGTGCTGGGGGTGGACATACTTTTATTACAATAGTTTAATGTAAGATACAGGCGATACAAGAAGATAATTTTTTTATAAAAAAAAAGACGGAAAGGATGGAGTTAAAATGAAGATAGATGAGTATTGATTATTATTTATAACTTTATGAGTAATATATACTGACAAGCTATTTTGGCTAAAATGTTATACCTGTAATAAATGGGTTTGTAAAAAAAGTGGTATAGATAATTAGATTATGAGATGGAGAGAGGTTTGAGCTCAAGAAGAATGATTTTTATTGATGAGAATTGTTAAGAGTTCTTGTACTGATTGAGAGGACTTTTAGAGACAGGGGATATCATTTGCATACATATGCTTTGACAATATGCAGATACAGATTCAAGTAGGGAGAGATTCTGAAGAGTTGCAATTTGATAATATAAACAAATTTGTCTTTATCTACAACAAAACAGACTTCTTTATATTGATGTATTTGAATATGAAGCATTGACTATGCTTACTGACAGTGACAGCATTATGAGCATAGCATTACCTAATATGTATTTTGAACTAATTTTGAACTTTTTTTAAAAAAAGGTGTAGACAGTCATAATTAAAGCTGATTGGCTAAGTTCAAAATGGACTTGTTTTACCCTTTTCTTGCCCTTTTTTTGAACTTTTAGTCTGTCCAAGTATCTTTTATCTTCTCTTTGATTTTACGTATACTCCTTGATCCCCAGTGGGTTTAACCTTTTGACTTTGTTATAGTAATGTCGTTCCTGATCTGGGATGGTCTTCCTTTTATTTTAGCAAAGTCAAAAGGTCAAACCCACTGGGGATCGGAGAGTATATGTAAAATCGAAGAGAGGATAAAAGGTGCTTTTTATTGATAGGAATTGAATTGTCTTATATAGTTTTCTAAACTAATACTGCGCATTATCCGCAGTAAACTATTATACTCTATTTAATTACAAGAGAAGTCCTTTTACTGCGGTTGATGCTCAGAAGATGTTACTGTGGTTAATCTTTACAAGACATTACTGCGGTTCGTTATCTATGAGGTATCTTTGACATACAGAACTGCTGCGGTCAATTATCCCGATTTCTCGGATTCATCAAAATAATGTCCGACAGTAAAAGGAAGACCAACCCAGATCAGAAAAGACAGTCATATTCTGTAGTATAAAAACGTCGCCTGCAGGATTCGAACCTGCGCGTCCAAAGGACAATGCCTTAGCAGGGCACCGCGTTAACCACTCCGCCAAAGCGACTTATTGGAGTGATGTGGTATATTATATCTTTTATTGGCTGCAGTATTATTCCCTTTTTCAATCGATTTCAATCTTTTTAATTAATCACAGTCTCAAACTCCCAATTATAATTTTATATTTTATATTTTAATTTTAATTTTAACTTTATTTATATTATTTTTATTTCTTATTGTAAAAGTTTGACTTCTCATTATTTTTACCTTTATTTTTCTCCCAATTTTCCGAAAACAAATTTCCCTTCCCTTTATTTTTTCCCAAAATTAGTTTCTCCTTCTTTTATTTTTCTTGCTTTTCTTATGCACTAAATATGACATTTTCCTCTCAACACTACTTTACCAAAATTGTTAACTGTAGTTTTTTATTTCTTTATAACATACTTCTTCTCGATCTTTTCTATTCTCTGTAGTTATATATTATAACTTCATTTATTTTTCTTTTATTATGAATCTTGATTACAATTATATTATCTATCTTTTTATCACAATTATCTTCTAGACATCAGTGCAACCTATTTTCGTCATAAATTTTATCCAAGAAGTAGTATAAATAACCCTTCAAAATCAATCAATAAACAATTGTTGAATTTTTCTGATATAAAAGTTTTCTCTAAAGATACTGTATACTTTCCCTGATCTCTCTTATGAATTTTTCTTCCATTTACTGTTTTTCTTTGTCAAGTCTTCACAGAAGATTGACTATTTTCTATTATGTTTCTATTATTTTTCTTTTTCTTAAATTTTACAATTTTCGTTTTATTAAATTTTCCCTTTATTTTTTATTTTAAAATTACCTTAGAAATTATCTTAGTTAATTTTCAATCTTTTATTCTCTAAATACTTCTTTTAACTTAGTTTATTTTACATTAGTATTATTTATTTCCTTTTGCTAGTTCTAAATATTCTTTTCCTTCTGAAATTCCTTTTATTTTTCTCTTTTAGAAGTAGTTTCTCTTATTTATTTTTCATTTTATTACAATTGTTTCACAATTCAAATAACCCTATCTCATTATAGAGTTCAATTCTTATTATTACCCATATCTTACTTTCTTGTACACATCATACACACAATAAAATATCACACGCGTCAGGAGTTTGTCACATGTGTAGTAGACAAGTCTGGTGTTGGTCAGTTTCAGGTGATAGATACCAGACAGTGAGTTTTTTTGGTAGTTTGGTCCAGCAGTGAGCCATGACGGGTGATACCAGACTTGTGGGTGTTGACATCAATGGTGAGTCAACCAAGTGACATATCTCAAGGGACAGAAATCATGCCTCTAGGTTTCTTGGGAAATCTTGTTTCCAATATCTCTTATATCCAAACCCCCCAATTTTATTCTGTTCCTTAAATAATTAGAATACTTATCTACATTATCAACTCAGAAACACTTGTCACCCACTAAAAATTATACTTCTTTTCCATAATTTTATATACTTCTTTATTACTAATATTTATTTAAAATATTTTTTATTACATTTTTATTAGACTTCATTATTATACTATTATTATATTTTTTTACTTTATTTTACTACATTGTTATTATATTATTACTTTACTTCTATTCTACCTCACTATATTTTTATTTTATCTTTGTTCAATTATTATATTTTTACTATATCTTTATTTTACTCTCTCTATAATTTTCTATTCTGCTTCTACTATCAACACCAGTTACATGTAGTAAAAATTTTCACTTGACTTTCTTTTCTTTTCCTCAAAAAATTATATTAACCAAACATTTTTGTTTATAAAAGGAACAATTTTTTCAATCAATAAAATCATCATTCCACCCTTGATCTTATTTTATTTTGTCTCTTATTATCATTATTCTTCATTTATACACAGTGTCTTTGTTCTTTGGAGTGTTGTCTGTCGATTTTGATATATTTTGTTTCTTAGTTTTCTCTTTTCTGTCTTTCTTAAACTTTGTCATTGTCACAATTTCTATTTTTATTTTCTCTCTATTTTTTCTATCTGTTTGTCACCAATTCTTACCTGTCAAATTACCCATTTATTTTTTATTCTTACTGTATTCTTCTTCTTATATTTTGTAATTCACATTACATTTATTTGCCAAGTGATACTGTTACAATCCACAACAAACAAACAAATCATGCATCAAGTTTGACACAAAAGTCTGGATAAATAATTAATGAACAACAAAATTTTTAGTTGTCTTGCAGTGTGGTGATGTTGCAGAATTCTTTATAATTTTAGAAAATTATATTTTATAATTTTTTTTTATTTTCTGATGGCAGCCAAGGCTGGATAGAAATCGATTTTTCTATTTGTAAAGCAAAACATCAATAAGTATAATAAAAAAGCATCATTTTGTCAAAGATAACTTCACGCAATCACACATCTTATTTTATTTTCTTGCTATATTTAACTGAACAAATTAACTTAGAATTAACATTATTTTTATTATGTTTTCTTTACAAGCATAATTATCTTCATTATTATGACTTAATAATTATTTTATTTTATTTGTACTTAATGATAGTAAAGAACAAATCACATTTAATAGATTGTCAATTATATAACTTTTTATTATATTTTTTAATAATTTTATTTATTTAATTATTCAATAAGTCAATTACAAAGTTATTTAAAAACTTATATAAATATTGTAATATTTGCATTTAATAAACATTGATTTTTCTTTGTCTTATTTTCTGACAACAAGTTCTCTTAATATTTAATTCTGCTGATATTTTAATTATTTGATTATCCAAGTATATTGAGTTAAGTCTATTGAGATTGATCAATAACACTGTTTTTCTCTTATTTTTTTATTATTGATTTTATTAGTTTTAATTCTACATTCTCTTTTGAGTTTGTTTTTTTTCTCTCTTATGGAAAAGAGAGGTTATTTCACATTTACGAACCTATAAAAATCTCAAAAAATAGTAATAATACATCATCTGTCAACATTTACCACAAATATTATTATGACTATAGGAGTGACAACTGTAATCAAAATAGGCACATAATTGCTATTTTTCTAGTCAAAAGCCAATAATTTCTTCACAGTTTTTGGTAAGATGGCAATGTCATTAGCAACATTTTAAAAAAGTAGTATGACATCTATTTTTTTGTTACTGTACAATGTTTCAAATAGTCTAGAAAATGTTTGTAAGGTATAATAATCACTTTAAGTATTGAAACATATATTTTATTTAATATTAAAGATGTCAAGTTTTATTATGATTAATTTTTTATGAAATGTGTGAACATAACAGAAACATAACTGCCATAATTTTTTTTAAATCAAAACTTTTTTTTTAAAAAAATATATCTCTTTTCTTGTTCACTTAACAATTTTATTTTAATTTAAATTGTGTAATGGCATGTAGAACATGTAGAGAATAAAAAGTATATATAAGCTATGTAGAAAATAAAAATAATAATATAAAATATATGGGAAATATAAAAAGCATGAAAAATATAGGCTATATAAAGTATATAAAAAATAAAAAATGAAAAAGTTATAAAATAGAAAGATTGCCCTTTGTAATGCACATATTATTGTTGAAAACATAATAAGATGCAATTATATAAAACTGATTTCTATTTAGTGGGTATTGTATAAGACCAACTTGAAAACAAATATTATTGACACTTATTACTACATATGTGAGTTGTGTCTGGCAACCTGTTGAGCAGTTTTGTGACTATTTTTTAACAATTGTTACAGATGAGTCATGGGCAGTTGCATCATGTTCCTTCATTTCTTCAACAAAAACAAGAAAACAAAGAGAGCCAAGTGAATTCTCATGCTGGAAAAAGAATATCACTGCACCAATAAGCCAGCTGTAAACAATTATACTACAGTTGGTAAAGTAAATAAATAAATATAATGTAAGCAACTTATGATTTTATATTGAACAATGATACACTTACTTTCTGTAAGAACAGATAAACAGCACATAATGACTACCACAGCTTCTTTCATTTCTTCTTTGTTTATACACTATGCCAAAAAAAATAGGAGTTTTAGAGGTGGTTTCACAGGTGGTTCCAGAGGGGAAGCCAGGGCGCGTTTTGTGTCCTCCTCCCTTTTTTCCAACTCTGAGTTCATGTACATTTTAATACATTTCCGCTTACCGGTAGTTTTAAGATTCTATTAATATATTGATAACCTTTTCTTTTGCTAATATTTGTCTTTCAATTGGACAAAACTTCTTTAAGTATAGTTGAAATATTATATGCCATTGGTTACTACTAATTCATTATTCTTTTAATTTAGATTCTTTTAAATATTTCTTGCTTAATCATTGTTTTTATTGGATAAGACATAATTGCACTGTGGTGTATTTTATAAAAATACATTTTTATTGGTTTCTTAAATGGATATATTTTTTATTTATCATTTTTATTGGTTATTACACTACACAATTACATTTTATATATCACTTTTATTGACTGTTATGATAGACATTACATTTTATACATCATTTTTATTGGTTATAAACAGTCAAATACATCATATACTTCTAATATTAAATGTTTTACTTTACACTGCAGTGGATAGTTATTTACAATTGCCTCCTTTGATGGTCTTTCCAGAGATGACTGACTCTTGAATGAATGCCCAATTTTGATGGCATCTGGTGAAATCTATAACAACTATCTTAAGCATGTTTGCATGTTTATTGCAAATTATTGTTCGATCACATGAAGATATGGACCCCCAACTAGGACGAGGGCCAAGAGCTCGTACAGAAGGAAGGGTGGCTAACTCGTTACATACAAGTTTCGTACAGGTCCTGATTATTGCTTTTTTGGATGCTGTAACCTTGATTCCAAGATGTTGACTCATCATTTGGTAAACATATTCTAAAGTGACATTACGAATATTGATCACAGGTTTGAAAATAAACTCACTTGAAGTCTATTGAAGTTAAAGTTAGTTTTCAGCAATACTGTTTTGAGTTGAACTTACATTAATAAACAAAGAGAGATTTTGCTTTGGAGATCCTTTGATCATTATTTCATTTCTAAGGCTGTTAATATCCATCTTAATTTGTTCTTGATTAGCACATAAGACAGATAACTGGAGCTGAATGACTAGGAGTAAAGATTCGATGATGTTATCTGTGTCATTCATATTGCAAATATTGTTTACCTGAGAAAAAAGATGTTGTTGTGAAAATATGATATAAAGAAAAAAAATTTCAATTATCTATTATTAGTTTTATAGCAATATAGATTGAATCTATTGGGTTGGTTTCAGTGAATATCAATTTTGCTTACCGTGCTTACATGACAACATGATATATATATGTTTTACTTTTTTTCTTCTGAGCTTATATTCAAGTTACTGCGCCATTATTGTCTTCAAGTTAATCATTATAAAAGAGTTCAGACTTGAAAGCAAATATCTCTATTCTTACCCATACTTCAAAAGAATAAATTCAAATTAACAAAATGTTTACAATCACAAAGCTTTCCCACCACGAGTGCAGTATCTGCCACAAATGCTACACAAACAAGAAACTTGTAGCCAAGTGTAAAGTTCAGTGCCTGGAAAAAGTTTATAAAGAGATGAATAACACCCAAAGCTTGCAAGTTGCTTCTGTTTCTGAGCAGAGTAATCTTATCTTAAATTTTGCCTCTAGCTTAACCTTGGAGCAAGTCTACAAATTATAATGCTGCAACTAAATAAAATATATTAATTCTTTAATAATTAAACAGAGAAAGTACCAACATGAGCATTAACAAGGATAATAATCCTTCCATTATCAACGAAATTGATGAGCCCATGGTAAGAAAGATAAATATACAAATGCATCCAATGTACTAATTATTGTTTGCCTTATTAAAGTATGATATTGAGCATGAGTATTCTATGGAAAATGATTTGGCAATCATAGATGTTACTGAAAATACCATTGATGATACTTCTTCTCAGTTGGTCTATGACTTTAGTGCTCCTGTTCCTGTTTCTGGCTATGACGATGCAAAGAATCTTGAGCTTATGAAGATCATAAAGGAGTTTGACATTTCCCAGAAGGCTCACATTAGTCTGGCAAAAAACTTCAATGAAATTCTCAGCAGATCAAGTGAGATATCATACAGAGCTTGCACTCTCTACCTTGATACCAAGCTTCTTTCTCGATTTCTTGGTGTTGATGAGGAGACATACCACGTTTGTTGCAATGGGTGTATGCTGTACAACAATGATCAGCAAACGGAGTGCCCATATTGTGATAAAGCCTGTTACAAGACTGGTGATAGAAGCCAAGATGCTGGTGAGGATCCAATTCCTGCCAGCACAATGATACAGCTTCCTCTGGATAGACAGCTTGCAGTTGCTTTGGCCAACGACCGCACCAGAAAAGAGATGTTGTATTGCCACCATCATATGCAAAAGGCTGATGGCAGCATTTCTGATGTCTTTGATAGACAGGCATACCAGTCAAAGAAGCATCTTTTCTCAGGTGAAAACGACATTGCCATTTTGCTGTCTGTTGATGGGTTTGCTCCCCATAGTGTTCCGGGTTCGGTAACTATTGTCCACATTACCAACCTCAACCTTCCCCCAATGATCTGCTACAAGCGCAGCCGTATGATCCAAGTCACAATCATCCCTGGTCCCAAAGCACCCGCCAACTTCTGGTCATTCCTGGAGCCTGTTCTGAAAGAACTTTGGGTTCTCCAAGCTGGTGGAATGGTTGTGAAGACACCATCTGCAGATATTAGTGCAAAAGTCCATGTACTAATGACAACTGGCGACATCCCAGCTCTGGGAAAGATGGCTTGTCATGTGGGTCATATGAGTAAGGATGGCTGCCGCATCTGCCACGTTGTGGGTCGATCTCCTGGCCATGGCCAATATTTTCGAATGCCATCTGCCATCACCATGTGCACACTGGAAAGTTTCAAGCACTTTGATGAGGTGGCCTCATCTAGCAAAAAAGGGTTAACTGGCCAATCTCCCTTCTCCTTACTGGATTCCTTCTCTGGTCTGTTCTTCTTTGCATTAGATGAAATGCATGACATTTGTCACGGCATTGGCAAACAGGTCTGGGGGCTCGTGTGTGACAAGTATGGAAAAGATCATCTTCTCTCTCCCTTGCTGCTCAGAAAGAAATTGGTACTGCCATGGTATCAACCAGAAGAAGTATTCTGACATCTTTCCACGGTGCATGGATCAGCATTGCAACAAGATCAGGATACTTCCGGGCTGTGGACTGGGCTGACTTCATCTTGTTTGTTATCCCCACGCTTGTGGCAGAGCATGTCCGTGACCAAGCTGCCCGTAAGGCATTGCTTGACCTGGTGCAGACATGCAACCTACTCATGAGCTGGGAGTTATCAGCAGAGGAGAAAACCTTGATCAAAACGTAAGCTTTAATTATAATTAATATTATTATTTTATAACTTGTGTTAACTTATCTTTTTTTTTAGAAATCTTGTTGCATGGAATGCGTATCTGGAAGCCTCGCTAGCTAAAGGAGAGGTCCAGCTCAAGGTCTTTACGATCAACCAGCACCTCCTGCAGCACTATTCCGCAATGATAGAAGCGTATGGTCCCCCCAGAGCGTATAGTGCACGATCTGTCGAGAGGGCGATTGGGGAATACTCACGAGCAATAAAGAGTAATTCGGCAATTGGAATCAACGCTGGCAACATCATGCTTGGCTTGACACAGATTTGACAGATGAGAGTTAAAAATTCAATAACGACAACAGCAACAGTAACAGCAACAACTGTCCTTCAGTATGACAATCCCTCTGCTGGTTGGCTAATTGACCAAGAAGGTAGTAATGTTGGTACTGATTCTGACATTGAGTTCTGGGGGCCTTTGAGGAACAGAACGATTGTTGATAGTTTTGGAGGCATTTCTTGTCTTCCAGAGCTTCTTCAAAAGTTCTACAGATCAAAGGGGAAAGAGTGTAGTATGATTGAAGCAGCCATTAAAACAAGTTGTAAGGCATTTGTAAATGGTTGTGTTATTGACTCTGCACTCGACCATAATTGTGTAAGAGAGGCACATAATGTCAGACTTCAGGTTCAGGTTAATGAGAACTGCAACATTGGGCAAAGCTACTCTCCAGTCTACAAGGATTTCTTTGGGAAGATTGTCGTTTTCTTTGAGCACAAGCTCAACAACAAGAGGTGGCCACTTGTCCTTGTCAATGTTTATGCAGTTCGTTTAGTAAATAGTATACCAGCAATCAACAATGGGCAAATGAAGCCAATGGTAGTTCACCTGGCAGATGTCAAAGAATTAGTTGGTTTGGTGAAGTCAGACGCGACTATAAGCACAATAACAACAACAGCAACAACATATGTAGTGTGGCCAGAGCTTAACCACAGCCCAAAACTGTCACTTGGTTCTCTTGCAGACTTATAATTTTTTTTTCTTGTAATACATTATTTTTTTTTAAATTGTCTTAACATATTTTATCCTCCCAGCAAAAAGTTTAGATATTTTTCTCTCTTTTAGCTCTGACTTTTAATAGTCATCAATTGCAATCTACATTTACTAAAAGTGTAAAATCTGTAGTTAAAATGTACTTTTGTCTATCAGGAGATTTAATTTTAGGTGGTCAATCTGCTTTTTGTCAACCTTTTCAAAAAACAGAGATTTTCTAATTCCTAATTGAATTTTTAATGATTTTTTTAATTATTATAGGCCAAAAACAAAGTCACAAATACAACAAACCACCCCTATTTGTCATAGTGATATATGCAAAATGAATCACTGCAAAAGTCTGCAGATATTAGAGAAGTTTGTTGGATAACTTTTTCAAAGTTGTATAGAACACAAAACCAAATAAAGCATTGAACCCAAAAATCACTTTTTCAAAAGAATTTCCATACTGAGGTCAACTCCATTACATAATATTGTACAACTTATACTTTAACTAAATGTACAAACTGTTATCATTGTATTATTGCATAAGTTTCTAAAAAAACTATTAAAATAAACCTATTGCTTGAAAGGGCAGCCCTCTTCCCTTTTGCCTGAACTTATTCTTAAAAAAAATGTCTACTATCCAAAGCCTTATTGCTATTACTGATTCGATGCTATACTATATTTACGGATATATTTTAGTAGAAGAAGCTGAAGCTGCACAGCAATATTAAGAATAATTTAAATGAATACATGTTCCCTTGCAATGTCAAGATTGCTTAGATATAAATACTTTATCCAATGCTGACTGCAAGTTATTGTTTCAGTTTACATTTTCTCAGATATAGTAGATAATTTACTTTTAAGAAAGTAAGAATACTAATATAGCTCATTTAAAAAAACAAGATACAAACATTATCTTCTCTTCTTCAACTGGGTGATAACATCTACTTTTGAACAGGCACTCCAAGTCAGTTTTCTATTCCAACCATTGAGACCTTGTCAATTATGCTCAGAAGAATGACTTTGTCTTCTTGCTTGGTGGATTTGTCAGTGATATTTGGAAGGACAAAGAGTATTCTTAGTTATATCTTTAATGGGATGATAGAAAAAATTTATCTGAAATACCATGTTGCTTTGGAGTTTGATTATCAGCAGTTTAGCAGAGAGAACTTAGTTCACTTTAGCAATGCAATTAAAGAGCATAATTAGTTATACTTGAAAATATATAATAGTATTAAAGAAATAACAGCAATTACACTCTAATTATCCATTTTATAAAAAGCACCAGTAGAACACTGCATTAGATTTATTGATGGCATGTTCATTCACATGGCCAGACCAACCATTGGTCAAGACGTTGTCTATAATAGACATTACATGAGTAAAGAACTATATACATATATGTATCATACTTCTTGCTAATCCAATTGATAAACTCTTTATAGAGAGGCCATGGTTTGAAGTATTAAGCAGTAGTAACACCTGATGACATTACTTCTTCTATCATGGGTCCTGAAACAGGTAACCAACATGATATGCATCTTTACTGAGAGAGTGAACTAGAGGACATAATGTGCCTAACATTTGACTTCAGAGTTTCAAATGGTCCCTGTTATCACTTGTATGGTGACCCAGCCTACAGCTTATCAGATTTTATAATGGTGTCATTTGACAGGTGTAAGTATTTTACAAGAATTTGTTTTGACAATTAACTCTTACAACATTTATAATTTTGCTTTAGTATCATCAGATGAAATTGATCTAGAGATTATTAAGAAGATGTCTACTATGCAAGTTATGGTTAAACATGAGTTTGTTTATGTTAGAAGTCTTTATGCTTTCTTAAAGTATTTGCAGACACAGCAAAGTGGACACTTTTCCATTGGCCAATACTATGTGGTAGGAACATTCTTGAAGAACATTTATATTTGTTTTAATGATAGTAATCAAACCAGCAAAAAGTGTGATATCCCTCCACCTTCTCCAGAGGACTATAACAACGGCCTTGTTTGTGAATAAATCCTGGGTTAAATATTTGCAATAACTATTTAAATATTAAAAAATTAAAAATAGTAAAAAAGATTTTTATATATTAACTTTTATTTCTGTTGTCATTTGTTAACAAGAATAAAACATTATAGAGATAGATATCTCAAGATTGCTGCCTCCATCCGTAACTGTCCCTCCTTCATCTCTGCTTCAAATCTGGTCATTCTTTTATCAATTGTATTCTCAAACGTATCAAACTTCTTTTCAAATATATCAAATCTCTCCTCCAACGTATCGAGTTTTTTCTCCAGGCTATCTACAGAGTTTTCTGCCTGGTTCTCTCCAACTCTATCCAAAATTTTGAACAAATCAATTCAAAATCCCTTCAATACTGTCTGTATATTGCTCATATAAACAGGTTCTTGCTCTATCACATCCCCAGAAGAGCTTTCTGCTGCAGACTCAGAAGAGCTTCCCCCAAGAGCACCGGTAAGCCTTCTCTTTGCAGAAGCTTGCTCATCAAGAATTTCTCTGACACGAGTTGCTCTGGCCAGGACATTGGCAGTGACCTGTTTTTTTTTAGCATTTTGTTGGCTAGAATTTTCTTTACTTCAGCATCTTTGCACTTATATTCCTCTTCCTTCCAAGATAAGAAGTGCTAAATATAATGACATTAAAGATAGTTTTTGGCATAAAGCCAGTATTATCATTTCAACAAGCTGGAAGAGAAGATGGTCAAGCTCAGAGTATCCCTCATTAGTTTCTGTTTTTCTTATCTCCTCACTGTTCCTTGCCTTCACTGAGAAAAGTGTTCAATTTCCTCTATGTGAAAGAGTACCAAATCCCGAGTGAAAGAATTAATTAAACTCAGGATTTGGGTGTTCTTGACATTATGATATAGTTCTTATTAAATCTAAGAAATGAGGGCATTAATCTTATGTGAAAGAATTGTGCTAAAAAAGTTGTATAGTACTACCTTAATATGCCAGCTCAGAAATGCAAATTAAAATGAAAATAGATCTTTTTTCTTTTTTATGTACAGCACGGAATTCCATTGTTCTTAAAAAGGCAAAAAAGAAGTGAAACTGATACTTTCTTCAGAGAAAAGTAATACTTTCCTCAGGTTTTAAGCAATTCTATTGTGTCTTGAAGGCGCAAGAAAAAAAGTAAAACTGATACTTTCTTCAGAGAAAAGTATTACTTTTCTCATGTTTTAATCAATTCTATTGGATCTTATTTTACGGATAAACTTCAGTACTCTCATTTGATTGACTGAAAGATAGTCTTCTCATACTTCTTTAAAACAGTATCTGGGAAATAGTTTACGAATGGGGCTTGTTTATTTTGTAAAAAAAAATTCTCTTGAATTACATTGCGTAATAATATAGTATACACATAGCTCTCAACTATTTTGAGATTAGATAGTTTGGGTACCATTAGTAAAAAGAGAGAATTTATAATAATAGTGAATATAAGAATAGTACAATAAATGAGAATGAGCTAGAGTAGTGTCAAGAATCTGATATAAATATAATTGTTACTGTTTACTATAAAAAGAAAGTTAATTAAAAAGTTAAATAATATGTTTTGTATTTAAAGAAATATACATATACTTACAGCCAAGTATGTCAGAGTTATAATCGTCATGTATATATTACAGGCAATAACTATAAAGAATGATTTTGACAATAGTAATAGCTGTTAATATAAGAGATATACTGACCTCAATAAATGACGCTGATAATTCTCCAAAATTGAAAGAATGAACTTGTTGTATACTGTGATATATTCAAATAGATATAGTATTAGTATAAAAACATATATATAATTTTGTAAGCTTACCAAGTACATTGCTGCAGTAGACATGTGTAATCGTGCACAGGACATGTATCTGCTAACAGATGAGAAACAAATTAATATAAAACTAAAACATGTTTGACTTGTTTTACCTTTATGTTTAAGAGTGAGACATATCCAACTATATGAATAGACCTATTGATAAATAAAGAAGTGTCTCAAAAATTATTAGAAGGTTAGTAGATCTAGAAAAAGAGAAATATAAAAACAAAAACAAAAATAAAAATAATTAAGTACAGTAGACCAGTTTAAAGACATCACATTTCTTTACCTGATTGCATGAATAAAAGGAAAACTATTAAATAAAGAGAAAAGAAGCAAAAAGGCAGACAAAAAAAAAACAAAGAAAAAAAAAGAAAAAAAGAAAAAAAGAAAAAAAAATTGAATATAAAAATAAAAATCTTTGTCTTCTGAAAAAAAAGATACTGGGAATTAAATTGAAAAAATCTAAAACAAAAAATGATTCATATTTTCATATCACGTCTTCAAGAAGTCTAATAATAAAGATATAAAAGAACTTTTTTATTTTACCATATTTCATAATATTCTCTTTCTCAATCTCGATCTCCAAAATCAAATCTTCCAACACTTTCACTCTACTATGTATTTATGAATTTGTTTAATGTATAAGCAAATAACAAGAGTAAGAATAAAAAATTTAATACATTTTTGTTTTATTTTGAAACATATGTTTGTATAGAAAATGACTCCTGTTACTTCTAGAACTCCTAGATCTAATGCTAGAAATAGCCTTACCCAGGTTGCAGTTGGCCGTGTTGAGCAACATCTTGTTGTATCTGCTGTTACCCAAGAACAGTGCATGACAGAAATGTCAACTCGCCTTGGTAACATGGGTGCCATGCTTGGATCCCTGGACAATAGATTTGGTCAATTCATTGATGTCTAAAGAAGAAACACCAAGACAGTTGGTGCAATTTCTATGTCTTTGGCATCTACAAGTAAACAAGTTCTCTCAGCAGTTACCCCATCTGCTGCCCCATCTTTCAACCAAATGTCTGAAGAAGAGACAAAAGTTATAGTTTTTGTAAATATGTTAAATCTTATAGAATGAATAATAATCTAACATGTAGTATCTAAATCTTGATCAGAGAGAAGATTTGAAAAAAGGACTTCAGATCTAATGATCCTACTGAGATTGCTGAGAATGAAGTAAGACAAAGATGGAACATAGATGAGCAGGTTGACTACCCCAATAATATTACTGTTGTTGCATACTTGTAGGAGTATATCCATGCCCAACCCCAAGCTGTCAGCTTTTGGTCTGGCATGGTAGTATCAATAGTAAAAAGTAACTATAGGTACTGCCATTGTAAAGCACATACATTACCTGAGCAGCACATGAACAACAACTACAGAGCAAGAATTGCCAGCCGGATTAAAGAGGTTATTACAAAACATGTTATTCATTTAAGATATTTTGTACTCATCTTACTATTTTTTCTTAGATTCATACTCACTGCCAGGATATCTACACTAGGTACTGGAGCGTGGTAGACAAGAAGATGGGTCTCATGGTTGAAGAAGATTCTGAGATGGCTTTTTTTGGTGCTATCCAAAAAGGGGCTATGTTGGATAGCAAGTCTGACACAGAGAGACTTTTCTCTGGGTTCCCAGTGCATATGTTGAAAGTTGCCTATCCCAGCTGGAGAAGCAATAAAGTAAGTTATTTCTTGTGGTATAATCATAGTGAAGTAGAATATTAATAAAATAAATATAGTTCAACAAGTTTCTGAGCTTAATTGATGAAAGCATGCAATCTGATCATAAAGCAAAAGGGAATGCAAAGCTAAGAATGTCCAGGTTTTTGAGAGAAGAAAAAAATGTTGCTGTACCACGTTGGCTGATTTTGTCACTGTCTCCCTGTGCAATTAAACAATAATTTTTTTTGATTCACATACATGCGCGTCCTTTATACTTGATTTATACACAATAAGACTGAAAGTAAAAACAATAAGAAATAGAAATAAGAAAAGAGATAAATACATTGATAAACAAAGTAAAATAGAATGAAATAAATAAAGTAATAAAATATATAAAATAAAGAAATATATAAAAAAAGATAATTAAACATAAATTTTTTGTGGCAAAGAAATTGCAATCTTCCTATTGACATTTCATCTGATTTTGTAGTCAACGATTGCTACTAGCAGAAATATACAATGGATGGGCAGTATACTTTAGAAATCCAATTTATAGAAGTTGGCATAATAAATTTCAATACCTTTGGGTTGTCTGCGCATGTCTGATATTGTTTTGAACCATCTAACAAAGGCAAAGATATGTTCATGGTTGTGGTTACTGGGTGCTGTGGGAGAGTTTGTGGGTGTGAATGAGTATACAAAAATGTAGTGAATCTCCTCAACGTAACTATAATAGGCATTTGTGTGATTTTCTTCAAACAAAGCTTGGATGTAGAAACCACGTCCATTGACATTATATCCCTTATAAACTTGCCCTAGTATGTTAATAGACTTCAATATCTCAGTACGCTCATTTACAAATGACAAACTTGGCATGCCATTCTTGCAACTGGAGATCATCCCATTGTTGTATGCAACCTGATAGTAGTCAACAAGGCAGTTGCATTCAGGCATTGGCATCAGTGACAATGGTTTCTTTGCCAAAGGAAATGCAGTTGGTGGGAGAGGTTCGTTGCCTTTAATTGATATCGATATGTCCAGCGTAGCAGTGAAAAAGTTGGCAAGTGAAAAAGAGAATTGAGAGTATGGGGTTATTGTTGATGCTGTTTTTTGTTGATGTTTTGTGATTTTTTTGAAAGATATCTATGTATGCGTGAGTATCAGTAGATTCTATAATGCGGCTGATTATATCTTGTTTATATACATTCTCAATGAATTGACTTGTATACATCAGCTCAAATCCAGTTTTCCTGTTGATCTTTATGTTTTTCAGGATACTGTTGTATTGTTCAAAACTGAACAACCAGTAACCATATACAGTTCCAAAGTTATGAATGGTGGCTTGCAGGTGGAGATGTAGGTGCATGTTTGGAGAGATTAAATCCAAGCTGTACAATGTTTCACACTCTTTGCAAAAATTCTCAAGATACTTGTGGGCTGAGGCAATATCACTTTTGCAGATATTTGGCATAACTAAGATTCAACATGCCTTGACAAAAAGCATCCAATTCCTAAACTTGTTTAGCGGCAAAACATCTTTAAGTACAACAGGAGAGTATACAAGACACCAAGACTTTCACTCATTGGCTTTCATATAGAAAAACCCCTTTGCGATCTTTGTCCCAAGTGACGTGTAATCAGGCAGCAACACTATCTTCTCAACTGCCTTTTGCATGGCAACAAGTTTTTTATTGTCAATTATCCCATCTGCAACCCATCTCTCCATTATTCTCTTGGTAGTGCCTAAGAAAAGATTGTGCATTGGATTGACAATCGTGCAGCAGACAACATCAAAGTACTGAAGATGATGCAGTTTGGACCAGCAAACACCATTTGCAACCTCAAGACAATGTCTCTCAGTATGTGTGGTTGCATTTCTCCAGACCTCTGCATTCTTACAATTGTCATTATTAGTGCAAAGGAGCCACTTTGAGAAATCAAATCCAGAATAATCAACAGAACTCGTTCCAGCCAACCTCAAAAATTGATACTTACACTTGTGGCATGTATTTGTACTAGTATGGGATGTGAGCCCGCATACTTTCCTTGCAGCAGGTATATCACAGGCAACCATGAGAAAGGCTGCTCGGATAGTAGTACCATTTGAACATTGATGAGTTTTGATCTTAATACCTGTATACAGCTCCATCAGCTCATCGACTAGAGGCTTCAAATAATTGTTGATGTCAGACATGCTTGCTTCCTTGGGCCCTGGCATCAATTCAACAAGGATCACATTTTCTTTCTTAAATCTAATGTTGCATGAAAGGTTGTTGCTCACAAGGTATATGGCTCCACATGAATGTGTCACCCTGTCAAATGGCTGAAACCAGTCGATATTCAATGTGAGCATCAGTGAGTGCTCGCTATACACAAAAGGAATTCTATCAACATCCAACAACGATTTCCACGTGGCACCATCATACACATCAAACATCATTTCATCCACCTTTGGACCACCATTCCAAGAATCAATACTGTTTTCAAATTCAGGATGATGGAAAAATATTTCAATGATGAAACAATGGAATTGTACACGTATGTCTTCTTTGCAATTCTTGACTCTGATCCAGATTTAAACAATGACGTTGAGCACAGGTTATTACTACCAAACTTAGTCGTAGTACAACATAATGGAACGCATTCATCACAACTGTATATCGTATGACATTCACCACAGGCAGTGTACTTCTTGATTCCTTTTGTTGAGCCGCCAAATCCCGCAAGTTGTTTGAGACCAGAAATGCTTAATGGAAGACAAAACGAATTGTGGTATCTCAGATACGAAACAATAGAAAAATAAAATATTTGATAATAGAGACGTATAGAAATACTTTGAGACTGTATATCAGTTGTTCTTTATTCATAAATAAAAAGTGTCTCTTTTTATAAGAAAACACAATCTGCTCTTGTCATTACGTCTTAGTTTCTTAAGGCTTTCTTCCTTTACTATATTTGGTTATTAGAGTGTATTTACTGCTTAACTAGTGTTGGTGTTACAATTATGACATCAAGTCATAAATCGTACTTCTTTAGCTCTTAGCTATTCTTTTCTCTTTTATACTAGAGCTTTAGGACTTCCTACTAAATTAGCTCCATATCGATCTGACACAATTTACCTGGCAGTATGATATAATTATCTTAACAATCTTTAAGATATTATCTACAGTACTAACTGTAATAATTATTGGGCTGATTACTTAATCGTTTATATATATTTTATACTTACAAGATGATAGCTACTACGCTATCCCAATATTAATATGTTCTTATATGTGATAAATCCAACATCCGAGTGTCTGGATCACCACACAAATCATTAAAGAATTCCAGAATTTTGCTGACAATGGAAATTAAAATCACTGCGCCTTTATCAACAACATACAATGATACAAATAAGGCAATAACGATTACAATGAAATGGCGGATGAAACTCAATTCCAAGATGAACTTAAAAGAATTTTTTTTTAAAAAAAAAGAAAAGAACAATCGATTAATTTTCTTTTTATTTCTCAGGGACGACATTATTTAAAATTTACTATACAAACTGTTGTAAGGAGAAAATAAAGCAAAATATAATATAGACGAAAGAATTTGTGAGAACTTGTGTAGGTTGTTTATTTCAAAAGAAAAGTAAAGAATGATAAAATTCGATTGTTTTTCTACATGGAACTATCTACTGATATTTATATGTTTTTCTAATTTGTAATGCAGTGTGTGCTTAAGTAATCTTTATCACAATGAGTCATCTTCCAGAAGTATTGTTCTTCTGAAAAGATCCGGAAAGACCAATTGATATCATATTTCTCTAGTCAGATCAGTCTGAGAGTTTTGGTAAAGAAAAGCATTTACACTATTGGTAATATTTTACTATTCCAACCTAGACACTTGGGTAATGTTTCATAATATTAAATAGTTGTAGTTGTAGTCTCTCAATTAAGTATTTGTCTAATAAAAGAAATAGGTAGATGAAATATAATGATGTCATATATATAATGTATATGTATTTGTATATCCCATGTCATGATGATAATAATAAATAATCAATTATGTGTATGATGATCTGTGTATTAGATAATATCAGAAAGGCAGATCCATTTGACTGGAATAGCTGAGAATATTATTTTATCTTTCAGTCTTACTCTCAGTTTCAGCAGTAACCAATACTCGTTCACAACAGATACTTTTTATTAAATATATGTCTTGACTATTTATACAAAATGATAATTGATTTCTGGCTAAAAGAATAGCCACAATAATATGTCTTAGATGCCTGTTGTCCAGTAATATTTTCTACAAGTATATTTACCATCTTAAACATCTAAAACATATATGAAAGACCAATTGGCAAAGTCAAGATCTTTTATCCTAAAAAGTCAACTCTTACTGGTTGCTTATAACTACCGATTTTGTTCACCAATGTCAACTTTGACACAATAGCATTAGAAGAACAACCCAGATCGAAAGCAACAAAAATATGGCTTAACAACATTACAGGACAAAACAAAACATACGCTCCCGGGTGGGCTCGAACCACCAACCTCCTGATTAACAGTCAGACGCGCTGCCAATTGCGCCACGGAAGCGATTTACTATTGATATAGTGCCATTTAAATTTGATTTAGCTGCAATACCGGTCCCTTTTTCAATCGATTTCAACCTTTTTAATCAGTCATAAAGTCTCAAACTGTCAATTATAATTTTATATTTTAATTTTAATTTTAATTTTATTTACATTATTTTTATTTCTTATTCTAAAAATTTGACTTATCGTTATTTTTATTTTTATTCTTCTCCAATTTTCTGAAGACAAATTTCTCTTCCTTTTATTCTTTCCCAAAATTAGTTTCTTCCTCTTTTATTTTTCTTACTTTTCTTATGCACTAAATGTAACATTTTCCTCTCAACACTACTTTACTAAAATTGTTAACTGTAGTTTTTCCATTTCTTTATAACATACTCCTTTCTGATCTTTTCCATTCTCTATAGTTATGTATTATAATTTCATTTATTTTTCTTATATGACAAATCCTGATAACAATTATTTTATCTATCTTTTTATCACAATTATCTCCTAGACATTAGTGCAACCTATTTTTGCCATAAATTTTATCCAAAAAGTAGTATAAATAACTCTTCAAAATCAATCACTAAACAATTGTTGAATTTTTCTGATATAAAAGTTTTCTCTAAAGATGCTGTCTATTTTCTCTAATCTCTTTTCTGAATTTTTCTTCCATTTACTGTTTTTCTTTGTCAAGTCTTTGTGGAAAATTGACTATTTTCTATTATTTTTCTATTATATTTCTTTCTCTCAAATTTTACAATTTTCATTTTAAAATTACCTTAGAAATTCTCTTAGTTAATGTTTAATCTTTTATTCTCTGAATACTTCCCTTAACTTAGTTTATTTTACATTAGCATTATTTATTTCCTTTTGCTAGCTTTAGATATTTCTTCTCTTCTGAAATTCCTTCTATTTTTTTCTTCTGGAAGTAGTTTCTCTTATTTAATTTACATTTTATTACAATTGTTTCCAAATTTAAATAACTCTATCTCATTACGGAATTCAATTCTTATTATTACCCATACCTTGCTTTTCTTGTACACACCCACTGGGGAATTAGATTTCTACACATATGCAATAGTATGGGAAATTCTGAGTGACAGAATAATTAAATTCTGGAATTTGGCATTTATAGATTCTGTTTGCAATATGTTATGTTACCTGTGAGTTGTCTATGTAACTTCTGAACTTATAATGATCCATATAGAGATGTAAGATTCTTTTAAACTATTTAATCGCAGAGAGAATAATCAAATTATAGCATCTTTTTTTTGGATATTACATTAAATTAAACTTGATTTGAAACAGAGATTCCAATAAAAAATCTATTTTTGATAGAAAACTGTCTACTGAAATAATGATATTCTATTGGATCATTTAACAGAAGAAACAGGATTTATGTATACTGTCTTCCAAATCTAAACACTTTTATTGGACAATTATGCACAACTAAACTATAGGATTCACACATGTCATACTATTGCAATACTTCTTGCACTTCATTTCAAATATTTTTATAGGGATTGTTTTGGAAAAATTGTTTTTATTTTAAAAAAAGCTTCTTGCTTATAATATGTACAGCTTGACAATATATTGTCTAATCTAATATATAGACTACTATATAATTAATATAATAACAAACCCTTTCATATATTATAATATATAAATACTTCCAATATGATAGAATCCTAAAAAGAAACGCATGTTTACAGTATTTCACTAGTAAGAGAAGACTAAAAAATTATTCAATTATATTAGATTATATAAATATTTATTTTTCTTTAATTTAAATAATATGGTTACTTACCAGTACTTTTGTCAGAACTAGGCATAGTGTACATTGACTGTTGTTCTGAAAGATTTAATAAAACGCATTAGTAAAGATCATGGAATAAAGTTTGGCTTTATTACTTACCAAAGAAAACCGGTTTTCAAAGACAAGCCATTCAATCAGGTACATAGAAATGTTGACAGTACTAACAGAGATAGAAAATAAACAAAATTAGATATAAGAATAAAATAAATAAATACATTATTCAGACTTACTGGATAAATTTCTGCTGTTGGTATGTCTTTATGATGAGCTGAGGAGTTAATGAGCTGAGGAGCTAATGAGCTGAGAAGAGAAAAAAAAAATTGTTGTGAATGAGTATTGATTACTGCTGAATCTGAGAGTAAGACTGAAGGATAAAATAATATCCTCAGCTATTCCAGTCAAACAGATCTCCCTTTATGATATTATCTAATACACAGATCATCATACACATAATTGATTATTTATTATTATCACCATGACATGGGATATACAAATACATATACATTATATATATGACATCATTATATTTCATCTACATATTTCTTTTATTATACAAATACTTAATTGAGAGACTACAACTATAACTATCTAATATTATGAAACATTACCCGAGTATCTGGGTCGGAATACTAAAATATTACCAATAGCATAAATGCTCTTCTTTACCAAAACTCTTGGACTGATCTGACTGGAGAAGTATCATATCAATTGGTCTTTCCGGATCTTTCCAGAAGAACAATACTCCTGGAAGATGACTCATCGTGATAAAGATTACTTAAGCACACAGTGAATTACAAATTAGAAAAACATATAAATATCAGTAGATAGTTCCGTGTAGAAAGACAATCGAATTTTATCATTCTTTACTTTTCTTTTGAAATAAACAACCTACACAAGTTCTCACGAATTCTTTCGTCTATATTATATTTTGCTTTATTTTCTCCCCACAACAAAAATAACTAATAAAGAAACACATACACAATAATCGCGTTTTACCTTTTTGTTCTTGTCCATTAATCAACATGGCAAAGACTTGTAATACTATCAGCAACCACAATAATAATAAAAGAAAAAACATTAAGAATAAATATAACAGTAGAATAATAAAAACAAATTGCTTACCAGGATGTGAACTCAAATACATCAACCAGAATAAAAGTAAATAAAGCGGAAAAGAAACAGGAAAAAAAAATAAGAAAAAAATAAAGAAAAAAAAGAAAAAAGTGGGATTTCCAACAGAAGGCAGTTTAGATGAGAATTGACTCTAGTAATATACAATAGTAATAAAATGAATAGTCCAAAATTATATTGTAACACTAAGTTCTATGTTGAATATTAAAGAAGTTGTTTAAGGTTATAAAGGATTTTATAGAAAATAATATATAATCCCTTTCTTTTCTCAGCTATTTCATAAATCTACTTTATATTAGCTTATTTTGTATGTATATCTTTGATTAAACAAAAATAAATATATTTCAACCCATACATTTATTTTATTTTAATAATTTATTAATGTATAAAACTTTAATAAAAATATAATAAAGAAAAAATGCCTTCCAATAGCAGCAGAAAAACAGACCGTAAAGGAAAAGGAAAAGCATCTGCAAGTATATCTACCTCTGCAAACCGTGTTTTGGCTGGCCGTGTTGGACCTTGAGAAATTGCCCCCAGTTTCTCATCTGCAACTATCCAAGATCAGTGATACGCAGAAATTGTTGAAATGTTTAACAAAGTAAACAACAGTATCAATGGTGTCAAGGATGACATTGCTGCTGTCAATAGCAACATGACAGCCTTTAAAAACAGGATGAGTGTTGTTGTTGACACGTCTGGAAAGACACATACAGCATTTGCAGACTTTGCAACTGCCTATGCCAACGATCAGACTTGTATGGTTAGTCTAGAACCATCTCTGATGCCATCCTATGTCCCCCAGACCTCCCTCAGTGATGCCGAGATTTCTGTCATTATCTCGGTAATTAATATTAATATATGTTAGTATCAACAACTTATTAAACAACCTGTATTTAGGAAATCTTTGCGGAAAAGTTGTGGGATTGGAAGTTTGAGTCTGACGACCCTGCTCTTGTTGCTGAGAATGAGAGTAAGAAGAAGTGGAACTTGAACAAGAAGATTAACCACCGCAATAACGTAGCTGTTATCAACTACTTGAAGAGCTACATTAGCACCCAGACTCGTCTAGCTGGTACTCACCCATGGGTGATAAGTGATAAAATAAAGAACAGGTACAAGCACAGTCATTGTACTTTTCATGAGTCCCCTGAGCAGAAGGCCAAGAAAAACAGCAAGGGGAGAGCAAACAGTCATACTCTTCAGGTTTGTATATACTATATAAAAATTAATTAGTATATTACTATTTTCTCAAGCTACAATCTATATAACCAGATGTCTATCCGACACAAGTCGACATACATGGACAACTGGGTAGTTATTGATGCTGCAATGTGATATAAGACTGGAAACCCTGTTGAGAAGGCCTATCTCAAACTCTTTCAGAAGGATGCCATGTCTGATGGTGAGTCGGATATTGAGATTGTGGACAATCTTCCACGATGGTGTTTGCATGTGGCTCACCCCACTTGGAGAAGTGAAGAGGTAAATAATATTTAGAATAAATAAATAAGTTTTATAACAAGAAAAATAAAGAACTAATAAAAATAAATACAGTTCAACAGATTGTTGACAATGGTTGACGACATTGATTGTACCCATCACATGTCAAATGCGGGCGTGGGAACAAAGCCAAGAATGAACAGATATCCAGCAACATTGTTGCCTTGCTCTGTTTCTGCCACCCTGTCCCAGTCATTGCCCCGCACTGCAAAAGGAGGGCCAATTCAGTATACTAAATACTGGAGAAATGACCCTGAATACCCTTGTGTGAAGGTTCATGGTTACATGTGAATATTTAGAGCAATTTTTCATCTCAGCATGTTTTTTGGTGTACATGTTCATAAAGTCATGTTGTAATTTTCTATTGGCTCAGATATAATAACCATCCAAGTTATTTTATCATTATTATTATTATTATTATAAAGTTTAAACAAATAAAGTAAATGTAACACTTGTTTCCCTTTTATCTTAACATTTATAACAAAATAAACACCATGTCCTCTACTTCTGAACTTTATAATAAGAAGTGCTATTGCACAAAATGCAGCGATAATCAACAAGGCTACAGCTTTGTTTCTACACGAACCCTCCAGCGTCACAATAAAAGAGCAAGATATGAAGACATGGAAAGAAGTGAAAGAAGTATGTTTTGTTTTTCATTTTCATTTTCATTTTGGTTATTTTATATAATATTTTATTTCAATAGATGTATCTGTTCAAAGAAATCTCATGGATATTGATTTTGAAAGTAAGAAACATTAATTGTGATAAAAAGAGAAGTAAACTAAAAATTGAATTCTATATGTAGCTACATCAAACCAACAAACTGGACCCATGGAAGCAATGGGCGGTCAGACCAACTCGCCTGTTTGGGAAGGAGCCCCAATTTCTGACGATGAGGTTGCTTTTAGCAATGAGTCGAATGGCAAAAGCAGTGATGGTGATGAAAATGACAATGATGAAGAAAGCAATGGCAGTGAAGAAAGTGAAGACAATGAAGAGAATATTGTTGAGATTGAAGTCGAAGAATTCGATACTGAAGGTCAGTCCATGTTAATTAACTAATAAAAAAAGACCCAAAAAAAATTCAAGGAAAAGAACCAAAAAAGAAAAATCTGAAAAAAAGGGGGGTGTTAATTTTTTTTGTTTTTTTTTACAATAGATCCTTTTGTCACCCCAAATATGCCTGAAAATCCGGTACACAGGTTCATTGCTACTTTTGTGGTAATGTTTGCTTCCCGCTATGTGGTCAATAAGGGCGCTGTTGTCTTGATCGAATTCATCAACAAGCTCTTGTCGATTTATGAGCAGGATTTCCAATTGCCCGTGAGTCTTTCTGGTCTCCAAAGCATGACAGGATTCTCAGCCATGACAAAAGGGATTAAGAGATTTGTCGTTTGTCAGGATTGCCACAAGGTGTATGAGGAAAGTGTACCTGCTCCTTTGAATTGTGATTTCGTAAAGCTTGGTGCACATACTGCCTGTAATTGCAAATTAATAGTCCAATCATTGTCTGGTGGTTTGGTTGCAAAGAAGTCTTATGTATATCAGTCTCTCACACGTGCTCTTAAAATTCTTTTCCTCCATTCCGATTTCGAGCAAAAGATCATGCACTGGAACCAAGAATTCAAGATCACTGATACATTGTGTGATGTTTACAATAGTGAAGCCTGGACTGATTTGAAGGACAATGACGATGAAATTTTTGTTGAGCACCCTTGTTCATTGATGCTGACATTAAACATCGACTGGTTCCAGCCTTTCGATGGTACTAGCTATTCCTGCGGTGCTATCTACCTGGTGATTAACAACCTGCCTAGAAGTGAGTGGTTTAAAGCAGAAAATACAATCCTTGTTGGCCTCATGCCCGGACCAAAAGAGCCAAAATCAGAAGAGATCAATCATTATCTCAAGCCATTAGTCGACGAAATGATACAGCTTTATCTTGGAATACAGATACCCACCTACCAGCAAACAGACGGTGCAACAGTTCGTGCAGCCTTATTGATGGTTGCATGCGATATATCTGCTGCCAGAAAGACTAGTGGGTTCACCGCGCACAACAGCACATGCGCCTGTTACAAATGCAACAATCAATTTTCTCGTCTACCAGGCACTTCTTCTGTCGATTTCCGTGGATTTGATTGTGACCAGTGGCGCCATCGAAGTGATAGAGCAAACCGTGTGCATGCTGAGGAGTGGAATAGTGCGAGTACACCCTCAGAAAGGCAGCAGCTGGAGGTTGAATATGGTGTTCGATGGTCGCAGTTGTATCGCCTTGGATACTTTGATCTAGTACATGGGACGATCATTGATCCCATGCATAATCTTTTTCTGGGAACACCAAAGAGAATGATTGAAACATGGACAAAAATGAAAAAAATGAAAAACAATGATCTGCTTGCAATGCAGACAGTTGCAGCAACAATGATATTGCCCAGCAACTATACCAAGCTGAAAACGAAGATAGGAAAGGGCTTTTCCCACATGAAAGCAGATGAGTGGAAGTCTTGGGTATTGGTGTACTCTCCCGTGCTTCTAAAACCAGTTCTTCCGTCCAATATGTTCAATGGCTGGATGCACTATGTAAAAGCATGCCGTATACTTGTAAAGCCGTCAATCAGTTTCATCGAAATAGACTAAGCACACAGATATCTATAAGAATTCTGTCAATCTTGTGAAGATACATATGAACCAAAAGTCCTCACCTGCAACATGCACCTGCACCTCCATCTTCATGACACAATTCGTGATTTTGGACCCGTGTATGGCTATTGGCTCTTTGGTTTTGAGAGATACAATGGTTTGTTAAAGAATAACAAGACAAACAGAAAAGATGGGTTTGAAACAACCTATATGACAAAATTCACTGCAGACACATACAAAGTTGATTACGTATGAAATACATTATCATGTCCAAGCCTCATTCCATTCCTTTCTCTTTTCGAAAAACTTATCTCTACGACCACACCTATAACGACCTATGCCACTTATGCTCCAACCAACCAACAACCTTTCCGACTGCAACAATTTGTAGACTCATCATTAAGTCGAGCAGCACCTATCAAAGGCAATGAACCACTCCCCCCATCCACCTTTCCTTTACAGTCCTTAAAAGAATCAACAATGAGTGATATTGATTATCCTCAATTGTTAGATTATTATAAAATCGCCTATGCCATGCCCAATCTCATTTCTTACCACGATACCAGATTGTCACAATATTTTGTAAATAACCGAATCACAAAATTGAAATCAATTGATCTCCTTGGCCAAACATATATTGGGAACAACAGTTCTGGTAAGCGCGGGTCACTTGTTCAAGCTTTCTTCCATAGCAGCAATGGCCAAACTTCAAGCCTATATACCGGACAAATTCAGTATCTTTTTATATATTCATTTACTCTGCCTCCTCATCCAAACCACCGAGCATCAACATTACATCAAGACCAGCATGTTTTTGCATACATCCAATGGTATAATTTGACAAATGACAATGAACACAGAGATGAAGGTATTGCAATCTGCTTGCCAGAATTCTCTGCTGATAATTATCACAGCATCTTGCCTGTACATCGCATACACTTAGAGGTTGCAACTGCTGTAGATGTAACTGATATGAACGAAGAAAGAATGCTGGTCATTCCTATGCCAAAAAAATACTATGCCTGAAGCCTTTATGAATAATTATGCACTATGATTTTTTATGAGAATAATTAAATAAAAAACAAAGAACAAGTAATGCCTCTTTATGCATTTTTTTGGTTATTTAAAGTATAGGACGTTATGAATGAAGAAAAAAAGAACAAAAAATATAAACTTTATTTAGGGCCCGTTTCTAAGAGCCCACTGAGGAAACTGTGACGCAATTGCATCAGGGACTGGTCCTTCAATGGTTTCGTCAAAAGCACGTGACAGCAATTGATGGCTATTTAAGCCTAAATCAGCTACCACTTTGTTGTCAACAAGTGTGATGAAGTGGTTGTACTATATTAAAGACATTAATATTTTATTCAGTATAATACAATATAATATATTAACTAAATTAAATATTTCAACTTTCAAAAAACTAAGTACCTCATCACTTCTCCAACCTGGACGACAAAGATGAAGCCCACTATAAGAAACATGAGGCGAAGTGCCATCGTCTGACTCACCAACAGACATAGCCTCTTCTATAATGAGACCAGAGCAATCTCTTTTCATCTCGTCATCAATAGCAGTCTTGTTAGACTGGTACGTTGTTTTGCGACGTTTCAAGTGCTGTTGAAAATATTAAATTGGTTGTCTTTTTTTGCTTTAAATTAATGACTTAGATAAGAATTATTCAAATAATAAATAAATAAAGTATAACTTACCTCCTTTTCGCGGCTACTCCTTCTGTTGCGAGCATTGTCTGACTTCTTTTTAGCCTGAGACTTATTAGCTGCATGCTTTCTGCTAGTGAAGTTCGTGTAGACAAAGTCACGAACATCACTTTTTCTCAGTCCTGCTCCTACGAAATTTCTTTCCAAGTAGGCAACGAGGTTTTCTGTCAGCTCAGTGTTTGGTGACTGGTTGAAGTTGACAGCCATGTTTCACCTTGGCTTGCCATTGTTGGCTTGAATTTCAGCCAAATGTTTTGACTTGAACTTAGGGTCCCACAAATGCTCCTGAAGAAGTCTCTATTGAATCTTGGTAAGTTATTAAAGATATAACTTACTATATGTATGATACATACATAGACTTTTGTTTTGTTGACTGATTTTGCATCAGAAGCCATGGTGGGAGAACCAGCTACATTCATTTACATGCTCACAGGAGCAACAGCATGCACTAAAGCCATTGGCTGACTCTGCAAAACAGCAGACACAGGAGTGTTCGAAGTTTTTGCTTTGATATCAGCAACATCTTTCATGACAGTGGTCATGTCACGACGCAAGATGGCAAGAGAGTTTGTCATCTCTCTCTCAGCAGGAGTGCGTCAAGTGGGATAGCTTTCATTTTGGTTAGACATATTCTATTAATTTAAAAAATATAAGTTCAAATATGTATTAACTGTTAATGCTTTTATATTCTTTGAATAAATTTCTATTATACACTACAATTATATTTATTATCAAACATACCAAAATAAAAGACAGAAAAAGATGGGAAGATAGAGAGAGAAAGTGTGAGTATAAGTAAGAATAATTGTAAGAGTGCGTGAGCAAGGGTGAGTAAGATTGTAGCAAAAACGTATATTTATATTTCCAAAAAAAAGGATGTCTAGTCTTGATTGATCTTGGTTAAAAGAATATATCTAAAGTAACTTCTTGTACACACACTGTGTAAATTGATACAAAGATTGCTTTTAGATACTACACCATTATATCTATTATGCTTTTTGGATATTTTTTTTGAGTTTCATTTTTTTTAATTATCTATTTTGTTTTTTTTGTATTTTATTTACTTATTTTTTTTATTTTTCTATATTTTTCCATATTTTTCCTTATTGACCATTTTCTTTTCTTTTCTTTCTCTTTCTGATTTTTGTTATAACTGTGAATTTTACTGGTAAGATACATTCTTCTTAAAAATACTTCTGTACAGACAACAACAAGATTAACACATTCTGTTGTCATAGATACATATATACTCTCTTAGTGTTTTACTATATTTGCAAACTTTTTTGGTAACATATCTTCTTTTTTTTAAAGCAATTCTTTTCTTCAAATGTAACTAAATAATAATTATTATTTCAGTTGTCATAGATACTAGCGTGTTTTTTCCTTCTGATGTATTCTCTTTACAATGGCCATCCGGATTAGTCCAGGTTAGTAACTATACTTCATGTCATCATCCTATAAAATTATTCTGACTTTTCTCCTTCTTTTTTATAGACAATATCGCCAAAAATATTCCCTACAATTAAACAAGACCATCAACATGGTAATATTTTATTTTTTATTTACTTTTAATATTTATCTGACAGAATATAATTTTTATTACAGATGAATATTCATCTGCCAAACACGCAATAAATCAAGAACCTCTATCTCTTGGCGCCATCATTGACATGGTAAGACTTCTTCTTTTATTCTCTTAATATGTATGATAGTATTATTTATACTGTATATTAATATATGTTTTTTACTAAAGGTTATATCAACTTTTGACAAGTACTATCTAGGTCTACAAATAAATTGACTTTCTTCGGGTACGTTCATTACATATTCTGTCACCCAATTCACTCAAACTAACTTCTCTATATTATTTTCATTGTTAAAGAAATTATAATTGACGCCATGTCTCGAACTCTCAAAATTTTATTTTTATCTTCTTCAGTCATTATATTGTATGTATTCTCAAATTAATATATCACTCACAACATGTAAATATTTAAATACACATCTAACTTCTCTTCTATTATGTTAAATAGTATCTGTGCCAAAGATAACTACTGAATATGAGAGTTTACAAACATTATATATAAAGCACTGCTTGATTTGAGTCATATGAAGGATACCGGTGAAGATGGCCCGAGGCATATAATATTATTCCAATACTATCAACCTAGAATCATTCTATTTTTTCTAATAAATACAAAAATAAACTATAATTCAAACCAATAATAATTGAATATCAAGTAATTGGGGGAGCAGATAATCTATGACCTCATAATAAAGAGTGTTAATGATTGGCTTATAAGCAATAAAATGTCCATGGTTCTAACTATTCACCCAGGGATAGTTCAACAATACACATGCAACGTAGTCCCTGATTATTAACCTTTAACATGGAAACAGATTGTATTACAGCAAAAAAACAAAGTTTGAAATAAAGTTTTCTTGGTACTCTATTATATACAAAGATATAAAATTACTATTGACCCCAACTTCACTAGTGCTATCAAACTTTACACTTGTAGATAGCAGGTCTGTGCACATGTAACCAGATCAGCTTTGGTACCAGTGGAAATAGGCAAAACCCCACTGTAAAATGCGGAATATTCACAATAGTATGCCTGAATTTCCCGGTGTGTATTTATTGTTATTTTTCCAGTGAAATCTTGACCAAATACTGTCTGAATGAATAAAATTCAGCATGAATTCGATCGGAATTTATGATGCCAATTTTTTAAAATTCGTGAGCTAAATGAATACAATTAGTATACTGAATTTTAGGAACACAAAAAGAAAAAGTGTGATATACTTTTATGTGATATATTTTGGTCGTGAAAATATAGACGCACTTTTATCAGATCGCAGATTTTTCATTTTATATTGGTTTTGGGGTTTTTTTTAAATACAGCACATAACATTCAACATCTTTTTATTACTATATATGGGTTGTTAAAGAAGAGATTTGGTCAAGATTTGGTTAAGATTTAGTCAAGATTTAGAGGTTTATGGGTCATTTTAAAGGTTTTTATTGATTTGAAAAAATTTTCTTTTTGTTTCTAACTATTTCTATTCGTCTACATCACTAATCGTCTTCTGTTGCAATTGGGTAGAAACATCACACTCGATACCGTCATTTATTTTAGTGGATACTATGTTATTCCTTTCGAACATCCATTGGTCCACCCCTGGTGCAATTGACCCCTACTGTATTCCATTGCTTGCTGCGGCACGCCTTCTTGGCCTGTTTGTTTACTTTTATAAAAAATAATTATAGGGTGGATTAGAAAGAATGTTCTAGGTATATTTATTTGAGAGCAACAGATTATTTAAAAAATATGAATGTACTTACAATAAAGTTAAATATGAGAACAGATGGATGTCTTTAACATAAAAATGGATATATCAACGTTTTAGTTAAATGTCTCAATTATAGTAATATTGTCTATAAAAATAATAACTTCTGTTAATACGATGCAAAGTAAATAAGACTATGGTTTGCTTACCAGACAGTTCAGAAAACAGAAGAGTTGACAAACACAAAATACAATGACATTATCTATAAAATATAATCTTTTATTAGAATGAAATAAAGCGTATCAGACTATTTTTTGCTTACCAATTATTTAATACAATAGAAGAGGCAGCATGCGGGAAATGGAGATATTATCTATAAAATAATTTCTTTTTATTAGAATTACATACAAAGAAGTAGAATGATTATTTACTTACTTGTCTGTCTGTAGAGAATAAGAGTCGGTGTATAATCAAAAAAAGAGGACCGAGATAAAGACCAGTGACTATAAAGTGTATGGTATACATAAGAAAAATAATAAATACAAGTTGTATCTTGAAGGTATACGTTAATATTTATATAACATACCATTTTGTAAACCCTCCCAAGGTATATGTCTTTGTTAACGGGCCAGAAAAATCTAAGCAGAATAATTAATACATAAATTGTGAATAAATATTCAAGTATATTTTTATTACCTTTTTATCATTACTTTTGAGGCAGTTAAGAAGGACTTGGTGGTTTAAAGCATAGTGTATCATGCTAGAATAAAAACAACAATATGATTAGGTCTTGAAACTTTGATGTGAGTTGATGCTTACCATGTTAGACATTAAGAAAGAAGTAAAGAAGAAGAAAGAAGAAATTAAAAAAAAATGGGAGAAATTCAAAATTATAATTTTATGACCGTTGACCCTGAGAAACTGATAGAATCAATTGAGCAAATTGAAAGTCATTCAACCCATCCCGATTGAGACAAGACATTACATACTAAACCATAATCTCTTACATTTTTGTAATGGATGTAAGCTATTACAAATGCCTTTCCAAGTCGGCTTATAAAGAAAAGTATAATATAGGGATCAAAATGCTATAAAGAGCATCATCAGAAAAATAATCTTTTGGTGCCTTACTTTCCACTTTTACATATGTTTTGATTTATTTTATTATTTTATAGAAACCCGACTCTAATTATTAAAGTATTCACAATATTTCCATTTCTTTCATTAGCCTTAAATATCTCAATTCATGTCTTCTAATACGCAGCAAACCAAAAAAAACAAAAAAGACGACTACAAAAAAGTCTGTTCAACAAACTGCTGGGACAGCAGCAAGCACAAGACAACGGGAAATTTTTCCCAGCTTGACAGTTAGCTCAGAGCTAGATGGTACTGTCCTGTCCACTTCCTCCACCATGAGCACCCAACTGAATGAATCTCATTCACTTCTGGAGAAGGTCTACCACAACATGCGAGCAACCAATGGCCAGAATAACAATTCGAACCATAGTCCCATCGGTCAGGCTCTTACTACAGGAGAATATATAAAGTACCGCCTTCCAACGGTTTCGGTAGGATATATACTAGTAATAGAATATTGCAAAGTTACTTACATTATATTTTGCAGAGATTGATCCGTTCTCAAACACGAGCAGTTCTGGCAACAATGCCATTGACAGTCAATGAGGGCGCCTTCTCGACATCCAACCGTCCCATTGCTGATGTAGTGCAGAGCTACACACATCAGCAAGCTGAAGTAAAGTCTGTTTCGTCTGCAGTTGTGGAAGAGAAAACCCGAAGACATATTTTGTATATGCTTCAAAGGGCAAAAGCTTTGCCAGAAAAGATAGCTCGACAAAATCGGATTTCTCGACGCCGGTCCAGAAAGAGAAACATAAGTATAGTCAACAGTTTTTGTG